TTGACCAAAAAAAAAGTTCTCCTTAGCTAAGTCCATCACAGCGCAATTTACATATTTGTTTAGATGCAATTAAGATACTCTTATTTGTTAGGTATCCATAGATTTACTGGATGAAAATTGCAAATTGGATTTAAAAGAATGGTGCTCCACTTTATAACACTGTTTATGAAAAATCATAGGGTCTAAAGATAAGAATAAAAAGGGTAAGATGATTATTATAATTCTATATTGTTTTCTAGTGTTAATTGGGATCGCAATTAGTTTTTAAACAAGTTATTATAAGATATTGACAAGATTAAAAATAGAGACAAAACAGTAGAGTACATGTGCATAATTATTTACTTGGGCCGCTGCTGCTATTTTATTTATTTATTTTTTGGGATTATTTACTACCAAAAAACTTGGAACTCAGAGGACAATTTTGTTGGAGGTAGAAATAAAAAAAAAGGGTTAATTCTGCTTTGCTGTTTTTAGTTTCACGTTTTAGAAAAAAAATAAATATATTAGTAGGTTAATTAAATTTATATTACATTTAAAAATATATATAACTTTCAATGTACTTGTTTTAAAAAGGTGTATATCACTAAAAAAAGGGGTTAATATTGGCATGGCATTTGAAGTAGTAGAATACAGCACATAAAGATTAAAAAGAAAAGAGAGAAGGGAAGGCAGTAAAATTGAAAAGTGAAGGTCTCCTTTGTATTTATCGAAAAGCACAAATTTCAATATCCATCCCTTCATATTGAGTGAATGATGAAGATAATATTGTTATTTCAAAAGGAAGAAGGTACAGATCTTCAATACAGGGATCAAACAAGACGAATATACCATTCCTTTTTATCCAACTACATTTTAGCATAATTAATTATACCACTCCCTCCCTCATTTTGTCTTTTTGCAATCGTTCACTTTATATGCACCTATATATATATATATATATAGAGAGAGAGAGAGAGAGAGAGAGAGAGAGTCCGAATAATGTTAAATATAAATAGAATTTAGACCAAATATAAGTCTCTGAAGAAATTAGTACATGATTTACTTGTCTAAAACCGGTAATGATTTAATATTTATTTATTTTCAATTTTTATTTTTTTACATTCACGACAGATATTTAAACCGATTCATCCAAATTATAAATTCCACAGCCTTTGTAAGCAAAAGAATAGAAACAGAAACATCAGTAAATGTATTCACACAATAAATTTGAATGGGTCATCTAAATCTCTTTTACATTAATAAATTTGGGGAGGGGATCCATTCAGACCAATCATTTCAGAGGAAACAGCATAGTACTTTTTAGCTTCGAAGAGGTTGAGTGAGTAGATCTAACAAACATTAATAAATAATGCATTTTTGTTATCTTCTTTTCCTCATTTTCTTTGGTCATGGTGGATAACGTGGAAGAGTTAGGATGACAAGGTTTTTTTCAACATTGCTCGCATCATTCATTATCCTCTTAGAATAATGAATTATAAGCTTGCAAGTTGTGAATACTAAAAATAGGATGGCAAATATCACATGATTCAAATGCATGGTTATCTGAATTGGAAAATTGATTCTTCTTTTTTTCATTTATTGAAGATAAATTAAATGGGTATATATATATAAATAAAGGTCAATGAGGTACGTAGCCTAGCTACCATAGTTGTGATTCAAGTGTTGCCCCTCAGGCCCTCCCTCATGAATATGAAGCACTGAAGCAATGTTTATTCAACCAAATTGACATATTCTTTGTATATCAGTTACAATACCCATACCTTATAATACTGAACCATTCAATGTTTTGCTTCGTATTTCAAGTCATGACATGCATCAAAATACTCTAATAAACTTGTAATAATTATGAAGTGAAAAAAGCTGCATGACTGTGACCACGGAAGAAGGTAATAAGTAGTGAAGAGAAAGACAGTAGAATGAGACACAGAAGATTAGAAGGAATATATCAAGTTTCTATTGTTAGTCAGACAACTACCCTCCTTTGGATAGTGCTTCATTACACAGACCATCCGATCAAGTGCAGAATATTGTACACCATTTATTGCTAACTCTCCCTAACACCAATCCATCTGTTTATCTAGTTCAACTTGTATTCTCCAATAGTAGCTTTTTAATCAATCTTCCTAACATCTTTCTTCTGGAATATTTTTTTTTATCGTCAAGTCTGACCATTTTATTTAGATTTTTTTTTATCTTAATTATATATATATATATATATATATATTAAATAAAAATATTATATTAATAATTTTTACTTGCTTTGTAAATTATGAGTGCATTCTATATTTTTTCATATGTCGAATAATTTTTATAATTCATTTTATATTAAATATGTATAATACATAATAAGTGTTAATGATTGTTTAGAAAAATAAATATTTTTTTATTTCTAAGATATTAAAAAATTATAACTATAAATTTTGAAAAAGAGTATAAAATGTCACTTCAAATTTATGTGTATTGTAACAAATATTTATTATATTTAATTAAAATAAAAAATTATTATGCTTAAAGTATTTAGTAAATTTTATTAAGAATTCATTAATCAATATTTTTAAGAATTAAGCCACTCATTAACAAAGCCTAGAAGGAAGGGGTTAGGATAATATTTTATCTGCTGCTAAAAATGGAAACTCTAAGATTTTATTAGCCATTTATTCTCAATTTTAAAGGTTAATATTAACAAAACTCTAGTTCAAATAACAGTATTAGTATATCTAAAGGAAAAGACTTATGCATGATTTAAAATTTTGGTTAAGAAGCAAAACGACTTATTTGCATCCCGTTGGCTAAAAGTTAAATAAATAATATGTGAAAAGAACTTGACAGAAATGGTGGGCATCAATGATTCACATTGACACTTTTGATACACAACAAAATCGTACAATTCGGCAATTATCTACGTTGTAAAGTTTTATACCCAGGGAATGTATATGATAACGGTAAGGACTAGTTAATAATTGGAAACATGTTTATTGAACTCTTCGACTTGAGTAACTGCATCTAAACATGTGGACATGGGCGTAAGCACCTCTGATCTTCCATGTTTGAATTGTCGCGTGACTGTGAAGAAACAATGACACTGACAACAGAAGAATGATAATATTCAGTAAAAGCACGGATTATTGTTGGTCAGAACGGTGACAAAATGCTTCCGCAACAGTAAAAGTGCATTGCTTATAATACACTATCCGGGCATCAATCAATAGGTATCCCTCAAATTCATCCACATAGCAGAGGCATCACATATCTTAACATAGGCACGTAATTATTATGGATTTAGGGTATTAGATTGGAAGGATAGTTAAGCTTAGACTATGAGGAGTGGACTCAAGTAATTTAATGAGACGGATATGAAATTTATCCAATAACAGCGTGTGCTAAAAATAGATAGAGAAAAAAAATATATAACTACTTGCTACCGTAGTAATAAATTTGAAAAAATATTTTATATTTTTATAAATTGACAATTATAATTATTTTAATATTTTAAAAGTTAAAAATATTTATATATTTTTTAAGATAAATTACTAAACTTATTGTTTATAATATATATTTATCAGTGGTAAAATACTCACTTAATCATTAAGACTATAATAAAGACAACAATATTTTTATAATAAAGACATGTAGTTATTAACTAATTACTTAAAATATGTTTTGGAGAAAGTTTTGAAAGAAAAAAGAAAGACATATTTTTTAATTTAAAATTAAAATAATTATATATTATTTATAATAATAAATATATTAAATTTATGTCTTAATATTAATTTTAAATATATTTATTTAAAATATAAATTTATTTTTACCTCTCATCAATCAAATCCTTAATCAATTAATTCAACAAAAGTCTAGCTAATTAATGCCAACCAAACTATAACAAGAATAATACAGCATAAGTGGTTAAACACGCTTAATTCATCTTGCACTCAAGCCACTCATAGGATCTTAACTCATCATACTGCCATGGCCATTGAGAATACCACTTTGGTGCGAAGCACTATATATATAATTATTTCTGCAAAAAGGGTGACGCAGGTCACATCAGATGTATATCGTATCCATTTCCGCGGGCATCTACCACCTAAGTCCTTGATATAGGTTGGACAGGAAACGAAAGTGAGAAAGGAATTTGAAGTTAAAAGTAGAGAGTCATAATAGGAGGAGCTTGGCAAAGTGTGCAACTCATACGGCACTTAAAGCATTGGGTATCATGGTACCATTGAGGTATGATTTTCGATTTGGGCAGTGTTAGTTGCGCACACTAAAACATTACACTAACCTCAGACTCATTTATTTTAGTGGTATTTTGGGGGTTATTTTTTTCTTTTCTTTTTGGTTAAAGGACCTAGCTTCATCTCTATTGATTACAATTTGGGAAATTCATTCTTATTTTGGGTGTTCCATTTCAAAATGCTTATCTAGACGTATTATATATTCAATTTTGAAAGTAAGAATCAATGTTTTAAAATAAAATAAATTATATATTTTTTACAATAAAGTTTATTTATTAAAAGATGTAATATTTTTCACAGCAAAATGATGGCAATTTTTCAATTATTACATTCTAAAGACGTTTGTTTTAAAAGATGCATTTTACAAACATTACGCATCGATTTGTAATGTTTGATTTACATTCCGGAATAACATTTAAAAAACATTATGGACCTAAGTTTGACACATGGAAATGTTAGTTAAATAAACATCTCGAATTGTCAACACATCTTTGGAAATGAAGCAAATAGAAATCGAAAAGATTTATACTAAAAAAAACTCAGTCGGATTTTTTTCTTGTTTGAAAATGAGGTATTGATGAGAGTCAATTTTTTTAAAATTAAAGTAACATATAAACATCTCACATTTGAAAAAGTTACAAGGTTTAGATTAGTAATGAGAAACTTGAGCACTTCGCATGATACCGTATATTTAGTTTCACTATGTACGAAAAAACAAAAACGAGAATCACATCTAAATATCACTCCTTTTAAGTATGCATCATCATCGCCAAGACTAGTCCAAATTAAAAACTAATGAGTTTATATGTTACTACCTAATGAAACATTGAACCTAACGATTCTGTCATAATCAACAACTTAATTATGATCCACGTTTTGGGAACGTCGTCCCTAATATTTCTCTTCTTAACTGGGCCATACTTTAGATCCATATTTTATACTCTCTTTTCTTTTTGTTATTTTGTCTACTGTTTTTTCTTTTTCTTGTTTCGGTAAGGAACTTGCATCGTGCTGCATAATCATTAAAGTAACTTATATACAGTCCTTGGAATAAATGTTTATGATTCCCGTCCCAAAAATTTAAAGAGGATGGAGGGGGGCTGCAAAGTTGAACATTGGAATAGACGTGCAACTCCACAACTCCTTCAATTAAGAAGATAATAATATACAACATGACCCGATAAAACCAAACTGCAAGCTACACCTTCCATCGCGCTATAGTTAATACTCTACGCATGACTAGTTAGTTGGTCCTCAATTTTGTCGACAAGTCACAAACTAGTGGTATTTCAATCTGAAACATGGATTTATTGACTGCTTATAGCAACGCTTTGGGAATGTAATCTGCTTGCCAAAATAGTGAGAATTTCGTTGTCAACACGGCCAGATTCTGATGCGAGCTTAAGAGGAGTGTTGCCTTCTTTATCTGCGACATGTATATTGGCCCCCCTGTAGATTAATGGTAAACTAAGTCAATTTTCTAAGTAAACTAGTATTGAAGTCAAATATGAGTGAAAAAGTCTAACATTGGACAAAAATGAAGAAGTTGAGCAACATGAGCGATAAGGACCTAACAACTAGAACATATCAATCACGAACACAGCATATCCAGATAATATATGAAATATATTTCAATGAAACTGAAGTTTGAAATTGAAATGCAAAATTTCTCAATGCTAAAGCTAATTCATGGTCAAGCATAAATCTTATTTTTTGAATGAGATTCCAACAGCCTAATCTCAAGTCTCTGAGCTCTTGTTGTATGGTTATGGTCTACATGAATTATAGAAATGATATCTGCATATTAAAAATCTTACACCACCTCCGAATAGTAATAAAAACACACATTTCAATGCACTCTTTCTATCCACGCAATGTACACAAGTGATAGCATAGATGACATAAAGAGAAATGTTAGCAACACACTCTTATGCATGCTTTTTGTGAATGACTATTTTTTAAAAGGTTAAATTGTCTAGTAAAAATTGATCACTTTTTAAAATTTACTTTGACATTTTAAACACTAACTCCTCTCAAGAAGTGTGCTCAAAAGAGTGTGTTGCTAACATTTTTTATAGCATAAATATATGTAGCGCATATGAAATGATGCAGAATGCTTTAGTATTCAGGGTAACGAGAATTTGGGTATACCATATGATGAGTGAAAATGTTTGAGATATCTAAGGAAGTGACCAATTAATTACCGCATGATAAGCACATTAGCAGCTGCGGTCTTCCCTCTAATAATACAATAATGTAGTGGTGTCTGGCCTCTTGAATCACAAGCATTTATATCTACCCCATGCTGTAGGAGCAGCTCCATCATGCCAATGTCACCAGTTAGGCACGCCAGGTGAAGCACGCTAGAGCCATTTTGTATGTCCTCAATGAGCTGATTTCCACTTTGAGATGAAATGTTTAAATTACTTGAAGAAGCCATGTTTAAAGAGTCACCTGCACAACAGCTAATTACTTACTGGTTTTTCAACAACAAAATCTTAGCTGGAGTTGACATCTGGAATAAGACAATACCAGACAATGCTTGCCGACTGATGGCATTGAGATCCACATCCGACATGACAATATGCTGGTACACTGCTTTCTTGTCATTGGCACAGATGCTTTCCCGTACCTGTTGTGCCAGTGAAAGGAGAGGGTGGTTTTTCTCTGTGTGGCGAATAAATTTTTTCTCGGAATACTGCAATAAGAAACTATCAAATTCTCTTTTCCATATATTAAACTTCCGTCAACTAATGCTTCAAGAATAAGATTACTACTAAATACTCCCCAAAGGATTTTGGTATGCCCTTGTGTTAAACACAGTTGAAGCCATAAAAAAGACCGTAAACAGAGAATGAGACAATTCATGGTTAATCGTTCGAACTTTTCCTTCCTGTTTTGTACCAACATAACAAGTAACTCAAACCTTATTGGTAATATCACATTTAAAAGCAATTTTAGATATTATAATCCAAACAAAATTCATTTGGGTATCAAATATTACCATTGACTTATCTATCTAAACATAAAACTCATTCTCCTAGAATTAATTATTCTCAAAATAAATTGTACAAAAAAATTATCGAAACCCCCATCAACTTATTCCAAATTCTAGAAAAGAGAAAGGACCAAATGGGTTGAGTCTTGATAAAGAATACATGGGCTACTTTAGAGCATCTGTTCTCCACTTCACTTACTATAGTGGGATAACATCTGTTCCTCTATTTTTATTTTTTTTTTGGCAAAAAATAAGTATGCAACTTGAAAGTCCAAAACTTGCTGACCAAAATCTGCAGTCTGAACTAGAACACAATGTTGGCCGTTTAATATAACAAATTTATTAAGAACCAGCTCTCTCATAAGCTTGAGCTATTATGTGAAGACTGAAGATTCACTAATTGCTTTTTCACCTCTCTGGTACCTCTTCATCCTAGGATTTAAAGCATGCGCATTGCACAAACCCATTTTTTCAATGTTCTGAAATTCAACTTAAATTTAGGAGAATAGGGGAGGTGAGGATTGATATCTTGACCGTTCATGAATGATTTAATTTAATGTCTAACGACTATATAATGATTCATTTCTTGGATGAACAAATAATTCAACTGAAAGATATTCTGAAAGATATTGTCATATAGGTCACATAACTGGATATCAGCACATCATATATGACATATGCTGCACAGATCAAAATATCAGGTGCCCAACTTCCAAGAAGAGTCAATACCATAGAAACAGGTAATCAAAGGTAGAATTTGTGATTGATTGGCTATCCCTTTGGTGATTCCTTGGCATTCCAAAATTCCTAGGTACTAAAATATAATACATTTATTTACTGTTATTCTAAGTTGGAAAAGAAGACCAAGAATTCTTGAAAGGTTCTTAGATTACCTTTGCGTGAATGAACCTCTCCTTTAATGAAATAGCATCGTCATGTTTTGGTTTTCTTGCATGAAATAGCTCATCTCTGTTCTCCTTGGACAAACTACATTGCAAGTGGTTATTAGCATAAGTTCAAACACACAATCCCATCAATTTTTGCAGTACTTACTCAGCAGGGGCATCAACAATTTGCAAGGTACTTGTTGAATTCAACAGCTCTTCCCAAACTGAGTTTGCAAAAAGATTGCCTAGTGACTTGAACATACTTAAAACAGAGGGATCCCAGACTTTGACATCAAGTGTCAGTGATCTTACCTGCCAAAAATGTTTTCCAACTTAGCCACAAAAGTGAGGATTAAAACAGAAAGATCTTGTTTTCCCTTTTTAACAATATAAAATTGCTGAGAAATGAACACTTTTGAAAAAAGGGAAAAAAAATGAAAAGAGAGAAAAAAAAGAAGAAAGCATATTTAGACCCTCATTTTGAAAATGGATCTATAATCAATTGGTCAAACTGCTGGTAGAGCTTATATTTACAGGTCTTAGATGACTGTCAATTTACAATCACTTTTATAAGATTATTTTGCACAATCTTATTTAGTTTGCATCATTTAACTGTAGTCACTTTGTCTTCACATTTTGCAGTGTTTAGACTTGCTAGATGCAAAGATTAGAAAAAAAAAAAGAGTTCAAATATCGTGTCTAAGACATGCACTTATTTTCTCCGATTAATATCTTAACTACCGTTATCATTTTCTGTATATACATAAACAACAAACTTTAAAGTTTAGCTAGAAGTGAGGGCTTTGGGGTAGCTGGTTACAGGTTCTCTAACCCTGTCTCCAACTTGTATTCAGTAAAAGTTGACAAGACATGAAGAATATACAACACTAAATTGCAAGATTAAATGTGAAACATCAAGAACTTACTTTTGATATATGTACTCCAAGATTACGGTGAACACCAGAACATTCAATGCATATAAGGATGCCAAGGTTTAAGGAAGCCCAGTCTGGTTCAGGTTTACCACAATCAGCACATTTGTCATTCCCGCTCACCCTTCTAAGAACATCAATTGGCTTTTCACCTTTTATATTGTGTCTATGCAAATGCAAACTTCTAGATGCACGTAAGTGATTGTTAGGGGTAGAATTCTTGGATGCAGGTTTCGTAGTTACTGAGCAATCATCATCTGGAGAACTTTTCAACTTATCGATTTTGTCGTTGTAAGAATCACAGTTCTCTGATTGAGGCTGTCACATAATTGTTTTATAATTATAGTATTCAAAATAATGTATTTAAAAAAAAATATGGGTGTCAAACAATGTATTTAAAAGAAAGATCTACATACTGATCCCAGTGTCTGGACACTCAACAAGGAGGCAATTACTCCATTTATCTTTTCCATCCAATCCATCTGGTCCAATGCATTTTCTGCCTGCATTTCTTCGCTTACTGTTGTCAAAGGTAATAATAAAAGCCCAAATTAAGTACTGATGAAGTTTCAGAGCAAGTACCTGCAACGTATAGTTTTTTGATGGTGAAATAATCCTGAAGCAGAATCTTAAATCTGACTGATCGGCATCAACCTTGATTGTTGATGTCAGCAAGTTTACTGTATGACGTGCTATAGATTTTTCATCATGGACACCCCCATGGTAATGAGAAGAAAGCCATCGACTAAGAAGTCCAGAACCATTTTCACCACCATTATTCCTTTTTGGAGATGGTTGATTGCTGCCCTGTGATGATAAGCTCAGCTTTTATTTAGAAGAATAATCATAACCTAGTTTAGTGTATTAAAAGGTGAGTTATTCTTGGTGACTTACATGTGATGCGTTCCATGGTTTGCGGTAATAGTACAACATTCCTCGACTATCAAGAACAAAATACCTTCTTTTCCAGTCACCTCTCAAATTGGACGATCGTTTTGAAAGATATCCTTGTCGAATGATTTGAACCTAAAATTTGTGCATGGAATGCACAAATGATAATGGACAAGACTCAAAATATTTGTTTTGGATAGTAAAAGGACTCAGATTGAACGGTTGTAAATAGAACATACTCTGAGTGAAAGAGGAAAACATCATACTCTAAAATACCTTTCCATTGGCAGCAGATTCCATTACTACATCTACCACTTCATTTGATATCCTAGAAAACGGATGCGCAGAGTCTCCACTAGGAGAACCGTAAGGGCCATTTAAGGACAATCTACTTTCTTGATAAACTTGTCTTTTGTAGTCTTGCATTCTTTTATACAGTGCAATCTGCTCCTTATTGTAACTTTCTCTAGATTGATGTGCATAATCCATAACCTGCAACACAGCAGAGTCATATTTGGCATTCTACTCCTCACCTCTAAGCATCAAGTCAAGAAAAAAGGTTCACAAATTTCAATGACCATTAGTTATGCCCAGTCTTTGGACCAATGTCATGCCTTGTGTGAAGGACTAATAGGTCTTATAGTTTCTAAAAGAATTAAAAAAAAGGCACTTCAGGCGAAGGAAAGAAAATCTTCCATTCAGTCGATAAAGCAGGAACACCAATTGTAATTTCAAATAAAAATTTGTTCTATACTTGAATGGAAACATGCCACTATGGTTAATTGATGGGTTTCCTGTTTGGATGACCCTCCCAATGATTCAAGGTCTTGAGATTTGATGAAGTACACTATACTAACAATTCCAAATGTGTTATAGTCAAATGGTAGATACATTAATTGTGTGTTTTAGCTGCCTGATAAAAATGAATAGAAAAAAAATGTATATGTGGAAAATAACTAAGCATACTATCAGCAGTCAAGTTAAAATTAAAAATAGAGAACTAATGACAAAAAACCTCGCTAATGAAAGGCTCCATCTGATGTAATAGCTGATACCCCTGTAAAAAGGAGAACTTTTAGGCACAGCATAAATGCAATATTACAAAACATATAGGAAAAATGCCAAATATTTGACTATGTCATACACCTGTTGAAAGTATCGGAGATGACCGTCCATAATCCCAGCGACAGCCTCTAAAAATTCAAATCTCTTCTTGACCTCAATATTATTAAGAGCACCGACCTAGATGATTAAATATGACATGTAGTTAAGACCTAATGATATAAATCTTTTATTTTCAAATTAGCTTCTCTTTTGCAACTTAAATTACCAGATTGAAACGGGCCTCCTCAAACGATGCTCTTGCATCTTGCAATTCCTGGAATGTCTCTATACCAAATTAGATTCAAAAGGATCATAGTAACTCATGACATTCTATTGGACTAATTTATGCATCAAATATGCCAAAGAAAAGCTACTGGACATACCTCTTCTATGACAGTGGCAATATCAATCTTAGTGCTTTTTCTCAGTGACATGAACTTCTCACGTGCCTGTAGCACAAAATTCACATTGCCTGTGGGTTATGATCAAGATTCAAGAGATATGTAAGCAAACTTTCCATAATACTATACTACACACATACACGTGCGCACACTCATGCATGAGTAAAAATAGGTTGGGCCACTCGTGAAGAGCCTATGACCTAACCCCTATAAGACTTTGGATAGGTCAGACCTATTTACTAGACAAATTAGGTTAAGGGTTTTTATTTTTTTATTTTTAAAACTTCAGTAATAGTAATAGTAATATTAGTAACCCACTAGTCAAAATTTGCGAATTTTTTACAGAAAAAATATTAAAAAAATAAATATATACTAAGATGAATCCAACTCCAATATATTTACCCAACTTGAGACCGAATTCTGACATGTGTTTTGCTTAAATAGCCAAATTTTTATTTTTTATTTTTTTATTTTTATATAATAAAATAAATATTATGTATTTTTTATGTTTATATATTTATATATTGTGAAATTTAATAAATATTTAGTTAATTTTAAATAATAAAACAAGTTTTATTATTTGAATTATATTTATATTTTTATATTATGTGAAATAATAAAAAATATTATGTTAATATATTTTATTGAATATGTAAATCTGTGTTATGAATTTTTAATATTAATATTATAATATTATTTTGAATAAGTATTTGCTTTTTAAAAAAATAAAATTTGTATATCAAATGAATAAAAATAATAAAGAATATAAGGGTATATATTTTTTGAGTATTAATATAATAAAAAAAAATTAAATTAGTATTTTATTAAATAAAATAAAATTTGTATATAAGATGAATAAAAATAATAAAGAATATTTTGTTTATATATTTTTTCGAATATATAATTTTGTGTTATGAATTTTAAATATTAATATGATAATAATATTTTGAATAAGTATTTGATTATAAAAACATAAAATTTGTATATAAGATGAATAAAAATAATGAAAAATATTTTGTTTATATGTTTATTAAAATATATACTTAATTAATTTTTAAAATTATGGCTATTTGGGCAAAATACAGGTCAGAATTCGGTTCCTAAAATCACGAATTCTAAATCTGTACAAAGAATAAGTCTAGTTGAGTAAATATATTAAAGCTGAGTCTATCTGTGTATATATTTATTTTTTTAATATTTTTCTGTAACACTTTACTTTATATAAGTAGTAGTATCTATTAAGTGAGTTTCAATTTTGAAATGAATTTATTATAACTCATAAGAATCCATAAATATCTACAGATATTTATTAGAAAAAGAATTATAGATTTTTTTTAAAATAACCTGATTTAAATTATTTTATGTATAAAATTATAATTAAAATAAAAAATAAAATAATTAAATTATAAAATAGCATAATATTTTATTTCAATAACAATAACATGATAATAAATCAAACACATAAAAAAATCATAAAATAACTAAGTTAGAATATACTGAAGAGAAAAACGTCAAATTAGTCCTCCGAAGATGAATATGTACCAAATACATTCTCCAAAAGATTTAAGCCACCAAATTAGTATTTTAAAGATTTAAATCATCATCAGATAATTCCTCAAAGATTGTCAATAAATTTGTCCTTTAAAAAATTTAAAATGACACTATATTGGTTCTAAAAATGATTTAAGTCATGAAAAAAAGAATTTAATTTAGTGAAAAATTAAATCTTCAAAAAAAAAATTTAAAATTTCATTAAATTAATCCTTATAAAAGAATAAAGTGGTAGTAAAAAGACTAATTTAGAGACAAAAACTATAGAAGACTAATATGGTAATGATTCAAATCCTTGAATGATTAATTTGGTAGCTCAAATGTTTTTAGGACTTAGTGGTACTTTTATTTTTGGAGCACTAAGATTTAGGACATTTTAATAATTTTTATGTACATGTGTACTCGTGGGTACCTCAATACCCACCACCACCCCCATTACTAAGCAAATAGAAAAAAAAAAAGTATTAAATTAAACCCACAAGTACTTTTACCTGTAGCAGGTTTTTAATTGCAAATAGCTGCGAGTATTGATAAATTTTGTCATCTCTAAATAGTAGTAATATATTATTGCATTTAAATTTTTACTATAATGTTTTAATATACTTGATAGTCTACTTTTTTAAGATAATGTGTAAGGCTTTAAGTTTGTGTTAGCTAGGCTACTTAGAGGAAGATGTTTTGATCTATTTAAAAGGTCTTAATACAAAATAAGCTTTTATATAGGCTTTCATACCAGACCAAACTTGTTTATATAAAATCAGGCCAAACTTAAAAAAAAGTGCTATGTATGATAAAAAAACAGCTAGGTTCTAGCCTTAGATTTGAGAAACAAGCTAAGCTTAAGCCTTACAAAGTCTAAACTAACGCCAGTCATTTCTACCCCAAAATTGCAGCAAATTCAAATTGAACTTGAGATGTAAGCCACCAAATTAAATGCAAGTACTTCCTGAACGTAGCATCTCTGGAAATTGTGTGAGCAATTGATTATACAAAAACAGAAAAAATGCAAGTACTTCAAGATTCCATCAAATGAGAATAATTGAAAAATCAAACTTGGTATTGAAGGAAATTTGTCCAACATGCAAGTGCAAGGTCAATTTCGGTTTTTTCTTCAATTATCAAATTTAGATGTATATGCATGATGATCATTGACTAAGAAAGATCTTAACACTACATATATTGACAGAACAACGAATTGTGAAAAATAAATTATATTGATTATCTTATTCCTGGTATCAGTTAACTAGAGAAGCACTTATGCTTCTTCTCATTTAGTAAATTGTATAGCTCACAACTAGACACATGTAGAAGCAGCAAAGAAAATCTAGGGATGAAGAATTCATTACACTGTGTAACCTTGGAACGAAAATGAGAAATACCTGGTCATATACAAGGGCAGCTTTATCAAAACGCTTACGAGCTTCCTGCAACCATTGCTTGGAGTATTAGAAGAAAAAAAAGCTATACCAGTCATTGGTAATTTTCACCGTGAATAGTTTTGATTGATATTCTTACAATGAAGTTATTTCATCACAGTTTTTAGAGTAGTCATAATTTTGACTACATGGTTTCATTACCAAAATAAGATTGCAGTTACAAGCAAAAAATGAGGACATCTTTTAAATTTTAATCTTTTAGATTTTAATTAACAGAACAGTTATTCCCCTTGTGATCCTAGGAAGTAAAGCATTGTTCATTTTCTTCATAATGATGCTAACAGACTATGAGCAACATCTGAATTTTGGTTAAGAATACATTGTTCAAGATCTTTTCTTCAAGGAGAGAAAGGAAATGTTTGAACCTGTTGCTGTTTCTCAATAGTCTACAGTGAAGCTGCCTCTCCCTTTACTTTTGTTCACTTTAATGTTTGGGATTTTGTAGTGGGTAAAAATACTTTGTTACATTTATGGACAATTAATCAGTAAATTTGGTTATGATGCAAAGCAGGTTTGTTTGATTGAATTTATCCATTTCTATGTTATAAATGAGTCTTCATTTTTGAACAAGACTCATTTAGGAAGTATTTCTTTCATAATAAGTCACATGACTCCTCCTACATTGAGCACTTTAACTTTTTATTTGTTTCAAATGCTTTTATTTAAATTTCATTTAAATTTTAAATTTTAATTTAGTATATCAAATTAAGGATATATTTCCTTTTTAAATAAACTGAATTTTTAGATTGTTATAACCTTAATCAATTATAATTTGATTTTGATTTTTAAATTTTGATATAAACTTAATTTAGATAAACTTCTCAATAAGTATTTATAAGAGTAAAATATTATGTAATAAAATAAATTAAACTTCTAAGTTAAAATCAATTCATACTTCTTTATTTTTTTTTAAAAATTTCTTATTTAACTTTTATAAATTTTGAAGGAATAAGTTATTTTTAACTTATAAGAAATTATTTATTTATTTTTATATTAATTTTTTTCTTTTATAAAGACTTAACTAGAAGCTTACTCAACTTGATATTACCATATAAAAACAACGTTCTTAATTTCCATAATTTTTTTCCGAATTACCCCCTCAATTACTTCATTGATTGATTGTAGTCAAGGTATCTATATAAAAAAGTGAGTGAATGGGCTGCACTTGTTTATGCATTACATCATTTAGTGATATATATCCCTAGAGATTGAGTTAAATTATTAAACTTGTTTATTCTTTTCTTGTGTGCATATATGCTCCTATTTTCATTGATTATTTAAGTTGTTCCTTCCTCACTGCACAAATTAGTTAATAGTTACCCATCCCATTGTGGTATTAGTTCAAATATGTAAAACAGAACCAAACTTAGCAATTTCATTTCACTTGAGATTCCACATTGTGAAATACAATTGAAGTCTTGAAAGAGGAAGGGAAACATCATACTGATTTGCAACTTATATAGATTGGCCAGAGAAACTACTGGAGCTAAGCCATATCATTAAATATGATACCTTATGGTTGCATCGGTTTAATGTATTATAACCAACACTATTATGTATAAACATTTAAACAAAATTACTACTTACAGTATACCTTGACTTCATGGATGTCAACATTGACAATGGGTAGTAACCGACCATTGAGCATGTGTTCTACCTAAGAAGCCATATTAATTATCGTCAGATAGAAATATCAATTAGAACACTTTCCTCTAATTTAATATGGAAAAAAACCCCAGCCATCATGTTTCACCGATGTTCAAGCATTTATCTTACTATTATTAGTCAAAATTTGTTACAGCCTATGAACAAAACTGCCCTAGGACCAGGACATGGAACAGAGGCTATGTAGCAAGTTTTACTTATGATTTTTAAATGCACCTGAGCATTATAAATTTATTATTCTTCAGAATAAGTAAACTAACAGGCATATGTTACAAACAAGATGGTTGGAATTATACAAAAGGTCATCTCTAAACTCTATGCAGCCAGCAAAATAAAAGATCTGCCCTTAACAAAAGTATACATTGCAAAAGAACGAGAAAGACTGACAAAATCAGATAAACCATTACTTGTGACCGAAGAAGTTCCTTGTATGTACTGATTTCTCTCAAAGCAATAGTAAATTTGGTCATAACAGGTCCTGGAATCCCAAACAAAATTTATCAAAATCAATAGCATAGATAAAGTTTCATTCAATATAACTTAATGCAGTTATGTATATTCAGATGAAGCATCGAGGTTAGTAAAAGCATTGACATAGAGTAAAAATTTGAAACATGCTTTAGAATCCTACAGCAACTTCAACCATATTTCCTAAGGGATTTTGGAAGCTTGTTTATTGACTTAAAGTATCATGCATAACAATAGAACATACCTCAGCAACATAATGACTTGTTAGACTCAACATTTTCATGTCAGCCCAAGGTTTATATAACCCAAACTAATCTTCAAATAAACATATTTCCAGTTATCACAAAGAAATTCATTTAGCTCTCTATGAAACAAGACAAAAAGTGGGGAGAGAGCTATAAGGCTTACCTCCCAAAGCAACAAAATTAGGATCGCTATGCCCTCCTCCAAAATTTTCTATGGCACTTGCGAAAGCAATGTCTCCATCATATGCCTCTCCAAGCCCTTCCCTAAAATGTTTTAAACAACAGGCAATAAGAATTTTTAAGAATGCAAGGACTATGGCCGTATAATCAGTCATAGTGGTCAAAAGTCTTTCTAGATCATCATGATACAAATTTTGCAATACATGTAGGCGATATCTTTTGACAAAAAACATTTTTGCAGTCCATTTAGAGGGCAATCCTTCGTGCAATGCCAGCAACCTTATGACTCATTGAAAGTCCTCCTCAAACCCCGATAAATGGGAGCACTGTATACTGGAGTGCTTTTAAATCTCACATTTCACACAAAACAAGAAAGCCATTAACTTTATTTTTCCTATTCATACTCTATTTTCTGATATAACTCGTGAACTCAAGACCTTTGTGTATCCACCCCGTTCAAACATCTTTTTACTCTAATACCCAAAAATTGAAAAATTTCCAAAGTCATATGCTTAAAGAAAGACTCTTTACACATGCTTTGAGATATTTTGGTAAACAATGAAGCAGTTAGTACAAGAGAGGGATTTTGGCAACTGGGTTTTTTAAAAATTTCTAGGGATGGAAAGAGGATATAAGAAGAATCTCAATACAAGGTTGTATTTCATTCTATACGCATTTGCTTGCTTGCAATCATCATTTGTTCAGATATCAACCCAAGACAACAAGAATTATAGTGCTGATTGGATAACAGCATGTCTAAATTATCCTAATCTGTTTAGCGGTGGAGACCTCAAAGGTTAAGGGCCTCTAGTGAAAGGAAATAATTATATTCTTTAAGCTATCACGAATCCTTAATTGAAGGTTTGAAGTTTCAACTTCTACTCCCAGTGGTAGAACGAGTTAAAGGAAGTCAAGTCAGAGTGGAAGAGGGGTTTCCTAATCCTTTTTTTTTTTTTTTATAAATTTATTTATTTAAGTACCTTCCCAGTTTAAGAGTATAAACGAGGATCTTGTTGTCATTAAAACTCCACGTTCATCTGATCTTATAACTAATCCCACATAAAAGCTTAAAACCACATAACTCAAGTTAACAATGAGATCAATATGATGAAAAACTCACGTGTACTTTCGGCATCCTTTGTAGAATTTGCAGCATCTAGCGCGCAATGATTCTGCACTTTCCTCCAAGCACTGGAGCTGCATCCACAACCATTCACACGATTTATCAATTATAGCAACCTATTAGTTTTCAACCCTACCAACCACAAAACATTCTCTATCAACACTTTCCACAATCAACACAACGCGTCCTCTTCAATTTAAACATAGATGGATAACATCAATCGCAAAACGCATAATCTGGATATAAACGGCACCGTTTAGCGTATCGTAACATCAACGAACACAATCGTTCAATTCGAGAATCAAAAGAAGACATCGCCGAAAATTATAACGCGGAAACGAAAGAATAACAGGATAACCTGTTGGCGGAACATTGGAGTGTCATCGAGATTTGCGAATCGCATTTTTCAGAATTGAAGCTGAAGAGAATTCTTCTTGTTCTTGTTCTTCTTCTTCGGTTGTTTCGTAGAGAAAGGAATCGCTAATGTATCTATCGGTTGGTTGCAGAGAGAGAGAAAGGAAAATAAAAGTTAAAAAAAAAATGGTTCTTATATTAATATTAATATTTAGAGCGCGTTTGGAGGGAGCTTTGAAGGAAGGACGGTTAAGAGTGCTTGCGACATTTCATGTCTGTCGTTCACTCTAAAATTCACCCGCCTTTTTTCTTCTCTTTTGGGTTCCTATATATCTCCCATTTAAACGACGTGCCTTTGCTTTCGTTTTGGCAGTGCAAAACGACGCTGGAGCAGACAAGACACCTCTCACTCTCACTCACTCTTACATTCACTTTCCCTCCACAGCAAAGCTGCTTTGTTCTTTGAGGCATGCATGCATCCACCGTTTTCTCTCGGATGCATTAAAAATGGGTTGCTTTCATAATGGGTTCAGTGTTTAATGCTCCACGTGAAATTTGGAGGTACCATCCTTGTCCCTTCATTAGACACGGTAAATGTTGTCTAGAGATTCATCCATCGCTTGAATAATAACTAATTAATCCAACTCAGTTGAAGCCGATGAAAGCTACGAATCTGGAAAGCTCTAATTCAGCAATTACGTATGGGAGATTTAAAATAAAATAAAATAAAAACCAAGTTAACGACAGCATGTCCTCGGTGGTGGTACCAGGAAGTTGGCCGTAACTATATTCTTTTGCATTAAATAGTTACGAACCGAGACTTTAATGGCTAAGTACTTGGTTGGCACTATATTCTTTTTTTAATATATTAACATTAGTCTTCACATATATACTTTATTATTATTTTCATTACTTCTTTTTTCAAAATAAGTTAGCTAATTCTTATCAAATGATGACGTGATACATTAAATCTAATATAACAAACTAACGTGTTTTTAATTATGTAAATAAGAATGTCCCAACATATAGTTATTAAAAATATATTATTATTATTCCTTATATAATGCTTCTGCACGAAAATAAAATATTTAGGTTACATTTTAAATGTGCCACACTATGGTATGTGAGAGTTTATTAACCTATTTTAATAAAAAAAATTAAAATGAATGATAAATTACATATTTAAAATTAATTTTAATTTGTTTTCGATAATCAAATTAAAAAAAATATATTTTTATCTTTTAAGTAGTAGTTTAAAGTTTTAATTGCTAATTAATATAAAACTTCATATAACTACTACTTACGGTTTAAATCGCGGCTATTTACCAGCTTATTTGTTATTAACCAACGGGTAATTGCAAGTTAAGAAGCATTATCCATCCTTTGGATTATGGTATACGGGACCACTTTCATAAAGTAGAAGCTGTGTTATTGCTGGTGCTGGAGCTTTCAACATGTTTATCATTATTTTGGAGTTTGTTCTTTTCCTTGAACTTATTATGTTCTCTCTTTTCCTAAACATTTTGGGACCTTTAAAAACAACACAAGGTAAGCAACTGAGGGCATCAAGGAAGGGGCCAACCCTCATTATTTGTTTGCCACATGATGATCCAACAAAGCAACCGTGAGTTTAAACTATAATTTTTTTTATGTACAGATTTCATCTTTAATCTTGCGTTTTTTTATATTAGAAAAATAATTTATGTAAATTTTAAGACATTTTAATAAAGTTTTATTGTTAAGATTAATTTTAGTACATATTTTAATAATGTTAGACTATTGAAAACTAACTTTATAAAAAATAATTATACTAACTTTAAAAACACAAACATTTGATAGATCTCTTCTGTATTCATTGATGTGCTACCAGAAAGGTTGGTTTTTCGCTGAATTATTATATTTGGTACTTGATTTTAAATTTGATGAGTTTTGTGATTAATTTATGCAAATAGGAAATAGTAATGGATGATGAAAATACCTTCTTAAACACTGAAAGGGGTGGCTAGCTTTAAGTACCTACCACTTCACTTAACAAAAGAGTATAGGCCATGTAAATTTGTTGCTTTGGCAAGTAACACTCAATTTGAAAATGTTTTGATTTTGTTAAGATGGGACAACCTATTTCAGCTACGTTTTCGCGTTTTTTTCCCTTCAATTAGACTGACGTCAAGACAATTTTTGTATCAGGTTTTTGATTTGGGTGAAAAGCTACATATAAGGTGCTGCAAATGTAAATTGATTGCTATATTTTCAAAATTCGATATACCTTTTGTTCCTTTACCATGGGGAAAGTGCATGATGCAAGATTCACGTTTCAAAGTTTCTAGTCCCTTATAATACCCAATTTTCTTTATCTGTAATTTATTCATAGAAAATCTGATATTAGTATTACGAAACAAGGTGATCAAGCATCACTATAGTTAAGATTTCAAATGTCACTAATAATAAAATTTACATGTTATGCACGGATGGGCCCCTGTTTACATAATTTACCTCAAGTGTCACAGTTGCATGTTGCCACGTTCCAAATCTGTAAAAAAGTATAAAGTTTGACAACTTCATATTATTGCTTTTATATATTTATTTTATAATATTTTTAAAAATTAAAAAAATACTAACAACATATTCTTTTTAACACTTCTACTATTGAGTAAAATTTATTAAAAATTTGAAAAGTATAAAAACATTACACATAATTTTTAATAAAGTTTAATTAATAATAAAAAAAATAGTACATATGTTAAAAAGTATTACTACACTACACATCGAAAAAAGCAACCAACCTGAAAGTAGAAGAGGAAAAGGGATCATGATTTGTTGAGTAATATTGTCATTTTCTTCATGGGGGAATAACATTAAGTTGGTGGGTCATATTAAATATTTTGTAGTGTTTATGAAGATGAATTGTACAAAAAGATTCTTCTGTGGGAAGACGAGCACCCCAGGTAGCAGCTGGGGAAACCACAAGAAATTATAGAATATCTCTGATTTTTGTGTCATTTCTAAATTAAAACTAGACCTGTATCTCCATAATCTGCGTAACAAGTGGATATTAGAAGTCCACTTACAAGTTAATAAAACAAAACTTCAATTTTATTTCTCTTATTTACAAAAAAAGAAAAAATATCATGCACTAAACAGCAACACAAAATCCCTAGTCTTTGGTTCTCCCTTCCTAACCACCATGAATCATCTTTATGAGGACTGTTAGAACACCTAACTGGTCAGTGTTATCACCATGGATTCTCAAATACTAAACTTGCTAGCCCTTATACCCCTTTTCCTTTTCATGATTGTGGTACTAAAATTAGGGAGGAACCAAAACAAAACTGAGTCACCTCCTAATATACCCCCCGGACCGTGGAAGGTGCCTATTATGGGAAACATACCCCATCTTGTTACATCTACACCACACCGAAAGCTAAGAGACTTGGCCAAAATATATGGGCCCTTGATGCATCTGCAACTTGGGGAGATCTTCACAATCATTGTTTCCTCACCAGAGTATGCTAAGGAGGTAATGAAAACTCATGATGTCATCTTTGCATCAAGGCCTCAAACTCTAGCTTCAAATATGTTGTCCTATGGATCCACAAATATTATTGGAGCACCTTATGGAAATTACTGGAGACAACTACGAAAGATATGCACAGTAGAGCTTTTCACCCAAAAACGTGTGAATTCATTCAAGCCACTAAGAGAAGAAGAGCTCACCAATCTCATCAAAATTATTGATTCACATAATGGGTCACCCGTCAATCTCACTGAAGCAATACTATTATCAATGTACAATATCATTTCAAGAGCTGCCTTTGGCATGAAATGCAAAGATCAAGAAGAATTCATATCAGTGGTGAAAGAAGGAGTAACAGTTGCAGCAGGTTTTAACATAGGAGATCTCTTTCCTTCTGCTAAATGGCTTCAACTTGTCACTGGTTTGAGGCCTAAGCTTGAGAAGTTGCATCGAAAAATTGATCAGATACTTGAAGACATCATCGTTGAACATAAAGAAGCAAAGTCAAAAGCCAAAGAAGGCCAAGGTGAAGCAGAGGAAGACTTGGTAGATGTTCTCCTAAAATTCCAGGATGGTAACCAGGATATTTGCTTAACAATAAAAAATGTCAAGGCTATAATCCTGGTAAGGATAAAAGGTCATGCAGATCCTTTTTGTAAACATAGTCTTGTTCCTTGCTGTAGAACATAGATGAATGTTTAACACATACCCAAGAATATTTCACGTATAAGCTCTTTAAATTTGCGCAGTATTTGGCATATTGCATTGTAGGATGCCATCTTCTTCTCTCACTTGGATTTGGCTCCTAAATTGCACTTCAGAAGATAAAATGTAGAATTATGAACGGTGATTGAAAAATCAACAATTGATATTTTAACAATTACATGTAGTTTTATTTTTATCCTTTGATTTTGAAATAACAGTCATAACTCTACAGTTTATCATTAAAAGTTCACCCTCATTTTAAAAGGAGTCAAATCCGTGATTGTTTCTTTGGATATCATTGCATTAGCTTAACCTTATATATAATTACTTTTCAGGACATATTTGGTGCTGGAGGAGAGACATCAGCAACTACAATAAATTGGGCAATGGCAGAGATGGTAAGGGATCCAAGAGTAATGAAGAAAGCACAAGTTGAGGTGAGAGAGGTATTCAATATGAAAGGAATGGTTGATGAAATTTGCATTGACGAACTCAAATATTTGAAATCAGTTGTCAAAGAGACCTTAAGGCTACACCCTCCAGCTCCTCTTCTAATTCCAAGAGAAAATGGACAAGCATGTGAGATTCATGGTTATCACATACCTATCAAAAGCAAGATATTTGTAAATGCTTGGGCAATTGGAAGAGATCCAAACTTCTGGACTGAACCAGAGAGGTTTTATCCAGAGAGATTCATTGATAGTTCTATTGATTACAAGGGGAATAATTTTGAGTACATTCCATTTGGTGCTGGAAGAAGAATATGTCCAGGCAGCACATTTGGTTTAATAAATGTTGAGTTGGCCCTTGCATTTTTGTTGTATCACTTTGATTGGAAGCTTCCAAATGGAATGGAAAGTGAGGAGTTGGACATGACTGAGGAATTCGGAGTGACTGTTAGAAGAAAAGATGATCTATACTTGATACCTATTTCTTCTTACCCTTTTCAATAAGACAATTACAGTCTAAGCAAAAGCTATATAACCTTTGAATTTGTAATTTACCCATTTAGTACTGAAATAAGGCTTGGTTTATCTTCGTTGGTTTTTGAATTGAAAAGTTTATGATGCATCAAAATTCAGTGACAATCATGTTAAGGACCTTTATGCTAACAAGAGAAATTTAGTTGCAACAAATTGCCATGTTGCGTTATAAGATTAAATGGGGAACACACTACAAGGAAATATGTGCAGCAAAAGGAAAATGAATATTTTAATGAGGGTTGAGAAAGGTCGCATTGGTGTGAATGATTCTTTTTTTTTTTCTTGGTACTCTTTTCCCCTCTCCTTTTAGTGTATCCTCTTCATATTTCACTACTCTGATCTCTTATTCTCTGACTCACTTTAGCAAGTTTATGAATTCTAATTCGCGATATAAATAAAACTACAATATTCACCTCAATTTCTACTTGTGCTTCTCTAATTTCACTCAAGTGCTGCCATTACAAACTGATCATGGAAAATTTTGAGATTAGTACCTTGTTGTTTGAACTATTCAAATAATATTTTCGTATGCTCCATTTCAAATTTCTCCTTCAAAATTTTTCTGAAATTACATCCCAATCTCACACATCTTCCGATTCACCTCCAACCATTGTGTAAGAGGAAATGGGAACATGATTTGTTAAGTAATATTTTCATTTTCTTCGTAGACAATAACATTAAGGGTCTAATTAATTGGTTTGCAGTTAGGAAATGTAAAAAATAATTGTAGAAGAATTGACAAATAACCAAAGCCATGGATAGGGATGATAATGGGTAAAGTATCCAATGGGCACCCACAAAATTTATCCACAATAGGTAGGGTATTTACCCGCTATACGGGTACGGGTATGAGTGTGGATAAAAACTTACAAATTTTAATGGGAATAGATGCGGGTATGTATCTAAGTACCCATCCCACTCCGCATATATATATATATATATATATATATATATATATATATATATATATATATATATATGCTTGAACTTTATTCTATAATTATGTATTGAATTTTTGTATATATTATATTATTTATGTGAAGTTATATAAGATTAATATTAAAATATATTTAATAATAAAGTAAACCAAAAAATTTATTTTGGTTTATATTTTTAATAGAAAAATTTATTTACTATTTTTATATCATTTAATTAGGCTAATACAATTTAATTATTACATAGTTAATATGAGATTGATTTTTTTTAAAATATTATTTATATATGACACACATAAAATATTTTTTACACAAATATTTTTGTTAATAAAATCATATTGATGTTTAAATCATAAAGTGAATGATAAATAATAAATATTTTGTAAATATTTTATAAATTTTACAATCACCTACTATTACTGTAAACTTATTATTTATTAATAATATTTAAATTTTATTTTTATATTTTAATTTAAAATAATATTTTTTTATGCAACATATGTATTACAAGTACAATTATAGTTTATTGAATTTAAATAATATTATTCTTACTATTTATTCACGTTCAAAAAAGTTTTTGAAAAGATATAAATATAAAAAATTATTGTTAATTTTTATTTGTTAATTTTTTTCAGATAAAAAAGTATAATTTTTAAATATACACGTATATTTCTTTATTATAAAATTTTATTGTAACTATTTATCTTTTATTCAAATTCTTTCTTTTAAAATTTATATTTTTGATAAAATACTTTCGTATAGTATATGAGTTAAAAATACTAGTATTAATATATATATATATATATATATTATATTATTTTAATTAAATCTATTATTTTTCTTACAATTTTAAATTCAAAAGAAAAAAAATATTTTATGTATCCACTTTCTGTTGTTAGTATTGAACTTCTTTACTCTAACTCTATTCTCATTCTCAATGTCTGTTTTGTTAAAACCTAACAACTATGAAATGTTATTTATTAGAGTTAGTTGTCAATGTCGTCACAAGAAGTCACAAAGTGATCTCACACGAAGGGACAACCATTGTACAGATCTATTTCGTTATCACTCTAACATTACCAATCGATCAAATCTCACACAAGATAGGGTTATCACTGACAAATAACTTGTGTGTTTAGTTTCGCTTATTTGTTTCTAATAATTTTAGTTTAGAAAATTATTATATTAAGATACATTTAACATTTATGATTTTTGAATATTTATTTTTTATCTATATTTGTACCTTGTTTGGTAACTACATATTAAATTTTTGTATTATTATGCTATTTATGTGAAGTTATATAAACATATTTTTCTTTATAAATATTTTTTTCTCAAATAAGTACGGATAATGGATATAAGATGAGTATGCAGATATCCAGAGAATATATGTATGAGGATTAATATTTATACCTATACAAGTATGGAGCCAAATATAAATTTTTTTTTAAAACATAAATATAGAGATGAGTATTATAATAATACCTTACGTATACCCTACCTATTTTCATTCTTAGCCATGGAAAACTATTGATAAACAATGCTGATAAATGTCACCATCAATTTCAGTTTCGGCAACTTCATTACAGTGACGAATGAAAAAACAAACCGTCTCTATGATGATGGGCCATATTAAATACTTGTTAGCGTTTATGCAAATGATACAGACAAATATTCTTTTGTGTAATAATTTGTGTCATTTAAAATCAGAGCTGCACCTTCTTGTTTAATATTAAATTTTGAATAATATAATTATAAATATTTGAAATGAGTTATACATGATTGTTAAATAATATAAAATGATTTAATAGCTGAATCAATAGCTAAGTTTTATGATTTATAAAAAATTATTAAATAATACAAATTTAATATATATATTATTACTTTTAATTATATTAATCAATTAATTTTCTTCCTCAAAATGACCTGTTAAGCTCCGCCGTCACTGTCTATATTCTGCATTATGAGTGGATATTAAAAGTCAACTTACAAGTTAATAAAGCAGAATTTCAATTTGATTTCTCTTTAAAATAAATAAATAACACAAAATCCTAAATCTACAGTTCTCGTTCACTGTCCACTATCAGTCATCTTTAAGAGGACTATTCGAACTCTTGAGTGCTATCATCATGGATTCTCAAGCACTTAACTTGTTAGCCCTTTTATCCTTTTTCCTCTTCATGATTGTGCTGCTGAAGATAGGGAGGAATCTCAACAAAAATAAGTCAACTACTAAAATACCCCCAGGACCATGGAAGCTACCCATTATAGGAAACATACCCCATTTTGTAACATCTACACCACATAGAAAACTAAGAGACTTGGCCAAAATATATGGACCCTTAATGCATCTGCAACTTGGGGAGATCTTCACAATCATTGTTTCCTCACCAGAGTATGCTAAGGAGGTGATGAAAACTCATGACGTCATCTTCGCATCAAGGCCTCAAACTTTAGCTTCAGATATATTGTCCTATGGATCCACAAATATTATTGTAGCACCTTATGGAAATTATTGGAGACAACTACGAAAGATATGCACAGTAGAGCTTTTCACCCAAAAACGTGTGAATTCATTCAAGCCAATAAGAGAAGAAGAGCTCACCAGTCTCATCAAAATGATTGATTCACATGATGGGTCACCCATCAACCTCACTGAAGCAGTACTTTTATCAATATACAATATCATTTCAAGAGCTGCGTTTGGCATGAAATGCAAAGACCAAGAAGAATTCATATCAGTTGTGAAAGAAGCAATAAGAGTTGGAGGAGGTTTTAGCATAGGTGAATTGTTTCCTTCTTCTAAATGGCTTCAACTTGTTACTGGTTTGAAGCCTAAGCTTGAGAAGTTGCATAGCAAAATGGATCAGATACTAGAAGACATCATTGTTGAACATAAGGACGAAAAGTCAAAAATCAAAGAAGGCCAACGTGAAGCAGAGGAAGATCTGGTAGATGTTCTCCTAAAATTCCAGGATGGTAGTCAGGATATTTGCTTGACTAATAACAATGTAAAGGCTATAATCCTGGTAAGGTTAATAATATCTTGCAAATCTATGAAGATATTTTTGTTCTTTATGTTAGACAAATGTTTAAATACTAACCCCAGCATATTTCACACGTGATCTCTTCAAAATGGTGCAATAAGTGGCAATTTCCATGTTTTATTATTGAATGCCTTCAGCATATACCTTATTGAGTTTTGCTTCTTCTAAGTGGAGAGGGCACTTTAGAGGATAAGTGCGAAGTGATAACTGCTATTGGGAAAATCAAATTTTGAGATATTTTCATGACTTCATAGTTTGTTATATAAGTACACGTAATCTCATACTTCCATTTATAACCACACTTAATCGTCAAAAGTGCACCCCTCACTTGTTATTTTTTTAAGGACAAATCTTAGTTGCATTTGTCTAGATGTTGGTCAGTGTTATTTACTAATCAAAATTAGAGTTTTATTTTGGTAATTTACTATAACATTAAATGCAAATATTTTTCTTGAAATAAAACTCTAAATTTAATTAGTAAATAATATTAACAACAGCTAAAGAATAACACAGAAATGTTTTCCTTCCTTGGATATCCTTGCATTAGCTTAAACTTGTAAATAATTACTTTTCAGGACATATTTGGTGCTGGAGGTGAGACAGCAGCAACTACCATAAATTGGGCAATGGCAGAGATAGTAAGTGATCCAAGAGTAATGAAGAAAGCACAAGTTGAGGTGAGAGAGGTATTCAATATGAAAGGAATGGTTGATGAAGTTCTCATTGATGAACTCAAATATTTGAAATCAGTAGTCAAAGAGACCTTAAGGCTACACCCTCCAGCTCCTCTTTTAATTCCAAGAGAAAATGGACAAGCATGTGAGATTCATGGTTATCACATACCTATCAAAAGCAAGGTAATTGTAAATGCTTGGGCAATTGGAAGAGATCCAAACTACTGGAGTGAACCAGAGAGGTTTTATCCAGAGAGATTCATTGATAGTTCTATTGATTACAAGGGGAATAATTTTGAGTACATTCCATTTGGTGCTGGAAGAAGAATATGTCCAGGCAGCACATTTGGTTTAATAAATGTTGAGTTGGCCCTTGCATTTTTGTTGTATCACTTTGATTGGAAGCTTCCAAATGGAATGGGAAGTGAGGAGTTGGACATGACTGAGGAATTTGGAGTGACTGTTAGAAGAAAAGATGATCTATACTTGATACCTATTTCTTCTTACCCTTTTCAATAACACAATTACAGTCTAAGCAAAAGCTATATAAACTCTGATTTTGTAATTTACCCATTTAATACTGAAATAAGGCTTGGTTTATCTTTGTTGATTTTTGAGTTCAAAAGTTTATGATGCATCAAAAGCCAGTGACAATTATGTTAAGAAGGGAAATTTAGTTGCAACAAATTGCCATGTAGCTTTATGAGCTTGAATGAGGAACCGACTATAAAGGAATGTGTGCTGCAGAAGGAAAATGAATACTTTAATGAGGGTTGAGAAAAGGTTGCATCGGTGTGAATGACTCTTGTTTTTTCTCAGTACTCTTTCCCTCTCCATTGAGGTGTATCCTCTCCATATTTCACTACTCTATTCTCTTACTCTCTTACTCTCTTTTAGCAAGTTTATGGATTCTAGTTCGTGATATAAATAAAACGACAGTTCCTGAATTTCTACTTGTGCATCTACAGTTTTTCCTCTATTTGTTGCCATTACAAACTGAAAATGGAAAGTTTTGAGAATTAGTACCTTCTTCTTATTTGACTTTGAACTATTCAAATCATTTTTTTGTGTGCTTGACATCATATTTCTCCAAAATTCTTCTGAAATTCACCTGCAACCATGAATTCGTGTTTGAAGAATTAGCATCCCCAATAATGCGTTCATCATTTTAACCATCTTCGTGTTAATTGTCTTCATCATCATCATTCACAATTGAGCACATCGTAAATGTCTAACATTAGTACTCCTTTCAAATTCAAGGGAATCGGATGATCAGCCTATTATTATATATGACATATGTAAATAAGGGGAAATGTGTACCAAAATATGCGTTATGTTGACAATTACTATAATCTATGAAGTATTGTGTTAAGAGATTAACAGAAAAGTTGTTCACGGTGTAGTTTTAGGGGGTGTTCAGAGTCCCTAAAATTGATGGCATATGTTTAACATTGAGTTGAAACAGTTTATATTATTTTATATATTTATCATGTAAAAAATATTTATTTTTACTTCTATTAGAATCCTCAATATCACTATTACTATACGCATGATAATCTTTGCCTTATTAGAGAAATATAATAATTCTATTTTTTTTATCGACCATTCTAATGCTATTAGTATAAGGCTGCAACACAATGGGCCTTCATTTTGAGTTCAGGCTTGAAAAAGATGCGGACTTTGCGGCTTATCTTAGAGCTGAAGCCTAACAGATTATATTCTACAAAATTAAATGATAGATTGAAAAATGAGTGTGGGGTCCTTTTTTCTACCATTTTCTTCGGTGCGCGTTATTCTATGTTTGACCGGAGAGCGAAGAGAGGTTAACCAAAAAAAAAGAAAGGAACAAAAGAGAAGAGATAAATGAAAACCTCCAAATTGGCCTGACAGGGGGGATGCACATTCTTCCCCCCTTCCCCATTTAAGCTTTTAATAATTATTTTTTTATAAACAAAAAAGAATAAAGAAATGTTTAAAGAAAAAAATAGAGTAAAAAATATTTATTTTTAGATAAAATTTAATTGTTTTAAATTAGTATTTTTACATTATTTATTTTCACTCTGTTTTTTAAGTAAACGAGTGAAAGAAATTTCTCTACTTTTTCTTCCTTTTTTTTTATTCCAATAGTACATTTGTTTATTCTATTTTGATCCTTTGTTTTCTTTTCCCTTCATATTTTACATCTCTTCAAGCAAATCGATAATCATGTCGTCATGGTTGCTATTGCCACGTACCAGTTCGATCTAAATATTTGGAAACTATATAATATTGCATCCAAGAAAAAGATAAAAGAAGCCAACGAGATGGCTAATAATGCTACAAAGAGTCTTAAGAGGAAATGGGGACATGCCATGATTTGTTAAATAATATTTTGTATTTTATTGGACGGCCATATTAATATTTTATGAAGATGAAATAAACCGAAAGATTATTTAATGTGAGGTGTGAACTCATGCAACACGAGTAGCAGCACAAGAAACCACTAAAAAGCATAGAAACAAACCAAAACTGGCAAAAATATCCCAAGTTTACGATTCTCCTAAACAACATAAATCATCTTTATGAGGACTATTGGAACACTTACTAGTGAGTTCTATCATGATGGATTCTCAAACACTTAACTTGCTAGCCCTTACATCCTTTATCCTATTCATGATTGTGGCACTGAAAATAGGAAGGAATCTCAAGAAAACTGAGGTAACTCTAAAAACACCACCAGGACCATGGAAGCTACCTATTATAGGAAGCATACCCCATCTTGTTACATCTACACCACATCGAAAATTAAGAGACTTGGCCAAAATATATGGACCCTTGATGCATCTGCAACTTGGGGAGATCTTCACAATCATTGTTTCCTCACCAGAGTATGCTAAGGAGGTAATGAAAACCCATGATATCATCTTTGCATCAAGGCCTACTATTCTGGCTTCTGATATTTTGTCCTATGAATCCACAAATATTGCTTTTGCACCTTATGGAAATTATTGGAGACAACTACGAAAAATATGTACTGTCGAGCTCTTCACTCAAAAACGTGTGAATTCATTCAAGCCAATAAGAGAAGAAGAGCTCACCAATCTCATCAAAATGATTTATTCACATAATGGGTCACCCATCAACCTCACTGAAGCAGTACTTTTATCAATATACAATATCATTTCCAGAGCTGCTTTTGGCATGAAATGCAAAGATCAAGAAGAATTCATATTGCTGGTGAAAGAAGGAGTAACAGTTGCAGCAGGTTTTAAGATTGGAGATTTGTTTCCTTCTTCTAAATGGATTCAGCGTGTCACTGGTTTGAGGCCTAAGCTTGAGAGGTTGCATAGACAAATTGATCGGATATTAGAAGACATCATTGTTCAACATAAAGTGGGAAATTCTAAATCCAAAGAAGGCCAAGGTGAAGCAGAGGAAGATCTGGTAGATGTTCTCCTAAAATTCCAGGATGGTAATCAGGATATTTGGTTGACTGATAACAATGTAAAGGCTATAATCCTGGTAAGGATGATAATGTCTTGTAAATTGTTTCATTTATGAAGATAATCTTGCTTTTTGATGTAGAATTTAGATGAATGTTAATAGTAACCCCGGAATATATCGCATATGAGCTCTTCAAAATTGTGCAGTAAGTGGCAATTTTCCATGTTGTATTATTGGATGCCTTCTACATATCCCTGTTGAATTTTGCTACTTCAAAGTGAGGAGTGCACTTTAGAGGATAATGTGAAGTTATAACTGCTAATGGGAATATGAAATTCAAGATATTTGATAACTTCATAGTTTGTTACATTTCTGCACGTAATCTCATCCTTTTTCAATCAACAGTTACAACTCTACATTTTATCCCCAAAAGTGCACCCCTCAACGAAAAAAAGGAGTCAAATCCGTAATTGTTTCTTTGGATATCATTGCATTAGCTTAACCTCATATATAATTACTTTTCAGGACATATTTGGTGCTGGAGGTGAGACAGCAGCAACTACCATAAATTGGGCAATGGCAGAGATGGTAAGGGATCCAAGAGTAATGAAAAAAGCACAAGTTGAGGTGAGAGAGGCATTCAATATGAAAGGAATGGTTGATGAAGTTCTCATTGATGAACTCAAATATTTGAAATCAGTTGTCAAAGAGACCTTAAGGCTACACCCTCCAGCTCCTCTTCTAATTCCAAGAGAAAATGGACAAGCATGTGAGATTCATGGTTATCACATACCTATCAAAAGCAAGATATTTGTAAATGCTTGGGCAATTGGAAGAGATCCAAACTACTGGAGTGAACCAGAGAGGTTTTATCCAGAGAGATTCATTGATAGCCCTATTGACTACAAGGGGAATAATTTTGAGTACATTCCATTTGGTGCTGGAAGAAGAATATGTCCAGGCAGCACATTTGGTTTAATAAATGTTGAGTTGGCCCTTGCATTTTTGTTGTATCACTTTGATTGGAAGCTTCCAAATGGAATGGAAAGTGAGGAGTTGGACATGACTGAGGAATTCGGAGTGACTGTTAGAAGAAAAGATGACCTATACTTGATACCCATCACTTCACATCCATTCCCGGTCAGATAAACCAGATAAGCAACAGCTATAATCTGTTAATTTTGTTATTACGCATTTACTACTAAAATAATGCTTTGTTTCAATGTTGATTTTAGTAGAACTGAAGATTTTATAACGCATCCAAAGCCATTGACACCTATGTTAAGAATCTCCATGCTAACAAGGAAAATTTAGTTGCAACAAATTGGCATGTTGCTAGAACTGTGGTTTAATTATTATGCTTCACATGACGAAGACCGCGTGTGTGTGTGTGTGTGTAGAGTTTTTTGCATGCATTGTCTGCTTCACATGCAACCATTGGTAGAGGTCCTTTAACTGGCTTGGAATGCTTATGCAAACAGTTAAGAGGCCAACAAATGCAAAAGCATAAACCTGTTCAGTGGTGCCAAACTCATTGTAACCGTCTTAACTGTTTAAGATACTATATTTAATCTTTTTAATTATTAAAAAATAAATATTTAATATTTTTATTAAATATCTTTAATGTTTATTTTCTTTATTAATTCCTTTACCATTCACTATCATTCTAAATATATAAAATTGAAAGATTATTCTATTAATGATTAAATTAAATTATAAAAACATAAATCTTTAAAGTTTTCAATTTAAAAAGCAGCACAAATTATTTTAATTGATTAAAAAATTATTTTACTATGAGTTATAAATATCTTATAATGTTTATCGTTAATCAAAGAAATTTGTGCATTGATAAAAAAATTATTACAAATAAAAATTTTCTTAGAATAAATACTCAATTAAAAATATTTATTTAATTTGGCATGGAAGCTTAAAAGACAAGTATCACTAAACAAAAGACACTTGATTATGTAAAAATGAGAGTGCATTGAGTTAATCTCGCTGTAAAAAATTAAAACTCAAACTATATAAGATCGAAGAGCAGATTTATTTAGTACCAAACTTTTCAATACAAATAAATGCAAATTCATGCCCAATAATTTTTATTATTTTATTCATAAATAATATTAAATTAAAGTAATGAAACAAAAATGGAACCATGTAATTTGTATCATGTTTCGTCCAAAAAAGTAATCGTATCATCTGGAAATTTTCATTTTAAATTACTAGCTTTCAATGTGTTGATACTGAATAATTTTTACATGCATCTCATTAAACTGAAGCTTACTTTCCTTAAACGAGACTCGTACAGTTTAACAATATGATTGAATAGAGTGTGGTTGCTTTTCTCATACAAACAACAGGTGATTTGAAGATTTCACAAAGAAAATAGTTTTTTAATTACTAATTAAAAGCAGTAGCAGAGATTATGATAAAATGGTAAAATGCATGAATATGTATAAGAAAGTATAAAAACTTTTGAAACTTAATCCTTATTGTGCAACGAAGTTATAATCTTACACTATTTTTATGAGCACCCCTAGTTAAATAAATAAAATGATTATACATTGATGTAAATATTTGAGATATGTAAAATTGTAGCCATACATGAAGGTGCATTCATATGGATTCCTTTTGAAAAAATTACAAAACTGATTTTCTTAATTTACGTTTTAACATCGACAGATCTTTCTTATTCACGTTGGTTTGTCATACTTAGACATTTACTTTGATTTAATTTTATTTACTTTTCATGATTTTTAATTATTCATTTACTACACACATGCAAATTATAATTATGAAAAGAAAGATTGAATAATTAAATGATAATTTAATTAAATTTGTAGCCATGATTGTTCAGATTTTATATTAGTGATAAAATACATTATTGCATTGTCTATTCTAAATTACAAATTTAAACCCCTGTTATTATTTTCTTTTCTTCTTTAAAGTTTAATATAAATGTATTAATCATTGATTTTTAAAGTTTAAAATTAACATATTGATAGTTAAGTTGTACGTGGTATCAAACAGTATAAATACAATACAAAGTGCCGAAACACCAAGATTATTCTTACAAGAAACTTAATGTGAAATCATTCGAATTAAGGGATGCCCAATGGAAGGGTTGGGCGATTCTCAAGCAATAAATCAACCCTACGAAATTGCATTTGCAACAAATCATCATAGACTATGATACGTTTATTTAGTTCAATTGATTAGTGAGTGTTTGATTGAATTTTAACCAATAAACTTGATTTAAAATTCAAAGATTCTCTGCTGAAAGAAGAACCAAGAATTCAGTCAAAGCAAGGGTAAGGAGAATTAAGCACACCTAATTCAAGGTTAATTTCAGAAGCAGAATCAACCAAACTAAACAATAAAAACAATGATTGAATTTTGAAATCCCAAAACAATGAATTTTAGTTAAGTGTGTGTGTCTCTCACTGACATCATAATCAAATTGTATCCTAGCACAAATTGAAACAAGAACCTAACTAAGGAGACAAATTCAAAATTGCAATCATGATCTTGACATAAAAAAAAATAGAAAGCAAACTAACTCACCAAGAAACAAAATTAACTCCACGAGGCAGAAACCACCACAGAAAAAAAGAATCCTAGGTGGACCACAGCTCAAGAGAGCATGCATGTCCACGAAAGATTAATAAAAGGCACTTATAAAATTTGTGCTCTGCCCTAAATAACCAAAAACTTAACCCACCATGATATTTCAGTTATATTTCTCAAGAAATTGTTACTGTAAATATTATAACTGCATCTGTGGTAGAAGTAACAGCCTGCCCTACTTAAATCAAATGTTATAACAAAATCAAAATTATGACCGAATACAATCTCTCCACTGTAAATATCCAAAAGTGAACCACTCAAAAATTTTATATCAACATCTCAAAATTCATAACAATATTCAACAACGTAAACCACCAGATCAGTCGTTAATAATTGTTCAACTTGACTAACCAAATATTCTACTCATAAAGCTGCTCTTTGTTTTCTTCATCCTATTTTCAATAGGTGGGAATTCAATTGCGTTATAAGCCAGATCCAGCACAATAGGATTACGAGAAATTGCCTGGAAAGCTGGGGGAAAGGCTGCAATGCGTGGAGCACACTTCACATTTGAATCACCCACAGCAGACTCATAAACATCAAGTTTCTCAAGAAGGAACTTCTCCAACTGAAACAGGAATACATGATAGAATATATCAATAAATGTGAATCATGCAAATACTATTCAATCCCAATATGTTACAAATTCAATAGAGTCAAATCCTTCCCATATGATAGATAATGTAAAACAAAATGGGATCACATGAGAAATAGAAACTTATGTACCCGCTCAACTCCAGTCAATGATATATTGGAGATCCTTTCAGATATATTCTCTTGAGTTCTCTTCTCCTCCATGATCCCCAATGCATGCTCTATACAACTGTTAGATCGGCACTCACTGCACAAGTCCTCTAACTCTTTTATCACAGTCTGCTAAACCAAAAAACACGAAAAAAATTAAAGAAAATACAACAGTGATCAAATCAAACGCAAGGCTTGACTATTACTGGTATGAATGTTAAAATATGAGATTTGGCTCCTTTAAAGTGAAGGTGCAGAATTATATATGTTGATTTGAAAATTAAGGGAATGGATGTTAACAACATAATTTGTTATATATGCTTATTTAGTTTTTTATCATAATCTCAACTATTGATTTTCAATCAATAATTTCCCAGTAAAGTGCACTCCTTAATTTAGATGATCTAAATCACAAAATATGAAGCTAAAACAATTACCATTAACCCAATTAGCTCTCATCATAAATTTCAACATGCAAAGCATATCCCCAATTTAGGACAGATTACAAAAAACAAATTGGAGGAATTGACTTTACTAACCTGGAAACATTGTGAAGATTCTAAAATTGTGTGTGAAATCGTGTGAAGTCAATTGGTGACAAGAAGGAATTAAACAAAGGCTACTTGAATAAATATCTCCACTGACCCAAAATGGGTACAAAGATGGTAGTCTAAAGGGCCGGTCATCTGTCTAAGCTAGCCACAAGCCCCATGGATTGTCATCTTTAGATCAATGCCTGGTTAGAGATCATTATGCAGAAAGTGAATGCCAGCAACACCCTCTTTTGGCACTCTCTTTTCAATGCATTCTTTATTGTGAGACTCAAAATAGAGTGGGACCCATGTGATTTTGCAGGTCTCGATAAATTTCAGTCAATAATTAAAAAAATGTGTCAAAAAGAATAAATTAGAAAGTGTGCTACTAGCATTTGTTTAATACAAAATTCTTATGTTTAATTCTTTCCCTGTTGACAACATTTGACTTCACACTAAAAACTTCAGGGTCTCCTAATGGTTGCCAGTGTATGAAAAGATAGAATGGAATACAAGACAAAGCAAATTTTAGAGCCCAACTAGACCAAGATTGGCGTTCAAAAAACATATCACTGCAATAAAATAATGCTCTAGCATTGATCAGTATGGTGTCCACTAATCTGATCTTAAAAATTAAATGATTAAAATTACCTTATTATCACCATCTAACATTTGAAGCTTTCTTAAGGCATCATCAGCCAAATTTCGTGCATGACAGTACAAAGCATATGCTTCAGCCCTCTTCCCAGCCACACTATATGACTTTGCAACATAAAAGCACCTGCACACAGGTCATAAACATGTACATCAAAATAGATTACCTTCAGTTCAGGTAGCAACACCATCTCTTCAAAACACCAAGCACAGATTTAGCTGTAGTGGCAGCTAGAAATCACATATCTGCCTACCAGTCCACCACTCAATCCCCCCTTCCCTGGGGCCGTTAAGGAGGGGAATCTTGTAAATGGGATGAACAAGATCGGTAAAACTTAAAAGCATTGCAAAGGTAAATGATCATCACAGTTTGTCAAAGAGACAAACAGCAAGGCTTGTTGGTTGAACAGTAACTGGTGTGGTCTCTGCTCTTTTCTTTTACAAAATCCCAGAAGTGCTATTGGTATAAAACCCTTTTTATTTTAGAATACAAACTTTACAAAGTAACTCTTAGATTTTCAAAAAAAGATGAAAATACCATGTGTAAGCATGTCTACATCTGGTAAGCAATTGATTAAATTTTTAAGATCAGTAAAAGTATTTGCACCAGAAGCAAACCTTTCTGCTCGAAAAGCCAAACTTTTGCATGAACAAACTTCAGCAAAGCTAACTTCTTCTGTCTTTTTATCCCTTCCAGAACTGACTAAATCGGATAGATCAGCTGTATTCTGCCAAATATAAGAACCATACAAGCATTGTCATTCCATTTGAGGAGCATAGCATTAAGAAAAATGCAGCAGCCTGGTGGATCTTCACACAAAGAAATGTGTTCCAAAATGTGTTCATTAATGCAAGTTCACAAACAAAAACATGGATATCAACCTGTAGCAAGAGATCATATAAGCGAACAAGCTCTTCAGGTTTGGTGACTTTTTCATTTTTATCATCATGACGCTTTGCAAATTTACTCTTTGCAACCTTAACCAACAAGAGGTTGCGTTCAATGGTTCTTTCTCCTAGAACAGCACTGACAGCCTTATCAAGACCATTCAGATCATCTTTCACGCTTTCTGCACTTCCTGTAGTGGCCTAAAATGTACAGAATATAGAACATCAATTACATGTAAAATTTGTTGATAATTCATAGTTAACAGCAAAAACAAGAAGTTATCATACCAAATCAGCCCGAATATAGCCTCTGGCTTCATGATATGCAGAAAATATTTTGTCAAAAATAACAAGTCTTTTGTCTGCTGGAATTGAGTCTGCCAAGGGACCATGTATATCTTTCTCCAGCTCCTGAGCTGAGAAAATTATTTAGATAGAAGTGTTACTTGATATAGCTAGAACTATGTTGAGTTAGAGGAAAGGAAAGATACCATACATTAATTCACAATCAAATACATTTTAAGACTCTCCAAATAATTGTTGCATGATTCATAAATAAGAACCCCTCTCCCCCTATATTTGGCAAAATATAACATGTTTGAATTGATAATATATTTATCACAAACAAACAAAAAAACAGTATGCAATTGTTATTAGAAATTTAACTTACAATAAAATTTTGGCAATGTGAAATGAAGTCTTGGAAAAATAGATTGCAACAAATTTAAAAGTTGGCTCCAAATAATTGTAAATTTCCATTGAGCCAGACATCCACCATATTTAACAGGTTTGCACCACATTGGCCACCACATTAGCAATATATTCCATGAATCGATTTAATATCTCCACATTAACTAAGTGAAAATTTCAAAGTAAGGACCAAAAGGAGCAATATGGATGTCAACAGTGGGATAAAAGTCAAAAGAAAATTCCCACAAATTCAGGGATCAAAAAAATAAATTTTCATTGACCAACTATATTACCACAAGGAGTTACTTTGACTGCATCTACTATGATAAAAACCAAACATACTTTTGTTTTGCTGAAAACTCACCACCAAAATACCATGGCACTGTCACAGTCATTATTTGACAACATTGACAATAACACACAAGTTTTAGATGCAAACATTTTCAATAAAGAATTTGTCCAGAATTTGCATCATCAGCATCCACAAGGTGGAAAAGCAAACTTCTAACTCATCACAGTAGATGCCATCTACTATAATCAATATTGTAAATAATTAACTTTTAACACAACATACTCAAGAAAATGATGAAATAAAACACATGGAAAAGAATCACAGGCAGACTAGTAAAATTTATTTTGCAGAGTGGAAAAGAGAGTGCTAGGTGGATACACATGGGACAAAAGTGAGGTTAAGATTTGAAAAGATGATTGAGTTAATCAACAAATCACTTCATTTTCAACTTACTTGCTCTCTAATTTATAGCAGAAGAAAGCTACCAACCTTTCAAGATAGCAACCCTTGTTTTGGCATTTGATATAGGAAATCTGTGGCCAAGCCAAAGAAATTCTGTCATGGAAGCAGCTTGTTGAGATCTTGCCTCAGCCATGACAGCCTGGAACAAACACAATTAAATTATTAATTTTTATCATTGAAAGTGCATGCATGAAGCCTGTTATCTTTCAAAAGAGCAGCCTTCCAATTCAAATAATAGAGCTGGTTGAGACTCTTGAATGAAAATTGTAAAACACTGTACAAAGAAAATAATAGCAAAAATGACCTTAGGAGTATGAGAAATTACACAATTTTCTAAATATTTGAAAGCAAGTTGAATATGATCAACCACATTAGTTGCAAAATGGAAGGAACCACACATCAAGTTGAATATGCATCCACTTAGGTGTTGAAAGATTAGGACTTTTAGGAGTTCTTGAGTATTAAGGGGGATAATCCAAGATAGTTTATTAACATTTAAAATATCATCTTGTGTGTGCATTATTGAGCCCCCATTTGAATAAACATAAAAATGAAAGTCTATCTCTAGGCAACATGTAGTCATAAGTTATAATATGAACTTACTGATTTGCAAAGATATGCATATTACTTTAGTTGTTTTCTATATGAAAGAAATCTATACCAACCTCTAATTTAGCTTTAAAAAGGTCTAATGCGGGACCTTCCATATCACCAATGTGCAAAAGTTCTGAAGCTTGTAGATTTGACTGGCCAATTTTGTGAAGGCAGTAACGGATACTAGGTTCTAGTTCCTCAACTCGCTCACGACACAAAACTTGGTTATCAAGATCTCCATATTTCCCCAATTCCTCATATACAGCCCTATCAAATATGGGCATAATTAAAAACTCAAGGCAAGGTGAGCAAGAAATAGAAGCACTGCTAGATCAGACAAAATAAACAGGCATTTGCCAGCCAAAACATATATCATCAAATCATTCAAAGAATTATCTCATTCATCTAAGCATAAGCCTGCTCCTTTAATCTCCATTTCAGAAAAACAGCATCTATTTTGTATTCTTTTCAAAGCAGTATGATAGATCAAAAAGGTAGAGTGAATGTACCTAGCACTTTTGAAGTGCATTAAAGCCACATCCCAATTCTGATCTTGCTCAAACAATAAACTCCCCTTCATGTAGGATTCATATGCCTAAAATCCAGTGAACAAACAAAAGTGAAAGAATTTTCATTATTCATCAACAAAAGAAAAATAGCTAAAAAAAGAGAAACTGTAAAACCACCAAAGTATACATTTTGAAAAGCTTAAGGCTCCTAAACATTTTTAATAAATTGATAAATAATTATCAAACAAGTACAGAATAGGATATACAAATTAAAAAGGAACTAAAAACCATTATTTTTGGAATAATTTCTTTAAAAGTTAAATTTAGGGTGATTTCTAACTATTTGACCATGTAAAAGTCTTTTATGGTGTATCAAAGTTGAACTCTAAAATATATTCCATTTCCTGTAATTTTTCGTAGGTATCAATATGGTCTCCAAAATACTTTTTACTTGGAAATATTTCGGTGTATATTATTTCAGTCAAACAGTACACTCGCACTAATAGAGAGGGGAAAATAATATTCCATAAAGGCTGGTTACAACAAGGAAATAGGAGAGATTCCTATCACAATATCAGAGCAATTAAGGCTGATTACCCAATTTACAGAATATTTACAGCCAAATCTAATCAATCAGAATATTTACAGAAATAAAATCACAATAATATTTGTTGACAGATTATAACAGATATTGACTGATTATAACATTTTTTATTTCAAATTCATTCTACACTTCCAATTTAACACTAATTTTTGTGGATAATCATAGAAACAAGAGGCAGAATTTTCCAATTTGAAACCAATGTATTCCAGTAAAACTCATCAAATATCTTATCTATTTGAAAAGGATACAATATAATTTTAGTTTTAAGTTATTTATTCATCTAATGCTCTGTTTACAGCAATATCGCAAGATTATAGAAAGAATCAATAAGCATTTCCTCTTATGTATGTGTAACAATTTTTTTAAAAGTAAAATAATCTATATTACAAGGATTATAATGAACAACTGGAACTAAAATGAAATTTATCCGTGTTCCAGAACAGAAAGTGCATTTTAACTTTTTTTATTCTTGTGCGTTTATGCAAATCTTACTTTTGTAGCTTTACTACCTAAGATCAAACTACACACATAAAAAGCCTTAAAAGAAAACACAACTAAAAAAATTGATTCTATAAATAAAAAGAAATATAGACATTTGAAATGCTAGTGATCTTCTCTGAAGAAAAGGATTGAAAAAAATCTGTACCCAAGGAAGGGGGAATGAATAAAATACAGCAGAAAATTAACCATAATTAGAGAAAAAAAAATTTTGATATCACATATTTTTGTTGCAAAAAGTGACTAAAAGACACACCTCAGCCTCCAAAGATGTTCTAGAATCTGCCTTGACTGCACACAATTGTGAAAACAAAGTGGCCCATTTTACTGCTTTCCGCAACCGACCAATCAAATATATGCGTTGACGTGCGTTTGGGCCATTTGGAAGCTGTCTTTTCTCCATAGCATGACTCCAAGCTCTCTCTGCTGAATAGAGAATTAGGTGAAGAAACCTGAATTGAAACCAAAAAACTTTCAACATTAAACATGCATTGATAATTAAAAAGTTGCCAGGCAGACGAAATGTTTATTTTCCATTTTCCAGAAACTATTAAATACATTTTTGAAAAACTAAGGAAAGAGCAACCAAGGTCTAAATGATGGTTTATGGATAGTTTAAGATTCAGATAGTGACACACAAGTAATATGAGCTACAAAACTGCAAAGAGAGATATCTAAAAGTGGATCAAGCACAACAACCCCAGGGAATTATTACTCTACAAATAAAGAGCATATAAACCTTCAATCAGCGTAATCTCATCACAAAAATTCAGCCTACTAATGATTATTTTATCAGTGAATGCAGTAGAATATTAGACCTCTGATAAAGGTGTACATCAAAGTAGATACAAGAGGTGCCAAAAACCAACCCAAGTGACCAAAAATTTTACTAAAGGAATGACAAAAAAACCCCACATGGCAGAGAGAGGGGGGAAGCAAGGAAAACCAGGTTTCTGGTTTGAGAACATGGGGTGCTTCAGTATAAATAAAGTAAAAAAAATTCAAAACAGTCCTTTCATTCCACAAGCAATTTGGGCAAAATGTAAGGAAGACAATTTTAAATTTGACTGATCTAATAGATGGGAAATCCCATCAAAATGATTCTAATAAGACATTGACCATTTTTAAGGACACTGCAGAGGAGTCGCCATACCTCTCCACTTTTAAGTAGAAAACAAAGATTATCCTAATAAAATACTCTTGGCATTCCCATGGCAAACTACATGTGCACATCAGATGCTTCCTGGTAACTAAACAATAAAAGGTCAAGGATATTTAACTTAGGAGGCACTTCACAGAGTTCATACCATTTCAATAAAAAGTTAGGAAGTTAACCAAATTAAGTGGGTTATTCCTGAAGTACAGTGCAATCTTGCTCCTACAACAGGACTGCTGAGTGCTGAACTAATTTAAAATACTATATCTTTAATATTAACCAGGAAAGTAGTAGATTAGATTCCATAACTTTTAGTTTCAACTTTCAAGCCCCATCTTTAGAGTTTGGTTAATTGCACAATGACAACCCATCAACATATTGTTAAATTATTCAACAGGTGAATATCACTACAACTTCTTTTAAGATTTATCGGAGTTTTAATTGCTATATAAGTACCAGCACTTCATTCTTAAAAGAACCCAGACCTAGACACAACCTATTACAGAGAATGATCCCAGAAATAACTTGACAGCAACAGAGATAGTTAAGCCTAACAACCAACAGGAACCAATCTTTTACATCATTGCTTCCTATAGCACAAATTCAAAGTCAACAACAAAAGGATGCTAGACTTCTATAGGAAAAGAAAATACATTGTAAGTAAAGCATACCTTACTTCAGTGACAGTAGACTCAGTTATGTTTCTTTTTGCATATTTGCCACGACCATGGGTAAACTTCAATGATTTATATAACCTCCTCAAACGAGCTGTGCAATACCTCCTACAGCATAAAGGAAAACAAGCTTATCCATTACCAATCTATACATATTTTAACTCGTTAGTTAAAGCAACAGCTTGAATCAAGGTTTCCATAAGTTGTCTTGTTACAACTTCATAAATTGAACAGATAGTGCATAGTGCTAGGAGACTCAAGGTGTTGTGTTATATAGGAAAAAAACTGTTATCCGCATCATTCAGAATAAACCCAAAGCTGACATGTCCTCAGCCATTTTCACTGGTACAATTCAGTTGTTCAGTAATAGAACTAGTACATTGTACTTGTGGCTCTCCAATATTCTTAGGGATGCAAAATACATCTAAAGACAGAAAATAAAATAAATAAACAAAATGTTAGTTAGCATCAATTAATCAAATATCAAAATACGTACCGATAGCGAGTGTAATCTCCATGGCGCAAGCCATGCTGCATTTGCGCAGATTTTAAGAGCTGCAATACTGAAAATAAATAAATAAATAAAATATTAATTACAGCAATCATCAAAGTTTCATAGGTAAGAGGAATGGCATAAGAAAATGAATGGAACAGCATTGCACAGCGAAGGAGAAGACACACCGTTAATGGAGAATTTGGGAGCGATCTGATCAGAACTGATCGAGTTTGGAGCGTCGATTTCCATAGCGGACACTTGACTCTCCTTTCCCATCAAGTCTTGATTATTTCAAAACATTCACCGATCACCGATCAGAAAGAGCGAATTAGAGGAAGCATTGAGGTTTATACGATGCATTTGATTGGAGAGAAAATAAAATTAAAGCTCCGTTTAAGGAGCAACCAAAAACAGATCTCGAAATAAAGATAGGAAATGAGACAAACCTGGCGTGCGAGGGTTTCAAGTATCGTGAGAGTATTGAAGTTGAAGTAAAGAGGTGCAGCCACAAATGTGAGGTGCGTTGTGAGAGAAGGTCCCTCCGATTTCTGAAACTGAATGGAATTGTGGATGGGAGGAAGGAAGGAACAGAAAGACCCGCAGTAAACAGATACAGTATAGTCTACCCCAAGTATCCATGAGTTTAAATGGGCCGGGCCAGCATGTCTACTATGCTGTTGTATTGTCATTGAGTCACAACTGGCCCAACAACTTTCTGACGGATAGTTTTTGGCCCGTGATTAAATCTAATTAATTATATGATACTAAAAAAATCATCTCCACATAAAACTAATATGCAGTTTGATTCTATTCGGACATAATTTAAAAATCCCAACAAATTAAACGGTACAATATCATTTTTGTTTGATTGATTTCTTCCATTTTTATTTATTATTTTTTACATTAATTAATTTTAAATTTTAAAGTAAGTAGAAACAAAAATTAAAATGAATTTGTTAAAAAAATACAAAGATAAAATCGTAAAAAAAAATAATAATAAATTCTTAATGAAGAAAAAATCAATTGAAAAATGTAAATAGTAGTAATTGGTAATGCAATTCAATTTTTTAGTAGATAAGAGAAAAAAAATCAAAATAAAATGATTATTTTTTCATATATTGAACTTCCCTACCATCAATTTCAATAAATAATCTTAAATTTACTGGAGACGATTTTCAATCTTTAAAAACCAACAATTAGAAAAGCTTTCAACTTAATTAAAAAATATGCATACATATGAGTTTCATGTAGGATGTGTCTTATAGTAATTTATCAGTATTTTTTCAATCAATCTTTATATTTCAAGTAATTTTTAATTTCTAAAGCATAGATATAAGTTTAGCACGAATAAAAAATGCTTAAACTCAAAAGCTCATTTTAATCGATTTCTATCATTATTTTTAATAAGAACAATGAAATTAGGAGAGTTCTTCCAAATATTCTTATTAACATTAAGAGTGAATTCAGTTTAGTTCAATTTAAAAATAAAAGGTGAAAACTAAACTGAATCTTAGTACAAAATGTGATTTTGCGATTTTCAAATTCTTTAATAGATTTAACGGTTTAAAAACAAATTGGTTTGATGTTTAACGATGATACTTGCAGCAATGGATGAAATTGGGGTGATATAGGCTAGTTTAGGAGTAGGACCCACGAGAATCAGGGAAACTGGAATGCTATCTTATCCTGGATAACATTCCAACCACCTACTTCACTCCCTTCTTCACACTACAGCCCCATCACAAACCAAAATGGCGTTCTCATCATCCTTATGGTCTTCTCTCTTCGTTCCAAATCCAAACAGAACCAGCGTTTTCCCTCCATTTTCCCCCACCAATCACAAACCACATAAACTCCCTCTCTCAACCGCATTCGCCATCCCTCCACTCTCAACCGCCACCGCCGCAGACGTCTCCGGCGCCATCGACGGAACCACCATCGCGGTCGTAAGCGGGGGCTTCGTGGCGGCAGCGGCGGCGGTGCTCTCTCTGACGGACCCGGAGAGGCGGCGGCAGATGCAGGCGGAGGAGGTGGGCGGGGGCGACAAGGAGGTGGTGAGGGAGTACTTCAACAACTCGGGGTTCCAGCGGTGGAAGAAAATTTACGGCGACACTGATGACGTGAACCGTGTTCAGCGAGACATTAGGTTGGGGCATTCGAAGACGGTGGAGAACGTGCTGAAGATGTTGAAGGACGAAGGGTCGCTTGATGGCGTTACGGTTTGTGACGCTGGGTGTGGCACCGGTTCTCTCTCTATTCCACTAGCCAAAGCGGGCGCTGTTGTTTCCGCCAGTGATATCTCTGCGGCCATGGTTGCTGAAGCTGAGAAACAGGTTACCTTCCTTTCCTTTTCCGCTCGTTAACATTTTACTGTTTCCATAAGTTTGATCGACTATTTCTTCAAAAGAAAAATTGGCATACTTACAATTACATGGATGTGGTGATATATGAGATAATAGCTTAGTAATTAATAATAATGGCCCGTTAACTAAGTGGTTTTAAGATATTAGTAAGGTAGTGATTGGCCGGAATAAAATGCATAGGAGGTAAGGGTAAAAGCGAGTGAGTCTTGTAAATCTTTTGAAGGAAACACGGTGGTGAAGGGCTTCATTCAATTTGGTTTCCGTTTTTAATTTAATATTTTGTTATATTTTTTCTTTGTGAATCAGTCAAGATATTTCTCTCTTTTATTAAAATTTCTTATTTTTCCTCACATTTATTAAAATCTATTTCCGCCTCTTTTCTTCTTGAAATCAAACAGTCAAACATTGCAATAAAAAATAATAAATAAAAATATTTTATTAGAATTTCTGCTGACATTATTTTTTTTTATAAAAAGAGTATGTTGCCTTTTTTAATATTTTTATTTATTTATTTAAAGTATTTGTTAGTATTTATCATTAAATTATAATATTTAAGGTTAGTCAAGCATTGAATTTTGGGCTTATTTTTTCCTTAAATCAAGAAATTTTAGCTTTGATGGTTTAATTAGTTTATAATTCTTTTTTTTTTATTATTATTATTTTCATATTAATATAATATTTAATAACCGTTTTCATTTAAGAGAATGAAATAAATATAAGAAGGAAAAGAAAGAGAACGGAAGTGAAAGAATCTTCGAGCATCAAGTTTAGTTAAATGAGCTTGTTCAAGGAAGTTAAGCTCAAACATAATAGTTGAGCTAATAAGTAAAATGAATACCTGAGCTCCTGTTAACATGTTTGGATTCGTGTTCAGAAGTCCATGAATCTACGTTTAGTTCAATACTATTAATTCTAACTTCTGCGCTAAATCAATATTCATAGCATTATTAACGTATTTTCAAACACACGTTATTGTGATGAAAGTATGCTATTGCGGCGTGCCCTGATATAAAAATTAGACGAGCTCAAAAAATAATTCGCCATTCCTGAACTAAAACAGTGACTTCCTATTTGGTGCAGGCAAAGGAGCAGCTTGTAGCGAGTGAAAATGGAGCTGTGCCTGTGATGCCAAAGTTTGTAGTGAAGGATTTGGAGAGCTTGGATGGCAAGTATGACACAGTGGTTTGCCTTGATGTTTTGATTCATTACCCTCAAAGTAAAGCGGATGGGATGATTGCCCATCTTGCATCATTGGCCAACAACCGATTGATTCTGAGTTTTGCCCCTAAGACATTTTATTATGATCTGCTAAAGAGGGTTGGAGAGTTGTTCCCTGGGCCTTCAAAGGCTACAAGGGCATATCTTCACTCTGAGGCAGATGTAGAGAGGGCATTGCGAAAGGTTGGTTGGACGATAAGGAAGAGAGGCTTAATCACTACTCAATTTTACTTTGCTAGGCTAATTGAGGCTGTTCCTATGTAGTGTGGATTGGGAGGTAAGTTTTGTATAATTAGAGGAAATTCTTAGTGTAAATTGTAAGGCCTTTTATTTCGTGATTTTGTATGCTATGATTCTCCGCATATAATTCTATTATGTATATTTCTTCATAGTGTAGAAGATGCTGATGAATTGAGGCTATATTTTCTGGGGGAGTTGTTTATAATAAATTTGTATGGTAGGCAGTTACCAGTCCATTGTGTTGACGGAGTAGAAGCGAGCTCCCTTCATGTTGTTCCGAAATTTACAATGGTTATTAGTGAAGAGAAGTAGTTAGTTCTTGTATTGCCTTTTTGTTATAATATATAACAAAAAAATTTGGTTTCAGGCATGTAAGGTGATTAACAATATTCTGAAAAAAACAATGCAGATAACAATCATTCTGACACTTTAGTTTCTCTATTGTGTAAAATCTCATGGTGGCATGTTTAATGAAGAGTGGACCCTTGTTACTTTTGCATTAGAATGATAATTTTACATTAAATTTTACTGGAAAAACATAAATCAGATTATGCTAAATTCATTTTAACTAAAATTAATTTTTATAAAATCAAGATCATCCAAAGACAAAACATACACTTAAACTTTTTTTTATGACATGTTATATATCAGCTGATCACGGTAATGTATGTAAAGTATCAGTATAAGCTGTATATTATGTTATATTGGTAATACATATATAGAGTACCACAGTATGAACGAGAAGCAATGGACGCTATACTAACAAATGAAAAATCAAAATGGTTTCAGGTAAAATGCTGCCTTAAACACCACACTCTTTCTAAATCCTAAAAGGAATTTGGAAAAAATAACAGGTTTTGTGAGCTGCATGTAGAATTGAAAGAATTAACATTAACTTCATGAGAACAAATGTTAAGAAGGATAGTTTTCACGAAAAATAAAAAATATATGCTTTATAAAACTGAGGAGTACTAATGAAAAAGGTAAAAAATCGATAACAATAAACTTTAGTGCCAAAATCAACAGTAATAAGCAGATCCTTGTAAAAAGATGTGGTTTAGTTGCCCCAAAGGATCGGTTCTTCTGATCTGAAATCATTTACAGCTTGTCAGCAATTTTTGTGAGAGCATCTGTGAGCTTGCCAAGGGCTGTAACTAAGCTGTCAGTTTGCTGCTTCTGCTGGTCCCTAGCTAATTGGCAATTTATGTTCTGTGATCCAATATGGGTCTTTAGTATGTTAGAATTCCTCCTTAGAACTTTGATAATATTGTTGTTGAAATCTGTGTTGTCGGCGCTATCGTCTGATGTTAATCGCTTTCTCTTGTATCCCTCTTGGAACATAGCTTCTTTATGACATCCTGAACCAATATATTTTTGTTGAGATTACCATAAAAAAAGAGGCCAATAATGCTTAGGTTTTTATATGTTGTTGAATCACTTGTCAATCAATTAAACAAAAATAGACTTCATCATGAGTTTAAGGAGTGACCATGGACGTACAATATCAATGACTAAAGCAATATTTTCACATGCAGTTAATAGCTTGCAATAGGCAACACACGAGTAAAATACATGGAAATAACAGTAGACAGTGTCTGTCTCAAATGATATTCCACAAGTCCACTTTAGTTGATCCAGACTTAGTCAGAAAAAATAAGTTTTGTTTTCAACTATCAAATGCTCAATATATATTGCATTGGCTTGCCAAATGAAATACATATTAATGGTAATAAGCAATTTGATCTTTTTCAGCGACAGATGCAGAGGCAGAGCTTTATGGAAAGGGGTGTGTTAACAAATAGCTTTTTTTAAAAGGAAACGAATAGCTTTTGAAAAAGGGAAAACAGACAAAAAAAAATATGCAGTGATATATAAATATGCCGACCAAACGTTAGTGTAACCGCTAAATTTGCTTGATTTGTAACATCATGAGTCAAACTGAACAGTTTGAACAGCTTAAAAACTTGTGGACTTAAGGCTATAGGCTATGAACAGGAGTGACCAGAATCCGTAAATGACCACAACTGAGATGATTGGATTTACCAGGATCGTAGTTTCCTTGGCAAGAAGATGGTTGTTGCTGTTTCTCTGCAAATCAATCCAGAGCAACAAGAAAATAATAGGTCAATAAGAGAAGGGTAAATAAATGATAATCTGTATATCCTTTGGAGAAACAGAGAAAAAATTAATGAAGCTACACTGAAACACCAACACCTCTAATATTTGAAGTTTCATAAGTATTAGAACTTGCATACTTACACGTGCCCTAAACTATTAGGTATTCAATTAAAAAAATATTTGGGTTTGCGGTTCAGATATTTGAGTCGACACCTGCATTTGAACACTTGAACTAATACTCTAATATAAATGATCGCACATTAGTATTATTAAAAAAATTATTTTTTAACTTTTTAAAAACTTAACTTGAAATATAATGTAAAACATTTTTTAAAAAATGCTACTTATATTTTGTAAGGCTTGATATCATTTAAAAAATATATAAAATGTAATATAATAGTGTGAGAAGGTAAATATGATATAACTTTATTTTAATTTTTCATAAACAATCAAACATGTACATTATAAAATAATATCTGTTGATATTTGTTCTTAAAATTATTATTATTATTATGTGTGTACCCGCGCACCCTGTGTCCCAATATCCTATATTTTAGATATAAGTTTTCTCCAAGTGTCTATGTCGTATTTGATGTGTATGTTAGAATCCAAGCTTCATTGACAACCACATATTACAACCACATATTTTATTCCTAGTTTATTTAACCATTATACTAAAAACCTACTGAATAATATTTTCCCCACATCGTTTGAATTTATTTTATGATCCCTGTTCTGGGCAATAAAAATTGGAAAAGGACTACTCTCTGTCATTCTATTCTCTTAACATTGTAACTCTTTCATGTCAATTATTAATTTTGAGCAATACAAGCATACAGAACAGACTGTAATGGAATAATGCAACTTGGTACCTGAAGCAGGCAACGTGAGAGTGTGTGTCATTTTGAGACTTCCTCTGGTGCTTTTTTCCTTAAGACTTGATATTTTCAAATAACCGTTGACCATATTGCCTGTTATGTTTGTCTCCATGTTCTCCTCATCAGTGCTCCACCCCATTTTTTCACTTTCAACAATGGCCTCATCTTCCTCTTCATGATCATCATCCTCATCCTCCTTATATTTCCCTCCCACCATTCCCTCAACTTGATCACCATTCTCCACCTTTGATGTCATCTTAACCCGTGACAATGGAAATGCAGCAGCAGTGCAAACTCCTCCATCTAACACATTGTACACCACAGTATCAAAGAACCCTGGCAACTTCTTTTCTTTTCTCACATCACTTCTCATGATCCAAAAGGACTCACTCTCCTCCTTTACGCTTGACTCCCACTTCTTGATCTTCCTGAAATCAGTGAGAAGATTGCCCCATCTTTTTCTGCACTGAACAGCACCTCTCTTGACACCTTGTTGATGACAAAATGATGACACCAAATCCCATTTTGGATCAGTGTGAACAAACCCAGATGCTGATCTGTACCTACAAACCTGTTCTCCATTTTCGACCATTTTCTTAGCCTCTATGAGAACAAGTGTTTCTTGTCTTGTCCATCGAGGATGTCTTGTGGCTTTGGTTCTTTGGCTTTTAGGGTCACCCTCTATTGCTTGTCTTCCAACTGGGGCATTTGGAGACTCAGCAACACCCTCACAACTTTTCTCTGAATTTGGTGCCATGACTTGTCTTGATCACACGCTTTGTGTCACTGGAAGATAGACTATGAGGATATGATGAGAATAAAATGATACATATAATAAAATGTGCCTTTACTGTGAGTGAATGAACTTCCAAAGTAGGATGCGATATTTTTCGTGTAGGTAACTTCTTTCCCACATGTGATTGTTTTCCTAATATGACACTCATTTATATGGACACTCACAAGGATGCCCTTTCCTTCCAAGTAAGGAACCATTCACAATGGGCATCAAGAAAAGACCAAAAACTTTCTTTGGGAAAGTCAACGGAGACTTCATAAAGGTGCCCTCTACTCCCAAGTATTGAGCCATCATATTAGTATAAATACTTGGAGCTTTTACCAATTCTAACTCTTTCCTAAGTTTCTTATTTTTTTTATTTATTTTCTATTGGATAATGTTTTCAGAAAAGGCAAAGAATCGTATTTTCAAGACTTGATATCAAGAAATTATCTTAAAAGAGTAAGAGGGGTCTAATAAAATTAATAAATTGTAGCACGCTGCGGGTTTGGCAAGGAAATAAACACATATCTCACGTAAAAGGAAAAAAACTTGAAAAAAAATCGTCCATCAAAAATTGACATTGATTATCACACATTATTTTTATTCCATTTTATATCATCCTCTTTTCGGATTATAAAATAAGATAAATTTATTTTCAATGCTATTTTTTCTTTACCAAATATTTGCGTAAGAAAAGTATAAAAGAAACAAGTGTAAAAATAATTTTGCATGAAACATAAACGGCTCTTAATAAGAGTGCAAATGAGCTAAAATCTACCCAAAAATAATAAAAAAGGAGTGGTGGTATATGCTTTGCTATTAACGCCCAAGACAAGTGCCAAATTAGGTGAATATTTTATTTTATTTTTTTGGAGAAAAAAACAAACACAAAAGAAATGTTAGATAATACTAGTCAGATGTATGTTAACTTTTACTGTGGATTGAGCTTAAAAGTAAATATGTGTGATTTTAGTTTTCTCTAACCTTTTTCTGAAAATATCAAAAATTTCGATATTTTTACACAAAATCTTAATAAATTAAAATTATTAAATTATTTTAAACCTTCTTTTTCTCAAAACAACTTAATTCAAACATCAAATTTCAGTCAAATATTAAAAAATATTTTTTCTTTCATTGAATCCTAATATTATATCTTAAAAAGAATTCGAATCTTGTAAAATTGTTACTAGATTTTTTTACTTTTAAACATTCAAAGTGATTTCATATGATAAATTTCTCAAATATTTGGATAAAAAATAATAATTAGGTGGTTTTGGGTAGAGTAAAATTAACAAAAAGACCAAATTTTATTTTTCACAATTTTAAAAAGTAAAAAAAAACTTAATTAGTTCAAAAATAATTAAGATGGTCAAAAATAGATGTAAGTCAAAGAGACTAAAAATAAAATTAAACTTAAATTTAAAACAAACATTTATTCTTTTTGTGTTTTGTAGGATTATTTAATAATCTTGTTTAAAACGTGCCTTTATTCCTTTACATATTCAATCAAATTAAAATATGAAAAAAAGAAGGGAAAAGCTGTTTTGAAGTTAAGTTTTTGGTGAGTCTACTATTTGGATAAGATCTGAGCTTCTAGGTTCTAATGATTTACAATTGTTCTATAAATGTCGTCTTCTGGGAATATTTTTATGAATCATGGTTCTTAATATAAAAAAAAAAAAAATCGTAGGCTTTTTTATTTTGGGCCAGTAAGAAATCCTCTTAACATAACTAGCGGCCTACAACTACAACCCACTTAATGGTGTTTTTATAATCAAATTTCTTTTTCTGTTTTTTTTTTATGTATAATCAAATTTTTTAATGAGACGTTTTGTCTTTAAAAAAATATATATTATCTCCGTTTATCCCTTATTAAATTTAAATTTCCGAGTGATTATACAGAGAAAAAAAAAACCATTGAAGATAAAGTCGAGTTTTAAATTAGTAGAAAAAAATTTGTTTACCCAAATCATAAATAGGAAAAAATTTGTCCTAACATAAATCATGTGATTTATTCCTAATTGTCTTTTCTATCCTAAACCCACCACCGTACAAAAGACTAAATTTTGGAAAGGCAATGGGAAATTTCACACTGCATGTAGTCATTGTCATTGCTTTAATTGGATCCTAAACGACGAGAAATAAATATAATGAAATCTATTATTTTTAATCAAAATGATATATGGATTGAAAGAATAATAATGCCAACTAATCATATACATAAATATGGAATATGATATTTTTTATGTTCCATTTTGGAGTGTCAAATAGGTGAACAAAAATAAAGAAATGATATTCTATAGATAATGAGACGTGTATTTACAAATAACTAGTAAATTTTTTTATCAATCAAAATAATTGTTGTAGTTTTCAAACATTTGTATTATATAACAATTTATATTTATTATTAATATTTTTTATCATTTAAATACTATTTTTATGTATTTTCTGATTTTATTTTAAGTTATATTTGGTATGAAATTTTGAAAACTAAAAACCAGACAAAAATTTAAAACTACGATCATAGAATTGAAAATTATTTATAATTCGTAAAAGCTTCCAAACTTAAAATTGAAAACCATTTTCAAACGGCCATAAATTTCTCAAAGTTTTCTTAAAATACTGACAAAGTAAATCAATTGAATTATTTTAACCTTCATTCTACTCAAAACTATAAAAAAGAAAACAAAATTTTATATTCAGATTTTAATATTACATCTTATAAAATCCTTTAAATTTTATTTAAATTTATTATATTTTGAGTTCTAAATTTTTAAATAGTTTTAAATCCCAAATCCATCACAAATTTCTAAACCATGAATAAATTTATAATTTAAAACTGCAATTAGAAAAGAAAAATATAAACAGAATTAAATTCACATAATTTTCAAATATATAATTAAAATACATAATACAATGTGTGTAGTATAAATGGATTATATACAATGTCAATATGAATTGCAGAATTTGCAGTGTCTACATTCACTTAAGTGAAAATGCAATCTTATTCTACTATTCTTCTTTCTCCTTTCACTCTTAGATAATTTATATTGCTTAAGTGAATGTACGTAGGATTAAGCAAAAATTAGATAGAAAGTGTTAAATGATTTAAACAAATTTTAATTCACGTAAGTGTCTCTAATTTAATTTAAACAAAAAATAGACCGAAACAAATATTTATTAATTATTGTGAAAAATTTAAGCAAAACAGGAAATATTTAAGCGAATTTAAATGGACTTAAATGAATTATGTAAAAATGTTAATATTATTATTCTTTTTAGACATCGTTGACATGACCTTTATCTGATTTGGCATACTTATTTCATCTTCAAACTTTAGTCAAATAATAATTACTTTATCTTGGGAAGTCTATTCGAAATACCAAAACGGAAAGCTGAAAGCCTATTAAGCTTTTACTTTCCCGATAGAAAATAATAAAAGCATCGTCGAGTTTTGTGTCAGTCCAGTGAAAATGGTTTGTCACTTTATTCTACATGAAGAGGGCAACATCCAGTGCCTATTTTGAATACAGAATATTAATATTGTATTTTTAATATAAAAATATGAAACAATGCTACTAAATATTTACACTAACTTTGAGAGTTGAAAGTGAGACAAGCATTCATCGGGGGAATGGAAATTGTTGCATTCACTGGCAACAGCAATTGAATTTCCTGCAGCATAATGGATAAGGAGACAAAGGAAGCATTGCACAGATTCACTTCCCACTTTCCCAGGGTTACTTAATATTTTCTCACATATATTATTTTTCTATCACGATTGATTTAAAATTTATTCTCTTTTTATTTTTACTTACCTTCTAATATTAGGAGAATTCAAAGGAAAAGGAGAGTAATTTAAACTTTGTAGGGCATGCTTATAAAAATATATATCTTTATAATAATATTTTATTTTCTTATCCCTTACTAACCAAATTAGACAATGAGACTCACTTCAAATTTATCTTTTTCTTATTACTATCTCTTTTTTCTCTTCTCTTATCATCTGTTTAAACCAAACACATTGTTAGTAATCGGGAGTAATGCGTGAAAGACAAAATTATTCTCACGACCATAAGTTAAATCGAACAAATACTTAAAATTAAAATTCATATATATATTTTCTCACATATATTATCTATAAGAAGTAAACATGCTCGGAATATTAATAGCCATCATGTTAAGATGAAAAGTTGTGATTGATAATTAAAATATAATTTTATTAATTTTTTAACTTTGCTTAAAATTATACTAAGAAAATTTATTTTATCTTGAAAATTTATTCATTAAAAAACATTATTTTATCTTGTTTATTAACACATTTTCCCTGATTTATCTCGTACATCTCACTTTTTATGTGTCAATTCAATCCCAAACAACTCAATTGCTAAGAAAAAACCAACCACAAAAGGTTAGCCATTAACATACGACATACATACGACTCATATAGAATAAAAATATACACAGACAAAATAGAAAAACAAAAGGGATAATAACTGTTTCCGAGGATGATAATGTATATAGCCAATTTTATAAAAATGTAAAGTATTTGGATAATATTATCTTGTACCTACACTTCTAGTAGATAATTTTTTGGCTAAATACTAATTTTTTTTAATTGAAAAAATTTCACTATCAATAACATTATTTGATGAACTTTGTACTTTCTTTTCATCACAGTTGGTATAAAAATTTTACATTATAAAAAATAATAAATTTATTTTAATAGATACACATCACTTGTCATCAAATATCATGATATCATTTACATGGTCTTTGAAAACAAATTATAAACTTTACTGTAAAAGGATCTATGATCAATTAAATTGAGTTTCTGTCTAATAAATATTGTGTCTTCTTTCTTTAATATAATCATATTATATTACTCATATTTTAATTATTTTAAAAGTATACGGTAATTATATTTCAGTTTGAGCACAGACATTTGCTCCTGTTAAATAATATGTTAAATTTAAAATTTTACTTTGCAGGTGAACTGGTTTAAAGTTGTAATGTTTAAATCTTGTAGCTTAAAATCGGTTAACTTATAGTATTACAACTCAAGGTATTATTACTGATGAATTAATACATCATTCGTAGGATATTAAATATTGTTGGCTTACATTTAAGTCTATAGATTTGAATTGATTTTGATTCTTATATTCAAAAAGATTATTATTATTATTTTGTAATTGAAATTTGAAAGGGTAAACGATCAATTTTTAGTTTTTTCATTTTCTATGATATTGATTTAAATCTCTATCACTAGCAATGTATTAAAATATATATATCCAGTAAGATATAGTTATTTTAACCAATATTTAATACATTATAAACACTATAATTTAAACTTGTGAAATTATAAATTCTAAAAGCAAGTTTTGTAAAAACAAAAATGTGTTTCAACAAAAATAAATGTTGCTATTTTCTGTATTCTAACTAGTCTATATAATATAACAGAAGAGGAACATGGTGTACATAGTAATAAGCATAAAAAAAAATGAATGATAGTTTCAGAATAAATGATTGGCCATGTGATTGGGTATACGCGAAAATTTGTTGCTGATTGGTGGGAACTTGCAGGTTCATGAGCTAAGATTATCCATTCACACTACCCAAAGGAAGGAGAGAGGCGACATGCTCATATTCAATAGTTTGTTGCTTAAATAAACAAATCAACTATAATAGATAGGATTGATGAATAAAAAAATAAAATCAATTATTTAGCTGTGAATAAAAGGAAATAAATAATAGAAAATATAAATAAATTTGTTTATTGGAGGAGAATTGAGATGGAGATCGAATCCCAAATATAATACTGCATCAAACAGAACAGCTATTTTTTTTTTTTTTTTTTTTGGTAAACAATTATATGCATAGAAATTGTGGTCTTTGATCCCAAGCAAAACATTTTCGTACACGACACTCACCTTGATTAGAAGATGGTGAATACTGAATTGGGATATGAAACAAGGAACCCAAGAGATCCAATGTTCAAGAAAAATATTTATTTTTTCATAATTTGTTTTGCAAAATTTCTGAGACAATGCTCCTTTTAGTTGACTAATGGACAAACAGGAAATGAAAATGGTGTCATATTTTTCCAGAAAAGAAGGAGGAAATGCTCACGCACAGTGACTTTACCTTCATCTCATTTCAAGCACATTCGAAAACAATTTATAGTGTAACATAGTTTATTAGAAAAAAACATATTTGATTAGGAAAAGCTTGCAAGTTGTTACTAATTAATTGACTGGCAGAATGAAAGTGAATTAAAAATTTCTTATTGTTTGCAGCTTTCTGACAAAACACTTTGTTGACTATTGCATTTAATAGTTAAAGATAGAAAATTAGTTTAAGCCATTAAGCGGTAATTCGGTAAGCTTTGATGTTTAGAGGGGATGCGCATTGCAAGGTGTAAATGAACAAAACTTTACGATGTGTGCATTAAATTGATTGACTCGCAACTATAATTCAAATCACCAAGTTATTTAAAGAAATAATTATTATATTTTGGTATACGATTATTCATATATAACTTTTTTCAAGCACTTCTTTTAAAATTCCTTTTTTTCATTACAGAATCTAAATGATTATGAATGATTTCAAATACTTTATTATGAGAATAAAATCACCAAACTGATGTATATAATTACAAGAAAGATGCATGTATTTAGGAGGAAGCATATAAAACAAATAAATTACAGTAAAGAAGTAGGAGATGAGAAAATGAGGGAAAAACAGTAAAGGACAAAGAAGCTTGCAATGAAATTAATTTAAAGTTTATCCAACAAGAAAAGAAAAGAATCAAAATAAATTTACATCAGACGGCAGAAGAAGTAAGACAAAGAAAAAAAGAAAAGAATACGTGAACTCGTTAGGTTCCGTGTAAAAAAATAAATAAATAAATAAATAATAATAATAAAAAAAACAGAGTAAGAAACGCTGGTCGTATATATAGGGTAAGGTAAAGTGTCCCATTTATACATTTGTTTCCGTGTCATGTGCGGTCTTTAATTTTCTCTCCCAATTTTCATTTTATTTTCAAACCTAAAAAACACACGCAGAACACGACCGCCAGTATTTAGTATTTTTTTTTAATTGTTTCTTACAATTTTCTTTTTTAATTTTATTTATTTATTTAATCAAAGCCAACTAACACGCCTTTTCTCTTTCTCTTTCTCTTTCTCTTTCTCTTTCTTTCTGTCACAAGTCTCAAAACTCTGTTGTTGCGTTGTCTGATTCTCTCTGAACCGGAGCGTGACCGGCGAGCTTAATCTCGCCGGAAAATTGCCCTACGCTGGCTGGAATCTCCATGTTTTCCGGTTTGAGCTACCAATTTTGATTCCTTTCTCTTGCCCTCACGTTTTCTCGCCAGTGTTTGGGGTCCTCAGAAACAATCAAAAGTTAAAAGAATAAACAAAAATAAATTTGCTTTTCTTCTTTTTGTCTGAGGTGAGATTGCAAGGAAAGCAATGCGGAGAGAAGAGAAGAAATTTTTGAAGAAAAAAGCATGAGATCCCTTATTTCTTCTGAATTCCTTTATGTTGTAGGCTTGCTACAAGATTCAATTTTTTCCCTCTCTCTCTCCCCTTTCAAGAATTTCCTATGATAAGGTTGTTGAATTTTGTGGAGAAACTGAGAAAGAGAGAAATTATTGGTGCTGGAGAGAGACGGTGTTTGAAATTGAGGTGAGAATTTTGCTTGGTTTGAAATATTATAATTTTGTTTGTATTTTGATTTAGATAATAAAAGCCATCACTTTTGGACTGGTTTTCTCTTGTGCTCCAGGTATTGAGATTATATTTTTTGATTAGAACTTATTTATGTTCATCACTGTGTCCTCCTTTGAAAAATTGGGTTTTTGCCCTTGATCTGTTCATGTTTAAGGCTTTTCTTCTAAAATTCCATTTGTCTCATTAGGAAACCAAGGTGGGGCTTTGTAAGCTTCGGCTGGATGCCTTTTTATTTTATTTGTTTTGATTTTTTGGTTGGTGACAAAAAAGAGAAGCTGCCAGTTGTTCCTTTTGTGCTGTTGGATATGAATTTCCTAATTTTAATGGAGGTTTTGTTTCAATTTCATACATTTTCTTGGTTACCGAATGGTCCAATTGTATTAGGTGGTTGGTAGGTCAGCAACGATCTTTCTTCTTTTGCCAACATCAACCCTTTTCCGGTGGTGTTTAGTTGAAGATAAAACTGTTTTTGGCCTTGTTTTTTTTAATGATCTCTTTGAATTTTGAAATTAGAATCTAGGTACCATAATTCAAAACTTTAACTGGTTGGTTCTTCCCCACTTTTCTTTTTTCTTGTCTAATAGTCAAGAGCTAAAGTTAACTATATGTTTTGGGTTTCACATGGCCTAAATTTTTCTTTTGGGGGAGGGGGTGGTGGTTCAACATTAGCAGTTTTTGTTGGAGTGGCATGTTCACTGTTATATGTACTTTCCTTTGTCAAGCAATTGACCTTAATTTTATTTCCAACAGATGAGGATGAGTAGAGTTCAAAGAAGCTAGCAAGTGGGAAGTTTTTCAGCAATATTACTCTTTTTATAGATTCTCTGGACTCTGAGGCTGCAGGATGCCTTTTCAAATCATGGATCAGAGGGGTGTTTCTGCCTCATCTCACTTTTTTGATGACATCTCCTTTCGTTCTGAGGTATTTGTTATCCTGTCTATCTCCTTTTAGTTTCTTGGAACTCCTATAACATGAGCCCAAGAGTTTAATGATCATCAGATCCATAAAACATTCTACAGTTTTAGATTTGGGGTCTCCTTTTTCAAAATTTTATTCAGCATTTTTATGACCTTTAATGCTATTGCCGTTATGACCTGCTGGTTTTCTAAACTTGTCTTGAACTTTTTTTTGTGGGCAGAGGAATGTTGGAATAAGGAAGCCAAAATCCATTAATGAACAATACCCACAAGGTGAGGTCCAATCAATCCTGTATTTGTTCAAAATGGCCCTATATGTTGTACTGGTTTTCTCTCCAAGACCATCATTAATGCCCCCAAGATTTCTAACTAACAAATAGTTATTTTTGAGACATTCAACGAACTATTACAACTTAAGAAATTGACTAGTCACTTTTGTTTGGACATGTTAATTTTTGGATTATTTTCTGTATGTGCACCTTTCTGTATACTTTATATGATACCTCAGGTCTCAATTTTGAAATTTAGTACATTTCCAATTTATGGCTTTCAGCCAATATTTCTTTCACCTCTGTTTTGGATTTGTTCTAAATGTTTGGGTGCACATGGAATAAAATATTTTGGGACGTTTTAGTCACTATTCCTTTTTATATGTGTTATGTTGCCCCTGATATAATGATTATCAGTTATCAATATAATAAAGTACTTTGAATCTAAGTGATTAATGTCAAGCTAAAATCCGAAACTTTTTCTCCTATTTGTGGTAAACACCTAATTGCTGCAATTTTTTCTGAAATAATGTATGCATAAGCCTGCACCATGCTCTTGCAACTTCATAATTGTGGTATTGCTATTAGCTAAGCTAAGACAATAAAGGTGGTTTCATGAGTATAGATACTGTGCTCATGTATTTTCTTTCGATATAGATGTTATATGTGATTTTGTGACTTTTTATCATACTAATTTTGAAGGTAGCAGTATTCCCATCAAATTTTGTGTTTGCATCCATATTTGTGTTTGTCATGCATGTATATCAATTACTATACTACTTTAACTGAAAAACATGTTGATAATTGCTGGATAACTAAGTTGTACTCTATTCATTTTATCAGGGAAGAATGGAATTGTAGCATCACCTGGCAGCATTTTGAATGCTTCATCACCCCTTGATGTAACTGCAAAATCTGGCTTGCTGATGTCACAAACTAGTCTATCTGGGGAGAATATAGATTCCAAGGAATCATCGCATTATCATCCCAAATCATGGTCTGATGGTTTTCTACAGTCAGCACCTACCTCACATGGTTTAATTGGGAGCAAGATTGTCACCAATGCTGCCCCTTGTGAAAGTAGTTTATTCTCAAGCTCACTGTCTGATATATTTAGCCAAAAGTGTAAGAATTTGTTTCATGGCTACTGAACAATCATGTATGGTGGGCATAGTAGCATAGTTAAGTGATTAGCACTGATGTCCTTTCATCTTTGTAATACTTTTGAAACAATTTTCTGTTGCATCAGTTTTCTTGTGTATCATTGCTGCATATGAGCTTAAATGTTTGCTATTTTGCCCAATTTAACTGAAAAAAGAAGGGCATCTCACCCCAACCCCCATTGTGCCCCACTTAGAAAGTTATATTTTATCTGTTTAAGGTTTTCTGATTTTACATTAGTTAATTTATGTCCTTATCTGTCTGTTTATTTGCATATCTTGATGCAGTAAGGTTATTTGGGAATGATGTTCTGTCTGATCAGCCCATTACTGCTGGTTCTCCTCCTGAGGAAGAGCCATATAAATCTCTTGAAGAAATGGAGGCTGAAACTATAGGAAATCTCCTTCCTGATGAAGATGATCTGTTTTCTGGGGTTGTTGATGAGTTAGGATGCAGTTCTCATACCAGAGCGAATGATGACTTTGAAGATTTTGATTTGTTTAGCAGTGGTGGAGGCATGGAGCTGGAAGGAGATGAACATTTAAGTTCAGGAAAAAGAATGAGTGGTTTTGATGGAGATTATGGTTTCTTTGGAGGTTCAAAAGGAAAACTTCCTTTTGGTGAACAGCCTTCTAGAACACTTTTTGTTAGAAACATTAATAGCAGTGTTGAAGACTCTGAGCTAAAGGCTCTCTTTGAGGTGCGTCTTTATTCTTCTTTGCTTCTGGATGTTATCTTAAATTCTCAAGATGCATATCTGATAATCAAGCATAAATGGTAAATGGACTATTACGTTTGTTCTGGCAGCAATATGGAGATATCCGGACCATTTATACAGCCTGTAAGCATCGTGGATTTGTCATGATTTCTTATTATGACCTAAGGGCAGCACAAAATGCAATGCAAGCACTTCAAAATAGGCCATTGAGGTCTAGAAAACTTGATATACATTATTCAATCCCAAAGGTAAAATATTAATATCTTATCCTGAATGCATAATTCCATTTCCATTTCTATCATTTGGATAAAGTTGGTTGTGTTATTGCTTTCCTTATCATCTTAGTCCTAGCAGTTTGCATTACAACTATGTGCTTCGCCTTTTCAATTTCTTTTTGTTTCTATCTTTTATTGCTTTGGTTATATATGTATTTTAACTTGATGACATGTTAGGTCAATGCTCCAGAGAAAGATATTGGTCATGGTACACTGATGCTATCTGCTCTTGATTCATCTGTTTCAAATGATGAACTTAAAGAGATTTTTGGATTTTATGGAGAAATTAAAGAAGTAAGTTGTTCATTTGGTTTTCACCTGTTTTTGATGCTTGTGTTATATGAAGACAATATAAGATTCCTTAAATTTTATTTCTTTGATTGCAGATCTACGAATATCAAGAAATGAATCATCACAAATTTATAGAGTTTTATGATGTGCGAGCCGCAGAAGCTGCTCTTCGTGCATTGAACAAGATTGACATTGCTGGGAAGCAGATCAAGCTTGAACCTGGCCATCCTAGGTTTGCAACATGGTGGCTATACCCACTTTTTTTTTTAGTTTTAATTTCTTCTCTTATTTGTAATACACTTGTTTAGCTTTTTTCTGCCTATCTAAATGATATTATGTATATGATATTATTTCGGGCATGCATATCTATCCGCACCACTGCCACCACCTTTATTTTATTTTTTGGCTTTTAATGGGGTAGTGGAATGCAAAGTTGTACTTTTAAGATTTTTATTTTATTTTTTGGCCTTGATGGAGAATTAGTTATACTTTTAAGATTTTTTTTCTTCTCTTAACAACTATGGAAACCTTGCTTTTGTAGTTTGATGCAGCAGTCTCATAAGGGGCAAGATGAGCGAGATCTTGGTCAAAGTATTATTGACAACTTATCTTTGAGACAAAAGGGTAAGATTTCATCTGCCTAAATATATATTTTTCCTAGGAAGCAAAAGCTCCTTCTGGTCTCACTAGACATCATTTACAGCAACTGTGTCTTCTGGACTAATTGGGTCTGGCTGCTTGGAAAATGGATATAATCAGAGGTTTCAATCTGCAACACGGCAACCTTTGAATGCATTTATTGATAATACATTCTTTCATGCAAATTCTGGGATTCACAATGCTGTGAGAGGGGCATCTGCTGGAAAAGTGTCTGGCATTTGCGAGTCCAGTAGCTTTGTTGATGCAATGAAATTTGCATCTAGTCCAAGATTTCACCCTCATTCCTTGCCTGAGTATCGTGACAGTTTAGCTAATGGCAGTCCTTATAACTTCTCTAGCACCATTAGCAACATGGCTAGCAATATAGGTGCTGCAGCCACAGAAGCCTCTGATGGCAGGCATATTCCGGGAATGGGCTCAACTGGGAACTTAGCAGATTTTAGTTCAGGAGGTTAGTGTTGAAATGGTTACTGTCTAGAAATATTTGTACAGGAAGGGCTAATTTATTACAAAGGATAAAATTGTTTACATGAACAACATCCTAATTCCTACCAATTTAAATTTTACAATATTGGGCTTGATTGTTAAGGAAGATGCATAGATTTTTATCTTTCCTATAATTTTTTTATAACACCAAAAATATTGTTTCTTTTTTGGTAATACACTTAAAATATTTGCTACTGTCAAACGGTTGATTTGAATGAATTTATAATTGCCTGGCTATCTATGATTAAGCATTTTAAATTGATTATAAATCTTCAAGTTAGCTTTTGTACCAGCTTCTAAGTGGTTGGAAGTGGTAATTTAGGCGGACAGATTTGTAGTGCGGATTTAGCAGTTTTACATTTGAATCCTTGTGTGACATCTTTGTTTTATTTTGGGTCATTAGGAAATGGGATCCGACCACATCATGGACTCTATCATATGTGGAACAACACCAATTTGCATCAGCAACCTTCATCAAGTACCATGCTTTGGCAGAAAACACCATCATTTGCTAATGGTGCTTGTGCTCCGTGCCTTCCACAGATGTCAAGCTTTGCAAGAACACCACCTCATATGATGAGAACACCACATATTGACCATCATGTCGGATCAGCACCAGTTGTCACAGCGTCACCCTGGGAAAGGCAAAATTCCTACTTGGGAGAGTCCCCTGAGGCTTCTGGTTTTCGCTTGGGTTCTCTTGGAAGTGGAGGTTTTCATGGTTCCTGGCAATTGCATCCACTGGATTTTCCTTCTCACAACATGTTTTCCCACGTTAGTGGAAATGGCACTGAACTGACATCCAATGCCGGACAGAACTCTTCTAAGCAGTTATCACATGTTTTTCCTGGGAGACATCCTATGTCTTCAATGTCAAAATTTGATACTACCAATGAACGAATGAGAAATCTTTATCATCGTAGGAGTGAAGCAAACACCAACAACATTGATAAAAAACAATATGAACTCGACTTAGGTCGCATACTGCGTGGGGAAGACAGCCGAACTACACTTATGATAAAAAATATTCCCAACAAGTATGTTAATTGTCTCCCTAGTTTTTTGGATCTTCTTGCTGCTTAATTTTCAATCTACAACTGAATTTTGTGCTGGTAAAACTGTTAGTTACCTTCAAGCCATTATTTTATTTTTATGGATTATTTTAAGAGCTGACAATATATTTAGATAATTATGTATTTTACATTTAATGGTTTTATCCAGGTTGACAGCGGAGCATTTGGCTCTTGCCTTTTTTATTTTGAAGTGTTATTGCTCATGCTTGCTAATGCTTCCATACACACTTATGCATGCGGGTGTTCATTTGACATATACATTTTTTCATTATTCTCGTGATTTGAACTATTTCTGTATTTTATTTGTTATTTTTTTGGTAGATATACTTCAAAGATGCTTCTTGCTGCCATAGATGAGCAATGTAAGGGAACTTATGATTTTCTGTATTTACCAATTGATTTCAAGGTAAGTATTTATTTTTGGTTGGCTGATTATTTTCTTTGGAGAAAAAAAAATCATAAATATGTTTCTAACTCAGTTCTTCAATGATTGCCAGAACAAATGTAATGTTGGCTATGCATTCATAAACATGATTGATCCTGGTCAAATCATTCCTTTCCACCAGGTTATTTAGAAGTTCTTATGTAATTTTAACTCCCGCTATTTATCTGTGTACTATCAATTTGACTTCCTCAGTATTGATGGAGCTAAATAAGAAACGTTTTGCAGGCTTTCGATGGTAAAAAATGGGAGAAGTTTAACAGTGAAAAAGTAGCCACACTTGCATATGCCCGAATTCAAGGAAAAGCTTCTCTTATTGCTCATTTCCAGAATTCAAGCCTGATGAATGAAGATAAACGTTGCCGTCCTATTCTCTTCCATACAGATGGGCCAAATGCCGGTGATCCGGTAAATCAAGTTTGTTCTTCAGTTATATATATTTTTCAGTTCCTAACTGTACTTTACCAAGGAGCTAAATCTACTGTATTACATCTATGTTTCCCCCATATTTTGCATCATATATATGGTTTTACTGGTATTCATGGGAACCTATTGCCTGGTATAGTTAAAATGACGTGTTTGATTCCAATTAGAGGGGGATAACATAATTTTCAATCATAGTTAACCAAGAAGATTTTATATTTGGTTTCTATATCCTGTTCCTACCCTGGTACAACAATGATCTATTTTGTGTCTGCAGGAGCCTTTCCCTATGGGCGCCAATATTAGATTGCGACCTGGAAAATCTCGCACTTCTGGCAGCGAAGAAAATCGCAGCCAAGGGAGTCCTTCAACTTTGGGAAGTGGAGAGGAGTCTGCTAATGGGATAGATTCTTCAAGAAACTCTGACTGATATGGTCTGGGGCACTAACTGTTCAACATTGCAGCATAATGTGATATCAACCTCCCAAGTGTGTATATTGACATTTTCCTTTTATTCAAGAGAGAGAGGTAGGAGTTGGAGCCAGGAGGAAAAGAGGCTCACAAATTTTTTGGCCTATAGAGGAGCCTTGAACACAAGTTTTTTTGAGGCTGAGGTACATAACCAAAATGAAGTAACTGATTCTAGTAATTTTTTCTTTATTTTCATAAATTTTTTGCATTGAGTCCTCCTACCTTTCTCACAAGTTTAGAGAATGGCTTAACTGAAGCTCAAAATTTTGGCTAGCTGTGAACGGACGATGTCACAATTTGCATCGAGTTCCCTTCAGAATTGCGGGGTTCAAGGGGACTTTGCTGATTTTGTTCTTCATTATTGTTGTCTTCTTGTTTATATGTATTTGTTATTTTATTTTATAAATTCCAAGGCGTTTGTGCCCTTCTGGGATCATTTTTTGACTTTTTGTCCATAGAAGTGAATGTTGAGGAACATTTTAGTTTTATGTTACGTGTTATTTTAGATTTTGCTACTTCTCTTGCATTTCCAACCTCTGAATTCTTACGGCGTAAATCTATTTGTTTCTCAAATGTAAATAATGCCAACTCTTGGCACTTATTCTTTGTTTTTAATTTTAAAAGTTATAATAAAAATGAAAAAAATCAAATTTTAATTTTTTCAATTAAACAATAATTTGTTGTTTAAGGTGAAGCCCCTAAAAATTAAGATACAAGGAGCTACTTGAACTGTGCAACTCTTCAAGTTGCTTAGCTTGGAACTGTTTGTTGTATAAGAATACGTTGCTTATCTTATTTGTCAAACAATGCAACTCTACTGGTGGAACGAACAGTAGAAAGAACGATTGTATGGTTGAAAAAGCATCTTAAACACGTTACTAAGTTGTTATTAACACTCATCCACCATATACTTAGTACATTCTCAACAGTTAAAACCTTTTTTTTTATCCTTTAACCAATGTAGAAGATTTATATTTTTATAGACAAAGCTTAGATGTTTTTCAAGTGATTGCTATTTAATTAAAATGAGTTTTATATGAATAAAAAGTTGGCTTTTAAGGTTGTTGTAAATTATGAGATAGAACTTTAATTTTGATAAAATAAAAAATAACTAAAAAATCATAAGAAAACTATATCTAAAACTTGTTATTGTTTTATTCTATTTTTACAAGAAAGAAAAAAGTCGAGTTCCTTTATTAAAAAGGTTGCTTTTAAAATATTTGTTTAAAAATGCTAATAAAAATAAAGTTTAATTTTGATATATATTCTCAGTTTAAGTTTTACGTTTAATCAATTAAAATACATGATAAATATCTTTTTATATTGATTATTACAAAAGTAAAATTTTTTCACTTACATGACAATTTATGATTGAATAACAATATAAAAAATATTACATTATCAGTGCATTTTAATTAATTTCATAAAAATATATTAACAATATTTTTAATAAAATTGTTCTATTTTTAATTCTTTAATCAGACATTAATTAATATTGCAAGGGGAGGAGTAAACGACAGAAAAAAATTCCCAGTCTTGATGAATACTATATATTTTGTTTTACCCATAGGAGAAGACAAATCTGTAACCTCATGGTTTCTTGATTTATGATAGATTCCGCCATTCAAGGCTTCTTCTGTATTAACTAAGCAAAATGTGAGAAAGTCATTTAATGTCAAAGCTGTCATGATATTTGTTTTGTTTTTCAATGTCCCTTTCGAGATATGAAGCCCCAAGCATTGTACTATTGGACTTCCATTCATAATTAAATGAAAAATGCTAATCAGTCTATTAAGATATTGGTTTTTTTAATACATTTTTTATGTAATTCTTTTACTTTTAACTTCTTTAAGAACACTAAATATCAGTACCCTTGACTAATGACCAGATTAATGCGTGCAATGCACTTTCTTGAGCACCTCTTGAGAATGATTAGGCAAATAGGACAAAAATGCCTCACTGTTCGATTTGGTGATTATGAATGGCATTTCATGTGATGTGTTTGAAAGAATGTGTCGTAACACTTCCTATTGCAAATTCCATATTTTATATAAAAGAAATGAATCATCCTTTTCGATGTTCCTCATACTAAAAGTTGATTTAATGTTACTCAAGGATAATGAAACTCTGAATACCTGTGTTGTGTATGGGAAGCTTTTTATTTAAGTAAAATTTACTGAATCTTTTGTAAAATAATTTTAATTCTTCACTCAAATTCTTTAACTCCATTTTTTTTCCAGACATTTCTGAGAGGAAATTTATTTTATTCTCTCATAACGGAATTAAATTTGCCTAGCAAATATATAGATAAACAATTTTAAGAAACTTACAAGAATTAATTAACTTACTACATTGTTAAATTTAAAAAATTTAAATATATTGTAGGATTGCTTTTAAATTTAATATTTTTTATAAATTATAAAGAGTAAGGTTTTTAGAATATGAATCAATTACAAATAAACTGCAAGAAAAGAAAAAAAGAAGAAGAATAATACGTAGGAGCACATAGTTGGGAATTATCTTTCACACGTCATTCATCTAGGAGTTGTATGTTAAAGGACAATTTTGGAGGGAAGAATAAATTTGTATTTTTAATAAATATATTTAAAATAAATATTTTTTAAATAAAAATATTTAATTATATATTTATAATATAAATAATATATAATTTTTTAAATTTAAAATAAAAGATTGTTATTTATTATTTTCCCCTCAAAAACCCTCCAAACGTACCTTAGTTGGCAGTTACTATTCCTAATTATCAGTAATCATCCATATTACCACTAAATACAATATAATAACAACAATAAGCGCCTCTTCCCTTTCTTTCAAATTTGAAGAAGGTGGAGAGAGCAACGAGCAAGAGTAATAGAACTACGAACCCAAGAAGAAAAGGAAGCGAATGGAACTGCAGCAGAACGACGTCGTTGTGAATGGCAGGGATGAACACGAGGAAGCATTGCTGGCTCTCATACTACACCGCACCCGTGAAGTCAAAAGCCTTCGTTACTACATCTCCTATTACACTTCTCAGGTTCGCTTTTCTTTTCCTTTTTTCTTTAGTCATGTGAACTAAACATGTTGACAACGTTACTTGTTATTTTTTCCAAGTAAAACAACACAAAAATGGAATATTTGTATGGAAAATTATGAGTTGATTGCATGATGGTAAAAGACATGCAGCTTGAAGAAGCAGAAGCAAGGTTGCAAGAATCTAAAGCTAAATTAGCTCACTTTAAAGGCACTAGTGCAAGTTTACTAGATGTTGAAACTAAATCTTTGAAGATAGAGCATGGACCAAAAGGTGCCATTCATAAAAATGAAGGTTCCTCCAACAACTACCATAATACTACTTATAAGTCCAGGGAAGTTTCTAGTGATATGGAAAATGTTGAAGTCAAGGAAAGAGGGATCAAAAGGAAGTTTGGTAAGACATTGATACGAAGGGTAGCCTTCATTGTTGTTATATAACTTTGATCAGATCATAATCCATATCTAAGGCTAACTTTTGTCAATTATTTCTTTAATTTTTTAGGGCAGAAAGAGCACAAGGAATTGGCTGCTTTAGTATGTAAGAGTTCTTCCCCAGGCTCTGTCAATTATCAAGCAAGCAATCACTTCTCAAGTCTGCACAAGAGGAAATTGCGATGTATTGCTCTCTGTCCTGTGAATGATCAGCGTTTTGTGACCAGGTAGAAGGATAATTTCTCTATGAAAAAGATTAGGTTATGTTTAGATTATATAATCATTTTCTTATTGCGAAAAAGGTTATGGATATGTTAGGATTATAGTTTGCAAACCATTGTTTAGCACAAAGAAGTAACTATTCCCTCCCCCCCCCCCCCCCTCTGGTTGGTAGCCGAAGTCATGTTCAAACAAAGCGCATTATTGTTGATTGAAAGTTGACTCAACATCAAAATCAGTGTCCCTTTTTCTTTCCCTTCTAATTCTTCGTTTGCTAATCTCTTTTCATCTCCCATCTTCTGGTCAAAGGCATTTCATGCATTATTGGCTATTAGTGGTTTAAAAGCTCTTTCTATTAACTTGGGCATTTTTTCCCATTCTCAGTTTAAATTACAGTATTATGTCCATTATTTTTCTGGTGATACAAGTGTGTCATAATCTGATTTGCTTCTTTTTGGGCAATGATTGCAGTGCTTTAGATGGTGTGGTCAACATGTGGGAAGTTCAATCTTCGGGGTATGTTGAGTTTCTTTTGACCCTATTTATTTTATAATTTTTCTTATATGTTATATGTTGGTTGACTCAAGTATCAAATAATCTACAAGAGAACCGTACAAATGAATTTAAAATATGGATCCGCTTGTTCTTCAAGATAATGAAATATGTGCTTCTTGCTTATAATATCGTGATACGCTAGTGCATGAAGACATTTTTTTAATGTGTTTTTATATAATTTCCTATAAAAGAAGAGATTCATTGTTAAAATTACATGACTATATATATTTGATTATTCCTTTGAAATCTAGTTTCGAGTCACTTTATTTCCTCTTCAACATATTCATTTTCTTTTCAGGAAAATTCTTGATCATTGAATAGTAGGTGGTAGTAAATTTTATGAATGATTTGGTGCGTTCTGTGTAATTATCAAGTCAGTATCTTACGGTGTTCTAGCAATTTGCGATAGATCAGGTTACTGCATTGTTTGATAATTAATTCTGGAGAGCAATAAGATGGTACAGATTAAGTATTGAGAATTTTCTTTGGGGTCTTTTTTTTTTTATTTATCTTTTTAGCTTTAGTAAAAATTGTGACATCTGTCCAGTTCCTTCTTATTTTGTGCATGGTAGTTTAAGCTATGGCACTCAGTGGACTGTCATTTTATGAAACTTGGTTACCTGGTTTATTATTGCTTTTCTCTTTCCTCCCCCGGTGACAGTTTGTCCCTCGGTGTATATGAAGTTTTGTTGTAGAAATAACTTTTGAACTTTAAAAGATGTTAAATATTGTCACCTTATTATATATTTTTCATTTTATTTCTCTCCATCTTAATTTGTAGATCAGGAGCCTCTTTGCGTAGAACTATTGATTGTGTATCCCCAAAGCAAAGGAGATGGCCAGAAGATATAGCGTGGCACCCAGAGGGAAATCGCCTGTTTTCAGTGTATACTGGTGACAATCAAGACTCTCAAATATCAGTTACAGATTTGAGTAAAGAACAAGGAGGAGGGGTAAAATACCACTTTTGACACAAATATTCTGGCATGGAAGCAGCAGTTTAGAATTTGGGTTTTTTTAGTAGTTGATTAATTTGATATTATGTAAAATATTTTTGTATTTGACAGAGAGCACATATCAATTTCTTAGAGGACAAGCCTCATGTTAAGGGTGTTATCAATAGCATTGTTTTTCTGCCCTGGGGAAATACCAGTTTTGTAACTGGAGGAACTGACCATGCTGTTATACTGTGGAGTGAGAATGGTGAGAACAAATGGAAGCCGAAATCATTGCATAGGAATTTTCATACTTCTGCTGTCATGGGAGTTGCTGGTATGCAGCAGAAGCAACTCGTATTGTCTGCTGGTAAAGACAAGAGAGTTTTGGGGTATGATGCTCATGTAGGAAGGCAAAATTTCATGCATCTGGTTGAGAGTAAATGCTTGAGTGTACTGCCAAATTCATGTGACTTCAATTTATTCATGGTTCAAACTGGGTAAATTACATCTGCCTTTGGAGTTCTCTTTTGCTGTTGAATTCATTTATTAACTGAGTTTCTTTATCTATTCATAAGCTTTGCTATATTACTATATTAGCAGAATTTGCCTCGTCTAAAGTGAGATCTCACGTTAGAGAAAAAGAAGTAAAGAATCTCAATCATTGTTAAAAAAGTCAAAAGTTGGTATTGCATGTATAAAGTGAATTATTCACTTTACACATGCAATAAATAATGAGTTTTTAAAATCTACTCCTTGGGGATTTTTCTAATTAATGGTTGAGATGCCTCACTTTTCTCTCTCTCTCTAAAGTGAGTAATTCACTTTAGAGAAGTTGAATCCCATATCATATGATAAAATTAATGTTGTAATCAACATTCTTATGTTGTACAGTTCACTTTAAGTAATGGAAACAAGAAGGATTAGGTTTCGATTCCTTCAACCTGTAAACTTCTCACACTACTTGATGTGGTGCACACCTACCAGGCTACGAGTTTGTACCTCTTCATATGATATTTTAGTAGTCGGAACTGCAATCTTTGTGACAAATATTGAAATATTGACATGCTTACGACACCATAATGGTGAAAAACGCTGTTGTTAATTGATGGGATCAATTCCTAGACTGATGGTACCTTATGGTAGTTGCTTACTGGCCTATGGGCATGGCTTTATGCATCAAAGATGCTACATATTTAGGATGAGAAAATTTGTCTATGATATTTCAGCCTTCCCTATGCTTTCTAAATAATGACTTCCCACAGGATAAGGTTGACTACAGATTACATGATGACACCGTTTAGTCAAAAACCATTTTTTTTTCCTTATGCTTTCTGAACACACAAAAAATGAGAACATAACCCATAATTCAGTAGGGCTTTTTCCTCTAATTTTCCAATCAGGAGAAAGATTTTATTCTCACAATTCAATGTGACAATTAGTGTTCAATTTTGCCCTTCTGTTATTTATATTCTAGAGTGGCATGTGATATAATATAACGATAAGTTAATTGACAACAATTTTGCTTGTACCTTTTTGTTGCATGTAAGTTTATAGGAGATATTAACTGTTTTTTGTTTTTCCTTTTATTTGTTGCAGGACCCCAGAGAGGCAGCTTCGACTATTTGATATTAGATCAAAAGGGACAGAACTTCATGCTTTTGGATGGAAGCAAGAAAGCAGTGAATCTCAGTCAGCACTGATAAATCAGGCTTGGTCCCCCAATGGACTGTACATAACATCTGGTTCAGCTGATCCTATGATTCATATATTTGATATTAGATATAATAGTCGCAAGCCTTGCCAATCTATAGAAGCTCATCAGAAACGAGTCTTCAGAGCTATGTGGCTTCAATCTGTTCCCCTTCTGATTTCCATATCATCTGATCTCAACATTGGGTTACACAAAGTTGTGTAGAACAAGTCCAATGCTCATGTAGAGTGTCCTGTCTCATTTTTTGGGTGATTGAGAAGTTTGGTTGGAAAAGGAATGGCCAGTTATTTTATTTTGTAAAGGTTCTTATTTCACCATTTTTTGTGGGGTTTACATATATTTTCTAAACCAACCTGTATGTATGATTTTAATGACATTAGATAAAAAGGAATTAAGTATCTAATTACTTGTTTATACGATAATGACAAATATCCGAATTGTGCTTCCTTTCCTTGAGAGATGTTAAAGTAAATATTTATTTTATTTCAAGAATATGAAAATTTGGCATGATTTAATTCATTTTAATATAAACAGATCTTGAAGATGATTACTTATGAACAATTAAGTGCCTGTCTCCGAAGCAACTAGAACCAATTCCTTTCACATTTTCAACTGTCAACTTAACACATTGGGATGTGAAATGAGATCATTCAGATAATACAAGTCACTTGATTATATAATAGTTGTAATGTTATTTGTTTTATCCTTAATGGGTCCGAAATATGCATATTTCACATGATTTTGTTAGACACAACACGAGCCGTCCGTGGTTTCAGCAAATTCATATTCTCGTCCAGCTGCTGAATCACGTGTTTAAACGTTAAGGGATCTTAATGTCTCTGATAATTCCATTTACAGTTGAAGCCATGAGTATATGCATGTTGGTCATAATTTTTTTTTCCTTTTAATTTTTGTCGTTGCATGAAGGGAGGGACAAAAATTTTAGCGGAGGGAAGAGATGCCTTATTTAGTTATAAGAAGAGGAGAGAGAAAGTAAATGAGTTTATTATAACATATATAAGATAACTAAATATATCTATTAAATTAAGGATTATTTTATCTAACTTATTTAAAAATTTCTTTTCCTTCCGAATCTCTCTACTCTTAAGTTGAGCGAGAAGAGATTTTGACCTCCTTTTATTTATTTATTTATTTTCGAAAATATTAACCTAAACATATAAAAAAATATAAGAATTCCTCACCTGACCTCTCTTTCCCTTTATTTTTCAAGGGACGTTTACTTCAAAAACCAACAGGTATATAATGCCATATTACTGTGTCTTGATGTGCATAAGTGTGAGAAACTCATATAAGGTGCTGCAGTTATGATGTTGCAAGCACAATGGTATCAGCTACGTGTTTGATAAGGCAAGTTTTGAAGATGGAAGTCCAAGCATACAATTTGACTTTGTCCATGTGCTTGTCACTATCATGCATCCCGTCCTCTAGTGGTTGACTACTTGACTCCATTATCATTTTGCATGTTGACTAGGTGACATTTTGGTATACTAATCACTTAATAATGCGACCATATGTATTACCATTGTATTTGTCAACATGCTCTTTGGGCAGCAATTTTTTCTATGGACTCCGAAGATTCCGGTTTCTTCATAATTCTAACCTCATAAGCATAGTTTATAATTGGCCAAAATTGAATAATAATATATGGCAGCTAGGAAATTAGAGAACTATTAGTTTGTTAAGTTATGGATCAATTAACATCTAGATAAAAATAATTTAATTCATTTTTTATTTAAATAAGTAATATTTAGCGGGTCTTTTTACAACTAGAGTTGTTGTTTAAAAGGGGTGTTTTTAAGTTTAAAGGTTTAAAATTTTTGTTTGTGGTTTGTGGTTGCCGTAGAGCCGAAAAACTTTGTATAAATACAGCGTTTAAATATAGGACTTTTTATTAAATGTATCGACCTCGTACATGCAAACACAACTGAATCTTACAATATTATATATATGTTAATCCTTAAGATTTTCGAGACCTGAGGTTGATTGACCTGTCAAATTTTTTGACTTTATTTTAATACTCAATTTTTATAGAAACTGTCAAATTCTGTTAATTAATGATTGATTGTGAAAAATATTTTTTAATATTTAATTATTTCAACTAATTACATTAAATAATTTTATGTTAAAGACTAGCGTAAGGTTTGACTTAAACTTATTTCCTTTTATAAGACTGTATTTCTTAATTATAATTGAAACTAACAAGCATATTTAAATCTTAACACAAAAAGCTTTTCAGCATGAATTAAATCATACTATAATATTGGAAAAACAATCGAGTTAAACGCAGTAGAGGGAGGGGTGGGACCGTGTGAGGAAATGGTAGATGGAGGTGGGGTGCAGTGATGGAACACGTTCATGAACATTGAAAGAAAGATTAGAAGAAGGATCATGCGTGGTGTTCTACTTTTAGGGGGTCAGCAGAAAGCACGTCAAGCATTGCAGCTTATACATGCTCCTTCGCCACAGACATGCATGCCACTTTTCTCCCTCACACTTGTCCGGTTCCTCTCTCTTTTTGCTTGGTTTATATGTGTATGCATTATGCAAGTAAAAGAATGTCCCAAATCTCCAAATGAAGTAACTCCTTTCTTCACATCATCGGACGTGTATTATCATCAATTAATATTTTCTACCATTAAAATCCAAAACCATTTTCAGAATCAAAAGGAGAACGCTTATGATTAATTAATGGTTTCTAAATTGTCAATACATTAACGGGACCATTTGTGTAAGTCGACAAATCAAAGGGGAGGAAAAGCCCGTTGCCATGGATGTTTCGTGTTTGTAGGGTTACTCAATAATTTTTTATTAATTAATTCACGTATTTAATGGTGTTTCAATATTATATTTGACATTGTGTATATATATATATATATCCATGTCAAAAGTACTTTTTCAAATTCAAAAGAATAATAAATATTATTCCAAACTTACTGTAACAAAAAATATTACTTTCCCTTTTACTACTTCATAATGTGCTGTCGTCTAGACCTCAACTAGATAGTAGCTACCTACCTATATGTACAACATGATTACATTTACTATGAGAAGAAAATATGAGCTGTTTCTGCATGTCTAAAATTGATTTAGAGAAAAAAAAAATAGCATCCAATATATTTAATATTTCTTTTATGGTCTAGACATGCTACCTATATATCGAACAGTTTGTTTTGGTAATTCTGTTTGCAGAATAGAAAAAATAAATAAATAAACTCTAATGTATTTTAAGGGAATATTTTTTTAATTTAAATTTAGTCTAGTAAAAAAGGTACAGTTGGTATATCAAATATTAAGTATGATACTTTTTTTATATACAAATTAGATGTAGTTTAACATGAGTGGTTGAATAAAAATAAAATGAAACACATTTTTTAAATTGTACCAACTGCATCATTTTTTAGTTTTTGTAAATTCAAATTCAAAGTTTTTACTATTTTAGATTATACACTTTCTTCTTTTAAAAGTAAGACACTTAACTTAAAATATGTGGTAAAATAAAATAAAATAAAAACAGAGAAAAAAATTACTAAATAAAAAAGAACTATAAAGGAGTAGATATTATAAAAATATAAAAAAAATTGTTAGTTTTAAGGATGTTAGAGAATAAGAGTATGTTTGATTATCACAATAGTTATTACACACATTGCAAGTGAAAATCGTGAGAAAAAAAATTTCTTTTGTAAGCTTTTTTTTTTATTTAATTTAATCTAGATTTAATTCCAGTTGTGCACCTGAATGTGATAAATAAATCTATTACAAAAGATTTTTTATATACATAGAGACTTAAACTCGATATTTTTCTTAAGCCAAATTAAGACTAACCTTCGTCCTTCTTTTGTAAGCTTTATTCATACCAAAAAAACATACACTAATTCATGATAAAAATATAGTAGAAAATAGGCCTTTAATTGCAGGGTACAACTCAATTGATTTTTCTTTAAAAAAAAATCCATATAATCAAAGGTCAAAATAGGAAATTAGTTTTTCTGGAATGCGCAATAAACAACCACATACTTGTAGAAACCGCTATGGAGAAACTTAGCACGTATTATAGAGTAATAACATCATTAAAAAAAACGTGGAGACATTTTCATTATTAGGCATGATAGCATTCTGGGATTTGGGTTTCATTTGATACAGAAATTGTTTGTAGTTTTTATTTTTCTTAATTCGAGCTTGTTACTAAATATTCCAGTTTAGCGAAGGTTATTATATGTTTAATAATAATTGTACAAACCACACACACAATATGCTTAAAAATAATTAAGTAAGGGTCATATGAGGAAATTAGATGTAGATTTATAATCAAATAAGGTTTAAATATAATTAGTTAATCTCAAAAGAGATTTAGTTATCTACAAATATTATATCTTTTTTTAAAAAAAATTCAAAAGAAGACAACTTTTCTCAATATACCGTGAAAAAAAGTGAAGTTAAATGCAGTTAACATTTCCATAAAATTAAGGCTATTTAATAATTTTAAAATCATTATATGAAACCTTTAACGATAATAAATTTAAATTTGAGTATTAATGTGTTTATAAAGGGGAGTGCACTAATGCTCAATAATCAGACAAAAATAATTATGATTTGATATCAGATATACTTATTGGATGAATAACTGTTTGCGTCCTGCGTGCAATAATATTAAAGTTATCGTCTTTTTATTTTTTAATCACTCTTATATACCAAAAATATACAAAGAGTTTCATGGAAATTATATACCTTCTTCGTCAGTCAGTCCTAGGCTTAAGGAGTTACATGATAATGATTAATATTTTCAAATTGAATTTACTTAAATATATAATAATTTACTCTTGATGAAACATTCAGAAATTAATCTTAAATTCACAAATATACAATTAATCTATTGCCTTTTACAGACTTAAATATCTTTTTAATTTATATATTTTTGTAGTCTTTATACTTTTGGTTTTGTTTTTGTTTTTTTATTAATTTAATTTCACTAAAATTTAACGTATTTAAGTTTTCATTTAATAGTTATCAAGATTTAATTGTTAATTTTAAAAAAATGGAATTAAAGTTAAAAGAAAATAAAGAAACTAAAATGAAAAGGCTGTGACAATATAAACATCAAAAACATATTAAACTGAATTTATTGTGATATTTTATGGGTGAAAAAATTTCATGTAAGCATTACTTTACCAAATATAAATAAGTAAAAAGAAAAAAACTAAGATGTTAAAATGAAAAAGACTTTTGAATAATAATAAAAAAAATAACTCTACCTAGAGAGTTTTGGTATTTACAGTAATTTTAGTAGACTCAAATAGAATTATTTTTCGTAGACAAGATTATGGTGTTGATAAAATAACAAAGAGGGTCATGAACATGTTGAAAGAAATAAGAGGCAGAAGTCGATCGCTGCATGTGCTTTCCACCATATATCTTTTTTGACTTTGTCCAACGCTTTTAATTCCTTTTCTTTTTCATTTTTAATAATAGTCCTTTACCTTTTTTTTAATAAACCCCATATATATTATTTTTCAATTTCATTTCTTTTATTATATCTAATTCCACCTTTTTTTCTTATACAATTTACAAAGATAACCTAAAAAGGTTATTAATAAGTAGTTAGATAGTAAAAACTTTAAAAGCTTTATAAACAATAACCATACTTATTGTAATATTTGTATATTTTTAACTCATACATTATTAAAATAATTTTAAAATAAAAAATAAAACTCTTCAATAACATAGAAACATCTAATTCAATGAATAAGCATGGCCAAAATATGAAAGATTAATCAAATGTCAACTTCCTATTAATTTATAGCTTAAACTAAATGTTGATAGAGTTGCTTCTCAAACTACTTAAACTGTTGTTACGAAAGTCTCATTAGAATTGGAAATAACAATTTTATTGCTAATTTTTATAATTTCTTTGAATATATAATTTTTTTACAACAGAATTTTAGGATTATATTAGAGTTTAAAACTAATTTTTTGTAAGAAAATTCAATTAATTTAGATTGAATGTGATTCTATAAATACTATCTTCTTAGTTGTTAATTATTATAATTATAGTAATCTTCTGTACTTTGTAGTTAGTGAAATTAGAAGATTGTTGAGATGGATTAAATTTATCCTATTTAACCATGTTAAGAGAGAAACAAATCAAGATGTGAATTAGTTAGCTGAACTTTAAACTTAAAATAGCTTACCTTTCTTGTATTTTGATAAGGCCCTCCATCCTATTCTTCTAATGTTTAAATTTCAAGATATGTTATTTAAGTCTTTATTTGTTTTTTAACTTTTAAGCTTTATTTATTAAAAAAATAAAAAATTACTTATTACTTTTCTTTGTATTTAAATATTAAAATTACAAACAAAAAAGCTAAAAAGTAAAACTTAACTATAATATTTCAATTATTTGTTGTAGTATTTTCAATAAAATAAAATAAAATTTTACTTTATCAATGTATATTATTTTTATGTTGAAAATTGTTGAAATAAAATTATAATTATAATTTAAAATAACACAAAAATATTATAATTTCTTTTTCTGAAAATGGAATTTACTTTCTTATTATCTTTATTACATAAAGAGTGATAAAGTGTACAAGAAAAATAAAAGATAATTTGGCAAATTACAAAGTAGATAAATAATAGGATATTCAGGATCCGGTTTTCTCGATATTCCTTTCAATTTCTGAGTTCGTAGTCTTCGCGGTCACCTACTACACGTTTACTTCAACGCCTGAGAGAATTCGAATGGGTAACTGCTGCTCCGATGTCGCCGGAGGCCGTGCGGCCGTCGGCGGCACCGCCGGCAGCCACTTCAATCCAGCCAACGCTCCAAACGACGCCGTCGATAACTTCCTCAGGTCTCGTGGCTACCACGGTGTCTTCTCTCAGATCGAGGTTCTCACTTTTATTTCCACTCTTTCTTCCTATTTGTAAATTGGTTTCACTACATTTGTCTTCAATTCGCTCTTAGTTTAGTGGCTCTTATGGAAAAAGAGCGCGTAACGGTGGCCTCTTTTCTCTCGCAGTTGTCGTTTTCTGCTTCTGGCTTGCGTGATCGTGATGTACTCTCCAAGGTTTGTCGTTTTAACCGTTTCATGAATCTCAATTGTCAAGCTCCTTGAAGGCGTTTTATATGATCGTTTTTTTTAACCAAAGATAAATTAAAAAGTTAGAGGAATCCAATTTTCCCTAATTAATGTGAATCTCAGTTTTATGCCAGCTTAATTGTCTCTTGTTTGGACTATTTATTCGATGCGTGTCTTGTTATGCACATCCAGGAAAAATTAATACTAGGAAAATTCCTTAGCACTTCGAGAATAGTTGGTTGTATTTTTCTTCTAAAATTTCAGGCAATAATGCAAGGTGATTTTCTCCCTTTTTTACGAAAATAATTTGAAGTGAGCATGAAAACTGAGGCAGATTATCTCAAACAGAAAAACTTAATAATGTACTTTTTGTTCTGGAGGAAAAGAAAGTATTCCAGTAATGTATCCTTGCATCATTGTAATAGATGAAGGCATACTAAACCACATGGATCAATGAGGACAGTCAATTGTCCCTTTGATTGTACGGATTGGTATCCTTCAAATACAATGTTATGCTTTTAATAGCTAATATTCTCATCAATCAGTAGCATGATTATTGCATGACTGTTCATTGCTGTAGAGTGATCCAATGGTGGTTCTTTACTCAAGAGGAAAAAACAGAGCGCTTGAGGAACTTGGCCGGACAGAAGTAATTTTGAATTCGTTAAATCCTAAATGGATTACTAAACACACTCTCATTTATCATTTTGAGGTTGTTCAGGTTTTAGTGTAAGTTTAAACAACATGTTTTTACTTCTTAAAAGGCATATGAGGATCTTGTTGTTTCACGAGGAATTGTTCTTTGATATTTCTTTCCTCGCAGGTTTCGTGTATATGATGTTGATACTCAGTTCCACAATGTAGATGTAAAGGTATAGTGTTTTTTACATCATGTACATTTTATTTCTTTTTTTTTTTTTGGGGGGTAAGATATGGTTCTAATATATATTTTAGGCTATCTGAGATTTTTTTAATGTACCAAGTGTCAAGTGGTTCTGAGAATCTTGTAATCTTATTTGTATTAACTTACTGCAAAATGTATAAAGTTATTCACATTGATAATGATATCACCTGACTTGAGATTTCACATGTAACTGTTTAGATATAAAAAAATTTGTTTTAAGCCTCATATGTTGCTATTGTATCAGTTACAGTTTCATTATTTTACCCTGGAGACTCCAACGTTCCCACCTTTTTTAGTTCAAGATTTTATTCAATAAAGAAAATTTACATATGCAATATGCTACAGAGCTACCTTTTCTATGGATGTGTAAATTTACAGTTTTGCAGCATTTTAAGAGAGAAGTAAAATTGTGCATGGTTGATAACATGGATCATTGGATGAGACTTTTTTATCACGGCTATTTTCACAATCAGACCATTTACCAGTTGTTTCCCTGACAAAAATATTAATTTGCTATCTGGACATTTTTACTTGCTTGTTCATTAGATGTGATATTCATATGATGTTCTATATTGCATTATTGTAACTCTAACTAGTCCACATTAGATTCAATAACATGTGGATAGAGCACGAGTATGAGTCCACATTGTAACTATCTGGATGACTTATGCAGATGCTTAGGCTAGAAGAGCAGCAATATCTAGGTGAGGCAACCTGTGCATTATCTGAGGTAATGTAGAGACTGTTAAACCTTTGTTGACTGATATCTGACACCTAATAGAAAATTCATTATGCACTCAATAAAGTTGTTTCTTTACAACTACTCTATCTCACACTATTACTGTTTTTCTCAATATATGGTGCTTGAAAATGCTTAACCTGTCAATTTCTGGAGTTAATAGTTGATTAGGTAAGTACCAAGCATATTGAAAGGTTTTGAATCCAAGAAATATATACTCAAATTGTATGCCCTATGAATTTCTGAAATAGCATCCCTGTGAATGAACCCATCAACGGTTACAATTTGGCCTGTGCAGATAATTACAAAGTCTGATCGATCATTGACATTAGATTTACACAGAGAAGATTCTATCAGATCTACCCAATCCCAAAACTGTGGAAAGCTCTTGGTGCGTGCAGAGGAATGTGTTACCTCAAAGACTACAATAGAGATGATACTTAAGTGTTCTGATTTGGAATACAGGGATCTCTTCTCAAGAAGTGTATGTCTTTATTTATTTATTGTTTATTTGTTTGTTAGCCATTACAAGGAACACCAATAATTGCATAAGACATGTTTTTCTTTATCCTGCAGGATCCCTTTTTGTTGGTATCAAAAGTCGTGGAAGGTGGTGCCCAAATTCCAATTTGCAAAACAGAAGTTATTAAAAATGATCACAACCCAGCATGGAAGCCAGTGTTCTTGAATATTCAACAAGTAGGAAGCAAGGTATAAAACTTACATACAGTCATGTTTTGGTCTGTTGAAATTTAGGGAGTATTTGAAAAAGAGAAAAGGGAGAATAATTTACTAAATATAAATAGGACTGTAAATAAATGTAATGTAAAAAATTCACTTAATATTCTGATTCATACTAATATTTTATAGTTCATCTAGTACACTATGGTTTTCTGATTGCTAAAGACAAAGCAGAATCAGTGGAGGAGAACATCACAGGATAGAACATGATAAGATTGTTAAAACAACAATAAGACTTATCTTGTAACAATGTGCATAGCTGGCATATTCTTATATAGTCATATCTAGTTTTGGTTGCCTATTAAAGTAAAGAACCATAAAATGTTCCTTTTGTTTTCAAATATTCTCTCAAAGGAAAGGTCACTGGTTCAATTTGTGTTGTGTTTCAAAAATTGCACTTTTTTTTTAATAAAAGAAAATGATATATTTCAAAATGTTCTTTTTTCATTGTCAGTGACTCGATAATCAATTACTCTAAAAGCTTAAGCTGCAAGGTTGAGGGGTGACATTTTATCTAACACACCTCTGCCTCCATGTAAGGCCCCATTTAGCTTGAAACATGCTTAGTTCTACTTTACCTTGTGTTGAAATTCAACTTTTGTTTAGAAGTGTGTGGCAAGGAATGAACTCTTGATCACTTGTCATAAAGGCTTTGATGCCATGAGTCATCTCAACAATTGACTCTCCTAAAAGCTTAAGCTATTAGGTAGTGGCTCATGAATGCTTTATATCTAATAGTTATCTTTTCACTTCATGTCAATGCTTATTATCAATAGTTTGGGTTCTGGTTAGTTTTAACATATAATGAAGGTATACTGGTATTATTACATTGACTACAGTCCTCTGGAAGCATGAATATATTGTTATCATAAGGTTGGCTCAGTGCATGAGACTCCCACCTCTATAGGGTCCGGGAAGGGTTGACTTACACAGCCTTATAGTGTGAGGGGGATGTTGTTTCCATGATTAAAGTGACCACTGAGTCAGTGGAGCAACAATGATGTTGCAGCAAGGATCACTCTGCATTTATTGTTACCATAAATAATTAAATATGGAAATTTGCCCATACTTTATCACATAACTTCTAACTCTTTGGTATAAACCAACTGAGGAAGCTATCTCATTTTCGTTTTTATTATATACAGGAAAGTCCTTTGATAATAGAGTGCTATAACTTTAATAGCAATGGCAAACATGATTTGATGGGGTAATCAGAAGTTTCTTTTTTCTTCTATTTATCCTTTATCCCTTAAATATATTTCTAGGATGAAATGGATAATATGATTGTTTATTCTTGTTTTATCAGAAAAGTGCAGAAATCTTTGGTGGACTTGGAGAAACTTTATTCTAGTGGCCAAGGAGAAAATTTACTTTTGCCCACTGCTGTGGGTCATAATTCTCACAACAAGGTTTTATTATATTAAAATAAGTGTATTTTTATTAAGAATTCCTCTATCTATTCCTAAAAGCATGTTTAACTATAATGCAGATGTTAAAGAGCCAGATATATGTGGAAAAATTTGTTGAAAGTATCCAATATACTTTCCTGGATTACTTGACCGGGGGATTTGAATTGAACTTCATGGTGGCCATTGATTTTACAGGTACATCATATATCTCCAAACTTATTGTGCCTAATTATTTCTGGATTGCAACAGATGTCGTCATCACTACTGTGATATATTTGTGCACGAATAAAATAATCAAGTGATGGAGGGTGAGACAGTAAAGTTTTTGCTTATGGTGTTTGTAATATGAGAATTTGCTTTTAGTTGTTTGGGTCTTAGTATGATATTATTAATTGAAAATTTTATATTCTATTCCTATCTTGGATTTGGATTTTGTGAGTTTTAAGTTTATGCCACAATCAGTAAAATTATGTTTAGTTGAATCCCCTATATCTATCATAATTCATAGGATTTTCAGTCTTGGCAGTCGAATTTATCCATAAGAAGTGCTGGTGTTTATCAATATTTTCTTTTCTGTTTTGCATCACTAAGATTCCCATATAGCTATATTCACTGTCCTTGCTATTTCTCGTAAAACTTGCCTGAGATGAAATTGTTAACTTCTCTGAAATGTTATTCTGATGGATGGATTGTGCTTTTGAAATTTCATCTAGTTACTATAGATATATTGGCATTTTCTTAGTTTTTCCAATAGCCTTGTATCATAGGATTGGCCTTGGAAAAATCTTTCTTCTTATGGTATGAGCTTTACAATAATTTTTTATTATGAAAGAATTACGTTAATGTTACAAGTCTGAAGTTCAGTATGAATTTACTATTATTTAGCAAATTTACTCTCTGGTTTTGTCGTCCAATTTACCAGCAAGCTAGTGGTTTAATTGTTAAACGGCCATCATCCCCAGTCGTCGCTAACACTTAGATTACAGTCTCCACTAGTGTGCATGGTCATCAGGCTGTGTCCCGTCTGCCTTTAGGGGAGCATTTGTGGGTTCCCCAAAGTGGTAGTCCTGTGGCCCCTGGTGTCCATGTCCATAGCTGATATGAGGTTGACCATCTGATCATCCTCTCTTTTTCTTCCCCCACCCCCCAGCATCCTTTTACTTTGAATTTTACTGGAAAATTAACCTTATCAGATACATTTTACACTTTTTACTAACCTGCTGATTATGTATGAGATGACAGAGATCCCATGTATTTTTATGGACTAACCTCTTGTTAACCAGCTTCAAATGGAAATCCACGCCTTCCAGATTCTTTGCATTATATTGATCCGTCAGGACGGCCAAATGCATACCAGAGGGTAAGAAATGATTCTTGGTTTGAATTTCTGAACTTTATTTGGTACTGATCCATGTTGTACGGAATTTTCTTTTGTAGGCAATTTTAGAGGTTGGGGAGGTGTTACAGTTTTATGATTCAGACAAGCGATATCCTACTTGGGGATTTGGAGCACGGCCTATTGATGGTCCTGTCTCTCATTGTTTCAACTTGAACGGAAGTAGTCATTACTGTGAGGTAGAAATGCTAAATCTGATCTTCCTTTTGTTGTCATATTGAGATAGTTCTATAATAATTATAAGTTTCGGTCTTTTCCAGGTGGAAGGCATCCAAGGAATTATGATGGCATACACAAGTGCCCTGCTTAACGTTTCTCTTGCAGGACCTACTCTTTTTGGACATGTCATAAGCAATGCTGCACTGATGGCCAGCCAATCGGTAGCAAATGGGGGAAGAAAGTACTTTGTTTTGTTAATCATCACAGTAAGAATTAGAACATGCAGTTTTAAATACCATTTTTACATTAGTTATAATTTATGTTAAGTTAAAATTTAAGTGCAACATTATAAACACTTTTAATGTTGTTTCCTAATCAGAGTTAGAGTTTCATCTCCATAATCTATTTAATGAAAGTTAATATTAAAAGTCAGCACATCAACATAAAATATTTACTCATATCACTAGGGTAAAACTCTAACCCTAATTGAAGAACACTACCAACCATACTGATGTTAAGTTTCTCCTTTTATATTAAGTTTGGGAGGTGGAATGGGGATTCCATTTCATGCCCAGTTGAGCCCATTCCACGGAACAAGCATTCTTATGTTAGCAAAAGAAAACATGGATTCAATGTCTGGTTTAGTGTATTTTGAAAAAAGAAAATTGTTTATTTTTGTCGACTTGTTGAGAGAATTTTTAAAAAATAAATTATTATTTCTCTAAATTTAAGGTGTACCAAACATCCTACCAATCTCATGCTTTGTTCCATAGAATCAGGAATCACCGTCTGTTCTAAAGATGTGGGGTTGGTGTTTCCATGCCCCCTTTCAGTATTGAGATTTAAGTTCAGTTTGCTAATGCTAACATACCCTAATTTAATTTATAGAAAGACATTAATTATTTATGTCGTTTGTAAATTCTAATTTTGTTTTAAGTTTTAACCTACCTGTCATGTCTTACAATTAACTTTAAATGCTTTGTAAAATTTTCAATAAGAATAATTGTGTACATATATGAAAAATCATAAAAAAATTAAAATTTCATGAGAAATTTATGAACTATTTTATTTAAAATATTGAATATTATTTTCCTCAAATAAAACAATTTTTTGTTCTTTATTTTGTTGTTAACTTATTGTTATAAAAATTTGATTCGAAGATTATGATGAGAAAAACTAACATTTGCTTCTCTTTAATCTTATTTTGTAAAATCAACGTTGTGTGTACCAAACGTGACTAGTGCTTCTTCAATTGTTTCTCTTTAGCATGGCTTGACTTATATATATGTAAGGCATATCCGAGGTGTACCACATCATTTTGTTCCGTATACCAAAAATCCATGTCTCCCTTCTGTGAACTTTATAAGATTTTTGCATCACCTTTTGTTTTCCATTGCTGGGGCTGAAATTTAGCTGATCCCACTAGGATGGAGTGGTGACAGATCTCCAAGAAACAAAAGATGCTCTTGTTAAAGCATCTGATCTACCCCTATCAATCCTTATTGTTGGGGTAGGAGGAGCTGATTTCAAAGAAATGGAGGTATTTAGTCTAACAGGTTGCTCTTTGTACACGCAGTTATGATTTTTTTCATCTGTGGCTTTGAGCGGTGTGTCTGATATAGCACCCCAGGGCTTAATGTAAGTTTTTTTGTTCAATGTCACAGATTTTGGACGCAGACAAGGGAGAGAGGCTTGAAAGTTCATCTGGTCGCGTTGCTTCACGTGATATAGTCCAGTTTGTTCCATTTCGGGATGTTCAAAGTACGTATTACTTTGCAAATTATGACTTTGTCAAATGATTTCTAACTTATCAATCTCTCCCAAACTTCTTCCTTTTGCAGGTGGAGAAATTTCAGTAGTTCAAGCACTTCTAGCTGAATTACCTACACAATTTTTAACTTACATGCGGAGCAGAAATATCCAACCGACTCTCTAGTCGTGTAAAGTCTGTACATTAAAAATTGTTCTATTCATTGATCATTGTGTAATTTCAACGCTTCGTTCATTTTCAATGGAAAAATATCGCTTAACGGCTGAGAACTCAGCGTTGTGGTAAATGTTAATCAAAGGGTCAAAAAGGGTTCGCCAAGAGATTTGTCCGGATCAAGCGGTGTGGTTGGAATTTCCTCTTTTTTTTTTTTTTTTTTGGGGGGGGGGGGTTTCTACTGTCTACAAAATAAATATATTTTTTAATTTTTTTATATTATTTTTTTCTTTCATTTAAGAGGTGACTTTATTATTATTTAATACTTATTATATTTTAAATGAATTTTAAATATTACTTTTTTAACATTCATTTTTTTCTTACATGTTCTTTTTAAGTAATTACTTTTATTTCTTTTAATTAAGACAACTCTTAGTTATCTGTTCTTTTAAATGAATTTAAATTATTTATATCTTTGCTTATTCATTTAGATTAATTATATACCTCTATTGTAATTTAAAATATTGTTCTGTTAATTTATGTTATTAAAATTTATTCGAAATGGAAGATACACGTGAAATGTGTTGTATACTTAGAAGTTATTTTACAATTGAGGTTCGTTTTTCCTTCTAGTTGAGAGGGAAAACTTTTCTTCTAATGGAAACCCAATGTTATTAAAAAGTTGTGACACCATTTTTCTTGTAAGTCGATAATTTGCGGAAGTCTTTATAGATAGAAAGTTCATGTCGTATCTATATTCCTAATTTCGGCAATAGTGAATCTTTTGATTAACCCAATCTCAAGTCATGATTGAGGATTAAGGTCTGAACTTTGTCTTAATTAAAAAAAAAAAACGTTAAATTGCACTGCAATTTGTCTCCTTGTATACTTGTGAACGTTCACCATGGCGTTTGGGAGTTGGGACGACGAGTTTTAGAAAAAAAGAATGAGTCGTGTTTTTTTTTTTTTAAGAAAATTGTTTAATAATTTTCAAATATAAAAATAATAGATTTTTATACACATTTTAATTATCTCTCATAAATTTTAAATGACGCAAATATTTAATTTAATTTTTAAAATAATTATATTACCTTTTTTATTTTCTTTTCAAATCCCTGCCTCTAATCTTATCATTAAGGAATTAGGAACCATTTGCATGTAAGGGATCTTTTTTCGCAGAAGAAAACGAACAAATTCTCAACGGGCTCCAATGTGTCATGGGTTTGTGACGCTCGGCCATTGTAAATAATGTTATTGAATATGCATGCATGATTTTTTTACCTATATTTATTATTGTAATGATTTTCATATTTAGCATCTTTGATTGTAAGTATTGTGAGACTTTTTTATTTATAAAATACAAATAACTTTGTTGGAGCATCATCATCGATGTTTTCTACACGTGGTAAGTGATTTTTTTATAAATAATTTCTTAAAATGTGGTTTAATAAAATAAATAAGCAGCAAAAAATTATTATTTTTTAAAATAAAGCTATTAAAAGTATTCGCATTTTTACTTTTACACCGTTAAAGGGTCGTCTGATTTTTCTTGATTACATAATTATGAAAATTTTGTACTATGAATGAAATGCCTTAGTTCTTTGTTTAAGAACCTTGGCTCCTGCAATGCTTTATTATTTCATCGTAATGTAATTTTTTTTACAATAAATAATGCACCATATTTGAATTTAAAATATTTAAAACCGGTATATTTGCTTAACATGAGATATTGATACATTATATATGTATTTTAATCTGGCAATAATTGTAAAAATAATCATTACTTTAAAGTCAAGTTAGAAAACAAAACAAGAATAAAGTACACAGATGAAATATGATAGTCTAAGACCACCCCCCCCCCCTCCCCCAAAAAAAATGATACAATAAATTTCTCTTCACATGACAAAAAGCAGCAAATCACGTGAACCCTAATTAATATTTCGAATAGCACATAATTTTATACACTTATAGTATATCCTAGTTTTATAAAATAAACATTTATTTCCTTTTAAAACGCTTCATGCATTCATGAAAATGGTTTCTAAAATTTAAATTAAAAAAAATTATATATTAAAATTCAACGTATAATATCATCCTTTAAAAAAATTAAATGGACTAACTAATAGAAATATACGTGACGTGTTATATATTAGTCACATGACTGCTAAGTATATATGCCTTATTAATGATATTGAGGTATGTATTTTTAAGATTTATTTAATGGAACTACTTAATGTTTTAGAAAGCAATTTGATGCGCAACAACATGAAAGTTAGGACAAGTTTGTTAATTAATTTACTAAATTGTGTTAGATATTATGAACTTGTACATTAAACTTGTTTTTCTGTAAGCTTAAGATAATTTGTAAGATAAAATGGAGAAATGATAAATGAAGCTTCCACAATAAAGTGACGCGACATCATTCTATAATTACGAACTTAAATGAAAATAAATCGTTAATTTAAAACGATTATTGTATTATTTATCCAATTTATCTCCAAACATTGTTGAGCTCACCACCTTTACCTTGTTACTCTCTTTTCATAACTGTCACCTTCATTTCCATCACCCTATACAAACACTATCCTTATCCTCTCACTATTACATCACCTTATTCATTTTCCTATATTGCTTAAATATTATTACATCTCCTTATTCACTTGATATATATTATTTATCATCAGTCATCGTATATAGTTAAATATTTTTTCTTTAAAATTTCTTCCTTTTACCCACTCTAAATTCACTCGTAACTCACACCTTCACCGTTTAACTATCATGCCCAATGTATAATTTGTGACTCTCAAACTATTCCGTAACTGATTCAAAATAATCTCCTTTCTGTATAATACCAATAGCAACCCACCCTTGTCACATTTATAGTAACCCACGAACACAATGTTGCATCATCCTTCTCATTTAAACCAATGTTAATATCTTTGATGACCACCTCAATCAGTCTACAAAGAACCACCTTAATGGCACCTTAAACTTCATCATCCATGTAGTTCTAACCATTGTATAGTAACGTTGGGGTTTGGTGTCGCAGCTTGATAGACAAATAAAATTTTGAGAGGAAGAGTTAATAGTGTCGCAGCTTGATATTTAAGGTTGAAACCTATAAATCAAGATGAAAATTGGAAAGGTTAGTTTATTATTGCATCGTAGACTCATTTTTGTTTAATTTTGCAACTATATATGGAATGATGCAACGCATTTCTATCATGAAAACTTATATGTAAATGAGTCTAATGTGCAAGCCTATAATGGTATTGTGGATTGTTATGGAACTTGATTGCAAGTTAAGAAAAGGAAACCATGTCATGCAATGTCAAGTTCTTTTAAGAAGTAAAATTGAGAACATTACAAATTCAATTTTTTTATTATAGATTTAAAAGACAAACTCTCTCTTACGTTAGATTGTATATCTTTTAGATTCAAATTTTACCCATAATCAATTATATTTTGTCTTATCAAGAATAACGTGAAAATTATGTTGCAAAATCATGATGACATCTCACAAAAGTATACATTATTGTGAATATGGTATATCTTTAATACATGTTCATCAATATTCCTTTCATATCTTTTACCTTATATTTTATTAATTTATTACTTTAATTAAGGTATTTGGGATTTAACGCGTCTCTCTTACATTTTTTTTTCTAACTGTTTATGAATTATCTAATAATAATTGTCACAGTTTCATCATATAACATATATGGTTTCTAATAAGGTACTATATAACAAGTTTATTTTAAGCCATGTCTCTCTGCCTTTAATCATTCATTTTTTTTATTTATCAAATTATTTTTATTTGTATTATTTTGTTATTTATGATAAATAATGATAGACATTAATATTTCATCTTTTAATAGGTAAATTTAGTAACTAAACAAATACATGTACTAGCCTCATATCTGCATGGGTAGTAACTTTAATCTTCATACCCATACTCTCGTTACTTGCATACCCATATCTGCATCTATTATTTATATTTTTTTAAGAAAAAAAATATTTATAAAAAAAAATACGTTTATATAACTTCACATAAGTAGTATAGTAATATAAAAATTCAACACGTAGTTACCGAACAAAATATAAATATAAATAGAAAAAAATATTCAAATATCAAAAGTTCTAAATATCTCTTAATACAACAACTTTTTAAACTATAATATTTAGAAGCCATAAGTAAAATTGAACATATAAGTTATTTGTCAGCAATAACCTTGTCTCGTGTAGGATTCAGTCAAACAATGACGGCATTGAACTGGGCGACAACAAGATAAATCTACACAATGGGTGGTCTCTTATGTAGGATTTGTACATTGGGTGACCTCTTATGATAATTGATATAATATGTTTGAATGACATAAATGTTGAGAATGAGAGTGTGACTAGGATAGAGAAGATAAGTACTAAGACAACAAGGAGTAGACATGAAAATTTAGCATAGTTAAACAATATAAAATAGTAAATAAATATTTCTATTAAAAATATGAAAAAAATTGTATGATTTATTTTATTAATGAATATATTTTATTTTAATCTTATAAAACAACTATTTATATATCATGTAAATATCTATTTTTTATTAGATAGATTTTTAGATTTTCATATATGCATTCTTTTATTTTGAGTAACTTAAGTATTTATATTAAATTTCTCAATCTCTTATTTTACATAAAAAATTTGAAAACAAATAATGATAGATTGAAAAGCAATATTACTCAAAAGTCAACATAGAAAATTTGTCTATTAAAAAAATAAATAATTATGACTTATAAAAAAATTGAGTAAAAAATATAAGACATAAAATTATATAAAATAGTGAAAAAGTTAATTATCTGTTGTTCTATTTCATGATTCTCTGTCATGTAAACCAGTGAATGAATTAATTATTTGTTGCAAAATATCATGTAAAATTAATATTTGAAAGGAGAAGGTAGAACAATATTTCTAATTACTATGATACATTTTACAAAGAGATTCTTCTTCTTCCCAAACACATAGTATTATATTTTAAAATTAAATGTTGATTTGCACTTGGTAACTTCCTTTGATATTCACATAAACAAGATTTATTATTAAAAAATTATACTAAAAATATAACAAAATAAAGAAGTCTACAATATTAATAGAGTATTTTAACAATGTCATATAAACATGAAATTATTCACATTGTAAACACATTATGTAAAAAATACGATAAAAGAAAGAAAATAAAAACTAACTTTATTGAAAATGACTTGATAGTTAACATTTATTCTTAGTAAATAATGAAAAAAATACATAATAAAGATATGTAAACAATAAAAAAAATTAATGAGTTATGAATGTTATACATTGTAAAAAAAATATAAATTAATATCATATACAATCATTTATAAAAAATTGTTTGTATAACTTCACATAAGTAACATAATAAAACAAAAATCTAATGCATAGTTATAGAAAAAAGTTTAAACATAGATAAAAATTTACATAAATAATATAATTAATAATATATATAGAGGCAAAATTTTATTACACTAATATGAAAAGATTTTTCCATATATATATATATATATATACACGCGCATGTATGTAAGGCAAGGTAGGTACTTAAATACTTATAATTGCACTCATTCCTATTAAAATTTAAAGATATTTTTCTATACTCATACTTTTATCCATTTAATGCTACATATCTTAACTGTTATGGGTAAATTTTACAGATACCCGTTAGATACTTTACATATTATTATCCTTATTTATTATAAAAATATATTTAATATTTTTAATTACAAAATTTTAATAGATTATACTCCCCCTCCCTCAATAAAAAAAAATTCATACTATATTATTAGTTTTAAGTAACGTACCATATATATAAGCACTAATTTAGAGGATATACAGTATTGCGAAACATGATGTTAAATCAGCAAAATATGCTTGAGAATGTAAACTATATTTTCTTTTAAAATTTTGGAAAATTAAATTTAGATTTATTTTTCTAGTTAACTCATATCGAGAAAGGTCACGTAATTTTCCTTGTAAAACAAATGATGGCCTCCTCGATCAATCTTAATAATGATCGCAAGATCTTTTTTCCTGACATTAACAGAAGCAGCACGATGTATTAATCGTAATGCAACACATGCAAGTGGTAGGGTGAAAATTGAGGAAAATTAATTATAGTGGTATCATTTTGAAGGTACTACCTCAATCATAATGATAAAACTTAGAAGAAAAAGAATAGAAGGCTTGAATCCCTAGGTCCATGGAGGTCCTGAAATATGCTTGAGGGATTGATCTACCATACACAACAAGTACAAACTTTGATATATTTAAAGATTATTTTGTGTCATATAGTTTTATACCATACATAATCTAGCACTTTCACATGAGACTTAGCATATGAGTTCGAAGCAGCTTACTGTCTCAACAACAATAATAATTGTTAATAATAACAATAAAACATAACATGTCATCACCAAATAAACGGACAAAAATTGTTTTGAAAAATAAACGGACAATAAAAAAAGGGAAAAGGGAGAAGAAGAATACTGGGGAAAAGAAAAGACTTTTCGCGTCCCCCTTTATTCTGTTTACAGTCATATAAAAATCATTGGAAAAAACCCTAGCTTCTTCCCTCTCCTCGTTTTAGCTATACTTTTTCTTCCTTTCCCTGATCGGCTTCACGTTAGTTCGATTGCTCCAAATATAACACCATCCACATACTATTATTAGTTCGATACAACACACTTTACACACCCTCCCAGTCATAATCAACGAAACCATAATGAAAGATATGTAGAGTTGATACTCAGAATCATCACAAAAGGGCAAAGTTAAGAGTTACCTTGCTACTTTGAAACCTTCTATGTAGTTTAATTATCTCAGTTGCTAAAGTGGATCGAAAACATGGAAAGAGGTCACTTCCTTTGGAAGAAGAAGAAGAAGAAGAGAAAGAATTAGAGGAGCAAGCGTTTCCAATTTATTCTACACGGTCCCAACAAGACATGTCTGCTGTGGTATCTGCACTTGTTCAAGTCATTGGTGGCAATCCAGTGCACGAAGATCCAGTAACAGTAGTGTCTCACTCCAGTGTTTTAGGGAATGAACAATCCCAACCAACACAACATCAAGGTATGTGCCTTGCCTCTAACTATATATGCCATAATCATATATTACTATATGTATGAAATTTATGCTTATTTCTTCATATATTACTATGAAATTTAATTTAAGGAGTAAGAAGTATAGAATTCGAAGTTAGGGTTGATGACTTTGGGCACGATGACCAAGTCTCCTCTTCTCCTTTTCTTTTCTTAAAAACCGATCCTGGGTCAAACCCGAAAATGATATATTGATATTTCGTGCTACTTTTAACTAAAGCAATCTTTAGGGTTTCTTGATTTGTCTCTCAAAATCATCATGTTCCCCTGCAACTAACATGATGTGTGGTATACTTGAATTTGGTTTGTTTACATTACTATGGTCACAGTTTTCTCAATCTTGTTTCCCACTTCTATATTGGGTATAAAGTGTATTTTACATTTCACCACCCCTCTTTATACCCATGTTAATAACATGTAATAAAATGTCGAGTGATATGAACCAAGATAGAAAAGAAAAGGCAAAGGGATAACAGAAGTGAAAGACTGTAAAAATGTTAAATGAAATCATTGAAACTGCTTTAAACTCAACAATGTTGGATTAATTAGTTTGTTTTCTCATTCCAGCAACATTTTCACCCTTTCTAATATAAATATATACTCTTTACGAGACATAGGCCTGTTTGTATATAAATATAATTCTGTTTTTTTACATTAATTTTTTTCTCCAGCCATCCAATATACATTCATTAGAAATTAAGGGCGCACAAATGATCATAGACGGTAGATTGATATGTGAAATTGTACAAAGCTAAGCCAACAGAATCAAACAGACGCATTTTTTCAAGACAACAATATTTTGGTGACTCAAACGAAATTTTGTAATGAATATAGACAAACTTGCTATTATATAAACACCACACATCCAGACCCTACTTTACACATAAAACTTCCATTTTTAAAAAAATGAAAATATGAGAGGTAAAAATGAATAACAGTGGGTGAATATTTTATTTTTTGGTTGTAAAAGGTGAAAGAGAATGAGTGCTAGAAAGAAAAAAGAAAAAGAGAGATATATTGATGATAAAAAGAAATTAAAAAAATGTGTATAAAAATTAGAATCCAAAAAAGAAAAGATATCCCTTGTATGTCTTTTCCTTTTTCTTTCTTGCTATGCAATATGTGCACTTAGGATGACCGCTCAAATAGAGCCTAAGTTCTAATAACGTCAGTTGAAGGAAAATAAATATCTATCATAAAAATATAAAATAAAAGGATTACTTAGTACCCAGAAAAAGAGGACAGTTTGTGTTTATTTCTCTTTTGAAAATTGTTTCTCTAACATAAAAATATCATTATCGATGACAAAGTATAATGTTCATTTCACATTGCTTTTGTCTTACAATTTCTTGTAAAATGCGATATCATCTAAACAAAAAAGGTTACTTTCTAATGAGTCTAAAGAATAATGTAAAAAAGGCTAATGTGGAATGATTAAAATTCATAAAAGAATATGATACTCTAAAAAAAATTATTTTTTTAGTTTGCTTAAAAGAAAAGAAAAATACTGTGAATAAAAGAAGATAGCGTGCATGATTTTTTTCCCTTCACTTCTATTACATTATACCAATTTTGTTGGGGAATAAAAAAGGAGAATACATTGACTACTATGGATAACTCTTAAGAGGCATTTTTTTTTATACATCCATTGAGGATTAAAAAAAATAAGAGAATTAATTATATAATATAATAAGAAAGGAAAGTAAAAATAAAAAAATGCAAGATAAATGTAAAATTTAAGAGAGTCTAAATATCAAGGTTTTTGTGTTAATCTTATTTTATCATTTAAATAAAAAAAATTGACATAAACGTATAGTATAGAAAAAGATGTGCATCTAAATTATATTATTCATGCCATATATTTTTATCATATTATTTTTCTCTCTTTTTTCATGTGATGTTATTTATATCTTGTCTTCTTATCCCTCTGATAAATTGTAACATGGAAATTATTGTTTGTTGAATGATATGGAGATGAAGGAAACGTTATAAGAAGAAGACACTACAGAGGAGTGAGACAGAGACCATGGGGTAAATGGGCCGCAGAGATTCGAGATCCCAAAAAAGCAGCAAGAGTTTGGCTCGGAACTTTTGACACTGCCGAAGCTGCAGCCATTGCTTATGATGAAGCAGCTTTCAGATTCAGAGGAACCAAAGCTAAACTCAATTTTCCAGAAAGAGTTCAACTTACTGGGCAATTTGGTAATTACCTCACAAATCGTCCACAATTCCCTGCCACGTCACGCACTTGCACCAATGATCATCAAACACGTAACCCATTTGCTCTTCCTCCATATCCTTCTCAACATGCAATTAATAATAATTTTATGCTTTGTTTCTATGGGAGTGACACGTTTGTTTCTTCTCGTCCCTTATCATCATCAGCTTTAGCTTCGTCATCTTCGGAACCATCTCAGCCTCAACCAAAAGAAGACCTTCCAACCTTTTCGATGCAATCTAAAGGGTCGTCTTCTACTTCTCAGCCTCCTAAGAGTTGGAACAGTGATTCGGATGCCAAACCATGAAGATTATTTTCATGATTTATGCGATCGATATATTTTCATTAGAGTATGGTATTTAACTATTTATATTATGCTATTAAGGAATTTTTTGCTTCTATTTCAACCCAAGTGAGTATTTATATAATCTTTTGCATAACAATACGTAAATAAATAAGAAGAAAAGATAATTTATTTTTCTAATATAGATGATATAATAGAGAGAGATAGTATTGTTGTAAAAAGTTTTATAGGAACATGTGTGCTTTGTCAATGTGTATATGTAAGTATATATGTTTGGTTTAATTAAAGTTAATAAAAATAATTTTTGCATATGTGTATAAATTAATCTGAATTACATAATTTTATTAAAAAATGTAATTTTTTATTGAATTAAAAGTGTAAAATTATTTTGTTAAGTTGAAACCAAATAAATTTAAGGAAATAATTTTAAGCAAACTATAAAAAACAATTATTCAATGTTCTCATTTAAAGGGGTTAAATAAGTAGAAAAATATATAAAAAAGAATTGATAAAGTAAATATTTTCGTTCTAATTTCCATGAAATGAAGAAAGAAGGTGAGAAGTACCATGATTTAAGACTTCAAGTCCCGTGGTGGGCATGGATGGGACGAATGCGAAGAAAGAAAGAGGTTGAAGAGAAAAAAGACAAAGCATAGTTTGAATGATTCTGGCTCTGGAATGCAGCAGCTAAGGATATAAAACGAACAAAAAGAAAGAAGCAAGTTTGAACACGGAGACATTATTTCTGACCTCTAATTTTATCGTGACTGCGGAAACCGCGTCGCAATAATGATAACGGATTTCTTTCATTTCGTTTTTTAATTAAAACTTACATGATCGTTAGTAAGTGTTTTAAGGTATTGATTAATAAATCTATTTTTTAATATTTGTCTGTAATAAAATTTAATTCATTAATCCATTAAATATTATAATTGCTAATAAAATAATATATTTTTGTTCTTTAACTACTACCTTTAAAACCCTTCTTAGTATTTGCCCTTAAAACTTTCTTCCTCCTACCCCTTTCGGCCACCGAAACTTTAGAAATTTGATATGAATGAATCAAACAGCATATATTATAATGTGTAAAACGGAAGTGGACTTTAGCAAAATTGTTGAGAGTTAGATGGCGTCTAATTAATTAACATCAATTAGTTTAGTGTTTGCAAAACAACATAACATGAACTGATTAGACTTTTTGACTTGAGCTGAATGCTATTCTCACTTGCAATTGTAGCTTCAGAGTCACGATATCAAGTCATTAGTCAATACACAACACATTCCGGTCAACCCAAAGTTGAATTGAATTTGGATTCATATTATCACTTTCTTCATTTGGCCTTCCTTCGCTGATTGTTATGTTCGTCTTATGTCAAACTTTGCGGCCAGTGGCCGTATATTACAATTCACAACATCACAATTCATTCCAAATTTCAACTTCCTCCATTATCATCAATTACTCTCTTGCTTTTTGGGGGGTAAACATCAGCATCAACCTTTTTTTATACACGGATTTTTAATATATATTTAAAGATACATGATAAAAATATATGTACAATAATTTTTTATTAAAATTAATCAGATATCACATAATTTAATGTATTAATAATATTACATATTGTAAAATTTTTTTATAAAAACTACTATTTATACATTTTTTTTATTTTATATACTAGACGAACGTTAAAAAAATTATTTTATAAATATCACTAGTAAGGTTATACAACGGGGAAACAACGGCAACTTACATTGATTTTCTTTTATAAAACCGATAAATGAACTAGCAGTGGATCTAGATTTTCGTTGACTTTTTCTGTCCTTACGGAGAGATGGGTGAGTCATAAAATTTAACTTGTATTAGTGTGTCTGCTAGCACGTTTAATTAGCTTTGCACACTTTTCATAGTTACGGTTTCTTATAAGCATAGATTTTAAATGTTAATCAATGTCTTTAAATTATAAGTTTAAAAATTAAGAGCAGAAATATTTTATAAAAAGATATCATCAATGTACCTTTATATAAGTGATCACTGGTTTTTAATATATACTGTCAAATTTTAGCAATAAATTTTGAATAAATTGATAAATAATTATTACTATTAAACAAATTAACTATAGAAGGTTTTTATAGTTTAATTTGTGATCTAAGTTTGAATCATAATGTAATTATATTAAATATTCAAAGAAAAGTCTTATTATTTATAATAATTTTACCAAATTCAATAAGAGTTGCTTTCAATAGAAGATACTCGTATTGTAAACACAAAAATAACAGTAAATTATTATTATTTTTTAGTATATTCATCTTAATAAGTTTGAATTTCATAAATATAAAAAGATTTTTAAAAAATTTTGCATTTATTTCAATTATCTTTTTTATTTTTAAAGAGAATAATCTTTAATTTTTGATTAAAATTGAATTTATTAATAATATATTCACTTATTTTTAAAATGATTATGTTAATAATTTATAATTTTTAAAAAATATATCAGCAGTATGTTTAGGAATTAAGTTATAGAAGAAAAAAGAGGAAAGGAAATAAAATTATTAATTAAAATAAACTTAGTGTATTAATAATTAATCATATTTTATAAATATTATATAAATTTCTTAATTTAAAAATAAAATAGTTTCGCTTTTTGCTTTCTTTTAAAACACAACCCCTAAGCATATTCTAAAGATAAGTCTTACTAATATGCTTCTTTTAAGAAAATAAGTAAATACAAGTTAGTAAACGTATGTGAAGAGATAGGGACGTGGGTTTTGAAGAGATAGAGTAATAGTTTTTATATGTAAGAAGATTTAAACCCTACTTTTTACATTCGATGTCTTGGGAGTACAAATTTTGATGAAGTTTGAATATGATTATGCGGTGTTTTGGATGTGCCTAGGAATCTGCTTTCCTTTTTCATTTTTTGGTTCGATACTCTTTGTTGTTGGCATTTTTAGTCGGATTATGGTCAAGGATAGAAAACGCTATAAAGTAGCCCAAGTTGAAACACTGATGGGCTCCAATTTTTTTAATATAGTAAGTCTGGCCTGCTTGAACTTGAGGTCAGTGAGATAGACTTGCTTCAAGACAGTTTTTATATGCCCAATTTTATTTTATCAACATTGCAATGGGTGATGGGCCCAAGGCCTAACAATATATAACAATACCAAAAAGCCTCCAGTGGGTGACGGGGTCAAAATTATCCTAGGCCCAGTCAGAAGTCTAGGGACCAGAAACGAAGTTCATCTTTATATTACTCCACAGCAATAGTCATCCAACATTGATCAACACAAAATATATTATAAAAACCAATTAAAGATAAATAGTAATCCGGGTTTAATTTTTCTTAACTAAAAGTCCATAGAATTGTATAAAACCTTCATTAAACACTTCAATTTTTAAAGCAAAATAATAGTAAGAAATAACCTTTTCATAATAAAGATTTTGCACGGTGCATACAATGAAACTAGAACAAAAGGTTTATATATACTTGGATTAAATAAAGTTTAGAAAGGAAGGTGGGCAGTGGCAACAGAGAGAGAGCTTGGAGCAACGTTGGTGTTCCTTTGAGCATGACAAAGTTGACGTAGTTTAGTTGGGACATACCAAATGGAAAGACGAGGATGAGAGTTGAAGATGGCATCAATGTCCCAACCTTGAAGCGATGCTATGGCGACAAGGGGTTTATAACACGCTTGCCTCCACGCCCCAACGTTCTCCCCTCTCTCTTTCAACGCCCTTCTCAACTCGTTCGACGCTTGCTCATCCAGACAGTGCAAGGCATAACAATGCACGTAGTGTCGCATTTTCGGCTTGTTAATGTAGCTTGCTCCTGCCTTCTTTGCGTACCTAAATACCTCGTTTGTCACCTGCACTTTCTTCTTCGTATTAATAATTATATCATGAAACAGAGACAAAAATAAAGGAGATATAAGAGGAAGAGAATCATATCAGCACATCATATGATGTGTTAAATTTTTAATTTTTTTATTAATTAAAAAATGTGATCACGTATAACATAATAATTAATCAGAATTATAAATATGCTGCGGTCTTCTGCTACTTATGTTTTGTTTGGTTGCGAATAACAAAGTGTTTTTATTATTTAATTGAATAAAAAAATTAACTTTAAAAATTAAAAATCATTTTTTTCTTTTCTTTTATTTTTTTATTTAAATTTAAGTTTTTTTTTTCAACTTTCGTCAGTCCTACCAAACAAAATAGGGTAATAAATTTCTTGTCGATACGGGAAAACGAGTACGTGTTATGATATTTATGGGTGCATGTAAGAATTCGGAGGATGAAAGGTGTGATAAGGGCCATGCACGACTTTGACTCGTGGATGGTTGTGCTTAGTTTGGACTTGGGGATAAAAAGGCCATCTGGTTCTGCCTGGTAACTTTTAAAGGAAAATGGTTGGTAGAGATTTATTGAACTGCATCCCCTCAATGTGATGGATTTTTTAACGCTTTTTATTGTATTTTTATTATCAAAAACTATAAATTTTTGTGTAAAATTTATTAAATACAGATTAAGATTCATATTGTTTTATAACTTTTACTTTACCATAAAAAATAACTTTTTAAGAATATTTTATTCATATAATATTTTCATAATACTTTTATGATGTTTTTTCTCTATTTCTTTCTCAACAATTAATCTTATCCAGTAAGAATTATGATATTTATAACACTCAAAATTAACGTTATATATAATATCATATATTTTTTTTATTCTCTACTTGTTTTTCATTTTTTAGCATTACATCAAATATTTTCTATCAAATAATATTAGTTGTGTCTTTTGTGATTGTATAGACTTTTATTCAATTTCGTGGTATGAAAATGACTTCTCTTTTCACAATAAAGTTACACTAACATGCATGAGCGTGAGTACAGACCCAGACAAAGTATTGACTTGAGCAAAACGGGTCACGAACTACAGAACTCAGTGACTCAGTGCAAAAGCAGGAGAGAAACTGACATAAACGAAAGAGCAATGATATTTTTACTGTGAATGGAAAGGTGACAAACCACGTAAGAGAAATAGAAAGTTAAAAAAATGAAAAAGTAGAGATATAATAGATAATAGTTTTAAAATTTTTAATTATATCTTATTTTTATTATTTTATCATATCACTAATTATATATATTTTTTATCTCTTCTTTTTCACACTCGAACTACAAATTTAAGAGATTTCAATCATTAAATATTGATATAATAAGAAGATAGATAAAAAGAAGAGGTGGGTAAAAAACAAAAGGTGAGAAAAAGTGAGTGTAAGAATTAAGAAGATTGTTGTTGTTAATGAAATGACAGAATGACGATATTAATATACCTTGGTAGGGCATTTTTCACCACGGTTTTTGGCAATGTTCTGAACCTGAATCAAGAAGTCACGGCATTGGTCATAGAGATGAAAAAGATAATCAAGGCCGTTCTTCTTGCCACGTGCAACTTCCCCAGGCTCGGTCACAATGAATGGGTGTTCTCTTTGCCTCACACAACCACTGTTATTGTTCCCCCCATCATCATCTCCTTCTCCTTCCTCCTCTTCAGCCTCTTCAAGATCACCATCATGCTCATTCATCTTCCTTCTCCTTCTCCTTCTCCTATTTTGCTGCTTCCTCCTCTCACCGCCACTCACCACCCCCCACGCGCTCCCTCCTCTGTTCCCTATCACCTCTTTTTCTTGTTCCACTATTGCCTCCTTCGACAACCCTACACATACATGTATGTGTGTCATAATACCTCCTTTTCCTCATTAACTACACAAATACAGGCATACTCACAACAACAAGAGCATGTTTTGGAAATAACTTTCTTATATGAGAATAACAACTCATGTTTATTATTAGAACGAATAAAAAACTTAGTTTTAACTAAATAAAATATATATTAATTTTAAATTAATTAGTTTCACCAATCTAACAAGTGTAAAATACAGTATATTTTTATTAATTTTAAAAAAAAATGCTATGTGAATTAATCATTTTTTTTTAAAAAAAAAAGATGGTTTCATATATATCTTAAATAACAGACTTTTAAGAACAGTAATTTAATATAACAGTAGCACTAATTAGTTAAACCTCTTTGCAGGAAAATTTTGGTGCAGTTCCCTTTGCTATAGCTAACTCTATCTAGCTAGGAATAGTCAAAGCCTTCTTAAATTTAGTGTAGGAAGTATTTGATTTTCACTCAAATATAACACTGTTATGTTATAAAGCTTAACAGAATTTATTTATATGTGCTAAAATAGGGATCTTTGTAACCGAAACTATGTTAAAAGATGGTAAAAGCGAAGTGCACCTTCTTGAGAAAGAGCATCAAGAGCGTTGATGGTGGTGCCGTCGTTAAGGTTGCGCCGCCGCATGTCATCGCCGTGGATGCGTCTTCGCTGGGCTCTAACTGCGGCTTTGATGCCGTAACGTTCACCGAAGAGGAGATCCCAGCGAAAAATGTGTGAAAGGCTGTTGATCATGTCGTCGAGCTCCTCCTCCATCATGTTGACGAGTGTGCTCACCGTGAAACCAAGCTCCGCCACCTTGGCCGCCGTGTGGTATCTGACGCCGTAAGCGCGGAACAGGTCCTCTAGCTCCGTCGGTGCTCTAGGGGGAGCAATGGAGTATTCTAGAAGCGGGACACGCGTGCAGGGCGCCATTGGAAGAAATGTTCGTGGGTCCCACTTGAATAGGTTGTTGGAGGTGAATGCGTCCTGATCCATCTCTCCGTTTCGAAAGTGAGAATAAGGGAACAGTTTGAGGTGATGTGATGTACTGTTTGGATGGAGATAAGAAGAAGTGCCGTCGTCGCGGGAGTCGTATAGTTTCTCAGTTTCATTATTTCAAGATAACAATTTAATATTCTACATATTATGCTATGTATATATTTTTTATTTTCACTTATTTGATAATCACATCATGATTTTAGAAATTTTATCTACCGACTTCTTTTGAATATATATTTCGAGAGAAAAGAAAAAAAAATCATGTCAAGGTAAAAATAAAGTATTTTATATATATATATCGCCTAGCTAGAACAGTAGATATTTTGCAAAAAAGGTATTTTTTATGTTAAGAATACTTATAATGTAGTTGAATGAACTCTACACAATAAGGATTTTTTTATAAGTTTTAATATTTTTTAAAATATTTTGAAAAAATTCATTAAGAGTAATGTATAGTTACTAATGTTGGCATATATATTAAACTAAGAACTCATGATCACAAATATTTTGAACATCTCATGAATAAAATAACTAATTTAATAGAAACAAAATGTTTAGTTGAATTAAGATCTTCTACGGTCGTACGTAACTGTAAAATATCTAGACCTATAAAACTACTTGGGTACTAAACACAAGCAAACGTGAAGTATATATAATACTGAATATTTTGGATTCGCAACGATCGAGTAGTAATAGGAACCCTATAAATTTCATTAGTTGTATTTGAAATTTGAAAAAAAAAACAAAAAAACCATTACATAGAAAATTTGTTCCAACAAAGGAAAACTAACAAAGACAGAAATCAATGAAGATTACTAGCACATAGTGTTACATCGTTGGATCTGGTGAGGCCGTTGATGAAGCTTAAGGCAGTTCAACTTACCTCGATTTGGTGAATATCTATTTTTCCATCGTTAAGATAATAAATTAATTACATATTTATTTAATTTATTTTTATTATAAATTATTTTATCATATTTTCTGAAATACGCTCTAGATGCACAAGTTTTAAAATTTATGAAACATATACTATCAATCACTTGAATCTAACTGGCAGGGAATTATTTTAATTTAACTTGTAAATTGAAATTTAAATATGAATGAACACAGCTTCGGTAAAAAATAGATGTGTTAAGAAAGAAAAAAGAAAACTCATGAAGCCTATAATTTACTAGCCTAAAAACGCCAATAGTCAGATTTGCAAGTGCATCCCCTGCTGGTCTTCTCTGAACTAAACTGCAAAAGATCAATGTTCTCTGAATATTGTTCAGTTTAGTTGTGAAAAAGCTTTTGCTTACGCGAGGGCACAATTTAATTCCAATAAAACAAATTGACTCCGAAACACGAAAATAAATAATCAAAACCTGTGTACAATTGAAAACGACAAGGAAACCTATAGACTAAGGAGGGAGGTAGCTAGGTTGCAGAGCATCCACGAAGCACTCGTTACTTTAATGTGTTACAAAATCAGAGAAAATCTCACTGAACTGTTTAGCTTTTTACGAAGCACGTATGCTCTATACGACAACACACCACAAACAGCTAAATATAGTAAATTCGTGGACATTAATGCATATCCACACGTAAATACATTTCTATATTTTTTATTAATTAACTCATTATAAATAAAGTTACATTATTTTCCTCCATTTACATTCAGCTATGTCATATGGGAAAGAAAGTCATGCCAATGACCATACGGTTTAACCAATTAGTATGTTTAAAATGAAAAGAATCGATAAACTGTATATTTTCGTTATAAAATCTACTAAATCAACGAACAAACTGCATATATGTTACTAGGGTGAAAATTTCCATTATTTAAGAATGAATTATTCTTTATTAATTTAGTTTTTATGTGAAAAAATTAAATTATATATATGAATACTCAAATATTAGTATAATATGTCACATAAAAATAATACTTATAATTTGGTTTTTGCTAAAAAAAAGTACTGTTTTCCATTATAAATTTTGTTTATTAGTAAATGACATTTTTTGCATTGGTGAGAATACCTATTAAAAAATAAGGATATGTTCAAAGTTTAATTCTAATATTTTTAAACGTGTAGTTTGATGTAAATCACAATTTGATTTGATTTTTGAAAAATAGGGTGAGTGAAAATGAAGATGATGTAGCGTGAGAATTAGAAATAGTGGAGTACGAAAACAGTGATGCAGAGAAAATGCAGAAAGGGTCAGCATGTTCCAGTTGGCCTTACGTGAAAAGCCTGCAGTATGTGTACTTACCAAGATGCAATATCCCACTCCAACCACATTGCCAACACACTTTAATGTTTAATCGCTAATCACATTCACGCTCCAGACCCTTCCATCTCCTCCAAGTGCAGGTGATTAATGTTTATTCAAACAGGGAAGAAAGTGATAACCAACATATACATACGAATTATCTGATAGTTTTATTTGATAATTAAGATAAATTTAGATGTGAGCGTTTAATATTATAATAAATTGTTCATGGCAACGCGTGTGATTAGTAGGCACTAGAGAGAGCTGAATCGTTGAGTGAAGTACATGACATGTCACAACCTTGTTGGTTCTCTTGTACGCTTGGGACCAAAGTTCAGTGTTCTAAAAAGAAGATAAAGCTGATCCATGCCAAGTGCTAAATCTTGTTATTTATGCAAATTCTCTTTTCACTTATAAAATATTTATTATTTTTTCACTTTTTTATTTCTTAAATTTATATTCATCTTCCAAATAATTAAATAGAAAAATTATTTAAATAAATTATGTACAGAAGACAACCATCCATTACTGAAAAGACGGTTGCAAAATTACTAATATATCATTTATATTTAATTAAACATAAACAATAATCAAACATACTTGCAAAATTACGCAAGTAACATAATGAAATGCTGAGTCTAATGAATTATTCGGCAATTTTTAAAAAAAACTATATCTATGCTTATGTTAAAAAATACTTTGGAAAACAATCAAATAGACAATTCGGAATACTGTCACAAACACATCAAGCAATATATGATATGAGAAAAGTATATATTTGTATATTAAATTCAAATGGATTTGAAATTAACATTGCATTTCCAGAACGTTCTATCTAGTCCTTACCACAAAAGTAATGTAAAATTTTGTGTGTGCATACATATATATATATAAGTGATTAAAATAATGCCAATCCAATGTACTTAAAAAAACTAATAACCATGAAAAATATGAAACCGTCGGAGAAGAATGAAAGCAATTAAAATAAAAAGGATAAAAAAGAGATATAGAATTATAAAAAAAATTGTTATTTAAATGGATAAAAATAAAAAAATTAATCATTTGAGTGAGCGAAAAATATTATTTCTAAAAAATATTATTTCTTAATATGGAAATATTGTCACCCAGTTTTGATTCCTAATTCAAATTCAGTTTTAGGCAGTTATGCAATATTTAACTTTGAAATCAATAGTAATAATTTACCATTATTGTAAATTGTCTGTAAGTATTAGATGCAGCATTTAAATAATCCAAACACTTTAGGTTAAAAATCATTCCTGTAAGTCAGAAAAGTGAGATGGAAGTTGTAATTCCCAAAATCCCTACTGCATCTACTTTTTCACTTTTAATAATTTCACTCTTTTTTTATTCTTTGTTTCTGTTTCATTCTTTAACTTTAGTCTACCACAAATATTTAAACACAAATTTCAAATCCTCAAATGTAACTTACATAAATATCACAATCCAAGTTACAAATTACCTCATTTACTATTGTTATTGCCTCATCATGTTTTATTTATTTTACTTTCTCTTTATTAAAGCAGGTTTTCAACATAAAACACAGACATTTTATAATAGAAAAAAAGATTAAATACATTTGAATGTAATTTCAAAATAACAAATTTAATAATGAGACGTAATTCGGACACAGAAATCATGTAAAAAAATTAATTACTATAATAATTTCATAAAATCTAATTATAAAAATTCAATTGGTATCAAATTTTTATAAAAATGTTTCTTCTAAAATTGTGCCCGTGCATTTTTGTATGGGAAGAATAAAAATACACCCACACACAATCAACATCGTGTGGAGGAGCAAAATAAAAATAACAAAAGTAGACAGGGTAGATGCTGTAAACCAGGAAACACGTTGCTGGATAATGAGCGAAAGCCACTTATCAAAATTCAATAGTTTTTTTTTTTATATATAAATATATACATATCAGTTTCGTTTAAATTAAATTGGATCAAATTTTAAAATTAAGTCTAAAATTGGAATAAACTAAATGAGAATTTGATTGTTTCGTTATCAATTTTTTCAACTTTCAACATTTTGATTTTATTTTTACAATTCACATTGAATATATAAACATCTCTAACTTTATTCCCTTAAGAAAATCCAATATACTTAAATTAGTCAAAATATAAAGTCCCTTGTTTCTCACAAAAATCCACGCAAAGAATTTACTTAGGAATTTTTTTTTTGTTTTTAATTTTTTAAAATTATATTTAAAAACAATTTTAAAAAATATTTTTTAAGAAGAGAATGAAAGTAAAAATTATTTATTAATTTAGATTTCAAAATTTCTTTTAAAATTAAAAAAAACACCTGAAACTATTCGTGTTTTTTAATTTTAAAAATAAAAAAAATTTAAAACTCATCTTAACAAATAATTTAAAAAAAAGAATTTAAAAAAAAACAGAAAATAAACAAGTCCTTGTAATTTAAAATAAATTTTATTCGATTTTTTGTTGGTATTTGTGATTGATTTTATTTTCTTGGGTTGGACAGATATTTATTTTTATAAAACACTGAGAAGATGACGTGATTATGGGCTGATGAAATGGTCGCTTATATTGGGCCGTTAAATGTTATCTAACGTGCGAGAACAAGGAGCTCTTATGGTGGATGGTCAACGACCTCCTTTGGCAACCGCTACCGTAGCTAACACGTCATTGTTAAACACCATAAATTTTGCCGCTTTCATTAAGTTCAAACAAACTTTGTCTAATATTTACGATCTAAGCAAAAACAAAAGTCCTATAAGAATGGTCGAGCCTGACAGCTGATCAGTGTGTTTTAGATTTGAACAAAACTAAAGTGTAGTGTTAATGTTAATATTCAATCAAAAATTGAGTTTTAATTATAACATGTACAAGTAAAAATTGACATTAAAAGTTACTACACGTTATAAAAATAAAACCGAAATCTTAGTTGAAGAACATAGTACTCATAATACTTTGCTTAATATATCATTTTAAATGCATTTCTTATAATTGATAAAGAAAACTATTAAAACTCATGAAATACCATGAATTTTACTCAAAATTTTATAAATTTTAGTTAATATAAATAATTTATCAGCGATCATATTGCTGAGACTATTTTACCTACAGTTTGGGCTTGTCAAGACCAGCTGCAAGTGGTGAAGAAGGTTTCCTTGATTTTTAACATACAATGGGCTTGTGCCATTAATGTCGACCCTGCATTCCCTATGGCTATGAATGTAAGGGGAAGAGCGAAGGACTACAAAAACCAGCATTTAAACGGGTCTATATTTTTATTAATCTTAACCCATTTAATAACCCTCATGTTAAACAGCTTGACCCGCGAGATTAAATCCATATACCCAGCTCTACATGGATGGCACAAAGTAGATTCTTAAATACTACTAGATCTGAATTTCTCCTTTGAAAGTGTAAACAATGACCAGGTTCATGTGAAATAGCATTCTGCATCATAGCCCACATCAAATTTTACTATCCGTTGCTCTAAGTTTCGTTTGTTTCCTTTGAATGTATCTGCTGAGACAACCTGAGCATCTTATTTTACTCAAATCTTTTACTAATGATACCTTACACAAATGTGTAAAATGATACGAGTAAAAAGAAAATGCCAAACGAAAACATAAATAGGAAATAGAAGCATTAGTTAATATTTCATTTCTTTTGCTGATTATATCCTTATTTTGGCAGTGGTCACATAATCAGCTATCCTGAATCGGGACTAATGGTAGTGGGCCACCGTAGATCTCTGGAAGCTGACTTTCGTCTATGTCTTCTAGCAGTGTTGATTTCACTTTATTGCTCTCCACAAATACTATCTGCAAGAAAATCTAACTTGGTATATACTTTCCTTCAACATTTCAAACACATACTAATATAATGCATTTAGAAATATTAAATTTGAGAAAATCACCTTCTTCTTGGTTTTGTTGTCAATGAAGGGGTAAATAATTTTCCACACTGTCATAAAAATATATGGTGCATGGACAATAAACAACTTGCCCAACCTTTCGGGGTAATAATCCTGCATGCATCCACAAAAGAACCATAAGAATGTATTAAACATAACTCCAATTTCTCACACACAAAACATATATTGAAGATCCTCGGAACAAGATGCTCATCATTCCTCAAGTTTTATCTTAATATGAATAATGGATAAACTATATACATATATATATACCTGCAAAATAGATAGAGCACTCCCGTATCCACGCATGTCACTGTTTGAGTATCCCCATCCCTGAAGTTCTGCTATACCTACAAATTTCTCTTGCCCAGGTGGCATACTGATATGCCAAATGGTAAGTTAATTATACTATCCATATGCAAAGCTTTTAACCAAATTCACAGTTCTAAAAGCAGGATCTAGAATAGAACAATGGGATTACCTTGCACATAGTTTATCAAGACCATAGACTACAAACCCTGTATTACAGATAAGTTATATATTTGTCAATTGTCATTGAAAAACTTGTTTGTGTTGAAACAAAATATCATGCATCACCACACTAACCGTACGAGAAATTGACCACACTCGGATGTGTTTTGTATATTAAAGGGTAGTGTTGATTATTGAGGTATTTTAATTAAATTATACAGTTAATAAGATTAAGTGTGTTTGTAAATAAGTTGTTTGTTAACATAGAACCAGTACAAAAACTAAACTAACAAGATTAAAATAAGCATGAATACACAAGTATTTAAACGTGAATTTAAGCACTGGAACATGCATAGGGATTAAACATACGTTTGAATTCATCGAGACCGCCATCTTTGTTTTGAAAATGATTTCTACCGAAGACAATAGTTATAGGTCGACCTATCTTATCATGTCCTTGGGCGAACATCTTGTCTTGTGCAAGTTCATTTGGAACCTCTGACAGAGATATAGAACCATTTGGAACAAAAGAGTGTCTCCATTTCAAGTATTTGAGGAACATTGCCGAAGCCTTTTCCACATCTAAATCACGGGCGCGCAGGAATCTTCTAAATGACAAATCATCCTCTTCCTGCAACAAAAAGGTTAGAGAATAAAAAGGTTAAATAACAAAAGGACCAAATTTTTTATTCAATAAAATTATAAAATCCAAAACTAAAAGGAAATAATACTTCATGAGAACTAAAATCTACACTTATAAAATTAAAAGCATTAAAAAACTAATGTTTTAAAGTTCAAACATTAAAACTGAAATCGAGATAAACTATATAGATCTGAAATTTTCTAAGCAATGTACTGTAATTCTATTATTCAATATCACTTTTATACTTTCTCTATTTCAATTATGATTCGCAAAAATATCAACAATAATGGTTTGTAAATATTTTTTGGAATATTCAGAAAGATAAAAGTAACAAGTTTATTAACCACAACCTTAAAAATTAAATTTAAGTAGTGTACATTCTAATTCTTTTATTTGATAGCATTTTTATAGTTTGTTTATCTTAATTTTGGCTTATAAATACATCAACAGTAGTGTATCCAGATAGATAAAAATAAATGTGTTAATCTCATTTTATAATTTAAGTAATTAACCATAACATTTTATTAAAATAAAATATTTATCAGATTAAGATATATAATAAAAAATTAATAAATTATTATTATTATTTACTTAAATAAAAACTTAAAATTAAGATTTGAATATATGTAAAAATAAAAGAAAAAACAATGAAGGTAATAAATTCATAATATGATGTAGAGAGAGAGAAAGGGGTAATTTAGCTGTTCAGATATTTATAAATAAGATTTTATTTTTTTTCTCTTGATAATGCCAACCTGTATCACAGGCTTGTTGCATTGCATGTTGCAAACTTAATTGATGACAGTGACGTAGATTTTGAGTGGGAACAGTGCAGGGAACAGTGCAGTATCGTACTCTTGTTGGCAACTGACGCTGACATACCGTATGGGTCATGAAAATTACGAAAATGTTTTCTAAATAATATTGAGATACTTTAATATTGTTTTTAAAATGTGTGTAAAAAAACTGAAAAAATTAATTATTCACAATAATAAGTATAATAATGTTTTTTTATTATTCAAATAATAAAACTGTAAAAACTAAATAATTATCAAATTTAATATTATTAATAATTTTTAACATGTATAACGTTATATAATCAAAATTTAGTAAACTATATTTTTATTATAATTATAAAATTTAATATTATCAATGCATTATAGTCTTTAACTTCCAATAAAATTTTACTTAAAAAATATCATATTATTATATCAATAAGACAATTGCTCATAAGTATTTCTGTAAATAATTTTGTTATTGAATAACTAATAACTAAAATTATAAGCTTTTTTTTTCTATTATAAATAATGTTATTTATTAACATAAAAATTATTAAATGTTATAATTGTCTCGGTAATATAACCGTTATTTAATAAAAACTAAATTATTGATATAATTATTATAATTTTACAATAATAATATGATATATTATAGATATTTGAGAATCTGATAGTATATATTTGTTTTTTATATTAATCAAATTATTTATTGAAATAATATACTGTAGAAATAATATGAACTGTGAAACTTGCTATATCAATACTAAAAAAATTATTTTGTTTTAAACAATAGTTATATCAAAAGTAGTCCAACTTTAAATTATTAGTATAATATAACATTATTTTCTCTGAGCTGTGTATGTATGTTCAAGTGTATATATTTTTTTATATAATGTTTTTTCACTTTAATTCAAATATTTTTGTTATATTCAATGTTAATTGCTTCAAGTAATAATATTGTCTCAAAACTATTACTAGCAGAAATCAAAATAAAAATTATTAAAATTATAAAAATTAAAATGTTAAAACACAAAGGTTGAAAATAAAATTTAAATGATTATTGAGATAGAAATATATATTCAAACTACAATACTATTTGAACAAAAAACAGAAGCTACAATAGTTTTTTAACAATAATTTATTTTTAAATAACATGTAAAAATATGCTATGAAGTACAAGTTAAAATTCATATCCTATTTCAAATAGTATGTTATAAATTGATGAGAGAATTTCATTTGTCAAACATCTCAAATTTGATTAAATAAAATAAATCAATGAAATATACCTTTACTTAATGAAATAATAACTTGCCTAATATACACTTAAGAGTTTGTTTGTTTTTTATTTCCAATTGTGTGAAGACAAAGTTTGTGCAAAAGTCATTATCACCAGATTTCTGTCAGGTTCAATTTATTTTTTATGGGCAAGCTCAAGTTAGGTTTTGATCCCTTATGAATAATGAAAATGAAAGACATTGAATGAGGTAGTCATAAAAGATTTAATTAGTTATCATGTTAGAGAGAGAGAGAGAGAGAGAGAGAGTTTAGATATAGAGCAAGAATGAAATGGGGGAATTTCATTCCACTTGTTGTCATCTCTGTTTTTATCATATTTCTTCTGCTGTTTAGAATGATGAAACTATCATTTTTGTTTTTCTATTTAAAATTTGATCATAATGTATTGAAAGCGTAACTATTTTTAAAATTAATATTTAATCATATAATAGTATACTAATAAAAATTATTTGTTATTATAATAATTAATTTATATTTAATTATAAATTTGATTCTTCCACTTGACACTGTTTTTAACTTTTATCTCTTTATAAAAAATTTTACATTATGATCTCACATAAAAAGTTGTATGTAGATTGGTTCTAACAGCAATAAAATATTTTTAAATGAGAAATAAAACATTTTTCCTACATTCTATTGCTAAAGGTTTAAACAATGTTACAAAAACTATTTATTTTAATTTCTATTACATTCCATAGTGCTATATTTCATTCCATTTCTCTTATCTTAAAACATATAAACTGTTTTTGCATACAAATACAATTTTAGCATCTGGAACGTTGGTCAATTTGTTAAGAGTTGTTTTATTTTTTAATTTATATTTTTTTATGAATCTTATAAAGATATATTATTTTCCTGCTTTTTATAATTTAACCAACTTTTTTTATTGAATCATACAATCTTAAAATGTTCATTAAATAAAATTTACAAATCTCACACTTATATATCTCATTAATTTTTTATTAAATATGTATGTCAATGACATTTTTTATAACCAATAGTTGCTTTAATCTTGAAAATTAAATTTAAATGTTTAAAAGTTAAACAAATTTATTAAAAAAATTATTACGTTAAAATCATAAAATACAATAAAAATACTATTTTTAACAAAAAAAAGTACTATTATTACTTGTCATTTACTCTAAAAGGTTGAAACTAACAATTTTTTAATAAAAGAACTCTCATCTTATCTTACATTTATATGAAATTAGAATTCGGTTGCGGAAACTGCATAATATATTTAGACAAAATTTTATATTTTTACTTAAACAAAAATTTATTAACTTAAGCAAAAATACAAAATACCATAAGAGGACGGTGCAGTCCTAGAATTGAATCCAAATCTATTTACATGCCACTTTAACTTTCTTAAAGCATAGAATCAAATTTAACATGATTGTTTATGGTAAAAGTAACTTGAAATTTATAACTAGGATGCTTAATATGTTTGAACAAAGGATCATCAAATGAAAAATGGAAAGTATTATTTTTATATTTTAAATATATAGTATGTTTTTTATAATTAAAAAAATATTTAATTTTAAAAAAAGAGAAGAAGTATATAATAGACATTAAATAAGCCTTTTATTTTTATAAATATTGTTATTTAAAATCAATCTTCATAAAAAAAATTATTATTTAATTTCTAATATTTTAAAAGACCAAGAGATAGTCTCTATCAATAATTAAATACCAGCAAAACTTTAGAATTATAAAAATTAATTTCTGGCCCCTTTAAAATACTAAAAATCAAACACTGACAATTTTTTTTAATAAATCCAATTATAAAAATGACAACTTTTACAGCACACCTTGTTTAAGTCAACCATATGTATTCTTGAAATATGTACAGGAAATGATAAGTAGAGACAATTTATTTTTAAAAAAAATCCCCTAATTACTTTTTTTTTTTTTTTTCACTTTCAAACTCCACTTCTCTGAATTGAGGTAGAAACAGAGGAACGGGGGTTTACCTTAGAAGAGGGATCCCGTGTTTGAACGAGTGCTTTCATGAGACGGACTTTGGCGACTACAGTCTCAGGGCTATCTTTCTCTACTCGCGCAATTGCATACCCCAAATTTTCGTTGGAATCAAACGTTGTTTTCTCTGTCATGTTCGCTGCCTCCCTTGTCTTTGTTCTCTCTTACAGAGGGAACCGCCGACAAAGCCTGTAGTGATGATTGTGTAGGTTTCTATCTCAGAATCGAAAGAAGCCCTCTGAGGTTTCCTTGAAAGTTCTAGGCTAGCTTGGTTGTGCAACATGTTGATATATAGTACATCATATATGGTGTATTAACCAAAGTTATTATTACTCCAAATTAAATGCTTGTTCCAGTTCTGTGACAGTTGCGGCCCACCCTTGATATGGATGTTGAACAACTTACTTTGGAAATTTATTAATTTTCAGCCCTAATTCTGGTGTTAACGACAAATTGGTAATTGACCGCAATATTGTTAGGAATTGCGGTATCTTAAGATATGGATATATTTAATAAGGGGTTTTGGGTCATTTAAGTGTGCACGGTTCCTTTTGGAGGATAGAATGTTAATTAAAGTAACTTCACTTTTTTTAATTTTATAGAAAGTAGTTTAGCTAAGTTAATTCTACAAAAAAATCTGCAATTTTTTGTAAAATTTGTGGCTCTTGTTGGATGATGAAATACCAGTTTTCATATACGTCATTTGGATGAGCAAAAGTAAGTGCAAGGTGGCAGAAACTGTGTACTTGGTTTTGGTGAACAGGGTCACCCAAGTGCATGGACAAGGGTATCCTACGTATGAGGGGCATGGTAAACGCATCTTTGCACCGAACTTTTGGGGTAGATGCGTAACACCGAAAGTGGACCTTTCCTAATTCTTGCATCACCATATGCTTGGGAAGGGTACATGCAGTCTACCATTTTTTCTACTTCTGTCTGGATAGGGACAGAGAGAAATTCAGAAGAAAGGGAAATGAGAGAAAGAAAGGACTTTTCATATTTTCAAGGAAGAAAAAATTAATTTTTTATTTTATTAAAAAATCACCTCAAAATTAGAAAAACAAACATAGGAAAGGAAGACAAGGAATATGATGATAAAAAAAAATTATAATTTTTTAATATAATATATTTTATTTATTTATTCAAATAAGTGAAGATATTTTTTTCTATTTCAACTTACACAAATAATTTTTTAAAAATTTATTTTTACTATATTTTTTCCCTCTACTTCTTTCATCACTCGAACCTCTTTATCATGTATTTTAAATTGAAAAATGTGATTTGGTGCAATTTGAAGAATGTTTGATAAAATACATCTTGCATATTCATAAACAATAAACAATTGAGTAAATTTATTCAAAACATTTTAAAAATTTTCAATTTATACATTTCTTAAAGATCTCAACAGCATATAAAACTTGACATAAAAATATTTAGACAATGAGATTTCCTTATAAAAACTATTCATGAATGACTACATGCAACCTTACATTTAGAGGGCCAAACAATATAAATTCGTAGCATTTTTTTCTACATAACATGATTATTGACTCGAGAGTTGTATGATTTGAAAAATATATGCGTAAAGGGTTTCAAAACCAACTTTTAAACAGTATCTTTGTTTAGTTGCTTGTTGAACTAAATTTGCTTTTCAACAATTGCAAAGGTCTTAGGGGGACTTAATTTAATCTTTCTTCTTATGGTTTTTCTTTCTCATCAATGATAGTTATTGGAATTATTATTTTAAATATGGTATTTAAAAATTACATATACAAAAATATGGTATTTTTAAAAAAATTACAAAAATATGATATTTAAAAATTGTCATTGACAATTTTTATGTAAGTACAAAAATTCGGAGACAGAAAATTAAAAAAATAACGAAGACTTAAAAATTGTCAATATCAATTTTTTAAAAGTAAAATATTAAAAAATAATAAAATATTAAAAATCGTCATTAATAATTTTTGAAAAATGTGATTAAAAGTGGTTAATAGAAATTTTAGAAACAAAAAAGACCATATTTTGATAATTTTATAAAAAATCCCATATTTTAGTTTTTTTTTTAAACCATAAAAAAAAATTTGACCCTATTGCTCTAATATTAAAATAAACTACCACACCAATAGAAAAAAAAAACTACCATACCATTTATGTCTGTATAAATAGATATTTATGAAATTATTATATCAATTTATTTTTTCATAAATCTTCTTGTCTAATTTGTCTTATTATTCTAATGCTCTCATAAGCTTAGAAGATGATTTTATAAGAAATTTTCTTTCTTTAATATCTTGTTATATAATCTCTAGTTTATGTTTAATACTAAAAAAATTATAAAGGATAAACAAAAGAAATAAAATATAAGCGACGTATTTAAGTTTGCAAGAAGGGAAACAACTATATATTGTCAATATTATTGAATTTATATTTGAATAAATAATGGCAGTTAGAATACATGGTTAATATACCTTTTAAATTAATCGTTGTAAAAATTAAAATTTCTATTGATATAATAGTTTATAGTTTAACGGGTATAAAAAAATGATATTCTTTTTAAATTAAATTCTTAATATTTTTATGTTTTTTATTACATTTATTATATGATCGATATTTTATTTAACACGTGTGATCTTTGAAAAAAAAAGCAAAACTAGGTAAGTGATATAATCCAAAATGATTGGATTTGATTATGATCGTGTTAACTATTAGCTGTTTAAAATGAAACAAATTGAAACTAACCTAATTATCAAAACGCATTCCCATTTTGGAGGCTATAGAAATGTTGTAATCGGTCGATCCTGAAAGAGCGCATCTGAGACCCGATTTTTTAACTCACTTTACCACATAAATATCTGTTTTCTATTTGAGTGAAGGTGAAGATAAGTGATCTATCAATACAAATAAAATAATAAATATAAACAACGTAGTTTCTTTTTAAGAAGTGGATCGTTCTATGACGTTTTGTGATAGTGAAATTCGATTTATTTTAATTGTAATGTGAGACCCATTTAGTAAACTTTTTAAGTTATATAATTCAAAAGGAGAGTTGCTTGAATTATAAAGTATAAAAAGTAATTAAAATTTAAATATTTTGAGGTAAATTGCAGCGTTGAATATGAGTTGACATGCTAAATAGAAGGAGTGAATCAGTGACAACCTAGCCAGTAGCCAGATTCTTATAGATATTGACAAAACGGTTCAACTCGACAAGTTCACCGCTTAAACGTCATTTTTTATAAGAAAATTCATCAACTATCCAACTCTTCTATTAAATAAATGTAAGACATATTGACTTGTCAGATCAAATACTTTTTATTTAAGAGATAATACTTATTAAATGATTTTTTTTTTAAATAATAAGTATGGAAAAGTTGTCAAAGCCTGCTACGGAAAAAGTTGTAAAAAGTATTAAATTTTATTATAAATTATAACTTAAAGTATAAATCACAAATTAAAAAAATATAAAGTCATGTAAAATAAAACAATTCATATAAATTTGCTGTGTTTATTCTGGTTCAAGATCCGTATGATGGTTAGGTTATTGTCTATAGGATATATGACCATAACCGGTTCATGATTAAGACGAGTAAGGCAAGTGTCTAGACCATATATAGGTTGGTTTCCTTTGAATCATGGCAAGTATTTTTGAATTTTAGTGCGTAACTCACTTCGTTAATAAATGCACAGGGCTTTACTTTTTGGGTCTAAGAAAAAATTATGCATACAATTTTAGATTAAAAAAGTAAAATATTCATTTTAAGAAATTATATTTAAATTTTAGAGAACTTGTCTATATATATAATGATAAGGCTTCAAAGGTAAATTTAGTATAAAATTTCAATAGCCTTGATATGTGCGTCGTACAGTTTTTGCCGAACAAGAAAACAAGCGCAGTGGTATTTATGAACATAGAGGCAAAGTACTTAGAAGAAAAATATAATTCATTCAAACTTAAGAATACCGTACACTCACCTTAACATGCAGAAGATGCAGCAGATTCACACGTTTACGGTACAAGGCTCGCAAAGTCAAAAATATTTATGAATGAGCATGCTTTGGTATATGAAAACTTTATCATATATTAATTTATACCCATTTTAAATCTTAATACTTTTTAAATATTTTATGTTTTTAACATTATAATAAATCATTATTTTTATTTAATATTTATTTTATAAAATATTAAAATATTATTAGAGAGATATAATAAATTTCATTATGTTACGAGGCTCGATGATAATCTAAGAAATCTCTAGAAAAAAGCTATTTCAGAGTCAATACTCGAATGCAATGAACGCATATACTTCTTATATAAAAACTCTTATATTTAATATAAATTTTTTATTTGATTTATATTTAACAAGTTATAATTTATTATTTTATTAATAATAAATTAAATAAAAAATTTAAATTAAATATAATAATTTTTAAACTTGTACTAATATAAAAAAACTATTATATATATATATTATAAATTAAAAAAATATAATTATACAAAAATGTGATAAAAAAAACTATTGTAAAATACTGTTTTTTAAAAATTTTATTTCATCCTTGAAACGAAACATCGTGCCTCGCCTACGCGGACCATTGGGCCTTTTGAATGTTTTTTTTTTCTTCTTAAAGATGGTTTTTTAAATTATTTAAAAATAAAATTTAAAATTTTAAAAATAAAACAAACAATCCCTTAAACTTTGTTTTTTAAATAAAATCTGACAGATAAAAATTAATAATAAAAAAACTAAGAATAACTTTTAAAATATTTAAGATCTTAATTTAAGTATAAATTTTAAACTGAAACATATTTAATTAAAACTAACTTTAATATTTGATTTTTAATATAATATTTGTTTGCTTCTTAACCGATTTAATTCAAATTCAACATGACGCACTTAAATATAATAAATAAATTTATCATTAAAAATTTTATTTAAACAATATTAAGTCACTTGTTAATCATATTAACCTCTGTTAATAATTTATAATATAATTTTAAACATTTAATTATTAAAATGTAAATATTTTAATTTTAAAATTTTAGTTGTAGTGATAATATTTAGATTTTTTTTCTTTTTTAAAACCTTGCATATTATATTTATTAATGTTATTAATATCTATCATCATTTTGATAATATTATCACCATTCCTGTTATCATTCAGTATTAATTATTTTGCCATGTCATTATATTTCATTAATATTGTAATAATTTATTATTATTATTATAAATATTTGTTTCTATAATCAATTTTTTTTATCATTGATTACCATTATTATAAAGCTTAGCACAAGCATAAGGCCATTATAAATTATGCTCCTCGCTTCTAATATTTTAAAATAAAAAGAGCTTCTAAGAATAATATTAATTTTTTATATTTATTTCTTCAAATCAAGTATGGTTAACTAGTATATAAATATCAAAATGAAAAACTTTTATGTTCATCATCTAATTATGACATATTTTTTCTCAAGTAGTAATAAATTTGCCTCTTATACCTATTACTCGTACAATACCTATAAAATAATGTTGACAATTTATATTATTTCAGTGTGAATTAATTTTTTAAATCTATTTTTTTTAAAACTTAACATAAATAATATCTCGCTAAATTTTAAATAGATTAATTTTAATGCCAATTAAAATAATTCAGTAAGAGATTGTATATCTCAAAAATGCCTAAAAAATACAATCAGGCAGAAAAATTATAAATTTAGCGTGTTATTTTAATTATTTTTTTTAAAAAATGTTTTTGAAAAATTTCTTTAGATAAAATTACAAATAAATAAAATAAAAAAATATTTAAATAGTAAAATACTACAAGAAGACTATAATTTTGTTATCTTATTTAAACGAGTGAAATATAAAATAAAAGAATAAATAAATATTCTATTTCTTATACTGATTAAAAAAATTTAAATTGAAAAATTTTCATGATATTGTTTATCTCAATATAAAATTATTTATTATATTTTACAAAATTAAAATAAAGTATATATTATCTTTTTATTTTTATTCATTCAAATAGTAAAAAAATTGTCTCTCTCATATTTCTTATAAGTGCTAGTGTTGTGATGCCTGTAGATGGGACCTTAGTGTATCAATCCGGAACACATTTTTTTTAATCTTTGCGAATAAAATAATTGTGAAAACAAGAGGAAAAACATTGAATTATTCTGATTTATTTTTTTAGTATTTCTTCAATTGAAACGGAAGGTTGGGGGGATTAATTTAGATTAAAGGTTGAACTCAAGAGCGTGACGTAGTTGGATTTTGGTGCCTAAATGGTTGTCTGAGATGGACTTTTCATCAAACCTTACACAAAGAAAACCTCACTGAACCAGAAAACTTTGGAAAATCCATCTCCAATTAACCTTCACCATCTTCTTCTTCAATCTTTCAACTTTGTTTCTTCAAAGCAAATCCACACTCTCTGTTTGTTGGTCCTTCACTGTTCAAATCTGTCTCTCTCTCTGTTCCTGCTATCCCTTTCCTTCTCCAATCTCTTAGCTCATCCCTACGAAGAAGCCCCATTGACAAGAAACCTCTCTCAACTACTTTCCCCTGTGACCTCTCACCCTTCATCATTTCTTCACCTTCTTTTGCTGACTACATTTGACTTCCTTATAATACTTACTTTCCTACCTTTTCACTTGCACCCTCGTCACCACACATCTCTTTTCTCATATCTCAAGTTCCTCCAATCAAAAGAGGTATCTTTTCTCGGGGAACAAAAATGGCTATTTGGAAATGGGGTCTTTTGGGGCTTATTTTTGCTGATTTTCTATTTTCAATTGGTGCTGTGGAGCTCAAGAGGAATCAACCCACTGAAAGAATCTCAGGTGGGTTTTATTTTTTTGTTCTGATTTTGGTTTTTCAGCTTGTTGCTTTGGTTGCCATGTTCCAATTTTGTTGATTTGGGGTTTTGAATCTTCTGATTGTGATCGATTTAGTTTTATGTGTTGTGTCTGTGGTTATCATGAATGTGATTAAGATCTGCTTTGGATTGAGGTTGATTAGGATGTGTTGTTGACTTGTTCTTGCTTGAGGTGTTATTATTTCAACCACGAAAGCGTTGCTTCTTCAACATCGAACATGAGTATTTATTCTAAAGATCCAAATTTTGAGGTGCCAACAGTAGTTAGATACGATAAATACTGAAATTAGGTAGGTTTTATCTCCCCAGTTTTAGTGGGTTGCTTCTTTGACATACTTCCTATGGTCCAATACTGGCAATTAGGTTAAGAGTTTGGAAGATGAATAACTGCATAGGTAGTGAACCTTTTATGCTTATGTATGCGAGATGACGCCTTATGATAATTAATAGTTTGTGCTTGATTTCCAACGAATATATGAAAATTAATCAGAGTATCTGAGAAACGGAATTGGTTGGTTTACCCACCCTTGAACTTGTTCACACTAGAAATGGTAGATTGGTAATATTGTGTCTGTGTAGGCTTTGTTATTTCTATAGATTGATAATCTTATGTATCCAAAGGTGTATCTCTTATATAGGTTGGTGAGAATATAATGTATTGTAAAATGCAATTTTAAGGTTTTCTTCTGAGTTTCAATTTTGATAATGGAATCAAAATATAAAAATTTCCACTGGTTCCCTCTCTCTCCCCAAGAATTGAAATAAATTATTTTGTTTATCAACAGAAACTTAACTTAAAAACTGAAACTCTATAATTTGCGATTCAGCAGAATACCTCTATTTTACAATACCTTTCTCCTTCTCTTGCATTTTGAACCATATAAGGCCAGAAAGGGGAAAAGTGTAACCAAAATATGAATGCTGCTCCCTAACAGTACATGTATTTAAATCTTTTGAAGATATTAATATCAATTTTCCACTGTGATATATAGATTTTGAAAACATGACATTAGTTTGGATTTCAATTCATTGTGGAAGTAGCTAGAATGGGGTTAGGTGGAAGAAGATATATACAAACATATACACATCCTTGATCCCTTGGGATTTTAAGCTGTCTTGTGTACTATTTCTTGATGAATTACATTACATGAAGCAATTCTATTTCTGGAGATACACTATAGTCGAATACACTTTTTCTAAATTCTGTGTGTATATTTTATAGTAGTATATATTTCATTTTATTAAAGATGATGGTATAAACTTGTTGTGGTTGAACCAAATTGCAGGGAGCGCTGGTGATGTATTGGAAGATGATCCAGTTGGAAGGTTGAAGGTATTTGTTTATGAACTTCCGAGTAAATATAATAAGAAAATTCTGCAAAAGGACCCAAGATGCCTTACCCATATGTTTGCTGCGGAAATCTTTATGCACCGGTTTCTCTTATCTAGTCCTGTCCGAACCCTTAATCCCGAAGAAGCTGATTGGTTTTATACCCCTGTATACACCACTTGTGACTTGACACCAAATGGCCTCCCTTTACCCTTTAAGTCACCACGAATGATGAGAAGTGCCATACAGCTTATTTCTTCAAACTGGCCTTACTGGAATCGTACCGAGGGTGCGGATCACTTCTTTGTGGTACCACATGACTTCGGAGCCTGTTTTCATTACCAGGTATGAGATTTAGCATATAATTTAAAATTTTATTACTTATATCACCTTCAGTGATACTTAAGTTTTGAAACCAATTGTATTCTGCCTTGAGAAGTACCTCTTATTCCACTATTATTGCTAACCATGGATCATGTAACATGGACTTTTTGTTATATTATTTTATTCCAGGAAGAGAAAGCAATTGAAAGAGGGATTCTTCCACTGCTAAAGCGTGCTACCTTGGTTCAAACATTTGGACAGAGGAATCATGTGTGCTTGAAAGAAGGCTCAATTACCATTCCTCCATATGCTCCTCCACAGAAAATGCATACCCATCTAATCCCTGATAAGACTCCCAGGTCCATTTTTGTATACTTCCGAGGACTATTTTATGATGTTGGAAATGACCCTGAAGGTGGTTACTATGCAAGGTAGGCCTTATTACAGGTTTAAAGGAGAGAATCTGAATAAGTGGCCTTTTATTTTTTGGGTATTATATCTGCATCAGAAAGCTGGCTTGCTTCCTTTTTACTAAAATGCATTGAAGAATGACTTTGATTTTATGTAATTATTGTACTTTGTTTAATTATCATGGCCTAAAATTGGTTCTCTCTAAAATTCTAATCGTAAATCAAGTATGCATGAAGTTTGGTGCATCGAAATGATGCTTTCATAATCATAACAAAACAAACTCAGAACAGTAAATAATCCGAACTGATCAAATTGTCTGTGTTTTGCAATCTTACAGAGGTGCAAGAGCAGCAGTGTGGGAGAACTTTAAGGACAATCCCCTATTCGACATCTCTACTGAGCATCCAACCACATACTATGAGGACATGCAACGAGCTGTATTTTGTCTATGCCCACTAGGATGGGCCCCTTGGAGTCCAAGATTGGTAGAAGCAGTGGTATTTGGCTGCATCCCTGTTATTATTGCAGATGACATTGTTCTGCCATTTGCAGATGCAATCCCTTGGGAAGAGATCGGCGTGTTTGTCGACGAAGAGGACGTTCCTAAGTTGGATACCATATTAACATCTATCCCACCAGAAGTTATATTAAGGAAACAGAGATTACTTGCTAACCCTTCCATGAAGCAAGCAATGCTATTCCCGCAGCCTGCACAACCTGGAGATGCATTTCATCAGGTTTTAAATGGACTTGCGCGCAAGTTGCCACATGACAGTAGTGTTTTCTTGAAAGCAGGGGAGAAGATCTTGAATTGGACTGCTGGCCCTGTGGGTGATCTTAAACCTTGGTAGCAGTTATGTTAGTTTTCTGAGTTCATTATGATTCTTTATATATTTTTCTTGCTCAATCCTCCCAAAGTGTTCATAGGGGTTGGTAATTCAGATACTTTTCTTTCTTTTGATTGTAAATTTTGATATTTTCATAGACAATTCATTACATCATGTAATCCATTTTGCCACATCATTGAAGTCTCAATAGATGCTTATCACTTCTTAATTCCCGGCTGTAGAAGTGCCAGTTGTCTTCTGTGAATTTTGTGCTACAATCAGTGATTGATTAGAATCTCAAATTGGTCCTGAAAGGCAGGAAAACCTTAAATTTGATATCTGAAATGGCGATATGTTAAAATTATATGCTACAACATAAGGTGATTATAAATACTTCATTTTCCTTCCACATTCTTAATGAAGTATTACGAGGGACAATATTGAAGTGGTTTTTTAATCTTTTTGTGTTGAACATTGTAATTGACATAGTTAACAATATATTAACGTGTTACACTGTATATAATGTGTTATATCACCATCTGGATGAAAGATAATTATTAAATTCTAGTTGAAGGATTAAAATCAATAATATATTTAATATTTAGAGGATTGATTTTAATATTCTTTTTAAGAACCAAATAAAAAGACTCCATCTTCTAGTCATAGGTAATTTGGAATAATCATATTATGCATTTGATTAAATTATATTAACTGTATGCCAACAACAACAAGATTATTCCTAATTTTTATTTAAGTAGAAATAGCGTTTGGCTGGTTTATGTTCATACTGGATGAAAGCTATTGAGTGGTGGTGACACGTAATTCTATTATATTCTCTAGCTAGGCACCGGTGGGTAGGCAGTCCCATTGGATGTATTTTGATGTCTACCTTTCTCTGATTGTTATTTAAATTTTGTAATTGGGTGTTTTAGATTAAAATTTACTAATTATCAAAGATGATTCAACTAAAAGGAAAATATTTTAAAAGAACTTCTAAGACTTCAAAATATTAAGTGCTATGTCACACGCTTCTTATTTTTGTTCTTTTTCAAGAGAGAGTTCAAAAGGGACCTCTGAGGTAGACGTAGAAGATTACAAGCAATCTCGTTGGAAAGGGAATTGAGAAAAAAGAAGGAAAATGGGGCATTTTCGTTGCATGCCCTGCAATTTTATTAATCGAACTATTTAAGGAGACGAATCTTTTCTTTCTTCGTTAGGTGTTTTGTTAGGTTGATCTATAGGAATAATTAGCGTTTCTCCTAATCCAATTATATTTTGTAAACTTTTATTAAATTCCTTTAGTTATTTGATAATTTAAACAGATAGTTTGTTGTTTCTTTGGATCGAAATATGATAAGTTACACACTACAATGAAAAATGATCAACCGTTTATGAAAATATGAAAAGAGTAAATAGTTTAATTATTGATGATAAATATTATTTTATATAAAATAAAACTTTAAAAATCAATTATGAAAATGTGAAATTTAAGTTAACATTTAATTAAAAGCAATATATAATATAGAAAAAATAAATTTATAAAAATATGATTGTTTAAAAATATTTTTAAAAATACTATCATATGAAAATACTCTTAAAAGTGGTCTGATTCAATAATTAGTACTTATAAATTATATATAAATTAATATTTTTAAAATCTTAATTAAAAATATAAAAATTCATAAATCTGATAAAAATAAATAAATTTATCATTAAAAAAATTAATAAAACGAAAATTTATTAAGGGGATGAAATTTTTATCAAATTATTAGAACGAAATTCAGCAAATAATGCTATTGGCCTAAGTAACTTTTGGACATTCCATGGCTTCAGCATTGCCCTCTATCAGTTGTTTTCATACCTGCATTGGTTGTCCAGTACCACGGTCTTGTTTTATGACTAGCACATGTTGTGTGCACAGCACACCCATGAGGTTTGTTACCTCATCTCATAAAAGGGTTGCACCATATCCATATATATATATAAGTTAAACTTGCTCTATCTATGGCCTTATCCTTTTCTATCCACAGCTTGCAGTGTTTAGGTGGAAGAATGGATAACAATAATGGGACAAAGATCAAAAGAACAATACTGCATGATCTCTATGAGAAGCAAAGACAGAGTCCTTACTATGACAATATCTGTATCCCTGTTTCAGATTTGCATCCATTGATTGCTTCTGGGATCAGAGGTGTCACCACCAATCCTGCGGTATTATCATTTTTCTTCAGTGTTAAAAAAGAATATTCTTTTGCTTTTAGTTTTGATCTTATCTAGTTTCTGTGTATTGGCTTTACTTTCACAACAATGTTTGTTTGTTTCCATGTTTCAGATTTTTGAAAGAGCTATATCATCATCAAATGCTTACAGTGAGCAGTTGAGGTAATTTTTAACTTGTTCTTGGATTTACCGTGGATTACTTCTCTTTGCAAGAATAGAAAGTTAAATCCTTAGCCTTGGTCATATATTCTTGTTTAGAAGATGCATTTGCAATTAGTGCATTTTTCCTTATGGTTTTTAAGCAATAGAAAGTCCAATAATCCAAAAAATAGAGGTGGAAGAGACCAAGAAAGAGAGAGCATTAAGAATATGTAAATGGCATAAAAGAAAACATGTTTTTTTTTTTTTTGTGTTTAATCCCAGTGGCGGACTTCATTTAGTGAGAAAAGGTTAATATTAACTCTTACAATTGTTTTAAGTAATTAAAAATAGTATGATTTTACTGAAAAAATAATTATTATATTTTTATATTTCTAATGTAATAAATATCTTATTTTTTAATAAAATCTTACCAGTGTTGGATACTAAAAATCAGTTGTAAGAATTTATGTTAACAAAGTCGTTATTGTTATTATTATTTATTTATTTTTGCTCTATCTGACATGAGTAAGTTGTCAAGGAACATTGCTTTTGCTGAGTAGGAGGCGTGTATTTTGGTTATGAGAGGAAAGCAAATTTTCGTTAGTTTTTTGAAAGGAACAGCTTGTTGGATCTCAATTAGCAAAAATAAGTACTGCAGTTCTACTTTGCCAGAACATGCAACTGATGCATGATAACATTTATTTCTGGGTATAATATAAAATATTATTCATTTGATTTTTGATCAATCAGGGAATTAGTAGAAGCAGGGAAAGACAGAGAAAATGCCTACTGGGAATTGGTTGTGAAGGACATACAGGATACTTGCAAACTCTTGGAGCCAATTTACAATGAAAAAGATGGGGTAGATGGATATGTATCTGTTGCAGTTTCTCCCAAGCTTGCAAATGATACAAAAGGCACAATTGAGGCTTCAAAATGGCTTCATAAAATGGTTGGATATCCAAATGTTTATATTAAAATTCCTGCAACTAATGAATCCATCCCTTCTATGAAGGAGGTTATTTCTCTGGGAATAAGTGTAAATGCCACTGTAAGTTTATAATGTGCATTTTGATGTCACAAAATTTGATCATTTAAGGATGAAGCAGCAATATGCTCATACTTTGTGTATTTGAACAGCTCATATTCTCCCTCCCTAGATATGAAGAAGTAATTAATGCTTACTTGGATGGCCTTGAAGCTTCTGGCATGAATGATCTCTCCAAGGTTACAAGTGCAGCAGCTTTCTACATTAGTAGAGTGGATACTATAATTGACAAGAAACTTGAGCAAATTGGCACCTCTGAGGCTCTTGATCTCAGAGGAAAGGTGTGAACCACTTTGTTTTAAACTTTAGTTACCTATTTTCCTTTTACTTTTACTGAAAATGTTATAACAATTCTTTTAGGCTGCCGTGTCTCAAGCAGTCTTAGCTTATCAGCTTTACCAGAAAAAATTTTCTGGTCCAAGATGGGAATTCTTGGAGAAGAGAGGTGCCAAGAAGCAGAGATTGATGTGGGCCTCAACAAATGTGAAAAATCCAAATTATCCTGACACTTTTTATGTTAATTCTCTTATTGGACCAGACACGGTAAGTCATATCAGTTGCCTTGTTTTTACCTTGATTGGATGACCATATTATCTAAAGAAAATGCTAACATTTGAGGACAAGTATTCTCCGAAAAATTATTTATTATTTTGAAAATATGAAAATGTAATAAACGTTATTTTTTTTAATAAAAATATATTATTTATAAATGTTTAAACTTAATGTTAAGGGTTGAGGTTAACAGAAGTGATAGTCTAGAACAGATTAATGTTGGTGTTTAAAGGTATATAAAGTTAAAGATCATTCATTACTAGGTTGCTGAAATTACCTTGCCATTCTTTGGTGCCTCTACAGATTTCAACAATACCAGACCATGCTCTTCAAGCATTTATGGACCATGGTGTTGGTTGTAGAACCCTTGATGCAAAAGTATCAGAAGCTCAAAGCATTTACAATGCAATTGAGAAGTTGGGGATTGATTGGAGTTCTGTTGGATCACAACTGGAACATGAGGTGCTGAATTCTTTCACAAAAAGCTTTCACAAAAAGCTTTGACAACCCATAGACCATGCTTTCAGGTTAATCAGTGCAAGTCTAAGTCAAAAAGATTTGGCTCTTTATTTTCTGTGACTCTGGACTCTTGTTTATAATGAGATTGTTTGCTACTTTAGAAGCTTAGAACTTTGGCGTGTAACTAAAATAATATTATGAACTAGTAGGTTTAAATTTAACAATTTAAAAGTAAATAAATGAAATAGTTATGCAATTTACACAGTTATATAACTTTTTAAACATATATAATTATTAAAATTTCACTTTCAAGTTATTCATTACAAGTCTATTGGCCAAAAATATTCGACATTTGTCAGCCCTATTTATTTTAAAATTATTGACGCTGTCAAAGCATAGAACTTGAACACATTTTCTTTAAATATTTTTTAGCAGATTTTTGTTTTTTTATGAAAAAATCACTAAATTATTTTAAAAGAATTATTAAGAAAAAACCAAACAATGATAAGTAATTTAAGTCTATCTATCCCTCCTAACCCCAGCAAATAATCCTGTTTAACTCGATTCTGGTAACTATGTTTACACTAATGCATGCCAGATATTCAACATGAAAGAAAAACCAAATTTCACATTGGCGAGGTAAAGAACAATTCATAAACACTACCCAATTCAACGTTGACTTGACGATCATATTCATGATGACACGCTCGCATTCACCACAATGCAGAGACACTGATAGCTTTTCCTATTCTCTTCTCTATAATCCATTCGCATGTTCATCTTCATGTCATGCTGCACTTACTGCGTCAACAAAAATATTATTTCTTATTTTGAGGCGTGATTTCTAAAATTAAAGCTTTAAAATCTACTTTAATAATTTTTCAATTAAAAATAAAATTACGATTTTCTTAACCTCAACTTTTAATATTACGTTTAAGCACAGCAAAATATTTTTAAAAAAATATAAACTTAAGTACATTTTTAATTTTATACTTTAATAAATTTTTAATTTTACTCTCTTCAAATTATTTGTATTTTGTTTTGTACTTTTTTTTTATAAATTTTTATTTTTAGTCTTTATCACTAATATGTTAAAATTAAATATTTACATGCGGCGATAGTATATATCTTAATGAAACGTATCATAATTAAAAAATCGTTAAAATGTGAGATAAAAACATATTTTATAAGCTAAAAATATATTTATATAGTAATTTTTTAATAAAATATTATTATTAATTAGTTAAACTGAAAAATATTATTTTGAATTATTGTCTTGTTACATGGTCATCTGAGTGGAAGGAGCAAAAAGTAACAGCGATGCACATTGAGGATAAATGAAGAGGGTGGGAAAGAAGAGCCATTTGTTGTGTGGAAATTAGAAGTGTTACCAACGCCACGCTTTCCACGTAGGATTGGGACACATTCACCCTTTCCTTTCCACAACCATTCTCTTATCTTCTTCTTGTCTCTGTTTCTCTGTGACACTCAATAGAGAGAGAGAGAGAGAGAGAATGGCCTTGCAAGCACCTACCCTTCACACTACCCCCGCCGTCAATGCTGCTCTACGACGACCCTTTATCAACCCTTCTGCTCTCAAGTCATCTTTCTTCTTCTCTGGTTCACTCAACCTTTATCTTCATCCTAATCATCACCGCCTCACTTCAGCACCGCCCAGAATTTCCATGCGGGTTGCTTCCAAACAAGCCTATATCTGTCGCGATTGCGGGTTACCCTTTTTCTCATTTTTAATATAATATATGGGAAAGATTATTAGACATGAGTGATATGAAACAATTTGATGTTTTTGTTTTATGTTAATTGATGCAGGTATATATACAATGATAAGACTCCCTTTCAGAAGTTGCCTGATAACTACTTCTGCCCTGGTAATTGCTTCTCACTACACTCTCTCTAACTCCCTCGCTAATGCAAGGACCTTCAATGTACACTACAGGAATAATTGAATTTTGGTTATTGGTTAGTTGTCTATTCAAAGTGCTCTCTTCTTCGTGCTGATTCTTCACTACACGAGCTTTGTAAAGAGAGAGAAATGGCATGTGTATTAAAAATGTACATTTCAATCTTGTTTTGCAACTGGGAGCCCAACATTTTGTGAATAAATTGTTTTGCAAAACTAAGGTAGTTGCGTTGAATTTGAACATTTTTAGTCTCATGTCATGATTTAAGGGCTGCTTGATTTAAAGTTGAGTAAAATTAATTTTGACGTGTTTGGAATGAATGTCAAAATTAATCTTTGTTATAGATTTTATGACACAGTTTTTTTGATTAAAAAGTGTGAGAATTAATTTTTTTCAACTGTAAAATAAACAAGCACCAAGTGAAAGGGAAAAAATTACTTTTCCTTTGAGCCAAAACCATGGTTTGCAAACTATAACCCAAACACGATCTTGAACTCTTATAATGAATGATACTGATAAGAAAGGAAACTGCAGTTTGGAATGATTTGAACTGAGGGGCAAAACAACAATTGAAAGAAGTAGATTAACTGCATTATCATAGCCGTAAATAAATAGTGTTTTGCAGTTTGTGGTGCTCCAAAACGAAGATTTAGGTCCTATGCACCAGCTGTCACAAAAAAGGCCAATGACACGGCTGTTAGAAAGGCACGAAAAGCTGAAATGAAGAGAGATGAATCAATTGGGTGAGTCATCAATCTAACATTATACAATAAATTTTGCATTGACATTAACAATGTTTTCTCTGTCTGGCATTATATTCCCCAGCTTTAATTGGCATTAACATTACACAATAAATTTTGCACAGGAGGGCACTTCCTATAGCAGTTGTCGTGGGAATTGCAGCGCTTGCTGGACTGTATTTCTATCTGAACACCCAATACTAAGCTGAATGTTCGATTGCAGTGCCCTTCAAGACTGAAACATGGAGTTAAAATTATTCTTGTTCTTTCATTTTCTTTTGTTCCTTCAGTTCTAAGCACCTAGAATGGCCATGCAATTAATGGTACAATTGTTTTGAGAGAGAAGATTGATGATGTTTATCAACCCTGGCGGGTGAAGGATGCAATATATTATGTAGTTATAGAGGGGAGAATTGATTTGCTTTGTTGCCATTAACGTGATAAGAAGCATTTTATATTTTCAGCATTGTCAAAATGGAAGTAAAAGAATTTTCTAAGAAAATTATGTAAAGAATTTCTTCTCCAAGAAAGTTCAACGATTATGTTACATTTTCCATGACACAGAATTCTTCAGGTGGAATGCAATGGTCTAGTCATAAATTATGTGCTTGTAGCAAATAAAAGATTCTTGGTTTGATTATTGCTGAAGTGAGGAGGGCAAATCTTCTCAAAATTATACGAGGGTTTTCGAGCATCTTGAAGAAAAAGTAAAAGAAATCTAGCACTTTATTGGCCATGTAATTTTTTCAGTATTTTCTACTGAAGAGCAAATACTGACATTTGACAGAAAGATCAAGATAGCAGTGAGACGCTATTCTCGGGTAGCTAAGCTATGTAGCGAAATTATACGTTGTAGCTTAATGCAAGACTTTCATTCGACATAGAAAACAAATAATTAGAAGTGTAGGTTGGTACACACCTTATAACTCGAGATACCCCAATAGGAAAAATTTCTTGTTACTTGCTGCTCTTATGTTGGTTCTATTTGCACTTAACCATGGAGAAAAGAACAATTTGTGTAGACGTAAATGGAAAACAATTCCATCAAAACTATTATGGACCTAAATGAGCAAATTGGTGGTGAATCTGTCATCTATTTAGCATCTTCGTACTGATTTATAAACGGGTATTCATCCAACAAATCAATTAACAAGCATCCCATCACAAAACAAATGACATAAATTATTCGATATATTTAATAAAGTGCTTTCGCCATTCTCACAATTACTTAGCATACGCAGGATGGGGTAACTCTCTCGTCAACATATCATGAAACCCACTGAGAACAGCAGCTTCTGAATCCAAGAGGGCACTACTACTTTTGTTCTGTGTCTCGTCCTCAACAAAACAGTAAACAGGAGCCTGCCAGTTTTCATCCTCAAGCACCGCTCCAACCTCAAATGTCATCACATGAGCAACCATCCCTACACCACCAAAATAACTAGCACATTTTATTTATATAAAAAATTTAGATTTCCTAGTGTTTTCGAATTACATGAAATGATCGTGTTAAAAAAATAAAAATATAATTTTGACTAAAAAAATGTCATAATTAATTAAATTTACTAAGTTAAAAATACGTATAAAATGTTCACAAGTTCTTTCAAACAAACCCTTAACTCTTTTAAGGTAAGAAAATGTATAAAGTGAGAAACTAATACTTTGGGTATCATTAATTTTGAAAAAATATATTTTATTAACAGTAGATAAATCCTTGTTTTCTGACTTTACATTTCTTCTCTGTTTCTTATTTTAATGCGAAACAAACTCTTATTTGCTTGACTTAGCAAAGCTTTGAACTAGCCCAATGGAAGTTGAGATGCTCGTTTTGCCAGTAAGTTATTTTTATAAGTTATTCTAAATATAGCATTCAATCATATTGAGTATCAAGATATATTTAGGGTGAAATAATATAATATTCAGAAAATATAATTAAGAAATTGTAGAATTAAATAAATGTTGAGTATGATGCTATGAAATGCGATGTTAGGCAACAACCAAGCGTAGAGAATCGAAATTGATAATTCAACTAACCGGAGAAGAAGATCCACTTGACGGGTCTTCGAGTGCCGACATCCTCGTAGTACCAGATAAAGTCAACTTTTTCCCAAACATTACAGAGGAAATTGTCAACATAGTCCTGACCCAAGTAATTAGCACCGTCGAGCCAGTTAGGGCGGAGAATACCAACGTCGAAGTGAAGGATCTTGCAGGTTTCATTGAAGGGAGGGAGAGTGTAGATGAAGGAGGTGCCATTGTTCCATTCGAGGTCGTATTTGAGGACTCCCAGTTGATGTTGGATGATGTTGAAGTTGCGGCCATTGGGCCAATCGTACCATAGATCAGTCTTCTGAAGAGAACCGCTTCGGTTGATGAAGAGCACTGAGTGGAACTGGTGAGGCCAATCAGCGGGAATTGGATCGTTCCCTTTCGAGTTTGACGCAATTATTAATGATGAATGTAGAAGAAAGAGGAACAACAACAACAACAACAACCCGTAGTAAATGGGTTCTCCCATTGCTAATAATTTGCGTTATAGGAGGAAGGAAAAGAAGATAAGGAACGTGCTTTTTATTCTTCACCAATCACTCCACATTTCACAGTCGACAGTAAATACCTCAAAGGAATGAAATCATATTTATGCTTTTTAAGTCATTGTTATTCTAATATTTTGTTTGGATATAAAAATTTACACAATTATATTTTTCATTAAATCATATTTAGACTGATTTAAGAATAAAACCTAATTATTTAAGTTTAATTAACTTTTTTACTCTAGATCAAATCATAAAACCATCCAAAAACAGTGAATTACAGTAAAATTAAATTATAATTTCAGACAAACCATTTACAATGCCAAAGGTCACACTTCCTAGAATTACCACCGTTAGAAGAGTTTAAACTAATAACTTTGCATGCTGGTGCAGGTGGGTAGCTCAGCCTTACACAGGTTTATAACCTTTCTGGCCTCCCTGCTACCGCGCTTTCTTTCCACCACACCACGCCACTCAAACCAAACGCAAACCACTTACCATATTTTGAATGGATGAATTTTGTGTTTTATTATATATATATATATATATAGAGAGAGAGAGAGAGAGAGAGAGATTTCTTTTGTCTATGTTCTACTTGTAACATGTATTTAATAAATTTAGCAATTTAATTATGATACGAGGAAAAAGGCAAGATGGTATATTTTAAGTAACAAATAATCAAACATGCAGCAACTTCCTTTCCTTAAGCACCAGTACTTACTGATTTGTGAAGCATCAGATATCTAAAAGAACGAACTCATCACTGAAACAAAATGACTTCAATCAGGATGCAAAATAACAACATTCAACACAGTAAGACTTCCAAGGGAATGATCATCATGAAAGTGCCTCAAATAATCTTCAATATGCCGCCACATTGACAAATTGTTTATCTTTTCACCTCAATCTTTAAAGACAAGAGTAGCCCTTCAAACGCACTGTACCGATAAGATTTTTTAAACAATTCTTTTCCTTTGGACTTGTTGAAGTGGGTTCCAATATATTAATCTTCTAATCCTAACAGCTTAAAAGTTAATTTCCCTTCTCTCTGCAAAAAACTTGCCAGTAATTGCTTGGTCAGGAAGAAGAGAAAGCCACACTGCAGTATCAGCACCTACCTCAACTGTGATACTTCCTGTATAACCTGTGAGAGCGGTTTTCACCCAGCCAGGGCAATAGCAATTAATATAAATCTTTTCACCATCTGGTCTCTCAGAAAGCTTCTTTGCCATAAACCTTGTATATGCATTGACTGCTAATTTTGACACTGAGTAATCAGTGAAAGTTTGAGGCCATCCTTCTGAGGCCCAAGTTCCATCTCCTACTTGTTGCAGAAATGTTGATACAATCCCATCAATTAGTTCCTCTGAAAGGGATTCCACAACGCTTAGTTGCTTTTTCAAAGCTTCGTTCTCCAATCTCTGTATGATAAATCAGTTTTTAATCTACCACAAGTTAGTGTACAATAAAAACAATTAATTGTCTTACTTAAAAAAAAACAATACACGTTTTAATAAAAATTTGATATTAATTTTATTTAGTATATCATTTTCCTTGAATGATTCAAAATTAATTTTACTTAAAAGTAAACTTATCCTTGTAAAGAAAATTGTTGATGCTTTTTTGTATAAGGAAACAGGAAATTTGCTTTGCTCAAATATACATTACCACTATTTCCAATGCTTCTTTAACATGAATATTTATGAATGGGAAGTAATATGCGTAGTGTATCCCCAGTGAATGGATATTGTAACATTACTTGTACATGAATGAAAATTTATATTCAGTAAACAAAATACATTGTATACTTACATTTCGTTTGCCATTTAATCGACCTAGACGTGAGCTCACATTTACAATACGAGCACCAGCAGAAGATGGCTTCATTAGTGGAATCATGGCTTCAATTACACGCTTGGTGCCATAATAATTTGTATCAATAACCAAACTAGCATTTTCAACAGAGTTCTGAGACCCAACATTGAAATTAATTCCCGCGTTATTTAAGTGCACATACATATATCATATTATTGCTTAGAAACATATAATAAGGGCATTTGTTAAATTTAACTACATGCCATATATATGTATATAGTCATTTTGCTAGTTTTTGAGGTATCTTCTCTGTTCAATTTCATGTTTCCTTGATCAAATAAGAATAAATTCAAGTCCCTATTATTTATTGAACATGGTAAAAAACAGTGCAAGTTGAGTAGATAAGCTAAAAGAAAGGATAGGTAGCCATATGTTTTAGAAACATACCAGAATATCCAAGCCACCATAATTTTCCTTCAACCACTCAGTGAATTGGTTGATAGAAGAAGAATCTAGTACATCAAGTTGATGACAAGCCACTTCTTGCAGACCACCTTCTTGCAGGACCTTAATTGATTCAACACCAACACTAGCATCTCTTGATGTTAGTATTACAGTTACCCCATGATCAGCTAGCTGTCTAGAAATTTCAAACCCAATTCCTCTATTTCCTCCGGTAACCACAGCAATTGTTTCCTTAGACCACCACCTATATATGCATAAGCACAAGATCAAAAGACACGCGTTAAAAGAGTGTTCTCTAATTCCATGATTAAGAACTGTTTACGTTTGGTATTAAAATCGGGGTCAATGCACAAATCGATTGCTATTTACATGCATACCTACTAAATCCAAGGTGGGTAAGAGAGACATTGCTACACTTTTGGATACATTTTTTGGTATATTCGTCTAACTTTCACGTGAATTATACTAAATAAAAGATCAAAGTTACTTAATGGAATCCATACCATTCAACTAAAATTAGATAATACTGTTAACTAAGAAGTGGCCCATATATTATTGTAATGAACCTAAATAAGATAAAATATTAACAACACTTACTAAGATTGGTTGTTTTTCATAAAATAATATTTTGCCGATAGTAAAAGTCTTATTCAGAAGTGTCTTGTAAAAAGAATGATAAAAAACTTATGATGCAAACTTAAAAAGAAAAAATATTTTTCATATTTAAATTCTTACCTATTTGGCAAATGATCATTAAGAATTTCGAAATGGAAAATGATTGAGGTAACAAAAGAATTTTGACCAATTCGATCATTTGCTAATGATAAAAATCGTTGATCAGCAAATGTTTTGTTGCACATTAAATGAAATTAATTTAATCAAGAGGCTGATTGATTATTTCTCAAATTCGAGCTAAATAGCAAAGCTACTTTGAAAAATTTATCCTAATCAATGAGAAGCTGTTTCATTACTCGGTTGTTTAATTTCGATATTCATAATTAGTATTCAATGGTGATAAGGTTATCCTTGTGAAGAACTATATGAAAATGAAAGAATATGAAGCTATGAGAGGGTAATTAATAGAAAAGGCAACCTCTGGTGATCAGCGTATGGAATGGTCCTCAAAAGAGATATCTCTTGCAACCTCTTTTCTTTTCTCTCTATAGATTTTTCTTTACTGTGCCCCATGTTTTTGTATCTATTGATTTAGCAACAAATTGAACCTTGAAAACTAGATCGGAGGGAATTTGGAAAATTGGGATGTTGAAGTTGAAAGAGAAGGATGAAAGTTGTATGATGCACACACAGAAGCCAGATAGTGCAAAGGAAGAAATGGGTGGCGTTGCATGCCACGTTGTTGGTCTAAGCACATATGTTGGCCTTTTGGTCAAATGTGTAGAACTAGACTTCAGGCAACAAATCTACTTAACTTGTGTCTGCAATTTTCTTATATATTCATCAAGTGGGAGAATAAACTTCCACCAAATTGATTATTAATGTTGGATCCAACTTGTTAGATGATATTAGAGGGGAAAATATAATATATATATATATATATATATATATATATATATATATATATATAAACTCTTCCATCTAATCTAAATCTTTCGTTTAACTTAAATTTAAAGGATTATAATTTATTACTTCACTAGTCATTAAATTTAAATTAAATAAAAAACTCAAATTAGATGTAAAATTTTTTAAACTTACATAGGTAAGAAGATCCTTATATATATATATATATATATATATATATATATATATATATATATATATTTATATATCCATTTACAAATGTAAATTAAATTATAACACTCATAATAAAAGTATTCTACTCGACTCAATAAAATTGTCTTCCATAAAAGATATTTATAATTTTTAAAAAAATAAGATTGAGTTAAATAAATTAAATGTTAAATTTACAAGAAATTACATAACATACTTAAAAATTCTTCAAAATAATCATATAAAATATTATCATTTAAAAACAAAGGCTTATGTTTTATATTGAAATAGATTAACGGTGGAAATGAGAAATAAAATAATATCTCAAAATAATTTAATATAAATAATTCTGTTTTTTTCTTCCATATCCGAGAAAAATAAATTAAGAAAGAAAACATTTTGGCCACTTTATTTTTTTTAATTAAATTAAGCAGGATAAAATAAAATAAAATTATATCTCTCCTCTCTTATCCTCTATGTCAAAGGAACTGTTAAAAGAAAAGGAATAAAATAAAAGTCTCACACAATTTCTTTATTAAATCAAGTCGTCTGAAGCATGGTCCAAATTAATGCATTGTTCGTGACGGATCATCATTAATTTAATATATATAAAGCTAGTGCATAAATAATTTAAAAATATCTGACTTTATAACGTGTGGTGTCTATTTAATTTTGAAATTCAAATACAAATCAATGCTCCTCCTTAGATTGCATCGGCATAAATTAGGATAAAATGGTCAAGTTTTTCGTGTATTGCAGGGTTTATTAAATTCAAATAATTTTTAAATACAATTTTTAAATGTTTCATTATTATTTTACATTTTATAACTTTTATAAACTGTTAAATAATTTAATTATTGATAATAAATAATTTTTAATTCAATAAAGAAATATAATTTTAAAATATAAAATTTAAATTTCAAATATTGAAAACTCAATCCGTGAAATGTTGTCACATGACAAAAAAAAATTTAATATTTAAAATAATTTATTTAAATTAACTGCTTAAAATACTTTTATTCCAAAGTTATAATTCACAAATTATACATAAACATAAATTATTATATACGTATTTATATAAGTGTGAAAATAGAGTTTACACATATTCTTAGGCAGATCTTATGAGATGAAAACAGTAGTCAGTTTAGCCATGACAGGGTTATTAATTTTTATTTTTATTTTATCAAAATAAGCACTGTAATATTTTTCTTTATATTATTATTTTAAATTTACTTTTGTCTTTATATTTATATCTACATAGGTGATATTTTCAGTGTCCATTTTTCATATATTTTGATTACTTACCCTATTTGTTACCTTTTCATATACACCTCTAAACAACTATCAAAATGTTTTTTTTTAACGACTGGTTGTAAATTTTTATAAATATTTTAAATGAGTTTTATTAAATTAAAAAGTTGAGTTAAAGTATTAAAAATATTTTTTTATTAAAAAGATACATTGATTGCATTAAAATTATAAAATAATAATAATGATATATTTTTTTAATAAAATTTTATTATTTACTAGTTATCTAAAATCATTCTTAATTCTCAAGGTGATTTTTTTTTTCTTAAAATATTTTTGCTAAGATTTGATTTCTAAATTTTTGAAAGCAATTAATTTTAATCTCTATCACTAAGCAAATTTTACTAAATGCTAAGTTAATCACGGTAATTCAATTAAACATTGTCATAGGAATTTTAATTATCATTTAATAAAATTTTAGTCCTTATAAATATTTTACAGAATTTGGTTTCTATTCTTAAAGATATTTTTATTTGATTTATATTCTTATTCTTTTAAAATTGAATAATATTAGCCTCCATTGATTAAATGATTTTTATTAATGCTAAGTTGGTAAATTATAATTCAAGTCACTATTGTCTTGTGTACTGTGTAGTTAATACCACACTGGTGTGTGACAATGAAAACAAAAAGTAAAAAGAAATGTAATACTCAAAAAAAGGGTAAAGTAGACAATAGAGTGTGTGCGGTCAAGAAGAAGAAGAAGAAGAAATAATTAAGATACCCATAATAATGATGGTTTACATTAGAATTAGAATAAACTAACTTGGCATTTAACAAAAGTTATATAATGTTGAAGGCCAAAATCATTCATTTTGAAGAGGTTAAGAATTAATTAGCAAAGAAAAAAAATGACCAAACCAAATAAAAATATAAAAAACAAAGCTAAACCAATGTCCTAACATGAATTAAAAACGCTAATTCCAAAGACACTGATTAATGAATTAAATATGATTTTTATTAAAAAGTTTAATATATCTTCAGCAGTAATTTTAATAAAAATTATACTTATTATTTTTTAATAAATATTTTTAAATTATTAGCAAGCAAAATCTTAAAAACATTTCTAAAGATTAAAACTAATTGACATGTGATAATATTACATTAGATCACCATTAATTAACTTAACATTTATAACGATCAGAATTTATTTATGATTTTTTTTTTACAAAACATAATATATGTCTAGCTTTCGTCAAAACAAAGTAATTTAATTAAATTCATTCAATTAATTGTTTCTAATTTATTAATTATAATATATAATATGATAACAATTCAAATTTTACCAAACTCAGAAATTGAACGGAGTATTATCAAAATTAAAATAATTATTGCGTAAAAGGTTGATACATTGAATTAATATAAATAAACTATCCTATCTGAAAAATATAGTTGGAGCATTTATATATCTGATTTAGGTATATTTTGAATTATCTTTCTAGCAATATACTGTTTAAATTTTAAAAAACATCATTATACACTAAACGATATTTATTATTTAATTACTTTCAAATAATTCTTTAGAGACTAATTATTTAGTAATTTTTTTCATAAATCACATGTATTTTTACTATAAATATTTATATTTGAATCGGATAGGATCGTTATTAACTACAAGAGTATATCTATCTGTTTTGTTGATATGATTAAGAAACCACATTTTTTTATTTAAAAATTTTAAGAATAACTCTTAATTGACTAATTAAGATTATTATTATTTTTATTTTGCTAGACAAAAGGATTATTTTTAAGTCACATAATTAATTATTTTTAACATTTTATTATAATATATTTTGTGATAAAAAATCCAAAACTTGTTAAACTAAACAATTGGATGAAGTATTAGTAAAATTAAAATATTCTATGTATAGAAAATTGGTATACTGAATTAATATAGATAAGCTATCGTTATTCTTTATACATCAATAAGAAAATGTGAGTACAGACGATTGATTCACTGGAGCTAAAAACGTGTTCCTCGTGTAATTTTATTTTTAAATATAAATATTTAAATTAAAAAACTACTATTCGACAATAATCGAAGTATTTTTAAATTGGACAATGTACGATAAAATAACACGTTGACATATTTTTAGAATAAAGTCTCAAAAGAGATATATTAAAGATCATAAATTACAAGTTAAAGATAAATTATTAATTTATACCACATTTTATCGTTATCTTAATAATAAAAAAGTATAAGATAAAAGAACAATATTATCTTATAAATAGTTTAATATGTACCCAATATACTGGATAAAATAAATATTTATTAATTTTATATCTTATCTTTACTGCTCAACAGACTTTACGTATATAGATTTTTTATTTCACATACTGTGATTTTTAAAAATTTGTTTAAAATCCTCAACATATTTTTTGAAAAAAAGTTATTTAGTTATAAATTCCTGATAGCAATAAGTTAAAAAAAAAAAAAGAAAAACGAAAATCTTGTATGAAACAGGTGCAATGGAGATAGCTAGATAGGAATATCCAAACTATAATATCCCCTTTTCTTCTCTCTCTCACTATCTGCATTAGCATAAGAGGGATAACAAACACAATCAGAATCAAAACTTACTTGATTTCCTTATCCCTCAGTCACAATGGAAACCTCTCTTCTCTCTTATTTACTCTGATTCCGTTTCCACAATATCTCAATCAAAAACACTGCATAACGCATTGCCTTATTTATTTACTTTTTTTTTTTATATATATAAATACTAATGTTAATATATTAATTGATGCACAAATTGAAACCGTTCTCACCCATTGCAGTTTCAGGTACCTTATTCTTCTTCTCCTTCTTTCTCTATGTTCTCTTATTTTTACTCCACTGCACACTATTCTTAGTCCAATCAGCTTCTGATTAATCTTTCTGTTTTTCCTTTCTTTTCTCCTTTGACTCACTCTTCAATTCAATCGCTGTTTTCTCTCTCAGTTGCTGGTTTACGACTTTTCAGAATTTGACCCTTATAGCTCCGGGAAACCGCTTTTCAGATCTGGAGCCAAAGTTAGCATCTTTCTGTTCTTCTGAATTCAAATGCTCCATTGGGTATCACCAATTCGCGAGCTTCTGAAATTCTAGGTAAAGAGAGCATGTCTGGGGCAGGGCAAGCCATAGACATGGAGCACGTGGGGTTTCCGAAAGCGAAATCAGCGGCGGCGGCGGCTGCTGCTCCGGCCGCCGATCACGGCCGAGGGAAGAAAACGGGTCCGGTGTCGATGGATCACGTGCTTCTGGCGTTGCGTGAGACAAAGGAAGAAAGGGATCTTCGTATTCGGAGTCTCTTCAATTTTTTTGATGCTGGCAACACTGGGTATTTGGATTATGCACACATTGAGGCTGGTTTGTCTGCACTTCAGATACCTCCTGAGTATAAATATGCTAAGGAACTGTTCAAAGTGTGTGATGCTGATAAGGATGGAAGGATTGATTACCATGATTTTAGGCGTTATATGGATGACAAGGAATTGGAGCTTTACCGCATATTTCAGGCTATTGATGTGGAACACAATGGCTGCATTCTCCCTGAAGAGCTTTGGGATGCACTTGTCAAGGCTGGTATTCTTTTAGCCCCTTCAATGCCACTCACTTTGTTTATTGTGCTTGTGGTGTTTCTTGCTGTTTATTTGTTTATGTTGTAGGTGTTGTTGTTTGCTATCTTTCCTCTTCATCATTATATGGTTTTTCTATTTAGTGGTGTAAGTATGTGGTTGACATTTGATGTTACTCCTTGACCTTGCTTTGCCGTTAGTTGTGCCAAGAAGGTTTTTACTTTTTGATCGGACATTCGGAGGCATAAAACAGTTATGCGTGAGAAAATGTTGAGTCTTGTTGAGGGTCTGCAGAGCTTTTGTATTTGTTATTTATGAATGTGTGTCTCTTTTGAAGAGGTACTCCTGTATTGTTTATAGATTGTTTTTTTCAAAAGAGAAATTTGGGAATCATTCTTTGAATCCACATGGCGCTTTGGGTATGTGAAGTCTGGTTCAACTTCAACCTTTGATGGTAGATTCTATTGCATATTTGTTATTTCTTTAATTGCTTAGTTTTTTCCCTTTTTGTACGCAATGATCTGCTCTGTCCTTTTTAACTAATATACGTTTTCTAAATGGTTTTCCTCCTTGCCTTTTGTGGAAGTCGCTTCTATTCTCTCGTCCATTTTTTATTGTAAGCCTATTCAGCTTCTATGGTGCAGGGATTGAAATTGATGAGGAGGAGCTTGCTCGCTTTGTGGAGCATGTTGATAAGGATAATAATGGAATTATCACTTTTGAAGAATGGAGAGATTTTCTTCTACTTTACCCTCATGAAGCAACTATTGAAAATATATATCAGCATTGGGGGAGGGTGTGCCTTGTTGATATTGGAGAACAAGCTGTGATTCCTGAAGGTATCAGCAAGCATGTACACAGGAGCAGATACTTTATAGCAGGGGGCATAGCAGGAGCTGCTTCTCGTACAGCAACTGCTCCTCTTGATCGTCTGAAGGTGGTCTTACAAGTTCAGACTGGGCGTGCTTCTATTATGCCAGCAGTGATGAAGATATGGCAACAAGATGGTTTATTAGGGTTTTTCCGAGGTAATGGATTGAATGTTGTTAAGGTAGCTCCAGAGAGTGCTATCAAGTTTTATGCTTATGAAATGCTGAAAAATGCAATTGGGGGTGATCAAGAGAACAAGTCAGATATTGGTACTGCTGGAAGACTTTTTGCTGGTGGTATGGCTGGTGCAGTTGCACAGATTGCTATCTATCCATTGGATCTTGTCAAAACTCGGCTGCAGACTTGTGCTTCTGATGGGGGAAGGGTTCCTAAGCTTGGCACACTTACAAAGGATATATGGGTCCAAGAGGGACCTCGGGCTTTCTACAGAGGGCTTGTTCCATCTCTTCTTGGTATGATTCCTTATGCAGGGATCGATCTCACTGCTTATGACACCTTGAAAGATATATCCAAGAGATATATTCTTAATGACAGCGGTATGATATTACTGGAACCACATTCTCTATTGAACTTAAGTGATTTTATTTTAACATCTTGAAATTTTTTAATGATAACTTAACCCTTGTAAAGTATACAACCTTTGAAACTCAAAACTTTTTGTTCTTTTTCTACTCCATAGAACCTGGTCCTCTGGTACAACTTGGATGTGGGACAGTTTCAGGGGCTCTTGGAGCTACTTGTGTCTATCCACTGCAGGTTATTCGTACAAGGTATGAGGTTGTGTCAGTAGTAATGTAATTTTTCTGCATGTAGTGGGGGGTGGTATCAGTTTCATACTTTTAAACTTGTTTTCTTTTTTATGTTTTATGCATGGTCTTTGCTGATGTTACATTAATCATACTTCTCAGACTGCAGGCACAACCTACCAACACTTCTTGTGGATACAAGGGAATGTCTGATGTATTTTGGAAAACTCTTAAGGAAGAAGGCTTTAGAGGCTTCTACAAGGGACTCATTCCGAATCTCCTCAAAGTTGTGCCAGCTGCAAGCATTACTTACATGGTTTATGAAAGTATGAAGAAGAGTCTTGATCTTGGTTAGCGTGTCGTTATTCCCTGGACAGCTAGCTAATATCAAATATTATAAGAAGTATCGAATTGTTGATGTTGACGAAAAAGAAAAGAGATTAGTATTTAGTAGTACTCTAGGCACTATTAAAAATAGTCATTCTTCTGAGGATATGTTAAACACGATTTTGTAGTCAGAAAGTTTTTCCCCATGCTTATCTGAACTAAAACGTTGAGAAATTAGGTTGAATTCTAGATATACCAAGGTAATAGGGGTTATCCTTTTCAATATATACTTTGTCCACTATTTCCTATAGTCAATAGCAATGATACATAATTCTGTTTCTCCTCCATTTTCATGTTACTATGAGTGAATAAAATTGACGGGTGGCATCTTTCTGCGATTTAGGAAACCACAAAAAATAGATTCATTTTCTGCATAACTTAGTTGACAAAATGAATGTTCTTATCAGTTGCCCAGTGAAAAAGATTCGGTTGTTCACAGCTCTCTGTTGAATGTACTATGCACCCGACACTAGATGCAAGTGCAAAGAACTTGTGTTGAAAACGAAATAGATATTATTAACGAACTTGGGTTAAGTACATCGAATTGCTTATGGCCAATTTGTCTCTACGTTTTATCAGAGAAACACTTTTTAAAATGGTTTTTCCTAAGCAAATATTTAAGGCTCTGATTGGTTGTGTTTACGAGTTTCAGAATTGTTTTTTCAAGAATTAAAAAAAGAAAAGAAAAGAAAGGCCAAGTAATTGAGATTCTTGACTGAGCAAATAAATAAAAAATAATAAAATGATTTTTACTACACAAATATTAACGTATGTTTCCAAACGAAATAGTTTAGACCTCGGACTCGGTAATTATTTTTGTATGCTTTACTACTCTACATGAGGAAAAAGATGTCTCGCTTGGTTAGCCTAGCCACGTGGATTTCAAGAGTCACTATGATTTTCATATGTCAAATTTTTGCTACTGTCCTTGGTGCTTTTGGGCAGAAAAATCCGTATAGACATATCTAAGTATCTTTTCAGTCTGACGGGAACGGGGAAATCACTTTCTCTCTTAAAGTATCTTTCAAAATGAATAATGACCTTTATGCAATATGGAAATACACTGAACCTCTTTCCGTAGTAATTTATCTGATATTGACCCTTCTATTGGCTTGTAGTTTGTGGAAGCATTCAGTGCGCAATGCCTAATGCATTCATTCCTGTTTTTGACATCACATCATGTTAGGTACTTGGGTTGTGTGTCTTAATATCACGGTGTTAGGATGCAGTACATGAATTACTGATTGCATAAACCTTACCATACGATTTGCACCATGATTGTTCATGACTTCTTTTCACTAGCTTGGCATAATGGAGAGGTTCTCCTGAGTATCCATCTTTGGAATATGTTATTTTTAATGAAGCAGACTGATTTTAGAAAGTCAATAAAAAAAGTAATCATTTCTTCAAAATTATAGTTTGCATATTCGAAACATGGACCTGTCACATAGCACAAATTCGAACAATAATAGACAGCATAGAGTAAATGTTGACAATATTCATTTTTCTTTCTTAAAAGTCAACCAATAGTTTACCACTTTATTCATCGCTTCCAACAAAAACAGAGGCAAATATTACATTTCCTATTTCTCAAATCACTCGCTGCCCCAGTTTCTGTTGATTGGCTTCTTAGCAGAAGCATCTATTGGACTATATTTATATAGAAGGTTTCATTCAAAATGACAAGTCTAAAGAATGGACAGAAAGATAAACATAACAGTAAATGAGCCCCATAGGCCATAGCAACAAAAACAAACATAACTAGCTTAGTCACCAGTGCAGGTGCAGCTTCGTGAATTGAACCTGGAAGAAAGGCTTTGCCTTCCCTTAGCCTTTATGAATTGCCTTTCAAAACTTCTCTCGTCAAAAGGAGAGAAGCATAGTATTCAAGAACTTAACTTAGTTGTCATCTTCATCTTCACTTTCTTCTTTCTCCATACTGGGATGTTTACTTGGCTTGGCTAGTAGATTAGATCATGGGTGGTTTCTTATTTCCCTTACATTCAACCATATATAACCACTCCAAAGGCACATATACTTAGGAGGATTACCTTCAAATTCCAACATATTAGGGAATAGAAAAAGCAGACAAAAGAGAACAGATAAGCATAGGCATAAAATAAAATAATAAACTACATTCCAGTCTTTCAAAATTATTCTGTTATAGAGTATAGACACACAGGCACACACAAATGCATGAGAATATTATTGTTCTTCTGCTTTGGACAATTTGTCAAAATATTCCATAGAGCATTGTTATGCCACGTGGGCAAGACCGACAAGGAAGGGAAAATAAAAGATTAAGGATGGGGAGGAAGGGTTTGAAAAACAGGTAAAATGAAGTGAATAAATGGTATAATAATAAAAAGGTGGTTAAAGTAATTATAGGGACAAAACAGCCAAGTGTAAAGAGAGAAGAAGGTTGTAGATAAGCACTTACATATTTTATAAATGTGCCACAATGGGCTGGCACCACCCAATTCGTACGCATGGGCAGAGAATGCTTTCTGAGAGGATATGTGCCCAAATCACATTGGCACTAACAATTCCTTAGTGGGATTTCTAAATTCGGTAACGAGTGTACTATAATTAAAGCCAATACTCTACTTTTTATTTTTTGTTTTTTTTATTAGGGAGCTTCTTCATAAAACAGCATAAGGATTAACAGGTATTGTTCAATTTAGCCTATCTGCGAATCCCACATCCTTTCCCTGCTCACAGGAATAGCAATTATTGGAACCCCTCATAATAAAATAATTCAGCATAGGTGGTCACTTCCTTCTCCTTGACAGGGGTACTTTTAAGCCTACTTTGGCTAGATCTTTACAGACTAATCCCGGGCTCGTTCTTTGAGTCTATACTTTGCTTTTGACTTTTGAGTATTGGTGGTTGTTGCTAATGAAAGCTTTTAGAAAGTGCCTCGAAGAAAATACTTGGCTTTGATTTTTTGCTTCACATACACAAAATGTTGCCTTCACCTTGTAAATCAGCTTGGTGTTGGTGATGTTTTCCGCACTTTTGTACAAGGCTGAGGATTTACCATGACCAAGAAATCAAACACAAATTTGTACAAGAATGAGAACAATTCTTTTCTCCTCTTACTTTGTTTAGCTCTCGAGAACTTCATACCACACACATTCTTAGAGCAAGTATGATGCAAACTCTAAATAATGTCACTATCTGATTTAAAGAAGTTGTTTGTTTATTTTAGTGAAAAAGTTTTTCTTTATTACTATAGAAGTAGTAATGTTAATTACACACAAAGTATAATTATCATAAATAATTGATAATATTATTTTTAGACCATAAATATATATTTTATAAAGTATAATTTTGATTGAGTCTTAGATATTCACACATAGTATGATTAACTCGGTTAACAAAACATTTTATTTTATACATACAAGACTTAAATTTGAAATCTTATTTAAGAAAATACAAACATGTATTACTTTAAATTAAAAACTGGCTAATAGTATTAAATTAATGATAATAAAAAAGGACGGGGAGCAATAAAAGAAAAAGAAAAAGAAATGTAAATGATAAAAATATATTAATATAAAAATTATGCATGAAAAATATTTAGCAAAAATAACATACGGTACAACCCACAAATTTTTTTTTGTCCAGTGTATGAAAATAAATCCGAATAAGAAAAACTAAAATTAGAATTTTTGTTTATTAGTTATAAAATAATCTATGAGGACGTGCCGGAGTGGTTATCGGGCATGACTAGAAATCATGTGGGCTCTGCCCGCGCAGGTTCGAATCCTGCCGTTCACGTGTTTTAATTGTCATTTTAAAATGTTCCCAAATAGTATCTTCTTTATAACAGCGAGTAGTATCTTCTTTAACGTGGCCCAATGCTTCGGAGTAGCTTGAAACTAACAAAGCAATGCAAATCGATGAGCCAACTACAGCAAGTGCACGGCCACACAATCACCAGCGGTGTCTTACCCCTCTACACCCTCCCAATCTTAAACAACATCCTCTTCACCCTCACTTCTTTGCTCACTTCCCCTAACACCACAAAAACAACAACCTACGCACTCTCGCTCTTCCATTCCATCCCAAACCCAACCACATTCACCTTCAACACCCTCATCAGAATCCACACTCTCCTCTCTCTCCCTCTCCATGCTCTCCACCTCTTCTCCTCTCTCCGCCGCCTCTCTCTCCCCCTTGACTTCCACACCTTCCCCTTTGTCCTCAAAGCCACTGCCCAACTCCCTTCCCTTCCTCTCGCTCTCTCTCTCCACTCCCAAGCCTTCAAGTTCGGATTTTTAACCCATTTCTTCACGCTCAACTCCCTCATTCACCTCTACTCCGTTCACGACCGTGTCCACGATGCCCACAAGCTCTTTTGCGAGAGTTCCTACAAGGATGTTGTCTCCTACAATGCCATGATTAATGGGTTTGTTAAAACTCGCCAGATTTCGCGCGCGCGTCAACTGTTCGACGAAATGCCCCTGCGAGATGAGGTGTCTTGGAGCTCCATGATAGCGGGTTATCGACACGTGAGACTGTGTAATGAAGCCATTGTGCTTTTCAATGAGATGATGGGTTTAGAGGTTAAGCCGGGTAATATAGCGTTGGTGTCGGTTCTCTCTGCTTGTGCTCAGTTGGGGGAGTTGGAACAGGGTAGGGTCGTTCATGATTACATTCAAAGAAATGGGATTCGAATTGATGCGTTTTTGGCAACTGGGTTGGTGGATTTGTATGCAAAGTGTGGGTGTCTTGAGACTGCAAGGGATGTATTTGAGTCGAGTGTTAATAAAGATGTGTTTACGTGGAATGCAATGCTTGTTGGGTTTGCAATTCATGGGAAAGGTTCGGTTTTGTTGCAGTATTTCTCTAGAATGATTGCGGAGAGGGTTCAGCCTGATGGGGTGAGTTTCTTGGGTGTGTTGGTGGGGTGTAGCCATGCGGGTTTGGTTCATGAAGCTCGAAGGGTTTTCAGCGAGATGGAAAGTCTATATGGGATTCCTCGTGAGGCCAAGCATTATGGGTGCATGGCTGATATGTTGGCGAGGGCTGGGTTGATTGAAGAAGCGGTGGAGATCATAAGAGGGATGCCAAACGGGGGTGATGTGTTTGCGTGGGGTGGGTTGCTTGGTGGATGTAGGATACATGGGAATGTTGATATTGCAAAGAAAGCAGCGCAGCAAGTGATGGAGATAAAGCCTGAAGATGGTGGGGTTTATTCTGTCATGGCTAATATATATGCACACACCGAACAATGGGATGATTTAGTGAAGATTAGGAAGTCACTGGGGGCTAACAGAAGGGCCACGAAGATCACTGGTCGTAGTTTGATTAGACTGAATAATGTTACCTAGCTAGATGCCGATCATATTGCTAAAGGCGGCGCAAATCAATTTTTAACTTCTAACACCGAAGACCATGACTGTATAGATCAATCGGTTCTTCGCATAGATTTAATTGTAGCTAATTGTTCTTTTTCTACAGTTTATTATCAACAACTTGCATAAAGAAAATATTACTTGAACAGCTGAGAAAGAACACTTTTAAGTGTCTTTTTGTAATAGAGATGTAGTTTTAAAATGGGTATATATAAAAAAAGTATTTCTCTCTGCAAAATAATGTTTATATTTCCCGGCCAATTAAGTATAGTTGAAGAATTAATTTAACTATTCATTCCATATCAAATTTCTAAGTTAGACTATCACAAATTTACCCAATCCCTTGTTGAGACTATACAAACAGTGCGTGGCACTTCCAGAGGCTTCTATGGATATCGTGTCAATTGTAGATAGTGACAAGTGTCCTATCGCTTCGTCATTCTGCTACGTGGCTCCGGAACCTTCTTCCTCGCCCGAGACTCATATCGCTTTCTGTACGAACCACAATCCATCAGACTATATAAGCACGGTACCAGAAATTCTGCGACAACAACTGCATTAAGCAACGAACACGAATTGCTACATACCTAGAGATACTCTTGCCAATATGGTTTTCAAGCCTACGGTACGATTTCATTCTGGGTATTATATTATAATGTTTTGATCTTATTATTAAATGAAATAATACTAATTAAGTTGTATGGTATTGGAACAGACGGGTAATTGGTTAGCAATGCTAAGGAACGGTTTCGGAGGGTCTAAGGTTGCATACACAACCTCAACAGCGCCGAAGATGAAAGCGTATGCTCCTGCGGCCGATTACGGTAACGTTAATCAGCAATACCAACAACATGGGAAGTCAGCGAAAGGGGACTTCGTGTCGGTCTACGTGGCAATTGGGATGATTACTTTGTCGACAGGGTTAGGGCTTCACACTGCGTGGCAACAGCTGTGGAATTCCCCAACCGTGCGTGTGAAGAAGCAAAGGAGAGAGACTCTTCCCGAAGTGGTGGAGCCTGAACACGTGGCAGAGGAGTCTGAAAAGTTCGTTAAGAAATCGTTCTTTAGGAAAGTGGCGCACGTGCAAGAGCGTAGCTACCCTGATCACCACCATATCCCTAATTCCGTTCGTAAAGATGCTTATGCTAATACCCCTCGCATCGAGACTCTTAAGTCCGTTGGGGTTGATCCCTCCCACGTGTGACTCAATAGTCATAGATCTCTCTTGTATGTTGCTTTGTGCCTTTTAATATTTAGTTTTGTGTTAAAACTGCTCTATGATGTACATTTTGTACAATAAAGTAAATGTAAATTACTCTGTTAGCAATCTCATAAGGAACAATGTTTGGCTAGTTATTTACGCCTCAACAAGTTTGAATTGCATGGGTGATGGGTCAATCGCGACAACATAGGCAGGCTTTGAGGATAGCCCAAGACGGGAACGGCCTGTCTCTACGTGCCATGGTATCCATATTTTGCTTTCCAATTCGCCACCTCTCTTTCCACCAATGTCCTATCCTGAGACACTAACCTCCCATGCTTTGATGTTTACGTCCAATAATTTTTCCTCTGAATGGGATGCTAAGAACAGTGCCAAATCTTAACTGTGGCCGTTGGAGAAATATTTGAAAATCTGATCGTAGTTTACCTGGGTTAACTTCCGACCGAAGATAAATATAGCACTTTTACAGTCATCATGTGCAATAAAAATTATATGATAAATAAATTACAAATAACAAGGTTAATTTGGCTGCCAAAAACAAAGTCATTCCAGTACAAGGTTATATTTGAAATTTGCAAGGTATATAGCTTCCTACTCTAGTAAAGCGTACATGAGGATCCTATTAAAAAAAATGGACCAAATAAGACATGCCTGATCAAGGAAAAAATTATTGTGTGGTTTGCAACCATCAAGTGTCTATGGTCTCAACCAATTATTATGCAGCACATAGTCATAATTCAATTAAAAAAAATTAAAATTTTCTGTTTTTCACAGGAGGATTAGTCAGAACTATACATATGTGGTCCTAAAATACATAGTAGTTCAGGGGCAGCACAAGAAATTGCTTTAGTTTTTGAGTAGTTCCAATGTTGGATATCCACGAGGGTTCTGCTTCTAGTTGACGCGGAGCTTTCAAAGAAGTTTGGTTGTGTAAGTAAAGTTGCATTTTAAGTTACTTACAAATTTTGCTAATATAAGGCTCGAGTACCCTGCATCTAAACTATATTGCTTTGTGTCTCTTCATACAGGTTCTAATACAAAAATTTTGGAAATTAAACGTCTTCTGAACTCTCTCCCTCAATACTCATTACTCAATAGACAGAATTTCTATAAGGTATTCTTTCATAAGAAGATCTTGGGGGTTGAGGGTTTGAAAGACGTTTAGTTTTTTTTCCAGAATTTATGTAAAACTAAAAGGCTTGGAGGAAGTAGAAGTGAATTCAAAGTTTTATTTTCGTGAACTACATGGCCAAACTTGTCTCTGGTTTAGTGATTTTGGCTTATTCTTGGGCTTACTCTTTCACCACATATGCTTAATTGAAGGCCTCATGAGATGCATGATGTTGTTCTTGTGCAGGTATATATGGCCTCAATATTTCAATGCAATATTTCGTTGCACACTACCTACCGAATGTATAAAATTTAAAACAATTTTGCTTTTATTCTCCATATATGCATGCATTCATGCGTGGACTTGGATGCACGCAACAACATATTCGATAAGGAAATGCATGCTAACGCATTTGGTTAATGAGTAGGACATCTCTTTCACACAAAAACACCACACTTTGTACAATGTTCAATTATTTTTATTATTTTAGACAACTCAACTAACATTATACTTGAACTCAACAACTGCAAAAAAGGTTCTTGAATAAATTTCATAACCTGCCACACCAAATTTATGCAGCAATCAAAAGTAACATACAATTGATAAAAGTATGGTGAAGAGATAGAAGGAGTGACTAACCAAAAGTTAAAAAGCAACCAATTTTATGACGTAGAAAATTTGAGATGTTCTTTAATGGTTAATCGATATTATTAGTATTGTTAGTTGTTTTTTTCACGAGGCATTACTCATAAAGTTAGTTTAATATATGATAAAAGTAATTGTGAGACTCACCAGAGTTGAAAAGAAATTAATGCTCACTCTACCTATCGATGTTATGATGTGAAAATTTTGAGATGCTCTTCGATGGTTAATTGGTATTATTAAAATTATTATTCAGTTAATTTTTCGTGAGCAATTATTGATAATTTTACTCTTAATTTCATATATAATGAAAGTATCATGGGCTCACAAAAAGTTGAAAAGTGACTAATATGCGCTCTAACAACTGGTACTATAATGTAAAAATTTTGAAATGTTCTCCAATAGTTAACTACTGCTATTATAATTGTTATTTCAGTTGTTTTTTCATGAGAAATTAAAGTAATTTTTAATGTCTTAAAATGTGATTTCACCACTATTTTTCTAATGATGATATATCTTTAGATTTTATTTATATTTTTTATTTAAATAAAAATGCATTTATAATATAAAAAAGTATTGAATTACTTTACATTGCAAGTGTTTTTTATTTTTTAAAATCATAAAAAAAATATTCTCCTTTAAAACTAATTTGCTCAAGTATTCAAGTATGTATTAAGAAGCTAAACAATTTTTTAATTGAGCTTATTTATTATAAATAAATTTTTATCCAAACTTATTACTTTCTTATATTATTCTAAGTTATAGGCATAAGTTCATAACACACCGAGGAATATTTAAAAAAGAAAAAAAAATTTGAAGTAAAAATTGTAAAATTGATTATCTTATAAGGTTGGAGTTTGAAACGGTGTAGCAGTGCAGAGCACGGGAGTGATGCTAAACGACAACGTGGCAAGATATAACTGGGCACTGTCACGTAGCACGTAATATGATTGGTTGAAACAGCTCGAAGGCCTTACGGAGATCTATAAGTGCTTTCGTTTCCGAAAAAAAGTGATATTTAAACACTCTGTAGAATATATAAGAATTAGAATTGGAAAATATTGTTTCATTTCAGGGTTAGGGTTTCACTGTAACTGTGCAAAATGGGAGAACGAAAGCGACTCCCTCTGGGGATCTTTGCGGTGCTCCTCTTGATTTCTACCTCTTCATTCCAGCTTCTCTACGCTTCCGATGATGCCGATGACGCGGTAATTATCTTTTGTTTTTTATTCGCTTCTATTTTTGTTTATGTGCGTTGGATTATTGGATCTTCGTTTTTGTGAGGTTGTAATTGACGAATTGTTGTATGTGGATTTGTTTTAGATCTTCTACGAGTCATTTGACGAGACTTTTGAAGGCCGTTGGATTGTGTCTCAGAAAGATGACTACAATGGTAACTACTACCGACTCAGTTATTTCGTTTGAATTGTTTGTGTTGTGATGAATATGCGTTGTTTTTTTTAGACGCTATTCTTATATTGTTAAGTTTTAAAGCGAATTTCTCACACACATACACTCTGCTCACTCACTCGCACACACAGTAGATGATGTCGCTCAACTTATCACAAACTACTCCAAAATCGTAATATTGTACAGAAAATGCATTGTGGAATCCAAGGAGAAAAAGAACTAAAAGCGTTTATGGTTGGATGAAATTGAATGATAATCTTTCTGTATCTATGATTTTAGACGAGCAAAACCAATCCGGAAAAGTGTAGTTGTAGTGGTGGATGCTAATAGTAGGAACAGTAGTCATAAGGGTCTGATAATGGAGTGCATAACTGAACTCTGGTTAATGAGTTAAAGGCTTTCAACTGCTAAAAAAATACGGAAATATTGACATCATCCCTGGGCTGTTTAAGGAAGTGAAAACGAAAAATATTGTAAAAGAAAGTATATATCGTTTTTATATTTCTGATGTGATATAAATTTTATTTACTACTTAATGTTTTACCGCATTTTGATATTTATATCAGTCCTTCCTAAGGGCTTAATTTAACCTATCCAATAAATTAAAGGTATTTTGATATGAATATTGCTTTCTTTTCCAATAATTACTTTGCTTTTCGTAACCAATATCTTTTGGTATTTTTATGCATAGGTTAGCATTTATCCTAGTGTCTTGAGGGCACTGGATAAAAGATAGAATATTTTATTAAGAAAGAGTTATTATATCAAAATAAATAAATGGTGTTTGCTGTGATACTGGTAAACTTGAGAGGGTATTCTATACCCTCTTTAGATTAATGGTTGTGATTCCTTTAATATCTTAAAAATGACAGGGTGTTAATGTCTTTTCTAACTGTATTACTAACTCTATTATCAATCTATATAAAATTAATGGTTAGAATTGTTCCACGTGTAAGAGAGGTACTAAACTCTCTCACTTACCCAGGTACCATAGATTTCACCTAAATTAAAATTGATGTTTGCTTATAGAATGTTGTCAAATAACTGTTATGGCGTATGGTGGCGAACCATAATGGGAATTGGTGGCAGTTTTCAAGCTTTCCGTTATGGGCATGACATTTTTTTGGCGGCGCACCATAACGGGAATTGGTGGCAGTTTTCAAGCTTTCTGTTACGAGCATGACGTTTTTTTGTGGCAGCTTCCATAACGGGAATTGGTGGCAGTTTTTAAGTTTTCTGCTACGGGTATGATGTTTTTGGTGACGATGCCCGTTACTGCCACATGTGATGCTAGTAACGGCAGCTATGGCAGAAAAATGATGTTTTTTACAAAAAAAATGGGTTGGGCTGTGGACCCAACTTCAGAGAAAGAACCCACGAGCCAAACCTTAATATCCATTGCAACTCGTCTTCACCTCTCTTTTCATCTCTCTTCTTCGACCTGTCTAGATCTTGTTTTGTTCTTTTTGTGCAACCTTTCATTCTTTGCTCTTCTCATGTTTTTCTGATGAATGTTGCTGCATCTCTGGCGACAACTACACATCTCTGCAGTTGCTCTGCCATTTCCAACAACTCCGTTTTTTTCTGTAGCCTTTTCTTTTTTTGTTCTTCTCTCTCCTTTTTTCAGTTTTTCTTTATTTTACTCATTTTAGGCTTTTCCTCTCCCATGTCTCTTTTTTTCTCTATTTTTCCATAAATAATTTCTCTCTTTATTTCAGCTTTCCTTAAGATGGCTCAACAAGAATCTTCATCAAATTTCTCTCTTTATTTTGTATTGAATTATGTTTTATGCTACTTATGTTTTGAGTTAATTCCTTTTTATTATTTCTTGTTACTTATAATTTTTTTAATATATTCTATTATAGCTACCATGGCGGCTACCATAAATTTATAGCAATTTTTTTCGTTTCTGCCATGACCTATCATCCGCTGATGATGACCTTGGCTTATACTATTAATAACAAAATTGCGCAATTACTCTTAACTCCTCTTGTATCAATGTTTAGTACAACCATACCTTAAGGGAGGTGAATGAAAGGTGAATAGTTTAATGGAAGCAAAATGAGAAGTTTTTATTAAAAGAATTTTGTGAAAAAGGAGGCCATTTACTACCTTTATTTCTAAATAATGGAAGCATTTAATATGCATGAGAATGGTGTAAAGACCCCTAAAAATAATAACAAGAGTCCTACTAATGAGTGTGGAAGGACACTAATAAAAGGGTATTTAGTACATTTTATTAAATGTTTTTAATTACTTAAAAAAGGAAAATATTGAATTATAGTGTGTTTTTATAATAATAAAACTTTTTAACGAGTATGTTTTACTTTACTTTTGCTTCACTAAACAGTGCCATTAGATAGTACCGTAATAGTACCAGTTAGCATTTTTTCCTAGTAATAATGAGGGTTTAGAGTTGCATGACCGCTTTAAAAAAATCAAATGATTTTAATTTTGACCAATTGCGGTGGGATCTATTGAATATTTGTCCTGTGTGTGTATGTGTGTATCCTAAGACATGCTTTTAGAGTACTTCTATTACCTCGGAACTTATTGCATCTTTTCTGAATGTTATGGCAGTCATTGACTTTAGCTCGTTTGATGATTATGAAAATATGAGTTGACTACACATATGGTGGTTGTCCAACCATACCATATAGAAATCAATAAATCATATAAAATTGACAGGGGGTACTTTTATATGATGAAACATTGGAATCTGTGTTTCACTTATTTGTCTCCTTAGATTTTCATATATTCACCTTGTCCTTAATATGTTATTTTGGAGAATTTTTGCCTCTTTCATGGGTCAGTTTATTGGTTCCCGTGCTAGTGAGGTGCATAAATGAAGTAATTGGATGAAGTGGATAGATGTTTTATTTTTCTTTTTTTTGCTGGGGCAGTGAAAACATAAAGGTTTGAGTCTTACACCTTTTCCAGACTATGCAAATTCCACTCCTCTTCTAGTAGCTTGGTAGATAATATATTCATGCAAACTTTTATATAATATTTTATCTGTCTGTATGGATTCTAGGTATTTGGAAACATGCTAAGAGTGAGGGGCATGATGATTATGGGCTTCTTGTCAGTGAGAAAGCAAGGAAGTATGCTATAGTTAAAGAACTTGATGAGAACGTGAATCTCAAGGCTGAAACAGTTGTTCTTCAGTTTGAAACTCGCCTTCAGAATGGCCTTGAATGTGGTGGTGCATATATAAAATATCTTCGTCCACAGGAGGCTGGATGGAAACCCAAGGAATTTGACAATGAATCTCCATATTCTATCATGTTTGGTCCTGATAAGTGTGGTGCAACGAACAAAGTACACTTCATTTTCAAGCACAAGAATCCCAAGAGTGGGGAGTATGTTGAACACCATCTCAAGTATCCCCCTTCTGTTCCATCTGACAAACTATCTCATGTGTACACTGCCATTTTAAAGCCTGACAATGAGTTGGAAATTTTGATTGATGGGGAACAGAAGAAAAAGGGGAATTTCTTATCTGCCGAGGATTTTGAGCCTCCTCTTATCCCTCCCAAGACAATCCCAGATCCTGATGATAAGAAACCTGAAGACTGGGATGAGAGAGAGAAAATTCCAGACCCAAGTGCAGTAAAGCCAGATGACTGGGATGAGGATGCACCCTTAGAAATTGTTGATGAAGAAGCTGAGAAACCTGAAGGATGGTTAGATGATGAACCTGAGGAGATAGATGATCCAGAGGCAACCAAACCAGAAGATTGGGACGATGAAGAAGATGGTGAATGGGAAGCCCCAAAGATTGATAACCCAAAATGTGAAGCAGCCCCTGGATGTGGGGAGTGGAAGAGGCCAATGAAGAGGAATCCGGCTTATAAAGGAAAGTGGCATGCACCACTTATTGAAAATCCTGCTTATAAGGGTATCTGGAAGCCTCGGGATATTCCAAACCCTGACTACTTCGAACTTGAAAAACCTGATTTTGAACCTATTGCTGCTATTGGTATTGAGATTTGGACAATGCAAGATGGCATATTGTTTGACAATATCTTGATAGCTAAAGATGACAGAATTGCTGCGTCATATCGGGAGACTACATGGAAGCCCAAGTTTACCATTGAGAAGGAAAAGCAGAAGGAAGAAGATTTAGATGCAGGATCAAGTGGTCTTGCTGGCTTCCAGGTAACGTTATTATGCCTTTTTACCTCCCCTACCCCCAATTTTAGATTTTCCACTTTCATCTCTCTATTTTTACTTTCCAGCGTCATGTCTTGCAGTCCTCATGCCTGTAATTTTACTTGTCCTTTCAGAAGAAGATATTTGACTTGTTATACAAGATCGCAGACATTCCCTTCCTGAGTGCCTACAAGCTTAAAATTTACGTAAGTGATAAAAATAAAAATATGTCTATTCCCACGGAACCTTACGACATGTAATATTTATTTCACTTGTTGGCATATTACTCGAATTATATCCTCTGCAGGATCTAATTGAGAAGGGTGAAAAGCAGCCAAATCTCACTGTTGGAATTCTTGTAGCCGTTGTGGTTATCTTCTTGACTATTTTCTTCAGGCTCTTATTTGGTGGGAAGAAGCCCGTAAGTAGTGGAACAATATTTTTCCCGTGAAATTTATCTCACTGATATTCTTTTATATTCTCGTCCCTGGTAATTTGCTTAGGACTCTTATGTTCATCTCTGGACTATGTCTCTTATTGTTCAGGCAAGGGTGGAGAAGACAAACGTTGAACCCGCAGAAACTGTCACTAACCAAAGCAGTGTTGAGAATGAAGAAAAAGAGGAATCATCTGCCGCTGCCCCTCCACGTCGGAGGACAACAAGGCGAGATAATTGAAATGATTGAAACTTGCAGGGGCGGCCGATAAAGAACATTACCGCACATAAATTTTGAGCATAGTTGGACATTAGGCCAATTTCAGTAGTAGCACTTGGTTGTTATTTTTCTCCTTCGCCTTTTTAGAAAGATGGTGGTATGCACGAGTGTAAATCAGATATTTTGCGTCCTGCTGGTGGTGGCTTTGGAAACTCGAGTATTTTAAGCTAAATGAGGTTGTACGATTATTTTTCCTGGTTTTTTTTTTCCAGTAGTGTAGCACAGAAATCAATTCACCTAAGCTATATTCTCGTCGTTAAACTAAATCCCGATTGAATCATGAGTTATATGCGTGATTCTACATAAAGAATAGGTGGGCAACCTACAGCAGTCAGTCAAGTCAGTCCATACTTCACTATTAATTAACTTTTGAAAATGTTATGTATGACTAGATTTACTTTCAACTGTGCACGTCAATCATTTATAAGTGGTGCGAAGTTTATTTTGAGAGTAGAACATTTACCTTAAAACATGTTTACATCTTTTGAATATTTATAAATGTTAAATTTTATTATAGAAAGAGTATTATTACATTAACATATATAAAGTTTCTAGAAAAGAGTAGCCAAATATTTTTATCGTAGAAGTAATTGATTAGGCAATAATTTTTTTTTTCTATTTTGTATATAATCTATTAGCAACCAAAATTGTGTTTGAGATTAATTGTAGAATGAACACTTGAAATAATTCAAATTTTAATTGCGAAGGAGAAATACCTCAAAAATGAAAAGATCTCAAATCTCACGTACCAATAATGAAAAATGTTTATAGGTGGGGGAGTGAAAGAACCCCAAGCAAAGGAGAAATAGGTGTGGAAGAGAAACATTTTGAGCTGGTAAAATGTTAATAATTTTTTCTCTCTCCAAAATTAATAACATATGGCTAAGAGGGAGTGGCACGTAAGACATCACTATATTATTATTATTATTAGAGATAAAAGTAATTGAAGTGAAATACGTGTCCTGCTTATCCATTAAGTAAGACAAAAGCTATCCCATTTGTCTTGCTAAATAAAAAAGGCAATAAAATCAAATTAATTGCATCAACAAATAAGAATATGTGGTCGTACTATTCTAGACTACCTGATCAGCCCAAAAAACATAATCTAACAAGCGCCAAATTATGTTTCTCTAGTACAATTTTGTATCTATTCCAACGTAGTCACTTTTATGATACCACAAATTTATCCTCATCCTTGAGTTTCAAAATATTAAAAAATAAACATCATTTGAAATTTTATCAAACTATCAATATAATAATAAAATTAATAAGACCATTAACAGGTTAAAAACAATAACAATTAAGTTCAATTGAAGCAATTTAAGAAAAAATAATTGTCAGGCAGAAGGCTCCATCATCGCATGAAACGGTGACATGCAAGAAAGTCGAATGTGCAAAATTGTCGAAACGGTAGCAATAATCTTTTACGTTCAACGAACGATTCTCAATTTACACAAGTCTTTAATCCTATTGCAAACATATAATAATTAATGCAAGTGCTGGAGGGAAATGATCTTTTTTCACGCAATAGCTATCCCTAAAGGAAAAAGAATCCCCCAAAATGATATTACACTTAAAATGAACAGCGATGTACTTAATTTTATTTAATTTAAAATGCATAATAATTTTGATCCATTAAAATTTAAGAGTTGATATATCTGCATTTGTTTGACCTATAAACGAAATTATTCCAAATAGAATTGAGCATAATAATATTAAGTGCAGTAGTTTGTGAACCACACTTTCTAATAAAAAATAAGTTGAAGGTTTTAGTAAAAAAGAATTATTATTTTTATTAAAAATAGTATAAATGTAGGTTAATACATAAATACTAGCAAGACATCTCAACTATCTTAAATTTTTATAACTACGAAAAAGTGAATTAGAAAGTGTGTTCCTGCTACCAGTGAATTTATCTTAAATTTGAATGTCAATTTTTTTTGGGTCCACGAATGTCCAGTTATTCTAGGTTTATGATTCAACGATATGTCTTTCTTTCCTGCATTTGACCTTGTCTCTCAAGTCTCAATTAAAGAAAGCTCTGCAAAATTAGAACACAACTTGAAGCCAAAAACAGAAGAGATACGATGTCAATCCTCTAGTTAAAACATTCTTTGATTTTAAGTGCCATTAAACTTTTCATCTATGAATATTTGATGGGAGAAAAAAAAAAGGTCAATCCTGAAGATATAGGTTTTCTTTCTCATGAGCCTAGAACGCCAGTGACGTTGGGATTGTTCACACCTTTACTGTCTTGTACAAAGGAGAAAGGATATGAATGAAGACCCTTTTCATTTTAAATGTCATAAAATTATTCTAAAGAAAATGCTGCCGAGTAAAAGTCAATCGGACTACTTAGCTCGTTTCAGCCTCCAAGTTTTATCAAATCGGGATAAATAAAAAGTCATTTTTTATCCATACAACATATTAACTCAGTTGACCAGATTAGTCCAAATCTAACAAAAGAAAAGGCCAAATGCGTGGGAGAAATACTTAAAAGTAATTCAAACCTAAAATTTAAGGGGTATAATCAGACCACCTTGGTCGATCCAACAACCATTTTGCCACCTCTCCTCGAGTACAAAATCAAATTTCGGATTGCACATGTCGAAAAACGTAATTGGTTGTTAAAAAACCATTTGATTTGAAAAGAAGTGCAAGGAGATAACAAGGGCATAGATAGGTTACCGGTTATGAAAATGTCACCCAAAGCAATTATCCCATGAAAACACCTCCATCATTTTCTAGGACTCCAAAATGGATACATACTTGATGATTCCACTGATACCCCAAGTGCCTATTATATCTATTTTAGTATTTCTGCGGCCAAATATCTTTACCATGAAAATAATCACTATCGAAATTCAACTAGAAAACCAACCGCCGAAAGAGAAAGAAAAGGGAAAGGCAATTTATTAAAAGGATTAGGTTTTAATTTCATTGGTAGAGTAAAACTATTTTTATTTATTATCCAACCATGATTGCTACATTAATAAAAAATAGTTTGACTAATAAGTACCAACAAACTCTTCATGACGTAACAAGACAAGATTAAAATGATTATGTAAAAAATAATATTCTGACAATGAATTGAACTTTTAACTATTCTAAGAAGACCCCCAAAAAAATCTCAAGTTCAACTACGCTAAATTATAAAACATCTCTGCTGTCCCGATTTTTTATGTGTATATATATGTGTAAAAATACACCTGCCATATGCATCTTTTATTATAACATCCGTATAAAAAATTGTCTCCTCAACCTCACAACAAAATTTAAAACAAGAAAAAGAAAACAAAAACTGACTAAGGATTAAATACGGCATTCTTTCCCTCCCTACATTGAAGTAAAATGTTCTTGCCTATAACTTCACTGATTTTCTTTGATGATGTCTATATTATAATTTACCTCCCCTCATAGAAATACACTCACCTCCGGCCACCGGCCTTTCTAGCAGGAGGAGCAGTGTCCTCATCATCTGACTGGATATCTCCATACTGCCACATTCCACGCCTACTGGTCCGAGCTTCTCCCTGGAACATCTCCAAATTTTCAAGGGCCTCTTGTTTTTCTTTTCTGTCCCGCCTATTTCTTTTTTCTAACCTTGCAAGTCCTTCCTGGAAATTTTCACAAAGAAAACAAAATCAGATATGTATGCATGGTAGGCAAAACAGATGCACATACTCAAACTATATGCCACTGAAAGCAATTCAACCAAAGGGGTGAGTAGCAATAAAAACCTTTAGCATGGCAGCATTAACACTGATCTCAGAATCCACAGCAACTAGAGTTACGGCCAGAACTGTCCCAGTACCCTGCCCTTTCATTTTTCCTCCGGATGTATCCCTCTCCTCCACCTTGGCCCTGAACTCCTGTCCACTGTTTAGAGTTTGTTCGCTCAAATACTCAGCTGCTTCTTGGCCAAAGTCCTCGTCCAAGTTTGGAACCTTCACATATGCAAGGCTGCACAATTGGGCAAGACCAGGAGCAGTAGATACAGATGGATCAAGTGGCCGTAGTTGACTGTAAGGTACTTCTTCTTGATTTCCATAATCAAGGTAGAATACTTCAAACATGTCCTTAGGAGATTCAACTTGTCCTCGTGGTCCATTGACTATCTGCACGATTCCATACCCATTCCATGAAGTTAGAGTGAACACAGACTAGGTGACACGAGTGATACTCCAACTACTTTCCATCTCATCAACTCTATTCATAATATATAACATTGAGAAAAGGAAATATCTGACTATATAAAGTCATGCCTCAAATTCAGGCAGGAGAAAAAAAAATCTAAAAGATTGTGCTCAAGATAAAATATTGTTTGATGAGATGAAGACACAGCAGTAATTTTGTGCGTTTAAAACTCTACTAGTTGGCTTTGACTAAAGGAAAAGAGGTTTCCATGACTTGAGAGGTGCAATACTTCTCAGCAATTAAATGCCAAATGTTTTCATCCATTGCCTGTCAATGTCTTCAGCCTATTACAGAACTAAAATTAAGAACTTACCATTGCTCGATACCAAGATTTATCTGCACCGAAAAGACAAAGGACTGTGTCACCCTTCTTAGGATTGAAAGCTCCAAGCAGAGGAGCTTCTTGAAGGTTCAAAAAAGAAAGCTGTTGCTGAATGGATGCTATCCTTTGATCCCCAACAGGCTGGACATAGAATTTACCCCCTCCCAGGACTTCTGTTACCATTACCTAAAAACATATATACATGTATGGGGCAAATCAATCAGCATTTTGAATACCAAAAGAAATGCCATTTATGAAACAGTATGCTAAGCACCTTGAGCACTTCTTGTTTGTTTTCTACGGGTGCACCATTAGATACTTCCTCCCCTTCAACAAAATTTTCCCAGATCTGCAATACAAATCACTTTAGAACAGGAAACAGGAAACGAACAGGGGTAATGTCAAGCATGGTTTGGGACCTCGTCCTCCTTACTTTCAGCTTCTGCCTCTTGGCAGATTGTTCAGCTTGCTCCAGAAGTTGAAAATCAGGAATTCTGTCACTGCCAAAGGAGGTTTGAAGTTTTGCAAGACCAGCTTCAAGTAGTGTAATTGCCATATTTGTCCTTGACTCCCATAAGGAACCCAAGAAAGTTCCAGTTCTATCAACAGTTTCTACCTCAATCTGAAAATTATAAGTAAAATACATTTAACTAAGAAAAAAATAATTAACATGAAGAAATTTTCAGTTTGCAGAGGAACACCTAAGTACCTCAACATCTCTCTGCATTATCTTTCGCCTCATTAGTGCAATTGCTTCATCAGAATATGGCTCATCTCGACCAGGACATCTGACACCAGAAAAAGAGAAAGCAATACTGCAAGTTTCTTTTGGAATTAACAATTTAAAACGATGGCCACTGAGGACATATTCCACAACAGCAGGGATTTTTCTACTTCGGTGCAGGAAAGGCAAGAAATCTTTGGCTTTCTTTGCTGATGCCTAAAATGAATCAAAAGGGGAAAATTTTTAAGAATACTTAAGATTAAAGGTAAAATTTAGTCCAATCATCAATTTTCTCACTGTGGTCAAGTCGGTTATATGCATGACGGGAGGATCCTTGGCAGAGTGAATCCCTTTTCTTCCAGAAATAGCTCGTGATTCAGCAGCAAGAAGAGCATCATAGTAGTTTGATCTCTCTTCAAAGTCACGATGTCTAATGACAGTTCCAAAGCCACGGCCAACCACCAGTTCAGCAACATTCATCCCTGTTTGCTGACTTCCAGCAGGTGGAACAGATGAAGGGGCATCATCACCTTCAGCCTTAACAGTGGAGAGTAGGAATACCGATCCAAAGTCCATTGCTCTAGCTTCAGGAGCTGTTGATGAAACTGCAGATCCATCTGCTGGACCAACCTTTCTAGAATATTCCATTTGAACATTCACCTAGAACAGGGGTAATCGGTTAATTATAACTATTCTGCAATGATATCAATATAAGCCATTATATTGTATGTTCATACTTGACGACCAATGAGGCGTGTTCTCAAGAACTCCTTTGCTTCACGAGCATAAGGAGCTGGCTTTTCATCTCTACGAGGATTGCCCATTTTTGGACACCTAATACTTGAAAGGTTGACTCGCCGTTCTGCCGATGGACTGCCATATGGAATTGAATCATCAGCAACAATGATGCAATCTCCACTAACAACCTCAACCACCTGGAAAAAGAGGAGTCCAAATATTCTAGACTTATATGACTTAAGATTGAATTTATTTGGGATAAATAAACTAATGATTTGGAAAAAATTTACCTTTCCTGTAAAATTCTGGTCATGTATTGCCTTTGAGTTTGTAGCTGGTGGTACATAGTTTGTCCAAATCTTTAACCTGTTTTTCTTTGCCTGAAGCTCTGAGGTCTTCAGCTTCCGCTTTGCCTCCTCTTCCATCATATTTGCACTCCATTCAACATATTTGGCAAAACCCTGTATGATTGAAGAAATCAAAATGACAGATTTTCGGGATAGTTTAAGTGGAATATCATCAGATTAAGAGACATGGGACAAACACTCAAATTCCCTCCAGAAAACTTTAATTCATATCCCTTAAGCACAATTACCAAAGCTCATGGATGAGAAACCAAGGAAAGAGACTCCAACTAAAATGTCAGGCAATAGAGTGTGTGAACACGTGTGTTGGCTTATTACATTAAATATATATGTCAATCACAGAGACCCAGATCCAATTATGGAACCCCCCCCCCCTCCCTCAAAGGAAGTATGCAAGATGCTACCGGCCTGTTGCTAATTCACATAAGCCAATGTAGTCATGCAAAAGTGGAAAATCATTGCAGGAAATATTACAAGTCCAACAAGAATAGAGTTTAACAAACTAAACCATGGTAATATCACTGCACAAGTGAAGCACACACATTTTCCACAAGCTCCAATGCCAGGTCTTTTGCTGAGTCACCATCAGGATAATACACTGACCCAATCAAATTGCTGAACTTATCAACACCTTCCAAGACAATTCGAACCTACATACCCACATGGTATTCAGAAAACATGCAGAATGAAAATAAGCAATATAAATTACAGAAGCAGATTACTCACATCTCGACTCAATACTCTCATCTCAGTGAAGAATTTAGCTTCAGGTGCAAAAGGATCAGCCGCAGTTTCAGTAGACGCTGATGCTGATGCTGCAAGTCTTTGGGCAGATGTAAGTGGGGCACGAGGTTCCCCAGGAACATCTCCATTAGTTTCATCAGCTGTCACCTCTGATTCAACAACAATTTCCGATGCAGCTCTTCTTCCCATTAGTGGGGCCTAATTTAATGGAAAAACAATTATTTGCATGTTTAAAAAGGGAAGCAATGTTAGCAACAGCATTTATGATATATACCTGAATTCCAGCAACAAAAACTTGGACAAACTGAAACTCGGGGAGCAGATACACTCGCAGGGTACTGCCATCGCGAACCTGCTCAACAATTCCTTCCATAGGTCTGCCCTTGTTTGCAGCTAATAAACCCATAGCATCTAAGTTGCTAGGGTCACCAATGGCCGATGGTGGTAGATTTCTGATGGATGCCTCCGCAGCACCAGGAACCTGTATTCAGCCACAAAATCATATATAGTTCACTCATGACAGATTTCTTTATTAGAATTGATAGGGGCAGGAATTAAACTTTTCCATTTTATTTATTTTCTTTCACACTACAGCATTGTCCTGTCAGGTCATTTTGAATGGAAGTGTATGAAGCTATTTATATAATATATTGGATGACACTGACAAAGCAAAACCTTGTTCTGTAATTAAAACTTATTTTGTATGGTAACAATAAAATACTCATTTCCACAATATGCAGGTGATTTACATGCAACATACAATTAAGTCACCGTTGAGATAACATCTGCAGTTAAGGAAACACTTTACATCAGCAAAGACAACAAACAGAGACCATGCCAGTTTCAAGTACACAAAGATGCCATAAGAGATAGGGGCTTGCATGTAATTTTAAGAATTGCAACTAACACATTCCTCGTTTGTTGTAACTAATGCACACCTTGTTCACCATGACAGTTTTTATAATTGCTTGTTATGCTATTTAACTGCCTAGAGCCTAACAGTCCAACACTAAAAGATGAAACTCAAACAAACCTTGCTCCAACGACCAAGGCCTTCTTGTTTAGCTTGTTCTTCCAAGCGTAACAATTCTGAAAGGTAAGGACTTGCTTCTCCCTTCTGTTGCCCCTGCTCTCTTATCTGCACCAACAAAACCACAATAACACAATTCAGCAAAGCAGAAATATTCAAACATGGCACATCCACTCAGAAACACACGCATTCAACCTTTGCCCATCCTGCAGAAACAACCAGCATTGCAACATTCTTATCCCCAATAAAAACAGTGCCAAAGTCACGGTTTATCGATGGCACGCTGTAATCAACCCTGAAGGTCACCTCCTGCTCCAATCACAATTATCACATACCAGGTAAGAGACTTAAGAGTGCTTTTATCTTAAATAAACAGCAGACTACCAGAGTAACAAAATCAGAGACTGCAGTCTGCTTACCTTCCCTATACAGAGCTTCCTTAGAAACTCTCTACTTTCCCACGCAAACGGCTCATCTACACCACCTCTGCGTGCCTAGCAAAATTTTCAAACAAAGAACTTAATTCTAAACACCTCCGCAGCAGCAACCTTGATTTCCAAATTGGAATACAAAAACCATCATACCACAACATTAACCCAACACAATTTTCAACATTCAGCTAGAGCAAGACATGAATGAATTAAGCAAAATTACCAGTCTAGGAGCAATCAGAGATGATAAAGTGATGGTTTTCTCAGGTAAGGGACCAGGCTTGGAGGTGGACATGGCCATGATGACCAAGCAATCCCCTGAAGTAACAGCTTTCACCCTTCCTCTGTACCATCCCGTGGCTCCAGTCGCTGTTGACGCCATTCGCGATCTGATATCAACACACAGAGAGATTCAAACAACGAAACTTTTCTTTCAATCTATCATACATTTATGATAGATCCACAAGCAGAAAACACACATGCATTAACAAAGCAACGAAAATCCAACAAGTGCACGAAGAGAAACCAGAATTGAGATCGGAAGACAGAAAAAGAAAACGATGAAATTGAGGAAATGAATAGTGAAACTGAAGATCTGCGATAATAAGAAGATTGGTAAGTGATAAAAGAATAAAAACCTTTTCAGAGGAGACGAGGATTCGGCGGCGGTGGTTCACGATTCAGGAGAGAGAAACATATAAAGAGAGAACAATGGTTTGGTTGTTATATAAATGGCAACGGCAACGGTGGAAGAGAGTTCAATTTTACAAGTTGGAAGTGAAGGTTTAGTGTAGCCCTCTATTCTGGTAAAATTACGGAAACTGCCACAATGCACTTCCGTTCTCCCAGTTAATGACATTCTTAATTGTACATTTTTTTTTTCCTTTTCTTTTTAAAACAAAATGGGCAAATAATACTACTGGTGACTGGTTTGCCGCTCCTTATACTATTCTACCCGACAAGAGTAACTGACTCGCTTTTGACGCTTATTCTGTTCTCTTGGTGTGTTTTTATGGCGGCATTGGGGTCATAACTTGCAAGTTTTGGAGCTTTGTATAAGGAAAATTCAAAAGAATTCCTGGTTGTCAAAATTAAACTCTTTATGATCAACTATTATTCCTTACATTTTATCTGTGCAAGCAACTTAGTTAAAATAGGTCAAACAAGTATAAAAATTTGTTTAAAAAAAATGTGAATTTTTAATCTAAATTTTAAATTTAAATTTGTATTTAAATTCATATGTAGGACAAGTCATATATTTTTAAATTTTATATTATATATAAAGAGCATATAAAATTTTAAATTTTACATTTAAATCTTTCTTTTTATTTTTTCCTTTATTTATTATTTGTTATGATAAATTTTATATTTAATTATATTTGTTTTCATCTTTAAAACTAAAAGACTACAACTAATGAGTACATTTGTTGGTTTACAACTTCTTAAAAACTTAAAGTTTGCAACAACTTACATTAAAAGCATATTTTTTTACATTTATTTTCTGACTCAATAATATTAAAAAATTGTCAAAAGAATTTATGAAGAATATAAATTTTTACGGTCATAATAATGATGATATAATTGACTTACCAAAAAATATATTTTTTTAATTTTTAAAAGTTTTAAACTCGGTAATAGATTAAATGTAAATATATATTTTTTAATTAGCATATATTGATAAAAAAATTAATTAATTTAAAAATTATATTTGGTGAATATCTATGATATATATTATAATTGATTAATAATATGCTTTTTTTACTAACAATACATTAAAATAAACTATTATTATGATTTTGAAGTTGATTTTAGTATATTATAAGTATAAAGTTTATAAATTGATATACTTTGACAATTTTAATGGTAAGAGATAATTCATGATTAAATTATATTGTAAAAAATGTTTATATTATTAATATATTTAATTTAAATTATTATTAATATATTATCATAAATTAAATGATACTTTATAACTTCCTTCGTCTCACGGATACAAAAATTATTCATAATAAAGACACTTGTTGACTTTCTAAATATTGAAAAAAAGATAAGAGAAAATATTAGCATGAAATGAAAACACGACTATTTTTTATCAATTCGTGGATCTGATTGCGGTGGATCTTCCATCATTATTAAAAAAAATTAAAAACTATATATATTACGAAACGAAAATTTTATTTTACACAACACAATCCAGCATAATTTCCATCCTATTATTACCATTTCCACTTTCTCTTAAAATCACAAAACAAGAACACAAACACCGTCGCTAGAAATACAAAATTTTTTAGCAGCTGCGAATACTAGCATTTTCAGTCGATCATTTACAAAATAATAAAATAAAATAATACACAATTATTTCTTAAAATTAGAAACTCAAATTAATTTAACCCTTAAATTTATAAAAAAATATTTTAATATCCGGCATTATTAAATGAGAATTATTTTAGTTACTAAATATTAAAATAGTTAAAATTTGGTAAAAAAGAGTTATATAATTTCAAGAATTAAATTAACTAGTTCTCGTAATTTCGGAGAATAATTTGTCGTATTATTATTTGAAAAATAGTTTTTTCTTTCCTTATAACTCGATCTCGTGTGTCTTTTTTCAATTCCCTGAAAATGAGACACTCGTATATGCATATACAACAAAATCTTCCGAGCTATAATTGATATATCAGAGGAAGCCGTTCTAACCAGTTGCTCAGAGACCCAAAACCCTGGGAGGGTAAGTAACAGTAACTGAATCAGGAATCTTATCATTTGGACCAAGATCATCGATAGGTGGACGCTGTTTATGGTGATTGCTGACTGCTTGGTAAGCCATTGCCAAAGCCAGAGCCTAGAAAAACAAGAGAGGGGGGGGGGGTGTTATATAGAATAACAAAGTGAGGACCAAGTCAAAGAATAAAAAATGTAGAAGATACCAAAGATAGATTGCAGTCACAAACATACAATGTGATCACGGTTAGGTGGAGCATAAATGCCGGTAGTGATTGTAGTTCTTCTTCTACTGCCACCGGGTGGTGGATCAGAGATATTCTTAAATCCCGTTGGCACCACTATCACTGGTAAACCAACAAGATTTCCTAGGCAAACTTTCTCCCAGTCAGTTGCATTGCCAATGAATGCATCTACGGTGAAGGACTCTCTAATTTCTTTTATTAGCCTTCCCCGTGCTCTTTGTGCCTGCATCATTTAAATCCAAATCCCAACATATTATATTTAAAAACGCTTAGCTAAGGTGTACTAAAACCTATTTATAGTAAATTTTTATTGAAATTATAAAAATATTATATAATTTACTATATTAATAACATTAAATGTTATCATTTTTAATAAAAATTATCACTTTTTATTTTTTAACATGTGTCTTTTGAGTACAACTTAAAAAATCATATTTATATATCAGAATTAGCCCTTAGAAATTTTTTGATTTAAGTTAAATTCTTCGTACATTGTATTTTAATTCCCTGTTTAAGGTTACCAAATAAAAGACCTGTATATAGTCAACTGCTGGAATTATGCGAGCACGGCGTAGTTCAGTGGGCCACTGATCTTGGGCTTCGTACACATTATCTTCACCTGAGCGTTGCCACCGATCAAAGTGAGCCAGCATATCAACATCCATTGTGAAATTTAAGATACCTTGAACAGAATCAACTGTGTAATTCAGCTTGAAAGGGACCATCTTGACTCCCTCAGATGCAAGAACATGAACAACCTGAGTTGTCAAAGCAAAAGAGTTACGATTTTCATGTCTTACCCTAACAGCATTAAAGAAAATTGCAAATGTCTTATGGAATCTGGCAATATATAATGCCAATGCTTGAACCATATGTCCGAGCAAAATTACTTGAATAGTTCTGTAATTTAAACATCCGAAAATGGACATCATATATACAACTATTTTAGTCTATTTCTTCCTTTTAATATTTTTACGTACACATATCTCGAAAATACTCCCCAAAATCAAAGGGGACAGCTTTTGGTTGTTTCGTAAAATATTTTCCTTGCTTGAATGCAAGACTAACCTCCATTTCAGCATCATCAAGATATCCAACAGTCAATTTTGTAATATCAACCCGGAATGGATCATCAAGAGAGCTGTGTTTTGATGAGAGATCATTAGGATCTCTTCCCCGGACAATATCCAGAACAACAGCACAATCGGTAGCAGATCTACAGAAAGGGCCAAGCTTATCCTAATAGAAAGATTACATGTCAGTTTAACATTAACATCAACCTAAACAAAAGAATGGATAACTTGAGTCTTACCAAGCTTTCTGATATGCTCATTACACCAGTTCGACCAATAGTACCAAAAGTTGGCCGCAATGCTGTCACTCCACATCGAGCTGCAGGATAAGTTATGGATCCTGCTGTTTCTGAACCAAATGCAAATGGAACCATACCTGTAATGCTATTAACAACGTCACATAACTGAATAAATACACCAGCCATTCATGGGTATAAAGGAAACTAGAATAAATTTTAAGCACATTCTGACCAGGAATTGATAAAATAAACCATATAATGGAAAGGACCTATAAAGATGATCCAATATGAGCAGGCATGGATTAGGTAAAAAATGAAACAAAGAAAGAAAGAAAAGTGCAGGCATTAATAGATAACATCAGAAAATGAAAAGTACCTGCGGAGGTGCTAGCTGCAGGTCCAGCAGATGACCCAGTAGAAAATTCCTCAATATTCCACGGGTTCCTAGTTCTGCCACCAAACCAGATATCATCATATGCTAATGATCCAGAAACAAGCTTCGCAACAAGAACAGCCCCCGCAGACTTCAACCTGTGTTGAAAAACATTGTCAACTATACACAAATTTGTAGCCCATAAATATAATTTCTTTTTGTAGATTTACATTTGTCATAGATAATATTACCTTTTATAAACCCAAGCTTCTCTGTCAATTACTTGACTTTTGAATGATGTTGACCCCCAGGTCGTTTTGTATTTGGGCACTGATATTATGTCCTTCAATCCATATGGAATTCCATGAAGATGTCCTTGTACGAAGACCAACATTCAACGTAAAAGTAAAAAATCTTTTGAATGTATTAAGTAGAAAGTAAAAGTTAAAAATTACTTTTGAATGTTCACAACTTCATAGTTCACATGTTTGGGGGAAAAAATAACTACCAAGATAGACTCCTTGGCTAAGCAACACATCTGCTTCTTTCGCTTGTTCCTGTGCCCACTCTTCAGTATAAGTCACTACGGCTTCAAGAGTAGAATTGTACCTGGTGTTCATTTGATGCGACAGTTAATCAGGAAGATAAGTTTCCAATACTGGAATTCATATAAAAACACACACACACCACACCAACACAAATACACAATACATATTACAATAATTCTACCAAATACTACTTTTTTAATCGCCGCAAGAAGATTTGCGTGAGCTCCTGAGAAGTAATTTGTTTTGTTTTGATGAGTTCACCTAACTCAAGAACCTGGTTTGAAACATGGGGAAAAGAACCATTCATGAATTAGTAACGCATGAAAAGATGTCAACATCAGATATATAACCCAAGCCAAATTAGTGGTCTGTCAGCGATGTACCACTTACACTCATAAAGGCAATATCTTCTTCAGATTTAGGTCTCTGTATCCCAGAAATGGAAGGATACTTGAACCTTTCGTTTTCACGATTAACTGGTTGATAGTCCCAATCAGCATTGAAAACTAAAGGAGAAGGATAGTGCAACCCCCCATTTTCAGAAGCTACAAGTTTTCGATTGGCTTTTATAATTGGAATATTGAACTCGCTTGCACCCTCAGCAATCTCCTCAATCTAAGTGGAAAAGAATTAGTCAACACACCACCAAGCATCATAGTAACAACAAACTTACAAGTCAACGAAAATACCTGTTTATCCTCAAAGAAGTTGGCATCAAGTAGTTCTAGGGAACATCTTAGGCAGGAAACATTACATTTCTTCAGTGATAGTTGAATTTCCCTTTTACTTTCCTGATTGATTACACAACAAAGAAAACGGGACATCATAAAAATAACAAGTTATAAAGGAATGTCACAGGTCAAAATACTCAGCGCTTGAGCTTTGGGCACCAAACCAACGTTACATTTGATCACATTAAACCTTCGTTATTGAATTTATCGCAGGAAAAATGCCAGAAACAACCTCTATCCAACACTCTTTTTCTCTACCATGGGGTGAAATCCACGGGTGACCCACTAAATGAGGTGGGTCTCACATAACTCTATCCGATAGTGCTAAAAGATTACGTTAAGGAGTGTGTTGGTGACATTTCCCTTGGTACAAACATCCAAATTAAGTTGTTGGTTATGGTCTATACCAAATGCAACATGGCTTTTACTTTTTATGGTAATTTGGTACGCAATCTTTGGCGCTGCCGTACGAATGAAATGGACTAACTGTCCACATTCATAAGCAATCAGAAACTAACCTGCACTTTCTGACAGAAAATTTTCCATATTCTTTTCATGGTTCTCACCCGTTGTACACTTGTCAGGGTTCAAAAAAGCATTGCATTTCTTTCCGTACAATATCTAAAGGGAGAAAGGAGTCAGAGAAACTCTATCTTTTGGTTTCACTCTCCTGTTGTACGTACAACCATCGAATAAAAACTCCAGAAACGAAAAAATGCAACTCTCGAGCAAACAAAACACGAGTATTAGAGTATACGAAGAGTGAGAAAGTTACCATGTTTGTTAGGTTTGTGTTGGAATAAAAAGTTGGTGAGTGCGATAGCGAAGAGAAAGAGGGTTTTGAAGGTTGAGGAAGGGCGACAGCTGAAACAAGAAGAACATTGCAGAAAATTACGGTTATGATAGCCACTGAAAAATGGAAGATGTTTGTGCCACCGCTTCCACGTGTCCATTCTGTAACTGCTTCTCTAAGACACTTGTTCTTTGGCATGGTGCTCTCTTCTCTCAATCTCTCACTCACCTTCTGGACTCGGATAAGAGCACAACTGTTTAAGTTAGGAAAGCTCTTCTTTAGTAGCTTTAATGCGGCCGGCGATCGCTGACTTACGTAACTTTTTTAAAACTTATTTTAATTTTTTTTCTTTTTTATGTTTATTATTAATTTGGTTCCTTTCATAAGTAGCATAAAAAAAAGATTCAAAACATTAGAAAAGTTAATTAAAAAGTCATGCTATAACTAAAGAGTATGCTAAACTTTTAAATTATGTAGTTAAAGGACTATCTATTCTTTCTTACCTGAAATTGAATAATGCAACATGTCAACCTTAAATGCATTGGTCTAATTACAAGTAATAAATAATTTCATATTTTCGTCCATCACCAATAAATTATCCAAAAGAAACTAATTTATTCAATAGACCCAAAAGAAAAATTGATAAACGCTGTGCGATGATAAAAGAAAATATATTATTAATCAAAATATGCATTCTATTGTGTCCATTGAATGAATTTAGAGGGGATTTGGATTTCGTGCAGTGAGATCGGATTCGAAGGTACATTTTTTAACAACAAAAGCTTGTAGGTCCGTTTGGTGGTTTGGGTAGAATAAAAAGAATCGGATTAAATTAGGATAGGATAAAATAAGTTGTTATTGTATTTAATGGTTGGTGTAGATTTAATAAAAAATATATGATATAAATATACAAAAAATAATAAAATTAATTTTTTCTACATTTATTAAATTAATTTTAATTTTTTATAAATTATTTATTTTAAATTTATAAAAAATATATAAAAATAGGAAGAAAAGAGAGGAAAGAAAGAAAAAATATAATAGAATAAATTAAAAATATTTTTTTAAAAAATTGTTATTTTTTTTTCATATCCTGTATTTTTATGATAAGATGAATAACATGATAAATTAATTTCATTCTTATAACTTAACAAAAACTTGACTAATAATAGACATGATATGTTATTCTATTACATTTACTTTTATATCTATTTTACTCGGTGAAATAAATACTTATATCATTAGAAAATGAATAAAATTAAAATATCATGTTAAAAATTATATTGTTTTTATTAAATTATTTATAAAAATTATTAATCTACGTATAATGAAGTTATTTGTCCATAAAATAATATACAAAATCTTCTTAAAAAATGTGCACTCCATTCCACAGTCGGATGCAAATTTATGGTAAATTGGAGTGGAATGTTTGTCTAATGACTTGACGAATTTGCTTACAAAAGAGATAAATTGTGCCTTTAAAGGTTGATTAATTGAAAAATAAAAGTTAACTTTGTGATAAAATATACCTATATGTAAAATTTGTTAGAAAAAACTTCAAAAGAATTAGCCTAAAAACTTGGAAAAAAAATAAAAACAATTTAAGTCCTCACAAATCTAAAATAAGAGGATAAAGTACGTAATTAAGTCAAATAAACTATTTTTATTAGTTCAATTTAAAATAAATAACTTGACATCAATATATAACCTTAACTTTTTATCCAAGATTAGATTTGTTAAAATTTCATTTCAACAAACTAAAAAAAAAAATGAAGGTTAGAGTAATTTATTTATTTCTAAAATATTTGAATATTATTAAATATTTTTTATATTTTAAAAATTTATTGTTAAGTCCTGAATTTATAAATTATTATTTATTAAAATGTAAATATGTATTAAAAAATTTAAATAGCTCATGAACTAATTAAATGATTAAATTAGTAACTTGGTATTTTGATTATTTAAAATTTTTCAAATGAGTTAATGTACTTGGCAGAATTTTAACAAATAATTTACAAATTTAGAGATTTAAATATAAAATTAAAAATCATAAAAACTATTTAAAAGTTGTTAAATCTTATCTTAAATAGATTATAAATTTATTAAAATTTCCAATGTGAATTATTTAATCAGTAATTATTTTCTAAATATACGGTTTACACTTTTAAAGAGTAGAAGAAGTGTAGAGCCCAGATGCATCATGTGATTGAATAAAACGCATATTCATCATATCGATCGCAGTTGATTTTTGTCAAATGTAAATTAAAAAAAAAAAAAAAACTTAAGTTAGCCCGTGTCCAATAAAATACAAACACGTGAGTGCTTGATAAACTTACTTTTGTTTTTTTGTCTACCAAGTGAAAACAAGTTAGTAGCATAACTTATTATTCTTTTAAAAAGAACAATTGTAAAAAAAAATATATATGTACAAGCAAAGTTTGGTTACTATTTTAAGAATGGTTTTATTAACATGTATAAAATATTATACAGATAAAAAATTATATATTAAAAGTTACAATATTTAATAATATTAGTAACACACAGATTAAAAAATTAGTTTATAAAAAATATTTATTTTTATAATGGTTGGATGACTATTTTATTTGCTTTGTATGATAATAATTAAAAAATATTAAAAATAATTTATTTATATTTAAGAATGACAGAATCAAAATTTTTATATCATCAATCTATTTTAATTAAATTCTAAAATAAGCGAGGATAGACACACAATTCATCAACGTTTGGAGACATCAAATGAATTCTAAAATAATCTTGTGTGTTGCGTGAGTGTTTTTTAAATTTCGTAAAATAATATAAATAAAAAATCAAAGAGAATAATAATACTTATTATTATTAATAATACATGTTTTATTTTATTAATGAAGGATAAATCAGAGAGAGAATACTTTAAAATTTTAAAAAACATACAAATAAGTTATTAAATTAAATTTGAGAATGCAAATAATAAATTATTTAGATGTCGTGATCGAGGCTTGGGAGTGGCAAACGATCATTATAAAATTTAGGAAATGAAGTATAGCACGTTATCAAGTGGATATATTATTGTAGATATATTAAAGCAAGTGTAGCAGTGTTTAGAAAATTTTCATACACAGGTTGGGGACATAATTTATATGTATTTTTTTTCATTTTTACTATATAATTTTATTAAAATAAATTTTATTTTATTATAATATAATTTACAACCACGTCATAAGGCCTAATATAAAAGTATTTTATTAAATAAATGTTTAACTAAGTTGTGTATTCAAAATTTTACATTACTTTTTCCTTTTGTTGAGCTTTTCATGTTATAAGTTATTTCTCCAACTAATTATATTAAATATTTTGCATTCCAATCTCTCAAATAATGCATTTTTCTATTTATTTTTACGTTGTTCTTTTGTACATCACTTTTCGGGATTGTAATGCGTTTATCTTTAATTGGTTTTAAACAAACATATATATTTCCTAAATTCACTAATTTTTTGCAACTTCAACTAGAAACAAAGTCCCTTTTAAATCAAATTGTTAGTCAAAATTAATTGTTAATCAACATTGATGGCTCAATTTTTCCGCTTGATAGGCACCGTCCAATGATTTGTCAAATTGCTACAGTCGCTTGGTAGGCACCGTCCATGATTTGTCAAATTGCTACAGTCAACATTGAAAAAATAACGAGTTACTGTAGCAGTTTTTTTTCCTATAAAAGGCAATGAATTACGAAAGGTCGAGATACGGAAATCGATCATTCACTGATCAGAAGAAGAAATTTGAGAGTGTTATTTTGTAGCTCTTATTTCATTCTGAGAGAGTATTTATTGAGAGAAAAAATAGAGTGATTTATTACTCTTTATTCTCATAATTTTAGAGGACTTTTTGTACTCTCCCTTTTACATAGTGAAATTATTTTACTCGTCGTTATCCGTGGATTTTTTCTCTGATTTGGAGTTTTTCTCACGTTAAAATTTTGTCTCCATTATTCTCTTACTTCTCTTTATTTTCAATTAAATTCGATCCAGTCTTCCGCATTGCGTTGATACCCCCAACAAGTGGTATCAAAGCAGTTATTTAATTGGAAATGTCTACCATTACAAAATTTGACATTGAGAAGTTTGATTGCAAGATTAGCTTTTCTATTTGGAAAGTCCAAATGAGAGCCGTTCTCACTCAGAACGGATTAAAGAAAGCTTTAGATGGAAAGTTAAAAAAACCGGCTTCCATGACCGATGAGCAATGGGATGAGTTGGATGAAAAGGCGCTTTCAGCAATCCAACTTTGCTTGTCCAAGGAGGTTCTACGTGAAGTGACCGATGTAACCACCGCTGCGGAATTGTGGTTAAGGTTGGAAACTTTGTATATGACTAAAAGCCTCGCCAACAAGCTTCGTCTCAAGGAGCGATTATATACGTTCCGTATGATAGAAGGTACTCCCATTCAATCTCATCTTGATGAGTTTAATTCTATTATTATGGATCTACAAAATATCGATATTAAAATCGATGATGAAGATAAAGCTGTTTTGTTGGTTGTTTCTTTACCTTCTACCTACAAACACTTCAAAGAAATTATGTTGTATGGTAATAATGATACCTTATCCTTTGAAGATGTTAAATCTAATTTATTATCCAAAGAAAAATTTGATCTTGAAATTCATTCTGAGGACAAGGGTGAGGGTCTAAGTGTTAGAGGTAGAACTCAAGTCAAAGGGAGTACTAGTCACAAAAATAGTAGATCCAAATCTAGGGGACGAAAATCCAACACTACCTGTCGTTATTGCAAAAAATATGGGCATGATATTTCTGATTGTTTTATCTTAAAGAAAAAAGAAGAAAATAAACAAAAGAAAGAAAAAGGTAAACAACCTGTTGAAGCTGCTAATATTGAGACTGATTCTGATGGAGATGTTATGGCATCTGTTGTCTCTTCTGACAAGAGAAGTAAAAATAAGTGGCTTCTTGACTCTGCATGCACATACCACATGTGTGCTTATAGGGATCTATTTACCACTTTTGAACCAATTAATGATGGTATTGTCTTAATGGCTAATGATACCCAATGCAAAGTTGAAGGAATAGGTACTATTTAGATCAAGGCTCATGATGGTGTTGTCAGGACTCTGACTAATGTTCGCTTTATTCCTGAATTAAAGCGGAATCTTATCTCTCTTGGCACCCTTGAATCTCTTGGGTGCAAGTTTTCATCTGAAGGTGAAGTCCTAAAGGTATCAAAAGGTGTCCTTGTTTTGTTGAAAGGTAACCGAGTTGGTACTTTATATTTTTTGCAAGGTTCTGTTGTGACAGGTTCAGCAGCTGTATCTTCTTCTATGCTTGATAATGATGTCACCAAATTATGGCACATGCGCCTGGGCCATATGAGTGAAAAAGGCATGCATCTTTTGAGCAAGCAAGGTCTCCTTGGTAATCAAGGTATCGGTAAGTTGGAGTTTTGTGAATATTGTGTCTTTGGGAAACAGAAAAAAGTAAGCTTCTCTACTGCAACTCACCGTACAAAGGGTATTCTTGATTACATTCATTCTGATCTCTGGGGGCCTTCTAAAGTTCCCTCTTATGGAGGACGCCGTTATATGATGACTATTATTGATGATTTTTCTCGCAAAGTTTGGGTTTATTTTCTCAGGTATAAAAATGAGACCTTCCCCACTTTTAAGAAGTGAAAAACTCTTGTTGAAACCCAGACAGGGAGAAAAATCAAGAAGCTCAGAACGGATAATGGATTGGAGTTCTGTGACGGTGAATTTAATGAGTTTTGCGCAAATCATGGAATTGCTAGACATAAAACCATTCCAAGAACACCCCAGCAAAATGGTGTTGCAGAACGAATGAACAGGACTCTACTTGAGAGAGCTCGTTGTATGCTCTCAAATGCTGGGTTATGGCATCGACGTGAATTTTGGGCCGAGGCAGTATCAACTGCTTGTTACTTGGTCAATCGTTCTCCACACTCGTCACTTAATTTCAAAATTCCAGAAGAAATTTGGTCAGGTAATCCTGTTAATTATTCCAATTTGAGAATCTTTGGATGTCCTGCTTATGCACATGTCAATGATAGCAAATTAGCTCTAAGAGCTGTCAAGTGCATATTTCTTGGTTATGCATCTGAATCTAAAGGATATCGTTTATGGAATCCTAAGTCACAAAAATTAATTCTCAGTAGAGATGTGACTTTTAATGAGGATGCTTTATTATCTTCTGGAAAACAAACTTCTGTGATTTCTTCTACTAGTACTAATAATCTGCAGGGTACTAGCGAGAAGGTGGAGTTGGAGTTGAAATCTACAACTCCTAATGTTGATGTTCCATCTACTTCTATCAATGAGTCTAGCGCTGATATTTGTGGTGATGATGATGTTGATGAGATTACCACTTCTCCAATTCAGCCGCAGGAAGAGGAGTATTCCATTGTCCAAAACAGACCAAGAAGGACGATTACTAAGCCAGCTAGATATGCAAATTATGCTTATGATGATAATTTAATTGCATATGCATTATCTGTTGCACAAGAAATAAATAATGACATTGAACCAGCCAGTTATACTGAGGCTGTTTCTTGTGCTGATTCTTCAAAATGGCTAGTGGCTATGAATGAAGAAATTGAAAGTCTTCATAAGAATGGTACTTGGAGTTTAACAGAACTTCCCAAGGGCAAACGGCTTTTGAAATGCAAATAGGTCTATAAGAAGAAAGACGGCATTCCCGGGGTTGAAGATCCTAGATGCAAGGCACGATTGGTTGTTAAAGGTTTCAGCCAAAAGGAAGGTATTGACTTTAATGAGATTTTCTCACCTGTTGTTCGTCATACCTCTATACGTGTTTTGCTTGCTTTTGTTGCTTTATTTGACTTGGAATTGGAGCAACTTGATGTTAAGACAGCTTTTCTGCATGGAGAGCTGGAAGAGGAAATTTATATGGAGCAACCTGAGGGATTTATTGTTTCTGGTAAGGAGCATCTTGTCTGCCGATTGAAGAAATCTTTATATGGACTCAAACAAGCTCCGAGACAATGGTATAAAAAGTTTGATTCCTTTATGATTGGGCAAGGTTATTGCAGAAGTCAATATGACGACTGTATTTATTTTCAAAAACTTCCTGATGAATCTTACATATACTTGTTACTATATGTTGATGATATGTTGATTGCATCACGTGACAAGTCTCTGATCAGAAAATTAAAAACTCAACTCAATAATGAGTTTGAGATGAAAGAATTGGGTGCAGCTAAGAAGATTCTTGGTATGGAGATTTGCAGGGATCGTCAAGCTGGTAAATTGTTCCTATCTCAACAAAAATACATTGAGAAAGTGCTTGACAAGTTTAATATGTCTAATTGCAAACCTGTTTCTACTCCACTTGCTACACATTTCAAGTTATCATCTGATCTTTGTCCTGAGACAAAGGAAGACATGGAGCGTATGTCACGCGTTCCTTATGCTAGTGTTGTTGGCAGTCTTATGTATGCTATGGTATGTACTAGACCTGATTTAGCATATGCCGTTAGCATGGTGAGTCGGTATATGCATAATCCTGGAAAGGATCATTAGAGTGCTGTAAAATGGATTTTTCGGTATCTCAAAGGTACTTATGATATTGGCTTGGTATTCGATAGAAATCATGCAACAACTGAAGTTACAGGTTTTGTTGATTCGGATAATGGTGGCGATCTTGACAAAAAAAGATCTCTTTCTAGTTACATATTTACTCTCTGTAACTGTGCTATTAGTTAGAAAGCTCAGCTTCAGTCTCTTCCATCATTGTCTACGACTGAAGCTGAATATGTTGCAGCAACAGAGGGTGTGAAAGAGGCTCTTTGGCTTAAAGGTCTGATTAATGAACTTGGTCTTACATAGGATGTTCTTACTGTGTTTTGTGATAGTCAGAGTGCTATTTACTTGACCAAGAATAACCGCTATCATGATAGGACAAAACATATTGATGTGAGACATCATTTTATCCGAGAAATTGTCGCTAAGGGTGAAGTCGTGGTTCAGAAGATTCATACATCTGAGAATCCAGCTGATATGCTTACTAAGCCTCTTCCAAAAACCAAGTTCCAACATTGTTTGGACTTGGTTGGTCTCTACAGCACTTGAACACCCTTTGGGGTTTAAACGACGTCGAGCAATTTATCAAAATTGATCCAAGGTGGAGATTGTTAGTCAAAATTAATTGTTAGTCAGCATTGATGGCTCAATTTTTCCGCTTGATAGGCACTGTCCAATGATTTGTCAAATTGCTACAGTCGCTTGGTAGGCACCGTCCATAATTTGTCAAATTGCTACAGTCAACATTGAAAAAATAACAAGTTACTGTAGCAGTTTTTTTGCCTATAAAAGGCGATGAATTACGAAAGGTCGAGATACGGAAATCGATCATTCACTGATCAGAAGAAGAAATTTGATAGTGTTATTTTGTAGCTCTTATTTCATTCTGAGAGAGTATTTATTGAGAAAAAAAATAGAGTGATTTATTACTCTTTGTTCTCATAATTTTAGAGGACTTTTTGTACTCTCCCTTTTACATAGTGGAATTATTTTACTCGTCGTTATCCGTGGATTTTTTCTCTGATTTAGAGTTTTTCCCACATTAAAATTTTGTCTCCATTATTCTCTTACTTCTCTTTATTTTCAATTAAATTTGATCCAGTCTTCCGTATTGCGTTAATACCCCAACACAAATGATATCAATATTAAAAAACATAGAACGTAGCATCTTGAGAAAGAGTCGAAATCCTCCTTTCTGTAACTATGAAAGCAGATTAGGTATTTCATGTGAGGAACTTTGCATCTTGATGACTAATTAGGAAGGAGTCAAGATCCTTTCTAACCTTGACACAGTTCTCTCTAAAAATTGATAAGAAATTGCATGCAAAGAACTTATTGTGAAACAATTATAATTTTTTTAGATTTTATCTAAATCGAAGCAGTTGCCCCCTTTGGCTTATTGCAGCCGAATACATCTTATGTATTTTTGTACACGTAACGATGACCGTGGAATAGGAACGGAATGAATTTTGATAAAATAGAATGATCGTTTTCAACGTAGTTTGGTAGCTTTTGAAATGAAATAGTGATTTCGAATCATTATCTGTTTGGCACACATCAACACGAAATCAAGTTAAACTTGATAACATAAATATCACCCTTGAAAAATATAAAGAAAGCTAATACTTCTGATTTATTTTTGTGAAGTTAGTAACCTGTATACAATATTTTATATTTAAGATAAAATATTTCATATATTTTTATGATAGTTAATTGTTCGATAATTGTGATTCTCATATAAATAGTTATTCTTCTTTATAATTTTGCCTAAATTTCCAAAATTAATCATAAAACGGGTAGACAGAAATTAAATAAACAAATTTGAAAAAAAAAGGAATAAATATAAATAATGTTTGACACAATTAACTACAAAATAGTTGAAAGTTAAAAAAAAACAATAAAGTTGTTGCTGTATATTCTATTATATTGATAAACATTAGAATGTATAATCTCGCAGACCAAAACGTGACATTAAAGTTTGATACATGTCATCGTCCTTACCTTAGCCCACAGATGCAGTTTAGTTGAAAGACTTCCACAATCCAGATCACAACCCGTGTAGGCTGTTGCGGATTGTGGTTGCAAATATAATAAAGCCGTAGTTGCTTATCTGTCTACAAATCTAGCATAATGCATGCATTTAGTGATTTTCCAATCATAAAAGTCAAATTGTTGTAAAATAATTACCATATATTTTTCCAATGGATGGATATATGGTTCTATTGGCACGCCTTACTTGGTTTTGCCCGTTATTCGTCAAGTCAAAACTCATATTCATGCGTTACAACTTACATTTTCTTTCTGGCACAAAAAACGTTACACAAAAAATAATAAATTTTAAAACCTACCTAACCCAACATATATTGCTAAAATTATCCCATCCCCATTTTAAAGTCTTCAATCAATAACATTTTCTGATTTTCTCTCTAAACTTCATCCTCACAAAAGCATAATTAATAAGGAGTAGTTGTCTTAGATGGAGGGTCTTCTGCCGCTGGTTTATAGAGCAATCAAGAAGCACAAAACTCGTAGGAAATATCAGTGTCTTTCTTCTGGAGCTGCTATAAGCTACAACATGAACATGTCCGAGTTCTACCCTCAAATTCAAGGGCATGGCTTGCAGGAACCTTCAATACAAAAAGTGGTTGATGATGGTGCAGACAACATTGGTTATCGGAGATATAACTCTGTTAGAGATTTCTCTAATAATGGGTTCTCTTCGCCTCAACGAAGATCCATTGCTGCTGGCTCTCCTACTTCGAAGCAACTCTCGGGATTTACGTTGTTTTCATGCGTCACTCGTGTGTAAGGTGCATCCTCTGTGCGTGACTGTGTTGATATCCCAATCGTATTTGTTGCAAATGTAAAAAGATAATTATAATGGTTTGGCCTTAATAATCCAGATAAGTTGTGCGTGTTGATTAGGTTCCATGTGTTTATTAAATATTTGATCAATGAAAACTCGTGTTAGTTTTGGATGTCATTAATGGTTTGGTTTCAAACAAAATTTGTGTTTAGTTTCGGTTTGGTTTGGAATTCTCTAATTATAGTTTGAACTTAAATGATACATATACAAATTACAGTCTGCGACTACATAAATTCATAACGAACTGGTAACTCTGCATCAGAAAAAAAATTTGCTTACAATCATGAGATTCGAATCTAGTTCCCCGGTTTCTGTGAAAGATCGTGACCTTCTTTCTCTTATTTCTGTTCTGATGTTAGGTGGATCGATGCCACTGATCACCTTTTTCCCTAAAGTGAAACAATTTAACCATGTGATTTTGAGGTTACCGGGGTAAAACAATTTAAAAATATATTAACAAACTCCCTAAAGGGATTAATTAAAAAATAAAAAATAATTAAAAATTATGATGATAATATAATATTTTATTTTATTTTATCAAAATATTGACGAATCTTGACCATTGCCACATATACCCATTAAGTTACTTTGATGGATGATGAACAGATTTGTTAGTTTTACAATTTTTATATTTTCAATGAGTGAATTATGCTTATTTTTTTTTATTAAGAGATGTTTGAATTATATTATCACCTTCTTATTTTAAAAATTATAAAAATTATAAATTTTTTCATGGTATAAATGTTTAATCCGTTTTTGTTGTAAAACCTCTCTTAGCAGCAATTTTTTAATCTTTTAATTGCTCTCATCAGTTATCGTTGTAGATATAATTAGTTTTAAATTATTATTTTGAATTTTGGAATTTTAGGGAATAATATAAAGATTTTAAGTGAAGTTTCAAAATCAAATATAAATATTAAAAATATTATTTTTAAATTATTATTTTGAATTTTGGAATTTTAGGGAATAATATAAAGATTTTAAGTGAAGTTTCAAAATCAAATATAAATATTAAAAATATTATTTTATCTACTAAAGTTTAAAGAAATTAATGACAATACGTTATTCAAAATTAATTATCATTAACTTTAAAAGCTGAAGAGGGAAAAATATATTTTAAGAGGTTTATTTATAGTTACTTACTACTATTAATAAACTTGTTCGATTAAAATAAATTATAACGCACATTGATCTTTCAGAAAAGGACAGTGTAATAAAGATTTTTATTTTTTAATTTAAGCATCTTGCGAACAAACAACGTATTTTACTTTTTTTGAATTAAAACTCGTATATTATGCTGTACTGAATGCATTAATTTGTTCAAAATATTTTGTTTTGTTTTGTTTAAACAATTTGTTCTATACATTATTAGATATTAGATACGATTCAGGTAAGAAGAGTTTGATCTTACTCTATAATTTCATGTATTTGGTCTGAGATATGTTTGAGATAATTATAGTTTTATTATATTTTTTAATGTATCTCGAACATATTTTTGAATAATTTCTATTTTAAAGTATTTATTGGTTTTTTAATCAAGACATTCGTTAACAAGACTGATTTTAACTAAATAATTTAACTCAGTCCCATTTATTTTTTTAATTGTTTTTCAAATAGAGTATAACATGAGCCACGGCATAATTCAACTTAGAAAACGTGACAGAATCGACAACTCTACTTAACACCATAGATTTCACGATAAGATATATACCAGAAAAATAATATTGTATTTTGATCGTAATTCAAAACATAAAAATCAGTTCGATGGGTCAACGAGTTAGTATAAAATAACAAAAATAACAATTTATTAGTGATTATGTCATTTCAATAATTTGATTAATGTTTTTCGTACTCTGATCAGCCGCCTTCTCTTTGTTCTGGTCTGATGTTCATTATCTTAGAGTAATTTGTTTAATACTACTACTTAGAAACGGTCAAAATTTGTTAAGACGGCATATGAATCCACTTCCAATTAACAAGAATTGAACTCAGTCTAATTTGTTATGTTCATTTTTTTATCACTTTTTACATGCACTAGGTCAAAATCTACCGTCAATAATATATTTTTTGTTGATTTTTTTTTTAGTATGTAGGTTCTATTTTAATTGGAATTGAGCGTAAGAAACATTAACCTAACACAAAAAAAGGAAATAGCATTTTTTTCTCTTGTGATGCGAACAATGATTTATCAAGTAGTTAAATATAATAAATTTAATCAACATTTTTATGACATTCATTAATAAATTTTATTTTTTTTTTATATTTTTATACAACCAAAGCGGACAAATTTTTTGGTTCCTTCAATTTTAAGAGAGTATTCTTTTAAATATATACACATGAAAAGAGAATAAATAAGAGACAAAGATAAATATTTATAATGTTAAATATATAGTATCAATCATTTAACGTTTGTTATTAAAATAAAATAGTTAACTTATTTTTTTCAAAATGAAATGAAAATAATTTATCACTCAAATAATGTAATTTTTGTTTTTTTTTCTAATAAACGGAGTTTAAAGCCCAAAGACAAAGACGAAACTAATTACAAGATCTGGGAAAGCTAACACTTGAAAAATCCTGCCTAACATAGTCAACTAAAAAAAAAGGGACACTACCTAAGATTGTATAGTTAAGATGATCTTATTGAGCCAATCAGGCTAACATATCTGCACAATGGTTAGCTTCACGATATACATGAGAATAATGGATGAAAGGTAAATCTTGTGATAGTGTATGAATACTCTGAACCAAGTAAGGATATTGACCAACATAGCCATGGTTATTCTTGATAATTTGGAGAGCTTCCTTATAGTTAGACTATAAAATTACATTCAAGTAACTATTAACTCTAAGAAATTGAAGACCATGAAAAACAGCCCATAATTCAGCATCCAAGAGAAAACAACAACCCACTTTGCACATAAAGTCCTTCAGAAAAACTCCATCAGGACTCCGAATAAGACCCCCACAAGCAGCTACACCTGAACTAGCAAATACAGAACCATCAACATTTAGTTTAATATAACCTGTGGGAGGAGGAGACCAGACCAATTGACAAGCGCAAAATCTTTTAGCTTAGAAAAAGGACCAGAGTCCCTGCAAGTAGGGACTAAATAAGAAGCAAATGATATAGATTGATCAATCAACAACCAAAGGGAATAGAAGAATTATTAAAAATAAAAGAATTCCGATCAGACCAAATTCTCCAAAGCAAAATGCCAAAAATCATATTCCAATGCTTAAAATTATTAGCTTTTTGCTAAGAGAGATTATCGATCAACCAATTACTCAACCCCATACTAAAAAACTAATACTAATCAGTATTAGAAATCAACAAGTTCCAAACCTCAGAAGCATATGAACAATCCCATAAAACATGCATAATTATTTCAGGTGCAGCAGAGCACTTAGGACAAAGATCGTAGTAAAAAATACCTCTATGAACTCTTTCTGCATTAGTTAATAATTTACCATGAGCAATTTTCCAAAGGAATAAATTAATCTTAGGTGGTCTAGGCCATTTTCAAACCAAATTGAAACAACCATTATTATTATTACGAACAGAATGACTATCCTTATACAACAAAACATAAGCAGATTTAATAGAAAATTCACCATCCAAAGACTGAGACCAAATAGGAATATCAATTCCCAACTCTTTATTGGGAGAATTTAAGGTGACAATTCTTTGACAAATATGAGGAGGCAACAAATGACTAAATTTATCTAAATTCCAACCTGCAGGAGATACAAATAAGCAAACAAGAAGATCAAAATTAGATTATGGAATAAGACAAATAGTAAACTCCTTTAGATTGCTAAAACCAGGGATCCAATTATCAGTCCAGAAACTTTTATACATTCGATCCCTAATTTTCCAATCAAGACAGCTATAGAACTTAGGCCAGATATGAGCTAAAGCCTTCCAAGTACTTGAAATTTTTTAGTTCTTATTCACAACAAAAGATCTCCTAAGTTGAAATCTATATTTAGCAATTAGGGTTTGAGCCCAAAGATCATTACAAGAAGTAATAAATCTCCAACCTAATTTTATTAAGTAAGTTGTATTTAAATTTTGAATATCTCTGAACCCCAAACTCCTATATTCTTTAGGAGCACAAATGGTGGACCAACTTATTAAATGACATTTCCTCTGCTATATAGATCCCCAAATAAATTGCTTGCACAATTTATTAATCTCTTTACAAACAGTAAAGGGAATTATATGAGTTTGGAGATAATAAACATGTATACTCATTAAACTAGCTTGAGCCAGAGTAACTCTCCCAGCCATTGATAAAGACTTAGCTTTTCAAAGAGAAAGTTTCTTCTTGATTTTATCAATTAAACTATTATAACAACGATTGCTAGGTCTAATAGGCAGAATGGGAAGGCCAAAATAGGAATCAAAAGTAGTAACTCTTCTTATGTCTAAAGCATCACTAATCTGATTAGCTAATACCCCATCAGTGTTATTTGAGAAAAGAATGCTAGATTTCATCCTATTAACATGCTGACCAGCAGCAACAGAACAAAACTTCTATAGAACCTAATTAATTTTAATGGCTTGATCAATAGAAGCCTTAGTAATTAAGAGTATATCATATGCAAAAAAGAGGTGAGAAATTTTAGGGCCATTTATATTAAAAGAGAAAGGTATTAAATTCCCAACTTCAACCTCATCCTTTATGCAATGGGCTAATCTTTCAATACATTACACAAACAAATAAGGAGATAAAGGATCTCCTTGTCTAATTCCTCTAGTAGGGAAAAAGTATCAGTTTTATTACCATTCCAATTGACACACATAGAAGAGGAGGAAATACAATGGTAAATGAGATCAACAATTTTAATATCAAAACCAGCCAACAATAAAGTATCTTTAATAAAATCCCAATTTAGTTTATCATAAGCCTTTTCTAAGTCAAGCTTCAAAATCATAAAATTTCCTTGTCTCTTAAGATTATTAAAAGAATGAACAATTTCTTGTAAGACGACAATATTATCAATCCTTTGCCTTCCAGTAATAAAACTTCTCTAATTATCAGAAATTAAATAAGATAAACATCCTTTAATTCTATTTGTTGAAATTTTTGTAACTACTTTATAACTAACATTACAAAGAGAAATAGGTCTAAAATGGTGGACAAATTCAGAGTGATCAACCTTAGAGATTAAGGTAATAGCAGTTTGATTTACTGTTTCTATAAGTTTTGGTTTCTGAAACACATATTGCACAAATTTGAAAATATAAGGATAAAGAATATTCCATTGAGATTTAAAACATAGAGCATGTAAACCATCTAATCTAGGAGATTTAAAATTTTCAATACTAAATAAAGCAGTCTTAACTTCTTCAATTGTTATAGCACTATTCAGCCTATCTATATCACTAGTTTTAATGGGGGAGAAAGAATTGACACTAGAGAGTTTATAATGAATAGAACTGGAATCCATATAAAGCTTTATAAAAAAGTTAACTACCATTTGCTTAATAATTTCAGGATTAAATTCCCAATTGCCATCACAGTTCCTCAGAGTTTCAATCATATTATAGTTTCTCCTATGAATAGCAACTTTATGAAAATAATTGGTATTTTTATCCCTTAACCTAATCCATTTAGACTTGTATTGATGGAACCAATATATTTCTTCTTGATCAAGAATTTGTTTATATTCCAACCAAAAATTATTCATAAGATCATAAAGATATTTATTCTCAACACTAGTCAGTTTACAAATAATTCCGTTAATTCTATTTAAAATTCACCTTTTACGGTTAAAAATATTACCATAAACAGATTTATTCCAAACAGAAATGTTATCCCTAAAATTAACAATATTCTCATACCAAGAATAATTATTAGACCAAGACATTTTGACTTGATTAGGAAAATCAAAATGAGATAACCAAGAGGCCAAGAATTTAAAGGAAGAGCCACACTTATTACATTGATTAAAAGGTCTAATTTTTAACCATAGTGCAGCATGATCAGACTTAGGAATTACAACATTTATAAGAGAACTAGATGGAAAACTTTCCCTCCATAAAACATTAGTTACTACTCTGTCCAATCTTTCTTTCAAGGTTCCTCGCTGCCAAGTAAAAATAGTACCCTTAAAATCTAAATCGACTAAGCCACAAGTATCAAGGCAGGTTGCAAATTTAGCAATATTATTATACCGCACAGGCCCCTCCAACCTTTTCATTATCAAACAAAATAAAGTCCTTAGCCACACACCAAGGCATATTTAAATTGTTATTGATAATACACATTACCACCTATCCTAATTTCAAATGAATAGCATATTTAGATGTGATAACCACATAAATATTTAACTTCTTAGTATTCCAAAAAATCAAATACCACCAGAAAAACCACAAGCATCAACTTTAATACAACCATCTAAACTCATTCTTTTAATAATAGAATCAGCCCTATCCTTGCTAACTCTAGTTTCTAAAAAGGCAAGAAAATCTTGGTTGTATAATTTCACTAGATCATTTACTAATCTGTAAAAAGTTTTCCCTCCAGCACCTTTACAATTTCAAAACATAGCATTTATTGGTTAATATTCTAATTAGTTTGTTTGTGCAAGATTAGCACAATACAAGTTCAAATATTTATCTAAATTAGACATATTATTGTTTGGAACAGAATCATTTACAATAGTGATCTCATAATTAAGATTAGGAGGTTTATTAGGAAGAAGATAGTAACCTTATTGTATAGTAAGATTTTGATTCTCATCCACACCTAAAATATCCCGTATGGATCCCCCTCTTTATATTTTTTATTAAGATTATCTTCAAACCTTTTCATTAACATTAAAACCTCTTTATTCCTACTAAATTTCTCTTCCAAGATAGAATTAGACACAAAAGATTTATTACACAAACTACTTTAATGTTTGATCCTCAAATTTATTATTTTGTTTACTGATTTTGGAACTCAACTTATGCTTTCCTAAAACTTTAGAGTTACTCAATTTCTTATTTTCTAAAACCTGCTTAAGACTTGACTGAATATGATTTTAGGAAAGAAAAGTTGAGGTAGAAGAAAATATTTCAATTGAGACACTAATTTATAATTTTTGTTTCTGTTAGACAGAATTTATTATTATTATTATTTACTATTTACATAGTTTTAAATAATTTTTAACTAAAAGTAAAATTTAAATTTAAAATAACCTGTCTTAAAGAATATCAGGGTGAAAATGGGAAAATCGACACTTTCATTTCAAGTTTAAATAATTAAATCTCAAGCGCCGGGGCTTTCTGCTAATTCCGCGCCAAACCAAAGAGAGATTGTAGAAGAAGCGAAATGGTTCAGTTGTGTTTCGTTCTGGACCTGCGAAGCTTGGCACCTCCATTGCTAGGAGACTTAAAGCAGGTACAGCGTTTTAGACCCTCACGATAAACTCCGTCTTCCCAGTAATCTCAACCTATATGCTTTCAATTGTTGCTTTCTTCTCTGAACTCTACAATAATCACCGAACCCCCGCGCAATCGCGTCATTCCTAACAGATCGAAGATTTCTGAATCTTCGTGTCTCAATTTTCAGTCGCTGCTTCAACTCGCTAATTTCTATGCCATTTCGAGTTCGTCCTCGGGCAAATCGGCCACTATCAGTGACAGGATTGGTTTGTGTTACGTTTTCAAGAATCGCTTATCTTCTTCCGACGAGGTACTTTTCAGAACCGAACACCGTTCTCTAATTTATGAATTGATTGCCAAATTCGAAATGCGCGATACGTGGTTGTGTTACAATCTCTACGAGTGAATAACAGAGAGTGAATCTGCTGGTAATGTAGTTGGTGATCGCGTACAATCCCATAGGAAACTTCAACCTACGCGATTTCCACCACGCTGTTAACAACTTGCCATACGATGCTTTTCTGCCTGATATTGATAACATTTCTGGTCCTCTCTTTCTCTCTGGAGATATTATGTATATTTTCTCATTCAGTTAGTGAACATGCATTGACTGCTTTGAAGTTTTGTCTTCAGATTTAATGATTTCAAATGTATTGAGTGAGAGAGTATTGTATTCGTGGCAAGGCAAAGATATAGAGAGAAAAGTAATTGTCATAACTTCAACTTTGCCTGAAGATGTGGACTCTATAATGCAAAAGAGTCTCATGGTGAGTCAGTGAGTTCATGGCATGGATTCTATGCTTTTATGTGGTGTAACATGATTTCTCTTTTGTCCAAAAACTTAAAGTGATGTTTTCTTTTTGAAAGGATGCTGCAGATAAATGTGTTTCGGTTGATTTTGCTGTATTTCAGCAGAAGTCAAGCCATCTGACTGACACTCGTGAAAACATTAATAATTTTCGTCGTTGCATTTCTCATCTTGACAATTGCTCAGTTCAGACCTATATCCCAGGTTATGTATATGTACCGTCACGATGTGTTATAATCAAACTTAATTTCGTATATAATTTCTTTTGGATGTAGAATTTCAGCTATGGCCTTCAGAAACACAGAAAAGATAATTATCTCTTGCAATGAACGAGTTAATTTTCCTAAATTTGGACCTAAAAATTTTATGGGAAGCGTCTAAAAAGTTGCAGATTTGAGAGTATTCCACAGCCTGGTTAAAAGATGGCTGCAGGTTTTGAAAGATGACATGGAGGAGCCACTGCTAGCTCGTCTCATTTTCAAGGACGATCTTTTTGATTCTGTGAACCATATATTCTGCAACCTGGTTGCACCAGCCAATCCAATAACCAACAACTTCAGTGAATGTCAGGTAACAGTACTCCCAATCCATGTTGACGGACCACGTCATCAACTTTTGGCATACATATAATTTTGTGTAATTTAATTGAGAAGTAACATGTCTGTGTTAGTTGTTTACCTTAGAATCACACATAATCAAGCACTAAATTACTAACGCGCACCAAATAGTGATTGCCACTGATTACTGACATATGGTTTAAAGGAATGTTGCTCTAATGGATCACCCATTCTGAGAATTGTCATTTTAATCTATGTCCTTTTCTAAAGATAACAAATCCACCATTTGCTTATGATGCAACTTATTTCTAGGCTGTTGATTTTCTCCATATGTATGTTACTCTTAAAAAAAGTTTTGAGTTCTAGGCATATTTCATTGGACACATCATAATCAGTACGGTCTTATGTCAACTTTGAATGTAAGCAGAAAACGTTAATGCTGTACCATCACTGAAAAACAATTCGGTAGTTATGGCAATAATCCAACGAATATATTACAGCAAAACTATTGCATATAGTTTTTGTCGTAGCAATCAACTGCTCAATTAAGGTTTTGTCATTCATAAATCCAAACGCAAACTGGAGACACTATCCTTGTTTGGAAAGAATATTAGTTTTACACTAGGCATTTTAATGAGACCTGTCATATCTTAAACAACGTCAAGTAAATCAATATCACAACACTAGGTAAACCTTAGATGGAGCATAAGAAACTAGAAAACAATGTAATCATGCAAAATAGTTCCATTTTCTGCATCCCCACCTTATATTGTTTATTAAATAATTCTTCCTTTCGAATATCTATTCCATCATTTATCATGAAATCTCGTGCCATCTAGTATCTAACGGAGATCTATTTTTATATTTTAGTTTTTAGTTTCATTCGATTTAAAGGAAAAGGAAGAAGCATTGATTGTTGGAATTGTACATATACAGACATGCAGATGTCATGGCATACCTTTACGGGATGCTGAAAAAAATTTCAGCAGACATTCTTGTCCAGTCACTGGCTGCAATCTGGAAACGTGTGATGTTATTGAAAATTCTGTTCAAGTTGGGGAAAAAACTATTCTGTTTCTTCCCTCATTCTATAGTTCCCTGAAGCTCCTGCAAATTACTTCACCAATCAATATTACTGTTAATGAGAGAATAAATTTGACATCTCTTGACGAAGGTATGCATTTACCTATGGTCTTTCATCTATAACTCTAGTTTATATCATTATGCAACAAAGATTTGACTTTTTCCCCATTTCAATTGAACTCAAACAAACACTTCAAGAGTTTAATGCAACCTATAGGAACTGCTGCTTGATGGAGTGATTGCACAATCAAATTGATCTATAATAATAACCATTAGGAGAGGAAGAAAACATTTTCACTCTTTCACTTCTTCCTTTTCTTCTTTTCAGTTCAAATTTTTTAAGTGTATTTCAACCAATTTCATTCCTTTTTTATGACGGAATAGAGTGACTGATAAAACAATTCTGGTACACCATATATCTTGTTCCAAACCCCTCTATAAAGAAATTTGATTTCTTCATTTCCATTTTTTTTTTCAGGTCTTGTAATGGGGGCTTCCTTTGTTGTGATACCGTCCTCTTGTCATGTGATTGAAACCACTTCGGATGATGCTGATCAGTCAGACGTGAATGCTCAAAGTGTGTAGAAAGCTCCACTCCCCCTTTTGAAATTCTATTTAAATGAGCCATCATTACTCCTGAATTGCTGTCAAACGATGTATATTGGTAAGAAATTCTTCACAAAGTTTATGTTTCTTTCATCATGGTTTATTATTTGGCAGTTTTTAGAGGCCTTTCAAGCATTCTACATTCGATGGACCAAGGCTTGATATGCTGTACAAGTTGTGATTTAGAAACAATGGCAGAGGCTCATTATCGTTGCTATTATATTCTGCAGCCATCAGATACTGGACCAATGCTTATGAGGGTAGGAACTACCCCCCTTCTGCAACTCATTATCCCCTTGTCCTCTGCACATTAACACACAGTAGAACAATACTAATAATGCCTGTCACATTTCCGTGCTATAGAATGTATGTATTCTGGCTTGTATATCCTCGAGGTGATTCATCAATTTCAATTGTAACTCCCATCAATATCCATAAAACATGCAGCGCCTTGCAGGGGCTGAAGAAGTTCTACGAGTCCCTGACAGTCGATTAGTTGATTCATCGATCAATAAGGAAATTGAGAACTCTGTTCAAGCCTGTTTGCTAAAGGTTAATTTAAGCATTTTCCTGAAAATATCTTTTCTTTTTCCCATCCAATAAGAGACTGATGGAGATAGATGAGATTTAATGTTGGCATTATTTTGACAGGATCATCTGTTGAGAATAACTTTACCCTTCATGCATTAAATTTTACTCTGCGTCTCTTCACTGTGCTGGGCGCTCTAAATATCTGAATTTATCCTCTAAAATTTTGGTTGTTCCTCTAAAATTTTCATATAGTGATCTTTTACTAACATCTTGAGTGCTGGAAGATAATTTCACCAATTTTGCAAAATCTTGAACGAGTTATGGTTACTAATTTTAGATGTTAAATTCGAATTGAATAACTTAAATATTTACAAACGTGAATAAGCTGCTTGTATTTTGGAATATTGAAACCAAACATGCTTGCAGATCGAGCTTACAGACTATGACCCATTGCTGCATGCAAGAGGCTTTCATGAAAAACTAAATTTGCTTGTCAAGGAAAGCCTACAATTAGGGTGAGTTTCTACATCCAGTTGACGTGTGAGAATGAATGAAATTAAGAAAACGCCTCTCAAAACAAACGTTTTTTCTTTCTTTCAAAAGAAATTAAAATAATGAGAATTAACACGCTTGGACATGAAAATTCACTATTCAGAGTTTTCTAGATGTTTATTAATTAATAATGATATTATTACGTCGCAGGTCAGTACTTTCTAAATTAGAAGGTGCATTTTTGGAACTAAGCTCAAGTCAACAACCTTCGTCGGAGGTGATCCGGAAAGCAGAACCAGACACCGGTGTCATTATTGAGAATGAGAAAACTTTGCCATTGGATATGGCGGAACAAGGCGACAAAACCTTGGCCTGCATTACTGAAGAATGGAACCAATTATTTGTAAACGAAGAACCCAAGTTGTACTCTCCATCTTGTATGTCAGAGGCCAAGTTGGGTCAATCGAGTGCATCACCCCGAGACGGTAATAGGTCGCTAGACAGAGAAACTTCAAGGATTTTGGAGAGATTGGAGGTTCCGAGGCCATTAAGAGCAAAAACCGCCTCTCCTGGTTCAAATGAAAGTTGCTTTAAAAATACCAATGTGCCCACGAAGAAGCCTCTTATACCATTCCAGCCAACTCAAGATACAGAACAAGTCTTTGTCGGCAGCCAGCTAATGAAACCTAATTTCCAGAGGCAGAAAAGGAAACATAGATGAAATGATGCAACTCTACGTTCCCCGAAAACTTGTCTTCAGAAGTGGATAAGGTCAGTCTATTTCTTCCCCCTTTTCTCCTGCGCTACAGCTGATTTTTCTAAGCAAAACATGCGTCAGCTATTCAAGGGAGTGTGAAAATGTTTTAAAATTTTATGTTCGTTCTTGTTTAAAATAAGAGATTAATATTAAACTTGACTTACCAGAGAGAAAAGACTCTAAAATTTAAAGATTTTATTTGAACAAAGTGTGTTGGAGCATATGAATTATAATAAAAAAAAAACAGATGAAAATTATGGAGTAGAAATTAAAATTAAAATAATATTATATTTTAAAATTTTAAGTTCAGATACATAGAATTAATTTTATAGAATGATAAAAAATTAATTAAAATATTTTTTATAGAATACAAACTAAGTAATAGATATTATAAATTATTTATGATCATAAAGTATTTATTTAATTAAGAATTATCATATTATAATACAACTAGTTACGTAATTTTTTAAAAAAATGAAAATAATAAAAACAAAAATATTAAAGTAGATAAATAGTCGTGTAAAAGAACTCAATTGTAAATAATCGTAAATATGAAAATATTAAATTATTATTTATAATTAAAAATATTAAAAAATATTTAAAATTATTTAGTTACATACAAATAAACTTTTTGAATGACTAATAAAAATAATAAATAACATAATTTTTAATTTGATAAAAAAATAGAGCAAAAATAAAAAAAATTAAATAAAATTATTTAAATATATTTTTAATTAATAATATTCATAATAATTTAATTTTTAATCAAATTCAACTGTCCTGTGTGATTCATATGACTAACTTTACTTAACTTGATAATTAGATCGTGTTTAATTATTGTTGGCGTATGTTTTTACAAAAATAGAAACTGGATATCGGGGATGAACACTAGAAGTAAAAAAGTCGTAAGAATAATAGATAGCCAACTAAAAGATTTACTTATTTTATATTAATAAAAGATGGTAACCAAGAATAAAAATAAAATTTATATTAAAAAATGTGACAATATTTTTTTAAAAAAATTAATGCATTATTAACATAAATTTTAATAAAAAATTATTATTTTTTAATAATTCCTCATTTCAACTCATTGATTCTTCAAATTATACTACCTTTACTTTTTTATTTTTCAATTTTTTTAAATTGATTTCTTTATTAAATTTTATTCAAATATAGCAAGATTATTAAATTTGATTTTTATATTATAAAATAATCAAAATAACAATATAAATTAATTTATATTATCTTATTTTATTTGATTTAGAATGACGGTAAAATTAAAATTTCATAATTTATTAAAAATATACAATTTTCAATTTTTAAATTATAAATTAAAAATTAATGATATTTTTTGTTATTTTATATTTATCAGTTAATTCAACAACTAATTTTATTAAATATTTTTAATCTAATAAATTAATTTTTTAAATTTAAGTTTTAACTTTTATCTATGTGTCCCATTATCCGTTATTTCATCAAGGATATTATTTATGAAATAATCTCCTAAATTTTGCAATCAATCAACTAAAAGAGAAGAGAGATTAAATTATAAAATTTTAAGATGTGTTTGAATAGAATAATTTAAAATATTATAAAAATTTCAATTTGATAAATTTTATGTAAAATAAAAAAATTTAAATGATTTGTTTTTAAAATTTTTTAAATATATTTATTATAACTAATATTTTATATTTATTATTTATAACTCATTTCACACTTAACTCTTGAATATTTTTTTATAATTTACATATTTTTTTAAAAAAATTATCCAAACTTATAACACAATATTAAGTTTGAGGTCTTTAATCATTGAATTAAAAAAATAAAAACCCTTGTGGTATTTCTCCTTAAATTTACATCGTCACGATGACAGCAGACACATTGACGGGGGGCATCCAACCAGACGTCGACACCTTTTACAATTGGCCAACTCATCATTTTTACCCGTTTAGCCCCCGCTTGCCTTCGTCCTTTTACTAAGGCATCACAAGTAACAACCATATGTAGAAACTTATTTGTAGGCTATCAACAAAAGGGCAGTACATGCAAACAATGTAATCATCTAGTTGGGGATCAAGGTGGACAACTCGATTGTTCCACAGCTTCTCCTGTTATCGATATTTCCCCCATCTTATCAGAAATTTTCTTTATGGAAATCGTACTTGGTGGATGTGTTGTGTGAGAAATCCAATGCTAGCTGACGAAGCACTTGGGTGAGGGTTGATGGCCCACAGTAAAATACCCCTGCATTACATAAAAGCATGCTGTCTCTATCTATTCCGATTCAATGATATGCCTTAAATTCAATGAAACACGTCAAAATTCATAAAGATTGATATTGATCGAAAGCATTTTGACAGAGACTGTTTCATGCAAAAAATAATAATCAATAGTCATCCTAATATCATAATATGCAACTTCTGATAAAAGCATATTCTCGTTGATCAGCAATTATTGAAGTGTTTTTAACTTTGCGCCACTGATGGAAAAAACAAAAGCAATGTCAGTTCAAGAAGTGGGAACTCACCAACTCGGGCATGTGGATGATTAAGCGCAATGCGCTTGTACACACTGCGCCAGTTGGGTTTGGCAAAGTGAGACATGACGCGTGTGCCAGAGACGATGTCCACTCCATTCTTTGCATGGTTTATAGACTGCAACATAGCAATAAGAGCAGAGCGAGCGTCACCCTCTTCGTAGACGCTGGTGCAGTAGCTATGGAGCTCAATCACTCCCCTTCTGTCCCCTTCTGCTACTTCGTTCATCACCCCTTTAAACCAGTCAAAAGAACCCTGCTCTCTAGTTACCCAGTAAAAGTATGCCCTCCGTGTCTTGAAGTCATTGGACCTGGGCCCTTTTTGTTGGGCCATAGTTGGTGATTTGGCACGACCAGACCCACTAATTCCCTCTTCAATTGCGGTCCCCTCCTCCTCTTCCATGTCCTTAAAATTATTCACCATGTCCTTTAGTATACTTATCATTGGTGTAGCTCCTATTCCAAGCCCCACCAGCAAAACCACCTCATACTCCCTGTAGTCTTGTGCTGGCGCTCCATACGGACCGTCGACCAGAACTTTAGGAAAAGTACTGCATATATTTATCACATGATTATAATCAATCCATTCAATTCTTATTTAAACGGCTATTGTTATTATGCAAGAATAATATGATCGGCTCCAATCCTCACCACCTGTGAAATTTCTTTTGGGTTATTTATTTCTTTTATTTTATTTTTAATTTTTATGAATTAAAGATTAATAATAGTAAAATTCCTTTTTTTTATATTCTAGAAAGTAACTAGAATATTAGTTAGGAATAAAAATAATAATTTTATTTAAAAATATATTAATATTTTTTCACCATAATTTTTAATATATTTTTAATACATTTTAAAAGTATATTTTTTAATCTGTTGTACATGTTAAAAAAAAACCACATTTTTAATACCTTATGAACTCTTCTAATTAAATGCTTGGAATGACTACTTACATGCAGAAATTTTCAATGGGAGTCCTTATCACCCCTAATCTTTTTTAATTGGAAGTCCAGACAACCACTCCTTTTCCCACAAGTGACAATAAAATTTGATTATAAATCCTTAGCATGTGAGACGGTGCCCTGGGAATCTCGATAACCAAACCGAAATCATCAGGCATGTTCTATATTATGCTTAAGTTTTGTTAATTAATTTCAAACCCACTTGCTGGGCCATCGACGCAGGCATCAACTACTGCATCTGTAATTTTCTGTACTGAAGTCAAAATTCGGGGAAGGTTTTTCTAGATCTGGTACACAGCTGTCTGTGAGTGTTAAACTAATTTCCACTCACGTGTCCTTAAGTAGCATCCTAAGTTCCTAACTATAGTTGTAGGTTTCTGGGGAGATTTAAACCCCTATTTTAGAAGCCAGGTTTATCAACACGGATCTCACTTCTTGTCATTCTCGAACAAATAAATAAAAGAATTAAAGAATAAACTACGTAGCAAAAATAGTTAATATAATAGAAATAGTTAGTTCAATTAATAAGTAGTTAATTAAAGAAGTGAAATTTTTATGTCAATTATTAAAATGATAATTATTTTAAAACAAATTAAAGTATATTAACATTCTGTTAATTGTATTTATAGTTGATTTGATTAGAGTAACCGGTGAAATCCATACAACCCATTGTATGTTGATGTTATCCCCAACTTTTTGAAGTGTAACTTTAGATTTTGCATGTTAGATATCCATCACACAATTTCCCTAGTTCAGAAAAGAAGGGCTTACGTTGGGCTATTTTCTCCCTTCAAGCATTCAGCTCTTAGAAGTCCACTTTGCCCATTGAGGGGTTGCTGGCACGCCTGAAAGAAACCAAAGCAATATATAGTCTTGTTAATTACAAGAAACCCTCATTTTAATAATAAGATAAAGGAAAACGTTTAACTTCAACTCTCAGGCTAATTTTAAACAATTAAAAGTAGAATATATATATATATATATATAATAAAATTTTATTATTTTTGTGTGTTTAAAATTGGTCTTAAAAGTGAAATTAACATAATTGTAATATAAATTAATTCACCTGTGAGAATTTAGTTTTCAGACTTCGAGTCCAATCACCAAGTATTTTTATATGAACGCTAAGGTAATCATCATCAGGGGCGGAAGTTATGGAAAAGGGATGCCTGTGCATGCATATTCAATGATATGTATGAATTAGATACTCTGAAATAAAAATATAGAAGTGGAGGAGGCTCCAGAACCTCAGGGTTATATGATGGTATTTAGACGCAACATGTCATTTAGGAGGAGTTTCTTCAAATGCATACCATTCAACTGGAGACACGGCAGCACAATTGACAAACATGTATTGTCCACTCTTGTAGCTAAACCCCTGGGGCTTTGACATTTGAAGTGCCAACACATTTCCAGGGTAAAGAGTCACCTTTAAATTTGGCAGTGAAAATGTGATTAGATTTAAACATATGCATATCAATAATTGATTTTTAATTAGTAGATACTCACCTTCAATATTTTGACGTACTTGATGCTCGATCTGAGTGCTCTAATCAGCCTTTCCAAGCCATAAATGGTGATGGGAACAGCAAGATACATCCAAGTCTACAAAACACAAAATATTAATTGCATGTGAAACGATTATCTTTCAGCTCAAAATAACTACATAAATATGCAAAAGGGTTAACTGAACGTGCTAACCGTTTTCTTATACCATTCCTTAGTCAAGTAAAGTTTGATTCCATGCACAACCAACATGGCATAGACAAAGATGAAGAGGTGATGGGAATACCAAAAGGCATTGAAACCTGTGAATTTGTTAAAGGGTTTGGGTAGTTTGGCCCGGCCTCTCCTGAACCTAGGATTGGCCAGTGTAAAGGCTATTGCCATCAGCACAACCATTATAATCCCAGTTACTCCTTCCCATGATTTGACAAAATGCCAATAATTTGACGGTTTATCACCGAAGAAGGGTTTCATGAGCTTGTACTTTTCATCGCTTGCATGAAGAAGGCGAGGAAAATCACAAGTAAGATGGTAGATAGCATGTATACCAACCCCAATTGCTATTGCCACTGCTATCACCTGCACACAAAAAATTGCTCCAATTTATTCCCCTGAAAATTTTTATGCCTTATTGACTTGTGAAAGCTGATAGAAACCAACAAACATATAAATTAAAATTGATGTTCTCTTTTCTTGTCACTCCTGAAGGAGCAACCAGAAGTAAAAACTACCTTGTGGAAGTTGAGGTTGTCATCGAAAGGAACTACAACACCTAGCTTGGTCTTGTTCCTGAGCCAGGTGATGGTGTTCCGGCAAACAGGTAACAAGATAAGAGCCATGTTCAATTTAAGTGTCTCACCTGCACCTTTTGCCATGCAAACACAATGGCCCATCACCTCATAGGCAGCTCTTCTCCGATACTGCACGAATTTATAGGCAAATAGCCCTAACATCACACCGATCCACAGTGCAAGTACCCAAGATCTTTGCCAATTGTCCAGCAAGATGTACTTGGCATCTCTACACCATCTCATAATTGGACTGTCCACAAAAGAAGGCTTAAGCCTTTGGCTTAGCATTTGGCTCAGGTACTTACTTTCTCCTCTTGTGGTTTCCTCTGGTCCATGCAATAAGAGGGTCTCCAGGTTGTCTATCTGTTTTCCCAATAAAATATAGCCAAGCGGTTAAAGAAATTAGGCGGAGTGGAGAATTCAATAGTAGTGAGTGGAATTGTTGCAATCTGGAGATCACAGGGTAGGCTATTTCAATTACCATGATGTATCCTGTGTCATCAGGGTCCAGTTCTTCCATGATCAAAGCCGCATATTCCTCTGCTTGTTTCTGGATGTTTGATAGCTTGTTGGCAGTGGCACTCAGGCATATAATCTGAGACCAGGATTCATCACATATAATTAAGGAAGATCTTAATCTGATGGAAGGGAAATTGCAGACTTGCAATTTTGCTGATAAAACAATTTCACACTAGTTTTGTCTGTTGAACAAAACTTGGAAAGTAAAGTCGTACAGTTAGTGGTGCAGAACTAATGATGGGGTACCTCTTTAATTTCTTCCTCGTTGATTCTTCCATCTGCATCTTTATCAACCCTGCATTCCAAATAACATTGGTGAATGGTGATATGTACTTACAGGGAAATTCAAACAAATGCTTCATTGTTTATATTAACCAAAACAACGAATTACATGTCAAAGAATGTTTTGAGCCTAGTATCAAAACTCTGGTCAGAAATATGGTCCCAGAATTCCCTCAACTGGGTCTTGTTAATAGAACCCCCCTGAATACCCCTCTGCCGAGCAAGAGTATCAAAAAGCTTTTCGGCATAAGCCTCAGACTCCTTGTTCAATCCTACAATCAAATCCAATGATATACTCAAAAACTACTCTATATTCATATTCCTGTCACTTAAAGCAAGAGGGTGAGGTACCTATGCATTGTGCAAAGAGAGCACGAGAAAGATATCCATCAGTGGTAGCAGTGAGCTTGTCAAACTGCTTCTCCACCCCACTCCATCCAGCACCAACATCAGTCTTGCTGATAAACTTGAGTCCTGTTAGAGCATGACCCACTGCAGACTTGGTCCTTTCGAAGTTTTTTGGTGCCGGTTTGGAAAATGATGCCAAACGCTTCAGCTGTTTCATGCGAATAGTAGCATTCTGAACCACTGAGGAACCAAATGAGGTTCTCTTCTCAAGCTTTTTGCCCATCAAACCCAATTTCTCTTCCTCTTCCATCATTTCAACGCCAGCAACAGTTTTAACACTGTGTAAGGCAACAGAACCACCTTGGATGTCCATGGTGACCTCAACATAGTGTTGTTGTTCATCTTCATTCTGGGATTTGATGCGACTGTTAAGGTCAATATCAGTGCCAGTTTGTGACTCTGAATCACTTAACTTGGTGCTGTTCATGGTAATCCTTTCGGCACCAGCGAGTTCTATATCTGACTCATGGTGTTGAAGATCGGCAGAAGCCCCTCCCATGTTGGTGTTGTTTTTGTCTGATACACACTGACTCGACAACACTTTCAGCTCTCTCTCTTCACACTCATTTGTTCCTCTCTTAGCTGCCTGCTGGCTTTCCTCACTATATGTACGTAGGATACATCTTGCTGTAGACAAGAATGACAGCCATGTTCGTAAAGGAAAAAGCTATTTAAAGTTACTTTATTTTCATCTGTCTTTATTAAGTATTTAGCTTATCTAAACTACTATGCACTTCTTTGGAATAAACAATGTATAATTCTATTTGTTAGCATGACTTCGTAATCTTGACCATTGCATCCAGATGATTTTTAAAATTGGTTAGTTTAGCTTTTAAAATTATAAAAGAGATATTATTTTAGTTCCTAAAATTAATCAATATTATTCATTTCAATCATTTCTTTATAATTTTAAAGACAGTAATAACCATTATTTAATGACATTAAGAATTAAAATTGTCATATTTTAATAATTTTAAGAATTAAAATTGAATTTTATAATTCATAAATTAAATTGATCGAAATCATATTTTCTAAATTATTATCCCATAATATAATTTTTTTTTATAAAACTTACTCACACTCTTTGAGATTTAATGTAACTACACCAAATACTCCTCTTAGTTTTACTTTGCGCGTACTTTCCTCAGTTTATTAACGGCATAAAGTATATCCTTCTTATTAATATAAGTCTGTTTCTAATTTTAAAAAAATCGATTATAAATTTATTAAACCTAAGAAGTGCATATGTAATTTATTATTGTGAATTTTTTCCTTAAAATACAATGTTTGCTTTTAAGAAAATTATTTTGTTATTCAGAATATTTTATAACTTTCGTTTATTAAACTTTAAAGATAAATACAATGTATAAAAACAGTATATTGCGATTGCCCTTGATTTTGCTAAAATATGATATTTTTAATTAACTGTAATTGAAAATAAATATGCCTCTACTTTTACATTTTAAAACGAGTTTCTCAATGTGATTGCCTTACCAGGACAGGGTATGGCAAATGGGAAAAGGGAATATAATAATTTAAGGCTTCGTACGTAGCTCATTTATTTTGTGTTGGGAGACAAAGAAGGTATGATTGGAGAATGGCATAAAAATTCAAACTTTGATACTAATAATGATTGATAAATTAAATCATTCTGGACATTATCAGGACATATCCTATTTCACTTTACAGAAAACAAAAACTAAAAACCCATATGCCAATTAATTTTGGTAATTGATTAATGTCATCACGTCATTAAACTTGTGCGACGCTCCATTTCATAAATTGGAAAGAAACTGTTTAATTCCGAATGGTTTTACTTTTTATATCTCTTGAACAACGATTATTTGAGAAAGGGTCTATTATTCGAGTAGAATGAAAAATAAAAAATATATAATATATAATGAATGTCATAAAGATAAGTATAAGGTAGATATAAAAATTTGAGTGTAAAAAAAATATAGTTACTACTGTATATAAAAAATAAATGAAATTAGCTACTTTTTAAACTTCGTGTCCATTTTATTTAATTTTTCAAATATATTTCATTTCACATTATTCTGACATGTAACGATGACTCAAAATATCCTTGAGGCAGTATAATTCATCACAATAAAACATAATTAACGTAACTTTTTGCTTCTTCTGTCTTTGATAAAAGAAGAAAGCTCTAAAACTTTTGGGAGTTTTAAAAGTTTTGGTAATGTTTTAAAATAGTAAACGGTTTTATTAATATTTGAAGATAATTGAACGTTTATGTTTATGATTTGTCTTAGCGAGTGAGTATTAAGTACCTACCACATACATTCTTCAAAATCTTAAAAGATAAGGAAACACCGCAATGAGAGGCATTTGTCATGTGAGTCTCTTACTTTTTCACTGTTCTCATATCAACCAAACCACAAATCACTGATTCATTGCTTATTTAATTAAGCATCGTTCAACCGACGCTATGACGGCAACGCTAAACGATGACATGCACTTTAAAATTTCAAACCCACCATTAAAATATTGCACATGCATGTAGCCGTAGTCAGAGACATTGTAGCTTTTAATTATAATTATTTTAGATTCTTAATTGTTAAATAAAAATAGTAAATATTTTTATGTTTCTAAGATAATAAATATGTGTCATTTTTAATGATATGATGTAATAAACATATATAAAATAAATACCAATGTTATTAAAAAGTATACATTATAATTCTTTATAAGATTTTTCTTTTCAAATTTTTTTGTGGAGTATATAAGACAAGTGTATAAAAAAATGTAAAAAGAAAAAACTAAAGTTTAAGTGGTACATGTAAAATTCGGTAAAACTTTTCCATGCACTTGCTTAAAAACTTGCTCAAATTATACATGTTTAGATTTTCTTAAGGTATGTTGGGTGTTTGATTTTGAAAGGAAAGAAAAATGATGATAAATGTTTAATTTCTAAATTTTAAAAGTTATATAATGTTTGTAAAAATAAATAAATATATTGATGTATTAAGTTTGTTTTAATTTAATGTTTTATAGTTTTTATTTTTTAAAATTACATAAAATTATACAATTCTAATTAAAAAATTCACAAACACGTCATTAATTTCTTGTAGGAATACTTCCAATTCCTAAATATAGAATTATTATTAATCTCTGACATTTGTCGAACCACTTAAGCCTATCTATTTCAAAGTTAATATTAAGTTGTCGTAGATGCTTTGGTTAGTTAGAGATTAAAAAATAAAAATATTATTAATGTATATCCAATATATTTTATACTACACTCTTAATATAATCTTATACGATAATTATTTTTTGTTCTTTAACACGTGTCTTAAGGACACTAGTTAATGTTACTCTATCCATTAAATATAATTAAAATGAGTTTTGTTATAACTTTTATCTTTTTACATATCATTCCCCTATTTTATAAAATACTAAATACAAATATATTTGTTATCTTAACAATATAAAAACTATTTAATAACATATTTATTTAGGAATTAAGAAGATTTATAGACATATTTTTTTTTTTACAAATATTTATTTAAAACGTGCATTAAAATTAGATTTAACCGTACATTACAATAAAAACGTGTTTGTAAAAGATTACAATTGACTTTTTAACAATAAACTAAACCAGGCACTTAATTTATAAACGTTGTTCTTGATAAACTCGATAAACAACGTAGTAAAATGGTAACAAATGTTGCAGTTGACGTGTTCAAACCAATGAAACGTTGTTTCTCTTCCTTTGCAATTGCCGATTGACTTGGCTTTGAGGGAAAAGCAATCTTTAAACAACGTAAATTGCTTTTGTTGGAAAGTGAGTGAGGTTGGTGGAAGTGTCTTTTACACAACCACTCAATAATGCATTGTTTGGTAAGAATAAACAGAAAAGAAAGAGAGGGGAAATAAAAACACTGTTTAATTTTAATACATCATTAATACGAAGACATTTTTTCATCAACTAATAAAAATATATTACAAATATAAAAATTAAATTTACTATTATAAAAGTTAATAATACATAGGCAGTGTGTTGTATTACCCTTTTTCTCTAAAATTTTATTTTAAGATTGTCGGTGAATTGAATTGAATTGAATCGGTTTTTGAAATAATCATTTCAAGTTCATTGTTTATTATTTTATCATTTCAACAAATAATGAACTGAATTTTATATAAAAACATAGAGTTTAAACAAAAGCACTTAGATTTTGAACATATTTTAAGATTTTTTACTGAAAAAAAGTGTGATGATTATTAAAATACACAATGAAAAAAGTCAAAAGTATGACGTATTTAAATTTATAAGTCAAATTCGATAGGACTAAAATTAATATATATCATTGTAAATTCACATACTATCAAAGGATAATTTATACGTTGTCACAGGTAGCATTTTTCGATTACAAGTTAATTTGTTTAATTTTTATTTTACTTTATTTTAGGATAAACTACATTAATACTCCTTCAAATTTAATAAATTTTCATTCGATATAATTTTTTATCCAGAAAAAATCTCTCCTAATTTTTTATACACGGGTAATTTTCTTAAGCATTGCATAGGTATCACTAAATTAAATTATTCGTTTAAAATAAATATTGAAAAATATAATATGTAACTGTTTTTAAAAAGTAAATATCATAATAATTATTGTTAAAAAATTAAGTTGAATATAAGTTGTAAAAAATCCAACTTTAAGTTAATACTAAATTAAGAAAAATCACAATGTAAAAAATATTACTACCATGTGAGCATGAATTTGGATAATGACAAATTTTAATTCGGCTTTTGCGTCGATTGCATTAACTAACAATGCACTGTTCAGAGTTCAATTCTAGCTGTAATCGTTTAATTAATAGCACTAAACAGCAAGACAAGACAGTAGCTCCCAAACACTTAAGCCTTAATTTCCGTGATTATGGAATTTTGACTAAGGAAAAACCAAACCAAGCCAACTAATGGGTCTCAGCATTATTCGTTAATGTAAAGGAAATGAAATAAATAATTAATATCTTTGTTTGAGACCTTCTTTTCTGGATTTTAAAATAACATCCCTACTTTGAAAGTTGAACGTTCCCTTGGGTCTTAGGTCCTATAATTAATATATTTTATTAAAGTGAATTCACCTTGATTAACCACTTTCCGAGGTAGACAAATTTTGTTAAAGTGAACTAATTAGTAGTAATACATATTTAAATGTTCAAAGGATTGCTTAATCAAGATATTATGGATTATATTAAGGTGAAGAAGAAAAAAGCACTCCATTGATAAAATGGCCCAAGGACATGTTCTATGGTGTTTCATGCTCTCTGGTCATTAAAAACTTTGAATAAAAATATTTTTACTGTTTTTGAAAATGTCGGCACATCTACAGAGACTGCAACAGCGACAACTCATCAACCCCTCTCACATTTTCTTTTGACATATTATTAACTCATTCTAATTTTATTCTAGGTAGCATCCCTTCTTGGCTTCGCCTTTTTCTTGTTTTATTGTTAATTTTAAAACAAAATATCAATATTTCAAAAAAAATTATTTGTTTATAGTTTTTTTTACGTGTTATAGAATTAAATTTATAAAAAGCGTAATTAGAGAAAGGTTAGCTATATATTTTCAATATTTTTATCGTTTTTAATGAAATTTAACTAATTATTAAATGTGTTGTAAAAAAGTGTATCATTAACGTTAATCTCTTAATTATTAAGAAATAAATTGTTTCAATTGGTAATACTGCAGAAATAGTTTTTCCTTTCATTGTTTTATTTGTTGACATTATTTTAAGCAAACGTTTTAACTAAAACACAACTGCACTTAAAAAATCGAAATACATAAATACTATGGCTCTACATTTCTAATATAAAAACTTCCATGTTGAGAGACAAATGGATAAAATAAATCAAAACATAAGTACTGTCAAACCTTAAACACATATGTGAGAGTGAAATTGCTGCTGCTAAGAACAATTACAACCGTGCCATATGCTAACCCACAATAGATTTAGGATTTGTGAATTCAACTTTGTTCAGCATATGAGAAAGGCAAAAACTGATGTGCACAAAGGAAAACAACTGAAGAGAATATATCCGAGACACAATCAATACATAAACCAGATGATGAGAGGAAATTGTATGTATTTGTTAGAAGTATTGCCATTTCAGAAAAGAAAGAAAGAAAGAAAATTACCATTTAATAAAGATTTAGAAGTATTCTTCTTTGAGAAGCGTGTGGTAGCTTAACCACTTTTCTCAGCATCAAGGTTAGGCAAAAGAAAAATTAAAATACACTAAAGAAAACAATTTAAAACTTCCTGAATAAATGAAAATGTCGTCACAATAAATAATTTAAAATAATAACAATTATTACTATTAGTAAAAAAAATAAAATTATATTTATCCTAAGATAAATGAAAATTATCAAAATATGACAAACAAAAAGTTTTTAACGGTTACCGTGGAGTTTTGACGGCGTGGTAAGTTATAACCGAATCCAAACTTAACCCCGTTATCAGTTTCTATTCCCTCAAAATCAGAGTTTTGGAGGGAAAAAAAGGAGAGCGAAAATCCATGGATTCGCTTCTTCCTTCTTAGAATTCATTTCCATTAGTGTTTCAAAATTTTATTCTCTTTCGATTCTTTGATCGAATCCTCACTATGATGGATTCCGATTCCAATAAGAAGAGAAGGTTGGCGAACGATCCTTCTTCTTCAAACAAGAAGCAAAGGACCATTACAGCCTCCGTTGTTTTTAAACACTTGGAGGTTCCTCTCTTTTCCGCCGCCGAAAACGGCACCGTTTCACGATGCAACTCCTTGCGCCTTCATGCGGATCAGCCCTACTCGATCGGCCGCAAACCTCGCGACTGCGGATTTGTCTTCCGCGACCCTCGCGTGAGCAAGCGCCACTGTCAGATCCTCTTCGACGGTTCCCTCCGCAAACTCTACATCCTCAACGGCGTTCTCTCGCTCAAGGATTCTACCGCCACGTGTCACCTCCTTTACGAGTTCAGAAAAAGGGCTATGACGATGACGACGTCGTCTCGCGACAGCGACGGTGGCGTTGAGTTTCGAGAAGCTTCCAACGGGGTTTTTGTGAACGGCGTCGAAATTGGAAAGGGAATGGCCGTGGAGTTATCGGTTGGAGATATGGTCTCGCTGGTTTGTGGGAACCATAACGGTTCGTGTGCGATTGGGAACAATCGAATTGGGTTTGTTATTCAGAGAATTGATTTCGAAGGGTTTAATAGTGATGACTGTGTTGAAACTGATGAATTAACATTCTCGGGGCACTCACAAAGTGGGAAAAGGAACAAGAGGGTTTTTGCTGTTAGGGCTAATGTTTCAAGGTATGAGGGGATTATTGGAAGGGCAAGGTTTCTTCTTGGTAAGTGTAGAGACATATTGCTTAGTGATGATACTGTGTCTTGCATTCTGCGTGATGTGCAATCTGGATTTAAGTGTGTCCCTGGTAATGCTGAAGTGCAATCAAGTTCAGCAATACTTTGTGACAGTAAAGTGATGAATTTGGAGGGGAAGAGTCACGGTTTTCGTCGAAAAGAGGAAGTCAGAGTTAGTTGTTTGGATGGTGTTGGCGATGAGGTTCGTAATGTGATGCTATTAGATTCTGTAGGGAAGAATGATCCTCCTTCCGTTGGTGACTGCTGGCAGGAGAAACATGGCGGCAATGTTTATTCGCCGCCTGGGAAGAATTTTTACTTGAATCGTCTGGAATTTATGGACCATGTCTCCTCGGGGCTTCACCGGTCCATATCTCTCCCGGAACTTATTCATCCCGTTGAAAGCATTTCAAGGATGTTTATTGCAACATTTACGAGTGACATAAAATGGTGTGACTACCTAAAATTTCCCAATGTACTATTTTCCTTTCATAATACTCTCTTTTTGATTGAACTGTTTTGTCTCTTGACTTGTGTTTCTCTTTTGTGCCTCTTACTATTTTCGTTTCGCATCTGCTTACTTCTTGATGTCTCAATATGATGTGTGAACTGCTACACTTGAGTTTTTTTTGTATTTTACAATCCTGACTGAGTTGTCTTGTTAGGTTCTTGACATATTGCAAGATTCCTTGTCATCTTCCAGTTACAATTGCATGCCACAATGCTGAGAGATGTTGGAGTTCAAGACCCGATGAAAGAGTATTTGTGCCTTACCAGGATTATCCTAACCTAGTTGTAGTGTAAGTTTTTTTTTTTTAATATTTTTTTAGGGTTGGGGGGTTTGGCGGTGACGTGCAGTTTAATTATGCCCTTACTATGTGCTGCTTTATCTGTCCTATTTGTTAATGAAGTTTGTCATTGGATATTAGGTGTCCTCAATTCCCTGAAACCATAGCATTTAGTAATAACCGTAAGAGACAGGGGATTGCTTGCCATCATCCAAAGTTGATTGTTCTGCAAAGAAAAGATAGTATTCGAGTTGTTATTACATCTGCAAATTTGGTGGAAAAGCAGGTATTCTATTAGCCAAACTTCTACTTATTAATGTTTATACATTTTTTATCTTACAAATTGAAGAGCAAAATGTTGTATTTATGGTATGTAATTGATTAAATTGGTAAAACATCAAATGCTGAGTGGCCTATTGCCCTCAGGTGAAATGTTTCTAGCATAGGAGTATTGTCCTTTCGATTTGGGTTCTTCTTGCATCCGAATTCTATTAGAAGTATGGTATGTAGATCCTTTCATTAACATCATAGAACGTTTATTGGGTTCAGTGGTGACGTAAAGATTAAAATAATGTTCTTTCACGGTTTTATCGAAGAAAAGTTTATAATTTAAAGAATATGCTGAATATATTCTTACAAAGGACAAGGTTTCAGAAATAAAGCCATAACTAACATTTTTCTTGTATTGGCTGTACTGTATTTTCACTAGTTATTGTCATAAATAATATTCTTTTGGCATTTCATTTTTAATGTACAAAAACACTGCAAAAATTGAGTGGACCAATCATGTGAGATGGAGAAGCAACATAGTAAAAGAAGGGGAAAAAAGTTTTGGAGGCCTCTTTACTTGGATAAATTAATATAAAATCATAAGCTTTAGCATTTCTCTTGCAAAATCTTTAGATGAATGACATAAGCTACAGTTGTCATGGTTTCGTTACTTGAAGTTTGAAACCTAAAATGGCAACATTTAAGTGATTTTTTTATGCAGATCATCATGTAAAATTTATGTACATTAGCATGTCTATAAGACTTACCTTGAATAGTGTGGATAGTAGAGTAGGTTTACAACTATTTTATGTTTACATGTCATTAACAGAGTAAAATTATTGAATTAATTTTAATTGTTATGTAGTGGAACGGTGTGACTAACACTATATGGTGGCAAGACTTCCCTCATTCCATTTCTGTTGATTTTGCATCACTTTTCCCAAAAAATGGCAATGGTGAAATTCATAGGGACTCAAAATGTGATTTTTCTGCTCAGTTGGCTGGGTTTATGGCATCACTTGTTATTGATATACCCAGCCAGGCTCACTGGATTACTCAGCTGACAAAATATGACTTTGGAGGTGCAACAGGACATCTTGTTGCTTCAGTACCTGGAATTCACTTTTATAGAACTTCTGTTCACTCAGAATCTTTTTGGGCCTCTCCTGTATGTACTCAAGTATGTCATGCAAAGATATTGGTAATTGATTGAGGTGCGGGTTGACTACCCTTGCCTCTGCCTCTGTAGAGTTATTTTTTTTATAAAAACTATCATCCTTTTGTGCTTTTAATATTTGAAAACTGCATCCACCTTGCTTACAGTTGGGTTGGAGTATTATACTCCAAAAATCTATCTTGTGGGTAAGGTGGTGCTAGTATACGACTGCACTTTTTATGGTAAATTCCAGCACTAATGTCATCCGTGTTATTGTTTGGGGGAAAAAGTAACACCTCTTCTTCTGTACATTCTTTGACTTCAATTTATATCTTATAGATACTAATTACTGTGCATTTTCGTCATCTGGTTTGAAGCTTCTTGGTTCAGTTGTGGCATCAGTGGTTGGTTTAAGCCATGTTTTCCGCACTGTGACAGACTCAAACAGTGCAAGACTAAAAGCACTGGCTGCTTTCCTGAGGAAGTCTTGTAAGAATGCTTATGGGATGTTGGAAATTGTTTTAAAAAGAAATCCTAATGTGCCAGTTGACGAAAATGCTGTTAGTGTTCTTGTTCCCAACCCTGATCAAACTTTTGAAGGAGGTAATCTTCATTTTTTGTGTTTTGGACTTGCATTTAAATTTTTCATGCAACAATTAACAGTAATAATATCTATTGTTTTTCATTCCTTTCTATAGATTATGTTCAACTTGGTTTTCTGCCTAGAAATATAGCAAAATGGGTTTCTCCACTTTGGGATGCTGGATTCTTCACATTTTCTGGATATGTTTGTCCAAAAGAGGCCCTTGCAGCTGCCTTGGGAGAAAACTGCAAGAAAGTACAACTAGTACTAAATGTGTCAGAGGTGTGTTGAGTGTAGCTTCTATAGGATGACTTGTTAGTTTCCATGTATATGTTACCTGACATATAGGCCATGCAGGGGCATCGTTTTAAAGATATGTCAAAGATGATGCAATCTGAACAGATTGTTGCATTGTGCTCACTCATTGCTTCAATTCAAAGGTGTTATGGCCTTTGGAGATTGCAAGAGGTAAATGGTGCCTGGGCTAGAAAGACCTTTTTGCGTTGATTGTGTCAAGATGTTTTATATTTGTTAGAAATATAAATAAAATACTCCTTCTAAAGCTTAAGCAATCTTATCTTCTTGGGTTTGCTTTTGATGTTTTGAGTTATACCTAATCCTTTTCTAATATGGTATCAGAATCTATCTACTTGCATATGAATGAAGAACTTTATGCTAAAATAGTTTTTGAAAGATCCTGTTATGAATAATTAATCTTACTTTTTATACTAGGTTCTAAATCGATATAGATGGCCTGAATCATTAGAGTCTGAAATTATATATGGTAAGTGGATTATTATTATTATCAAGCATAAGGCCAACCTTATTTCATTGCAAGTCGAAATCAACTAGCTGACCCCACCCCATTCTTTTATCATCTTTTTTGACTAATATTGCCTAGTACCTTTTCTGTCAATCAGGTGCATCTTCTATTGGTTCGTCTGTCAATTCAAAATTTCTTGCTGCTTTCTCAGCTGCTGTTGGGAAGAAATCATTGCAACATTTTGATTCGGAAGAGTCTGATCCTGAAGTAATTTGAAGGCTTTTGCTCTTCCATTATATTTTCTTAAAAAAATTTGCATCTTTTCTGCTGGATGCATGATTTGTTGAAATTGTTTGTTCATTAATTCAGTAATTTAATGATGGTTTGACAGTGGGGCTGCTGGAATGCTAGCGAAGAAATGAAGAATCCTTCTGTTAGGATTATTTTCCCCACTATTGAAAGAGTGATGAATGCTTATAATGGGATTTTGCCTTCAAGACGTATTCTTTGCTTCTCAGAGGTGATATGCTTTTCTAGTCAACTTTGAATGCATAAAGTTACAAGTTGTGTACTGGAATATATATTTTTCTTTAAGCTGGATTCCTTTGGTACCCTTATTTTAATGAGTGAGCTGGTTCCCTTAGTAGTTAGTGGTCAATATTTTGTTTAGTGTCCTATTTAATTGAAATATGAATACAAAAACAACTTACTATACTTTTATTTCAAATAAGGACAGATGAGCAGATATTAAACCTTAATTGTTAAGGGTTACCAGTACACTCACAAGAAAAGATTTCCAGTTAAACATCTTTCTTTAAGACATTCTATTCTAAATTATCAAGGACCAGTCCTCCGTTGTGAGTTTTTTACGAGACACCCACACAAAGATCTTGCATGGGACAAAATTTATGGGTCCCTACTTTGGATCTGAGCCAATCTTTCTTAACATATGAAAAATTCATTTCCAAAGAGGTATTCTAAATGCATATACAAATACCACTCTCCTCCCCCGACCTCTAAGACATTTTAAAGGGGTCATTCAAAGGAATTATCTGAACATGAACTTGGAACTTTCAAGATCAGAAGAATTTTGTTCATTATCTTTCTGGTATCACACATGTGCATGCCATTTAGCTCGTGTTTGTGATTCTTTAGTATTGAAATTTGTTTTTTGGAAAATTTCTTTGCAAAACTATATTAGGAAGGTGAACTTTTGACAAATATAGATGGTAATCATGTGAACAATGCAGAACTGATTCTCTACTTTTCTACAGAGAACATGGCAAAGGTTGAGGACGTTAGATATACTACATGATGCCATCCCTCATCCCCATGAAAGAATAGGGCATCCCATGCATGTCAAGGTAACTGTATACTAATTTATACCCCTATACTACTTTTTTTATGATTAACTAGTTGCTGTATGTATTCTTGTTATGCTATGGATAAAGTCCCTTGTGCTGATGAATGTAATGCTGATTGACAGAGATTTGCGTCTTTTCTTTTTTGCGTCCTGTCTTATCCTGTCTCTAATTTTGAATTTAAAATCGGTAAATCATAATCCTGAATTAGATCTGTGCACTTTCAGAAATTTGAATTTGTATAGAAAACAGACAAGGGTTAACTTAAGTGATCTGAATGTGTCAAAATTTTCAAGCTCAAGAAAAATATTTGTGGCTCAGGGATTTTTGGTGAACAGTTTCCTGATCTCATTCTATTTTTTAAAATATTTTAGGTTTGTATATGCCTCGATGATGGTCAGCATGATCACAAATCATATTATCATACAATCTAACGATAGCAATGGGCTTGCTATGGAAGCTATGATTTAGCTTATTTGTAAATCATCAATTTATATTGTTTGGTTGCATGGAGTGAAATATTTTTTGTTTTTTCGCTGCTTCTGCTGTAATAATTATCATTTTCCAGAGGTTCCCCACCATTTTCTGTCCTTTGCATGTACACTTGTTCTGTGTCTTTTTCTCTGACATTTCAGTCATTTTTCTAAGGAAAACTACAGAATCCAAATCCATCTGTATATGGCCTTTTGTCATGTCTTTGTTGGTTATGGTTTCCAGTGTACAATTGTATAGATAGTGACAATGTTGATGAATTTTCACTCTATTTGTTTCAAAAGGGTTTCTAAGGATTCTAATATGTACTTTAAACATGCATACGGTTGTCACTTGGTTCTGTTTGTAATCTTATGCCCCATATGCTGTTCCATAAGATTGGACTTGGGTGATTAGCTTCTCAATTATTAAACCTATTTGTGCTTCTCCCCTCCTACATCACAAATGTATGTTTTAAATGATTTTATGGAAATTTTTTTGCTCAGGTGGCACGTAGATGCTTCTGGTCTGGGAGGGATGCACCTTCCGTTGGTTGGGTATATTGTGGGTCTCATAATTTTAGTGCAGCTGCTTGGGGGCGACAAATTTCAAATCCTATCAGTACAAGAAATGACGGACCTCGCAAAGAGGACCCTTCTGTGAAATATGGGCTTCACATTTGCAATTATGAACTCGGGATTATATTTACTTTTCCTCCTAGAGAAAATAATGATTGCCCTAAATTGAAAAGCACAAATTTAGATGATATAATTTTGCCATTTGTTGTGCCTGCTCCTAAATATGGATCTAGAGATAGGCCAGCTACTATGCAGACTATGAGGGAGGTTATGGTTGAACTTGCTGAGAAAGGGAGGGAGAAACATGCAGAACAAGAAATGGAAGAGCTTGACGAGGAGGAAGAACTGGAATCAACCAATTATGTTGAACAGGAGAAGGAAGAGGAGAAGGTATATGCTGAGATACTCTGGAGTCAGGTTGATTCTTCCTCGAGCAGTTGAACTTCTGCAAGAAGCAATACTGGGGGTATTTGATACACAATTGATTCTTCACATGGTACTAGGCTTGGAAACTAACAGAAATAGTGGCAATTATTCAACTTGTGAGGAAGTAAAGGCTTATCCCGAGATATTAGGATTAAAGAGCAAAGCCCTTGGCATGTCCATAGAAAGTCATTACGAACATTCATCCGGGAACTCCATCTTGTCTTAAACAAGTTGATTTATATTTGGATCAGAAACTGGTATTTTCTATCTCTTGTGGTTCAGCTCATTTTAGGCTTGGTAAATTATTGATACCACTTCGTAGCCTAAGGTCCCAATTCTTGTTGCTGCGACTGCCTTGTTTATATTCCAGCTCCACGCGGATTTCTTAATGAAAGATATTAGGAAGACTGATTGATGGAACCTACTGTAGCATTTCTCATTTTTATGAATTCAATTGGAGGATTTGAAAGTGGTAGTTACATATGCAACAGATCCATAAAAACAGACCAATAACCCCAAGAAAGTACAAGGTAGGACCGATTGTGATTAGATGGTGAAGATTATGTAAATGTTAGGTGATATGGGTCTCAGCGTGTAACATTCTTTTCTGCTAGTTCTTTACTTCTTGAAGCTTTGGAAATGTGGGCTTCGACAATAGGCTGTTGCTGTCACTTATGGGATTGGACTTGAGGATCCCAAGAGATCAATAGAGGCAATGCCATTCCGTGGTGCAACTAGGGTTAGCAAAATTGAACTTGCAAAATCTTCGGCTGGATACTATGTTGGATCAGTAAGGGTTAAGGTTGTATGCATTAATATTGAATTTGAAGACATCCTTTGCCAGGTAACTGCAGAAGGTTGCAACCACCTGTTTGATTGTCACATCAATTGGTGTGTATCCCTATTTATGATACGGCGGAGAATTGAGCGTTGTATTGTTGGAGACAGTAGACTGCATTCATTATGCAACAATTCTTTCATAGTGTTCCCATTTTTGGGACAAAATAAGAACCCGTCTGTTATATGAGCAAACAAATGAATGTATGATTTATTTCGTAAGTTTATAATGATTTTGCAGTTATATTTTCATTGTCGAATTAGATTTAAGAAATTTTTTAACGTAGATTTAAGACTGATTTGTATTTGCATTTGAGTTAGAATAAATAGATTGATTTAAACAATCTTTTGATTCTTGTAAATATTTCAAAAATTTAATTTCTGGCTCTATTTTTTTAAAAGAAAATGAATTTTGGCCTTAAGTAAAAGTGCTGAATTGATTAACATGATTTAACTCAATATTACCCTTTATATCTTAATAGTTACTTAAAAATGTATAGATTTCATAAACATTTTAAAATTTAGTTTTAGTTTTTAGAAATGATTTTTTGTCTAGTTTTGATTCGTGTATATATATATATATATATATTTTTTTTTTATTTTTTTATTTTTTTTATTTTTTTTTTTTAAAGTGAACAATTTTAGTATTAATATCGACTTTACTAACAGTAATTCAAATAACCGTTGTCAGGTGTATTCTAGTTACTATGGCAAATTTTTCTTTCATCGTTTACTATCTCATCTTTACTCAAAGGCCAGGTAACTTTAAAAATTTGAACGTACGGTAAGCGTTAATTTTGGTGAATAAAGTTTTAAAGTCCGAAATACGACAAACTTGAGAGACGAGGCTGAGTCAACTCTGACTTCCCTTTGCTCTTTCCTGAATTGCTCCTTCCTTCCTTCCTTTCTTCAGTACCAACGCAACTCTTTCCATTCTCTGTTAGCTTTCTCACTCAGACTACTCAGTTACTCTTTTCATTCCATTCCTCACTCACTCTCTGATCTAAACTTTTTTGTTGCTTTTTAATTCAACTCGGAATCTGTTCTAAGTCATTTTTAGGCACCATATGCTTAATATTAGTATTGTTGATATACTGTGTTGAATACTAGAAATGAAAGAGTTTAATTTTGATTCACTGTTTGTTTGTGTAAAATTTTTTATTTCAACCATCAATCATTTGTCTACCGGAACATCACAGATTCCATGTTTTTGTGCTTGACTTGACAACAACCATGATCCAGATTCCAGTACTGAGCTCGTAGAAATGAATTCAAACAGAGGGGGTGAAAGACCTTTCACTATGGCAAACGATGATTATTCTTCCAAGGGGAAAAACATATTGGAATCTCATCCAGAAACTGAGCAATTAACTCAAGGTGTTGCTGAGGAAGATGATGGGGAATGGGTGGTATATGCAAGGAAATCTAAGAGTAAGGCTAGAAGCAGTGCTACTAAACCATGGAGTCCTCCAGTTCATAATTCTAATTCTAGAGGAGTGGGAAATACAGAGATGACTCAAAAGCCGGTCAATCGGAATCATGGTGGAGTTGGAAGGGCTTCTGGCAGTAGAAATCCTTGGCAGTCCCAAAATGACAACTTCAAGAGACCTGTCAGCGGAGGAAATGAAATGCCGCAGTTGATTACTAGTGAATCTGAAAGCAACAGTGTGACTTCAAACCCATTTATTCAACCTCCGCTGGAGCATGGGTGGAATTGGAAATCTAGAACTGGTTCTAAACAGTCCAAGAGTGGTGATGATAGCCTGGTAAAGGATGAAATTACAGTAGAGTCCCCTGTGAAGAATGATAGTGTTGATGATGAGGGGGAGGAGGGCTTTGATGTTATGGAAGACACTGATGACGATCTAATCAGTGATGATTATGATTCTGATACTAGTCAAAAGAGCCATGAAACTCGTAAGAAGAACAAATGGTTTAAGAAATTCTTTGAGATTTTGGATTCCCTAAATGTTGAAAAGATAAATGAAACTGAAAGGCAGTGGCACTGTCCAGCTTGTCGAGGTGGTCCTGGTGCTATTGATTGGTATAGTGGGCTGCAACCTCTTTTGACTCATGCTAAAACAAAGGGGTCAAAAAGGGTGAAGATCCATAGGGAGTTTGCTGAGCTTTTGGATGAGGAATTGCGCAGAAGAGGTACTTTGGTAATTCCAGCTGGGGAAGTATTTGGTAAGTGGAAAGGCTTAAAAGATGAGGATAAAGATCATGAAATAGTTTGGCCTCCGATGGTTGTTATTCAGAATACAAGGCTTGAACAGGATGAAAATGACAAGGTAAAATTTCTCATTTGCATCAAATGGTGAATAATTGGTGATAGTAATATTTTTATTTTGATATCTGGGATTAATGTGGCAAAACATTATTAATTTTCCTGAAATATTTCGGAAGTTTGTGTTAAATCCATGTTTTCTTTGTATGTAGTGGATAGGTATGGGTAACCAGGAGCTTCTTGATTATTTTAGCTCGTATGCTGCTATGAAAGCTCGACACTCTTATGGCCCGCAGGGTCATCGGGGGATGAGTGTTTTGATATTTGAAGCCTCAGCTGTAGGTTATCTTGAGGCTGAGTGCCTGCACAAGCATTTTGCAGAACAAGGAACTGATCGAGATGCATGGTTTAGTCACTACCGTAAATTGTTCCTCCCTGGTGGCAGGCGACAACTCTATGGATACATGGCTGTAAAAGAAGACCTGGATTTTTTCAACAGGCATTCCCAAGGTTCCTTTTCGTTTCTTTTCCTTCCTTGTACTGCTGATTGTTTGATTTGTTCTGGTTGCATGTCAACAAAGCCTTTTCTGTGTGAACAGTATATTAATTCTTTTTTTTTTGTTTGGGGGGGGGGGGGGGGTTCACATTTTTTGTGAAATTGTATACAGGTAAATCTAGACTCAAATATGACATGAGATCTTATCAGGAGATGGTTGTAAACCAACTTCGGCAAATGAGTGAGGACAATCAACAACTTATTTATTTCAAGGACAGGGACGTCAAAAAAGAAAAACACGCAAAAGCTCTTGAAGAATCTTTGGGTATAGTGACTGAGAAGCTGCGAAGGACGATGGAGGAAAATCGTATTGTGAGGTTGAGAACTAAAATGCAACATGAAGAGAACAAGGAAGAGGTAAAACTAATAGCTGACGACTTTTTGGTACTCTAGATTTATGGAGAAACTGCAGATAGATGCATTTTTGCTTTCCTTGGACATGTACTTCTAGCTGTTTGGATGTGCTTTAGAATGAATTGTTTCCTTGAAAACTGTTATCTGTAATTTATACTTTTTAGTACAATTGCTGAATTTTCATTAGCATGGGTAAATTAAACTTTCTCAAATTTACCTTCTCTTCATGACTCAGATGGTTTTGCATATAATATTGTGACTTACGTGCCAATAGAACTTCAGTCTAACCTGTCAAATTGGAGGATCAATGAAAAAAAGATCTTGTCAATGTTTGGTTATTTGATCTACGTGCAAAGCTCTCACTCATAATAAATCAATGAACAATGATAACGAATTGCACTGGCCCAAAATGCTAGTTTATTTAAGAGGATGTTTTCTTTAATTCTTTAGAAAATTAACAGATATTCTTGTAATGATTTAGTATTAGTAAATGATGGTTATCACTGTTTTGTAGTAAAGTTAGTTGCATAGTTCCTCTGACCCAGTTTTTCACATCAGTTTGTGTTGATAAATTAATTAATTCAATTACTTTTCTGCCAAGTGTTTTGGTAATTTCATGCTATTCATAGTTTGTTTTCTCTTTTCTAGTTATCCAAAAAATAATTTATTATTTTCACACTGGGATGATTTCAATCTTAATTTACTTTCCCTTATGGTTATTCATTGTCAATATTTCACAAATGTCTTCTAGGTTACAAATGTTTCTTTTTATTCTTGTTATTTTTTCCTAACCATTGGATACTTTGTCTCAATGGAAGATGTACATGCAAGAACAATTTTTCAAGGATCAGATCAAAATCATTCACGATTCAAGGACTGAAAAGGAAGAAGATTTTGAGAGGATGCAACAAGAGAAACGTGAGAAGGTGAAGCAGTTAAGTGCTGGTCATTTAAATGAAGAGGAAAGGAGAGTCAAGTAAGGACATGTCACTCCTTGAAATTATATGTTAAATTCAGTTGGACTAATCGCCATTAACTTTTTATTCTCATCTGGTGCTAGTATATGTTGTGAAAATTTTGGGAAATGCAATTGCGTGTTTGCTTCAATTTATTTTGAAGAAATGATTGCTTGCTTTTACTAACTTCCTGCAAGAGCTTTTGAAAAACAAAAAATTATTACAGTAAACATGCACATTATCTCTTGGGCGTTTCTGTATTTGATGGCCCTAGGAAAATTACAAGGAAAATTAATTCACATTAGCAAATGAATATTTTGAGAAGAGGTTTATATGCATACATAGAACAATGTAGTCCAGTTGTTTTGGATGAGCAGTTGTGATATTCATATTTTTCATTGGCCTGTGGTAAAATCTGATTTCTTTGGATGATAGGTCGGATGAATATCTAAAATTTGTTGAATTTCAAGATAAAGAAATGGAAAACTTTGTTGCTGAAGAGGAGAAACTCCGTCAAGCTCATAAAGACAACATTGCTGCAATGACCCGGAGATATTGGGAGGAAAAGGTGCAGTGGGAGGAAAAGTTTAATAAGGAACTAGCCAAGCTGATGGAGAAGTACTCCCTATCTCACCCAGAAACAAAGTCCAATGGTATCTGATGATAGGGTGTAGCACAGTGCGGACAAAAAGATTAATGCAGCAAACTAAACAGAGAAAATAAATGGATAGATTGTTCCAAGTTGAAGACCCCAAACGTCAGCATTTTAGTATTGGAAGACAATATGCCTGGAGATTGAAAGCTGGCCAAAATACAGTTGTCATTGCTTATTTTCTGTTCTTTGGGACTAGAGGCTAGAACTTTTGACGTGTTTGGTTGTTTAAAAATTTAATGAATAGCAGCAACTTTAGATGCAGGGTGTGAATGGGTATGAATGGAAGCCTGATAGATATATGGGATGGTGCTTCCTTGGAAAATTGGTATCATTAGTCAAGCCTGCCTCTGCTGCTTCAAAATAGCCTGATTCAACATCTTCATAAAAATATATTTAATGGTCTTAAATATTAAATTAGTTTTTCAGCCTTGAAACGTGACTGTGGTTTAAGGTTGATTTTATTTAATTTAAAGCAATGAAATTTTGTTAAAAAAAATATGATCATATTTTTATATTTTTTAAGCAATAAATATGATTTTTAATAAAATTCTTTATCACTTATAATTAATATATTTTTTAACTAATCCTTGCCGAGCTCCTCATAAATAAAGCGACATATGTTGACGCAACCAGACAAAAGATATTTTATTGGATTCTATTTGTGACCTTGGTAATGGTAACGTTTTCCCACGTACTAAAACAGAATATAACGGATGACAACGTTTGACGTGACGGATTGCAGGTCAGTAATTTCATGCTTGTTGCATATTTAAATTACCCCTCATGAAAAATTACCATATATATATATATATATATATATATATATATATAAATAAAAAACTGCCTGGAACTCTTTTAACCCAGTCTGTGATTTGGACGTACCTTAACATTTTAAAGGTGAACTAACATTCCAAATAAATGGTTCTAGATATAGACGGTGGTTATTGGTCTCTAGATGTGGTTATTGGTCTCTAGATGAGCGTTATCTTAAAAAAAGGAACTAACCATCAAGTTGTCTCTCTCTTTAGAATGGTTAATTTTTCTTTGAATATGAGTTAAGCCAATCCATATTTGGAAGTAACTGGAAGGAAAGTGGTATGGTACATTGCCCTTTACAACATGTAGTTGATGTGGCAAAGCCAATGGCAAGACTACTTTTTGAGGTCAGAGATTCTTTGTCCTAACTGGCCTGCAACCTTTATACCAGAAATCGTTAACTACACTCACTTCCAATAGGCCCCTCCCTCTCTCGGAGACTTTTTTATTCTTCCTCTTCCTTTTCCTTTCTTTCTCAACTTGTTTTCTTCTTGGGATATTGAGATACAAGAAAGCAGCTGCATTGTTTTACTTCCATCAAAACCACCTTAGGTAGGCAACAACCTTTTCTTATATCATTTTAGTTTCCAAGTTTCTTATTTATATGGTTTTCTCAAAGTTGACATGTTATTTCATATGGTTTCCAGTCATGTCAACTTGTTTTTTTGTATATAACTACAAAGATTTTGAATTTCAAGACATTGAATTGTATAGACAAAAACCCCTTCTCTTGGGATTCCACACAAAGTAGAAACTAGTTGTGGGTGAATATTGTTGTCCATTGCAAGTTTGCGTTGGTTTCTACTTCATTCCTTGCAATTTAATGGTTCAATTTTCCATTGAATGTGTATGAAAATGGAGGACGAATTTTTTATCAGGTCAAGTTCTGTATCCAATCCATTGTTAGCTGAATGGGACTTAATAGCTTTACAATGAGCTGAAATTTTCTGGAATGGGATTATTTCAAGCTGGAGCCATGTAGAAAATCATTGCATGCATTTAACATTATATTTTTAATTCAAAAAAGAAAACATTATTTGGAGGTAAAAAAGTTAACAGTTGGTCTGTGCACCCTGGCTAAATTTGAGTTATCAATTTCAGTCAATAAATGAGAGATCAGAGAGAAAAAGAATAGACAGACAAGTCCACTCCAAGACCTCATGAGTCAAAAAGAAAACAGGTAAACCAGGTAATAGACAGTTAGGCATAAAGTGTTCTGAGCAACAAAATCTCATCCACATCCTATAATAAGAAAAACATATGATTCACCAAGCTCTTGATGGATTGGGTCAACAAATGCCAACCCTCCACCTAGAACATTATTGGGGGACTGTGTAGTGTAGTTTCAAATACATGTCCTGTGTTTATGGACACAGCTCCTAAGAAATCCTCTACCTTAATCTAATTTGTTAGCCATACCCCATTTGAAGAATTATTTGATACGACATGCTTTGGACAGGACAGAAAACAATTGGCTTTCTCATTATGACAAGAGATGTGGGTCATCATCAGTCATGAAATTATTTAACTTTGCATTTCTTTAGAGCCCTCAGCTACAATAGGTCTATCCATGGATCGCCAATCATATATTATTATATCACCTCTCGTAAAACTTCTTTTGTCATGAAATAAAACTCATAGCTCAAGTTGTTTTTCTTTCCATTTTCGTGTGTGTAAGACATATAGATTGCAAATGTTTTTGGAATAAACACTGATCAAAACATACCATATGAATGGTATTTGTTAGTTCCATGTTAGTGTGCCATGGATCATTTTGTATCTGAGTTGAATTTAATCATCAATCATGAATATTACAGGTGAGATTCTAAGTGACTGTAAATCTTATTGTCAAATGAAGTGATGAGAATGGAGAAGCCACCAATCCATGGTACTGCAACTGATTGCAAACCACTAACCACTTTTGTTCAGACAAACTCAGATGCATTCAGGGAAGTAGTACAAAGATTAACAGGTCCCTCAGAGGCTACAACACCAAAAGAAGTAGAAACAACAAAGGTTGCAAGTGTGAAAAGGACAACATCAAAACTCCATGAGAGAAGGAAATGCATGAAGCCCAAACTTGAGATTGTTAAACCCAGTTTTCATTATAAATCATCAGGTGCATGTTTGTCACCCTCTAAGTCAAGAAGTTCTAGCTTTCCTCCAAGCCCTGGATCAGGGAGTTCAAGTCTTCTTCCAAGCCCCACCACCCCTTCAACACTGTTCTCTCAGTTAACTATTCTAGAAGATGAAAAGAAAGAAGATTCCTTAATGCCTCAAATAAACACAGAAGAAGAAGAGAAAGCTATCAAAGAGAGGAGATTTTATTTGCATCCTTCCCCAAGGTCTAGACCAGGTTACACTGAGCCTGAGTTGCTTATTTTGTTTCCTCTGGCATCTCCCAATGCAAATGAGAAAGTATAGTTTTGATCATCATAACCTGTTCCTCTGTTAAATTCAGCATGCTTCAAATTACATATATACCTGTTTATGGGGGCAATACTTAAAGTGAAATCAATATATAATGTATGCCCTCTTCTACTTATTTGTTTATTTTTTACCAATTTGTAATACATGCTTTGAGGAGAGTTTCTTAAGTACTATCTTTCCCTTCAAGATTCCGTGAACCCATGCTTGTATAGTTTCATCTCAATAATTAGCGTTTATTTTTAATGTTAACATTTATTATATAAATTATTAAAGTGATATTTTAACTTTGATTGAGGAATAACACAAAAGTAATGTAAGATATTACATTTTATGTCTTTTTTATTATGGTATCATTAAGTAGTCTAAAATTGTATTAATGTGTGCACAATTTTAAAATAAATGTGAAAAAGGTTGGGCATATAGCTCTTTCTCAATTTGCAACCAAAATAAAATTCTAAATTCAACTTCTCGCTGGATTTTATTTGGAATGTTTAAATTTTGCAAGTTTTATTAATGAGTGTCTTAAAGAAAAGTGTTAAAAATATAATGTTAACTAATGGGATAATAATTAAGCAATAAAAAATGATTTACTCTTAATGAGTGTTTTTCAGAATACAAGTTAACAAGAGTTTTTTTTATTGTAAATATTGTGCCAAATATATAGCTATATCCTTTTATTCACAACCACTCACAAAAATTACAAAAAATAAAAATTTTAGTGTTCATGAGAAAGGCTTTTTTTTTGGCTCATGTACTTTTTTATTTCCATGTTTTATTTCCTACGTGCCAATTTTTTTTTTCTAATTTTAACTGTACATATTTTGTCCTCATAATTTTTAATAGTTAAATTCAATATTTCACTCAAAGTTTGTTTAATAATTATTGAAAATGTAATAGAAATGTGGCATGCCACTGGTTTACATATATTTATGAATAAAAAAAATACATAATTCAAATAAAAATAAAAAAATACAAACAAGCCTTTGAAGTTTCTTTTTGTTATTTTTTGTATTTAAATATTTCTTTATTTTTAGAGAATTGTGTTGCACCTTAATTATATTTTCGTTAATTGTAGAATAAAATTCGAGACGAGAAACTTAATTTTAAAAACTGAAAAACTACAAGAATTAAACAGTAATAAATAAAATTAAAAGGATAAAAAGGAATATGAATCAAAGAGATTAAAAATTTTATTAAGTTATTTTTTTATTTTAAAATTTATAAACATGTCTTTGAATTTTAAATTTATTTTTAATAAAATTTTCAACCACATTTCTATTAGGACTTTATTAAGTATAAGAACTTAATTAAACATTTTAAATAATTTAAAGACTTATTAAATAATTAATTAGTAACATAATCCTTGAATTATTTAATTTTTTAATTATAATATTATAATGTAAATATTCATTTAAAAAAATTTAAAATCTTATTACAAACTTTCAAAATATAAAAATAAAAATATCTAAATAAGTTAATGACCTACACATTAATTTAGCCTATTTTATAATTATGGGACCAACAACTTATATCTTGGTTGACTATTATTATGAGTAAAAAATTTATAATAAGTATTTTTTTAAGAATTTTATTAACCTTAAATTTAAAGATTGAGAATAAATAGCTAATAATAGCAAAATTTTATTTAAAAAGTTAATATTTATTATATTAAAATGTACTATTTTCATTAAAAAAATTTGTTTATAAATGTTTAAACTTAGTCCTTAACAAAACTATGGTCGTCAATTTCATCTTCTTAAGTTCACATTTGTAGTAGTGAACTATGGTTGTCGATCTGAACCTTATATTGCTTCATTGTACATAATTTTAGACAAGTCAGAGAGCTTTATATGTGAGGATTTAATTTTAGATAATTTTAGATATTGATTGTGCCATTACCTTCGCTGGCAAGGGGCTTGACCTTTATTCGTTGTGTGGACCTTGTCAAGATCAAGGTGAAAATCTTTTTTCGGAAAGATGAGTTTATTAAATTACTAACGGATATGCATTGTAAAAAAAAAAGGAGATGCAAAATTTTGTCACGCAACAGATAACTTTGCAATAAACTAAAATTATCTTTTGGCAAATTTTCGTCTCCAAGTTACTACTTAAGGTAGCCATCAATAAATTGATTGGGCCCATTGTCTACTAATCCTAGAGCATCTCTTAAATTTAGTGTTTTTCTCATGGTTCGCCTTCCTATCCCTCCATTTCCCTTTCTCATCATGGCAGCAAATTCCCCATAATCTATTTGCCCATCCTGCATCACAAGACTGCCATTAGTACTCAACAAACAATGTTGGCATATAATCTTGAAAAATGAATTAGGAATTTTATGCTCAGTACTTACGTTATCTTGATCAATTTCCTTGACGATGTCATCAATATGGACATCATCTAAACCAAAGTCCTTACAAGCTTGTTGTATCTCATCAATGGTTATGTAACCACTACCATCTTTGTCAAAATAGGAGAAGGCTGAAACCAGATTTTCCTCTCTCTCTAGCTTATTTAAATGAACAGTGGCAGCTATGAATTCACCATAATCTATTGTTCCACTTTTGTCAATGTCCGCCTGTCACATACCAAATAAGATCTTATGTCCCACGTTAATGGACTAAAAAATTATTTACTGAAGAAAGAAAAAATGCTAATAACAAACTCTTCTCAAAATACTTGTTATTATTGAATGAAATTCATGTCATGGCAATCCTCTTCCCTATTTAGTGGAATCCACATAGATTTCAGCTAATACTAGGATGTCAAAAGTAGTGTGTAATTAGCATTCTTTAAAAGATCTTACAGCATCCATCAGATCCTTGATTTCAGACTCCATAAGTTCAGATCCTACTCGCTTCAAGCCATCTTTTAATTCATCAAATGTTATGGTACCACTGTTGTCTGTGTCAATCATCTTGAATAACTCTTTCAGACCACCGATTTCTTCTTCAGATAGCCTCTCAGCAATAACCTAGAATTAAGCAAGCCAAACTGTAAATAATATGAATCACTTTCAACTTCCTGCTTCCAGAAAGCAGGAATGATAAATCCTAGTTCAAACACTTCATTAACTCAAATATTTTACAAACTACAGAAATATAGTGATCTTTGAAGTTCAGGCTAAGGTGTAGTAGTATTTCATTTCACTGGTTTGTCTTAATGGAAAATTTAGCAAGGTAGCAGTGAAAGGAAAATTCTAAAAATTTTAATAACAGAATGTAAATAAGCTTCTTTAAAATTCTATTCATGTTGGCTTTCCGACCTTGGTGTTTCCTACTTGAAGCAACTCAAGACTTTGATGCAACCAATGGTTCAAGTTCCTTCAGAACTGAACCTCAGCAAGCTTTGACTTCCAATTTTAAGGCTCATGGATTAAAAAAAATGTAATAATAAGGATGAGGCAGCCTCATGGTCCATATCCGACACCCAAAAAATAGAATTCATAAGTCATAACAAAGAACAGAAATCCAAAAACACATGTACAACAAGAATCAATATAAAAGTAGAAATCGGCCTTCATATCAATGAAATGCATCTAACCAATCATAGCTGTTGAGAAATCCAGGACATAATGCAAATGCGAGTCCAACCATGTAGCTTTCTCGCTCCAATGCATCTAATGCCCTTGGTGTTGCTTTGATGGTTAGGGTGATCAAGAGTGAAAGTTGATCTTTTATTTAATTTTTGTTTTAACAACAAAATGACATTCAGTAAAATTCACTAATGATATTTATTATGAAAAAAATCCTTCATACTTTTTAATTTTCCCATGAAAATATATTTTAAAAAATTGGCTCCAGTGAAACACTCCACCAGTTTCTGAAGGGCAACCAAAAACCATTATACATGAGAAACATAAACACAATAAGCACTGCATTCCTTGAATGTCAAAGTAGGTACAAGATAGCTTGGGTATCTAATACCTGATGGTGCATCTTGCATTCCTGCAGGCATCCCACCATGTTTTGAAATAACATTTAGATCCAAGCAGCTTTTTTGAGTATAGTGAAAATGAATGCACAAGAAATTGATAAACTACCAAAAGAAGGCCTTCCAGTGGATCTTGAAATAATTGCAATCTGCTTAACCGAAATTTTAATAATAAATGCATATAATTACTTTTTCATTGTAAAAGGAAGACAAACAACTTAGTAGTCATGAAAGCAAACTTGTTCGTCCATGCTCAGCTTATAAACACCAAGAAATTGTCTAGGCTCAGCAAAAAGGTCTACAGAAGCCTTACACGTAATGCCATCTTTTTCAGTTTATTCATTGCAGAGAATTGTTTCAGACGAGATAAAACTGCAGAATCAAGAGGTTTATCAGGTGCAATGTTGTCATCAACAATCCATGGGTGACCTGACACAGAGGGAAACTTGTAAAAATCTTACAGCTGTTAACCCATTCTAAGAATTGTTAGAATTAATGCTGCTAACTCAATCATGCTAAATGCTCAATATAAAGTTTGGGACTTACGAAGTACTTGATGTGCTGTAAGCCTTGTTTTTGGATTTTGATCAAGCATTTTCCGAATTAGATCCTTGGCGCTGTCTGAAATGCTAGGCCAAGGCTCAGACTGAAAATCAAGTTTTCCTAGTAAAATCTGTCGGAAGATCCCTGGTTCAGTTTCTGAAGGTGACAAATATGCAGATTAGCATTAGCTAAGGCAAAGGATGAACATGAAGAAAACAGTGCCAAAATGGTAATTAAACAAAGGAATAACAAATAGCTCTACCAGCCCAAAATGGTGGCACCCCACTTAATAAGATGTACAGAATAACCCCAGCACTCCACACGTCTGATTCAGGTCCATAGTGCTTGCGCAAAACCTCTGGTGCAACATAGTATGGGCTCCCAACAACATCACAAAAGGATTCACCTGAAAAGTATCTTTCTATGTTAGGCATAGTGGCACATAGATAGCCCTCTCCCAGAGTCCAAACTTCTAGCAATTAGAATGCCAAAAAAGGCACCAAAATGCATGGGGCAGAAAAGATTACTAAGTACAGAAGTACTAACAACCCTTACGCCATTTGTGCACCCTTTCTTTTTTTCCCCTGTAATACAGCACATTGTTTTATGGCATCGTCCCCTTTGAACCCCAGTAGAAAAGAAAATCCCTTTCCTCGCATATATAAGACATAACAATTGTTTCTAATTGATGTAATACATATATGTATTAGCTTTATCTGTTTACATGACTAAAAATTCCATAACTAAAGATTGTGATTTTAATTAATGAGAGAACAAAAATTAAACTAGATTCTACTTTTGGAAATCAACTATACATTTACTACGACATGCAATCATTAAGGCATTCACCGGAAACAAGTTTATAAACCTAATGAAACTCCATTTATAGTATATATCACTATTAAACACTTCAAATGCAGCTTTTACAGAAAAATATAATAAAGCTTTATTTTAATATCATTTGATGGTAGGGTCTAAAACGAGTTTTCAAGTACCAGGACTATGTCAACAAGAATGAAATTTCTAATTTCCATGGACAATAGTTACACGGGACATTTTTAATTATTTATTACATAGAAGAAGCACTTGCAGAGCACAAACTTAGAGAACTTGTTATCGTTAATATAATTATGAAAAGCAAATATGAATTCTTCTCCAGAAAAACTACTATGCACATAAAAGATGCAACCAAGAACTGAAATCTGGAAGTTCAACAAGAGTAAAATAATATTTTGGGATCACTCAAGAGAAGACAAAACAAATAGCATAGAATTAATTTAAGCTGCCAAAAATGTTAATTCATGCAACCAAGGCTTATTACTCAAATTCATGACAGCATGAAAAAGGAAAACATAAAATTCTTGGAATTTAAAATCAAACACGGAAGCAGTGACCTATATTCTATAAGGACCCATGATGGACTTGGAAACCAGCTCTGAACCCTGTAGAAAAGGGAAAGAATATTCTCTTCTCAAATTGACCACATTTCAAAAACAAATAAAAAACATAAGCCAGCACAGCCATTCCCAACAACTCTTGGCCTCTGTAATTCAGTCCTATCCACAACAACCAGCTCATAATCAATTCAAAGAAGCATCCTGCTTAAGGACCTATGGCCCTATGCAAATTAAACAAATAATTACACCCAACAATACAACCCGACCCCTTTCTCGCCGAATGAACCGAAAAGAAAAAAATTGAAATAGAATACAAGGATCAAACAATCAGTCAAATTTGGGACACAACATTCGTTGTGCTGTAAATGTTCCCGGTTCAAGAAAAGTTGTCTCCTGTGAAAGATACCAGAGTTCTGAACAAAAAATGAGTCCAATTTGGGACACAACATTAGTTATGAGTCTTATGACCTTTGGATAAGGAATCCATCAATCTCTAGTTATCCACAGATTCTAAATTTAGAAAGTAAAACAAATAAATAAACCACAAAAGAAAAGAGAGAGAGGGTCATTCAACATTCATTCACACTCTCACAATGCTAAAAAGAAGATAGTAAAAGCAATTTGAATAAAAACCAACCAACCCACCAGGCTTGTAAAAAACAGACAAACCGAAATCTGTAGCTTTAAGCTTAGCATCCTCATCAACAGTATCAAATAGAAAGTTCTCAGGTTTGAGGTCCCTATGCATGACACCAAGCGAGTGACAAGTCTCAACAACCTCAACAATGGTCTTTATCAACTTCGCAGCTTGCCTCTCACTATAGTGCCCCTTCTGCACGATCCTATCAAACAATTCCCCTCCCTCACACAGCTCCATCACAAGGTGCACCGCAGAGGAATCCTCGTAGGTTCCTTCGATTCGAACAACGTGCGCGTGTTCCGACAAGTGGTGCATTATCTGAATCTCCCTCCACACATCCTCGTAATCCTCCTTGCACAAGAGCTTCCGCTTGGGAATGGACTTGCACGCGTAGCTTGCACGCGTTGCCCTGTGCGTGCAGAGGTAGGTTGTGCCGAATTGACCCTGTCCCAGCTTTCTCCCCACCTCGTACACCTCCGTGATGTTCCTCGTCCGGTACGGTAGAACCCATGCCGGTTTCACCGTTACGGTGGTCGAACTCGATTTCGCCATTGTTCTTGTCTTATCCCAAACACAAATTAAAAAGAGAATGAAGAAGACAAATTAATAGCTTTAATTATAATTAATTAATTAAATTAATTAAAACCGTGCTGTGTGGTGTAGTTGGGCACTGAGTGGGAAAGAAAAAAGAGGTTGTATCTGGTGTTCCCCTGTGAACCATTCTCATCTTTCTATTATTCATTTTAACAACGGAAACACAAACTACTAGCAAGTTGTGTTGTCTTCTGTCTCTTTCCTCTTTTTTCCTATGGGCTGTTTCAACTTTCCACCCCATATTCAACCACCACGTGTCTAAATTTCATTTTTTTACCGCATACGCAACTATAATTTATAATTATTATTCAACACGCACATCAATGAGTATAAGCAGTTTCAATTTAAATTTAACAATAGTAAATATTTTTAAAAAATTATCGGATCAACTATAAATTATAATTTTGTAATTAATTTTATCGCTAAGACCATGATTATTTTTAAGTCTTGTTGATGTCACTTTATTATTTTATATTTTAATTAATGACGCATACAAACAATAGGTGAAAGGACATCATGCCTCGCCCGTTCCACGACCACCAACTCTGCCCATGCTGGACACTGGATATGACATTTTACACCTTTTTTTAAAAAAATTATAATAATTATTTAGATTGATAATATATATAGTCTTAATTATCTTTTTATACTTAAATTCATCTTACATAAGTAATATTTTTGTGTAGAAATTAGAATAAGTTTCTGGGTCTAAGGTTAATGAGAGTGAGAATAATTTTTCTGATCTGTATACTCAGATTTGAATATTGTCTAGTCTAGAAGATCCAACAAAAAAGAATAAGGCATATACATTTAAAAAATTGGCAAGAATTGCAGACTCATAAAATATATTTATCTTTGTACCTTTCCAATTGGATGACATAAAATGAGGGATGCAATTGATCACGTGTGTCACTGAATGAATACAAAGGTTTGAGTTAGCTAATATCTTCAGAATTATGTCACACAAATTATTTTCCTATTTATTGATGTTGTGGACTGAGTCACGTGCCATTCATCTCTGTCATTATCCCTTCGCTATTCATATGTTTAAAACTTCAAACAAAGGGGCACATAAAATATCTTTTTTTTTTCCTACCACTTGCGATATTGTGCATTTTTATGTGAATGTTCTTTTTTGAAGAGAAAGAAAGAAAAAGAAAAACTTATATAATATATAGCTATATAAAGTTTTTAAATAAGATCTTAAGTGAATAGAGTTTCAAAATTTTCTTAATTTTATATTTTTAATTTTTTAATCTGAAAATTTGTATATTAATCTCTCTTCTCCTCTTTTACTTTTAAAATCTTTTTCTTCTTCCTTCACATTCTTAGACAATTTGCCTCCGCTGTCAGGTATTCATAATTCTAGATAACAATAATAATTATAATTTATTTATGATCCATCCTTAAAAGACGAGATCTGTGAATAATTTACGATTTTTTTAATAAAATATTTGCAAGTTTTAAAAATATGAAATAGACGTGAGTAAAGCAGAATTCAGTTCCCCTCATCAACTGGGTAACGAATAGCGTCATGCATTAGTAATTTAAGTATAAAAATAATGAATAAATAAATAAAACTTTAAATATTCGCAAAATTTGTCAAGAGATCCTCTGTTAGAAATTTTATTTTTAATTGTTAATATCAAGGATACATATTATTTATAGTATTTATATTTGTTATTTATAAATACTATAAATAACAAATATAAATAAAGAAAGATAGAACACTCAAATAGAAAAGGTTCAATAAAGAAAGAGCACCAACTCTAAAATAGTTTAGTTCGCAGTAATTTGTCGTTATTGATTTGGTTAACCCACTTCTTAAAATTAAATTGCAATTCTACAAAAGAGAGCTAATAATCAAATCACGTGGAGTACGGAATAGACACTGCTCATAATCTATCTTTATATGCAGGTTATGTTTATATTATAATTTATATAAATGCATTCTACCTTTATGCATGTTTATCCTTTCATGCTCATGTTTGGCATACAGGAGCAGAATTAATCTTGGGACCCGAACAAGCAATTTTCAATTACTGACAACTAAGATTATTTATTTAGAAAAGGTTCAACGAGATTCAACAATGGCAACTCTGCAATGTTCTTTGTTTTGCATGTCGAATAGTAAGATCCCTAACTTTTGAATTGTTAAATCCTTTCAAAGTTCGAAGTAATTTCAACTTATTTTCACCAGAAAGAACGAATTATGGGGAGTACACTATTTCAAACAGGATTTAGTACGACGAAGAAAATAATTTTATATTCTAATCAAATTACGTGAATAGCCCTCAACAAGACACGAGAAAACAAAAGGATTCCAGCATCCTTCAACACTCAATAGAGTTTGGATATTTCCATATTTAATAATTTTTTAAAATAATAATTTATGCCGTAAATTTAGTAATAATATTTATTAAATTAAAAACAACTTATGAAAGTAATAAATTATTTAAACTCTTCCAAATAACCCTTTAAATCATGATATTTCAGTCAAAGTGAATAAAATACTATAATCACTGTACTCCTTGAAACTGATTTCTTCGGTAGAAAAAACTAACAATTTCATTTTTGTCGACACTTCTTTTCCTATATAACGAAGGTAACTCTTCAGATCTTATATCGTTTAGAAATGTTGTAAATTTTAATAGTAAAAACATTACACATTTTTACAACTTGGAGATTGTGAAGGATTGAGTAGCTATAGGGAAGTCACATCGTCATAACACCTGAATAATGAAATTAAAACACTGGGGTGGGGAAGTGACATAATACATAATCACAAGTTACATACATCATACATATAATCCAGAAGATCCGATGAACTATAATGTAGGAATTCTATATATTAAAAGATCCACCTTATCCCCAAAATAAGATTACGTATATATTTTAAAAAGTCACTTAGCTAACAAGTTAACAAGGGCAAAACCTACCAGAAGAGCTATCTATCATAAGGATCTTCATTTTACCACAAAACTAGAAAACTGCCACTTATAATAATGTCGTACCAATGACCAAACGACCTACCTCAACCATAACCAACTGTAACGTAAAAGGCCAGGGGAAAACATCAACAATTTGCAGCTCACTGTGAGAGAGACTCAGAAGCAGCTTCCATTAATTTAGTGGTTGGAAAAGGATTCCACTTTACAGTTAGATTGTTAATTCTGTACAATATCTAAACCCTACACTCTTTAAGAGTAACAAAGGAAAACCTCGACAGATGATGGTTAGAATCATCAAATTAGGCTTCATATTTCAAAGTAGAGTGTACTTCATTGCCAGCATGCGATATACAGTATTTGACAACTCCAATAACTGCTGCTCCAGCTTATCCTTCCATGTAAATAATTCCACGAACATTTCCTGTGAGGAAACTATTCTACAATGAGTATTAAGCTGCAAAATATTAAAATCTAGAAATATTACAGTCAAGGTTTGAAACAATCACCTGACACAACATCAATGAGTTGCCAAGGTCTGACTTTGAATTAACAGTTGTAGAAGAAACAGGGGTCACATTAGGTTGATGTTCCTTTGGCACCAACTCCAGCAAATCACTATAATCATGATAAAAAAAATGAGGGGGCTACTGAAATAACAAAATCAGCATTTTCCTCTGAAAGGGAGCATGGAAGAGTTTTAAAGAATAAAATTTGCTGTGCATTACATCTTCATGTTAATCAGTTCATTGTGCGGCTGAGTTGGTATGGTTGAGTTCAGATTTTGGAATACAGCCTCTTGCGGAACATTAAGCAGCTCAGAATTCCCAAACCAAGGTGCAAATCCATTTCCTTGAATATTGAATAAGTTGGTGGTTTCTGGCCAATACTCCCATCTTACTGAAGGATGACTTAAAGTGGGGTGTTCTCTCAATGTTTGCACATCACTCAATTTATTTGTTATTTCCGTTAGCTGTTGCTCAACTTTAGTTCTCCAAATCAGAGTGTCTTCATGCATGCCCTGTCAATATGTAAAGCTACAGTAAGCCAGAGATCATTATCATGGTCAGATTAACCAACCAAAAGAAAACACATTCAACATAATATGAATCCCATTGAGGCCTTGTTTAAAAGTTACATAATATATAGTTTTATTAGAGCTCACTTTCAAAAGTCACTATTTTTAGCATCTAAGAAAAACACTACAACAGTTTTTTCATCTGAAAATTTCAAATAATTATTATAATTTTTTAAACATATCTTTAAAGCAATTTTTCATTTTAAAAAATAAGCACAAGGAACAAGCCCTATATTCTTAAAGAGAAAAAAATGTGGAAATATACTGCTTAGACCTGTACAGCCTTCAAAGAAGTCATAATCTCAGTTACACGCTGCTCAGTCATAGTTTTCCAATTCACAAAACTTTTCTGTCTCTCCTGTCAACAGATATCAAATATAGAAGTTCATAAAGTGCTAAAAGAGACAGCAAACCATTGAATTACTAAATTATTCACCTCCATCAGACACATTTCACTTTTCTCTTGCTTCCTGCCAATGAGCTCTTGCATATCTCTGCCATGCAAATTAACTTGTTAAAATTAAACATACAATAGTAACCATACAAAATTATTTTAAAATTTTGAGTTTCCAGGTTCAATACTTTTTCATTTGGGCCATTTCTATTCGAAGCACTTTCAGTTCACCAATAGAATCAGTATTCTGAGAAGGGACACTGCCTCCCCTCGATGTAGATGGTGGTATCCAGTAAGGGTCTTGCACCCCAGCCTCCTGGCGAACCTTATCCAAATTAGCACACTCCAACCAATACTCCATGATTCCATTGGTGTTGAACCATCGTCGAAACCGCTCAGCTCCTCCAGGTGCCACTTTACCATCAATGTGCTTCAGTAAGTGGTCTAACAGTCCAGTATCACCAATGTGCTTACGAGCAGCCATTCTTAGTGCAGGTCGGGTAATTGGATTTTGAAAAGTTGCACCTTCACCCTTTAAGACCTCCCACATGCGTTGTTCAGCCAACTTATACCTATATTACATTACTGTCTCAAGTTAATACAAGTAAAAAGACAGTTACAAGTAACAACAGAAAGTATATCATATATTATTTACCTCTCAGCCGACCATCTGTCTCTGCTTTCATGCTTCTTTGTTTTAGGCTTGGCACTACTTAGCCTTTCACATATATCTGCTTTAATCTCTCTAAGACGATTAAGGCTAAGGCGTTTTCTTTTCTTAAATTTTGGCATGAAGATGTGTTCAGCTTTAATGATTTTTTCTTTATCTTTTGATTCCTCTACCTTAGGAATACTTGATGAAAGTTCATTTCCACATTCCTCATGCTGACCAATGGACATGACTTCATGACAAACACCCAAATGACCCATCCCTGCAGAATGCAGATCAGTCACACTCTTTGGTGCTCTGTTGGTCTCACACAACTTCTGTACATTCAATCAGCTGCATTACAAAGCATTAAAATAAAATAAAATAAAAAATTAAATATTCCAAAAAAATATGAATCCAACATTTGCATCATGGCAGTATCATTTAAAAGATAACGAAAAAAATCAACCGAAACGCTTAGAGCAATGGCACTACCTTTATGAGTCATGCCATATTATATCCAATGTAACACAGTAAACCATACATTGCAATTACAAAAGTATAATTTGACCAACTATTTAGTATGAAGCTGAAAAGGAAATACAGGATTGAAATACAATTTAACTTTAGGAGTATAGACATATTCATGTTGGATATAACATAATGAATATTATTTAATTTCAGGATCATTCAATATATATTCCTACAAGGCAGATCATTCAATTTAATTAATTGTTTGATATAAAATTTTTGCCTGGCACCTATTGAAGTAAATTGATGCCCCAAAAGTCAAGTTTCTCATACAAAAGCAAGTTTCTCCACCAGAGTGTGGAGGAGAAAGAGAAGTAATGACATAAAGGAGTGTCCAAATAGCTTCTCTTCAATAGTTGCATTACATTACATATTCAAAAGGGAAAATAGGTAAATAACCCCATGATAATCAAACTTTAACAATAAAATCAAACAGTAAAAGATAGAACAAATAAAAAATAACCAAGCTCAAAAATAGTTTTAAAAAGTTTAATTCAATTGAACAAAAACACGTTAGATTAATAGCATAAAACCATAGCAAACCCCAATTCTAACAGGAGATTACAAATCATCGGATTCAGAGACAATGAGCGCGAATCGGCGATTGAGAGAGCAATGAAGAGGAAACCTAATGAATGAAGGTGAATTGTGCGATTAGGAAAGGAATGAAGAGAAGAGAAGAAGAAGAAAAAGGGGTTACAGTGACGAAACGAAGAGAGGAAGTGGCCGACACAGTGCGAGGAAACCAAACAGCGACTTTGTGAAGCTAACGTTGCTTGCAACGAAACGCATTACTTTCTTTTCTCACTTTTTTAAATACTAAAACACTAAACCCTAACCGCCAAAACCCACAAAATCCTCCAATCATCAAACATCATTCGAATTCTTAACCATAATAATCATTTTTTTAATCAAAATACCACCCATACCTTCTTCTTTTTTTCAAAAGTCCCTTTCCCTTTTCTCGTTCTGTGTTTTTCTTTCTTTAAGAAAAATATTTTTTAAATATTATACTCAGTATTCAAATTTGTAACTTTAAAAGTTATTTAGACAATAAACAATTTGAGATGGGTCAATGGGTATAAAAAATTCTTTAAATAAAATAATTATTTGTATAAAAAAAAATCTACAACAACAGTTATAGGAGATAATAGAAGGTAAGAGACAAAAGAAAAATATAAATGATATGTTAATGTGGAAGTGTGATGGTAATAAACACTACAAGTGACAAATAAAGAAGTGCAAGTTATGAATAATGGACAATTTGAGATGGATCAATGGGTATAAATAATTTCTTTGATAAGGTAATTATTTATATGAGAAGAGGATTTACAACAACAGTTGTGAGAAACTGTTGAAGGTAAGAGGCTGAGAAAAAATGTAAATGACATGTTGATATGGAAGTGTGATAGTAATAAAGACTCCTTGTGGCTATATTTATAATTACTTCAGGTAATGGTATTCGTGTGGAAGTGTGTCTAGTCCAAGCATTACACAGAATTTGGAAGATTAGTACACTAAGAAAAGTAGTGTTATTCGTGTTTGTTGTCTAATGCAATTTCAATACTGGGAAATTTAACCAAACACAGATTAATGATTTCTTCAGAAGTTTTTGTGTTGTGTGATACTAATTATGAGGATGTACTACACATTTTTTTTGCATTGTAATACTTTTATGAGTCTGGGGTATATGGTGTTTGAATGGTTTGATATTAGTATGTATTTACTTGAAAATTTGCATGAGACATTACTGAATATGTGTGAAATTTCATGTGAAAAAATAAATGAAAGGGAGTTGTAATAGCATGATTTGCAGTAATATGGACAAACTGTCTTTAGAGGAATAATATCATCTTTGATAACAGTGTAGTAGATGTTAATGAAATGTTTGATTCTATTAAATATTGTTATTGAAAGTGACTCGCATTCTTAGAAGTAGGGATGGAAACAGGCTAGTCCACTTGACAGGGGCCTATGGCCTGTCCTGGTTTAGGCCTGACCTTTTTAATAAACAAACCAAGTTCAGACTTTTTTTAAGGTCTGTTTAAGTAAATAAGTCAGGTCAGAGCTATTTATAAAATCTGTTAGGCCTGATAGGCAGGCCTGTATAAATATATATATATATTATATAATTTAAAAATAAAGCTGTTAAAATATATTTAAATAATAAAGTTATTTAATAATATATTTTTTATATTCTTAATTCTATTATTATTAAATTAATATATTATGTTATAATTTTATTTATTTATAATTATAATAAACAGAAATTATATTCTATTAAAAATTAAAAATATTTATATATCATTACACTTTTTAAATAATAATTTATTTAATAATAAATTATTATATTTGTTATACTTAAACAAGTTAAAAAATAGTTGTCTTTGATCAGGAATAAGATACAATCAAAATTAAATAATAAAATTATATTAACATATTTTTTATACTCTTAATTTTATTATTATTAATTTTATTATTTAATTATTATGTTATAATTCATTTTATTTATAAAAAATAGAAATTGCTTAAATATGAATTATATTTTATTTGAAAGTAAAATTTTATAAAAAATAAAAAAAATAAAATAAAAAACTTATTATAATATATATTTATATATATAATCAGACCATGTAACAAATAATATAAATGATATAATTATAAATAAATTATATAATAATATATATTTTTGTTACTTGCACGTGTTTTCATTAAATTATTAGTTAATTTATTAATTTATATGTAATATATAAGTATATGTTTTAATTTACTATATCACAGTATCAGTAATATTTTTTATATTACATTAATATTATAGTGTAGTTAATTTTACGTTTATTTATTAATTTAAAATAATAAATTAATAAAATAAATAAAATTAAATATTTTGTAATTATTTTTTTAATTTAATAGTTATTATTATTGTCATTATATATATATATATATATATATATATATATATATCTTAAGATAAAAATTTAAAAATATAATTTATTTTAATTTAAATATAAATTTTAATATATGCTCATATGTTATTTTTCTCAATCTATGAATTTTATAATATAAATATTTTTTATTTACATTTTTTATAATGACGATATTTATTTACTTTTAAAATATAATAATTTTTTTAGTTGATTTAACAAATTTTGTAAGTGTTATTTTTTGTTATTAATTTTATGTGTTTACTGTGATTTTATTTATTGAATATAAGATGTCTTTATACGAACAAAATATAATTATCATAAAAAATAATTAAAATATTTAATAATTTTATAAAATTAAATTGAGAAAAATAAAAATATAAAAATTTTATAATATAAAAATATTTATAATTAATGCTCAAACAATATTTTAAAAATTATTTATAAAATTGTATAAAAATTATTATAATTATTTAATAATTATCAATAACACAAATAAAAATTTGAATATATGTAAATTAATTTGATAATAAAATAATTATATTTTTTTAATATTATTTAATAACAACAATCATTATAAATTTTTAATATTATACAAATTTTATTTTATTTTATTATCTTTTCTTAAGCAATTTTATTGGTATAAAATCTATAATAAAAAATTACATTGATTGTATTCACTACATCACAAACCTAATATAACCACATACCTCTGAACCAAAGCTGCTATAGTTGTTTGTCTTCTTCCTCAGATCTCGTCGTTGCTCACCTTCATTCGTTGTTTATCTTCATCTTCTTTCTTTGATCTCGTTGCTGTCCACCTCTATTTGCTATTCATCACTGTTTATCTTTTTCTTCTGTTTGTCACTTCCATTTGTATTTCCTCCTCCATTGCTGTATCTAGCTCCACATTCGCCTTCACCACAGGTCACTTGCTTTCAGCATAATACTTTGCAAATATTTTTAGTTTGATGAATGGCATAATCTCTTAAAATGTGATTATTGATTGTTTATAGTATATTTTGTTGGTGGTTTGCTATTATTAGAAGTGATAGTATCAATTTTTGATAGTCAGTTATGATTTAAAATTCTAATTGCATTGATATTTGCTTCAATTTGTTTGGATGTGCAAGATTAATGGTTTCTTGCAATTTCTTGCAAATGTATGTATTGAAAAGTGATTTGATTAGTTGCTTTTTTTTTTAATCTTACTTTGCTTTTATTTTTCCTTTATGTTATAGGTTTACTTAATGTCTTCTCCACTTGAGGGTAATGAGGCAATGTCATCTAGCACTCGCCCTCCAAGTAATCTTAATGTACAAGCACTAACATCTTCAAGCCAACTTCAAGACAATAGTGATAAAAGTAAAGATCAAAATGATGAGAATTGTGTTATTAAGAGGAAGAGGCAGAAGACATCAGCTGTTTGGAATGATTTTATTGAGACTGAAATCTCTGGAGGAGTAACAAAAGCTATTTGCAAATATTGTAAGAGTCATTTTTCTCACAGTGGGAAGGTAGCTAGCACTAGTCATATGAAGAGACATGCAGAGAATTGCTTGCAAAAAAGATTACACATAGCCTCACAAAAGAAGCAGCCCACCATTCCATTTCAACCCTCCAACTTAGGAGTCAATCCTTTTGTGACACCTGATGTGAGATATTCAAATGAGAAGATGAGAGAAATAATTGCAACAACAATCATGGTGCACGAGTACCCTTTCAACATTGTTGAGGATGAAGTTTGGATATGGGGCTTCCAATATGCAAATCCTGAATTTAGCAAAGTGTCTTGCAAAATAGCTAGAAGTGATTGCATAAAAATTTATGAGGCAAAGAAGAAAAACTTGAAGCTTTTGTTGAAAGGTGTGAACAAAATCAGCTTAACTCACAGGTCATTTCATTGATGCAGGGTGGAATCTTCAAAAGAGGGTCCTCAGTTTTGTGAAAGTGCCTGCTCCTAGACGCGGAATAGATGTAGCAGATGCTATTTTCAAGTGTCTCAAAGTTTGGAGGATTGAAGACAAAGTATTTTTTGTGTCTGTTGATAATGCTTCCTACAATGATTCATGCTTGAGGAATCTTAAGGACAACTTATCACTCGATAATAAGTTAGTCCTTGATGGAAAATTGTTTCATGTCAGATGTTGCGCTCATATTCTAAATCTATTGGTCCATGATGGACTTGGTAGAATAAAGGATATCATTCACAATATTCGGGAGAGTGTCAAGTATATTAATTACAACGATTCAAGGTTGAAGGTATTTTGTGATATTGTTGAGCAGAAGCACTTGAAAGAAAAAAAGCTCATCCTTGACTGTCCAACGAGATGGAATTCAACTTTCAAAATGTTGTCAACTGCCTTAAAGTTTAAAATTGTTTTTCCAACTTATAAAGAAAAAGAGCCACACTATACTTATGAACCATCTCAAGAAGATTGGGAAAAAGTTGAGAAAGTTTGTCAACTCTTAAAGGTTTTTAATTTGGCCACTCATGTCATTTCTGGTAGTGATTATCCAACTGCAAATTTATATCTTCCTGAAGTTTGGAGGGTTGATAAAGCAGCTGAGGATGAAGACTACTTTATGAGAGAAATGGTAGCAGTAATGAAAGTTAAATTTGATAAATATTGGGGGGAATGCAATCTACTAATGGCTATTGCAAGTGTTTTGGATCCTAGATGCAATTTTTATGTTGTCAATTATTGTTTTTCATTGATATATAAACCTGAATATGTGGCTAAAGAGAATGTGGATATGGTGATGACTTCATTGGAGATGCTTTATGAAGAGTATTTTGAATTGAGCAAGAAAGAGGCATCTGCTAGCATTAGTGGTGAAGTTGATAATAGTGGCAACAACTCTTCCTTCAATGTCCCTAGTTCTGGCTTATTTACTGGATTTGAGCAAATTATGAGTATTGTTCGTGAAAAGCAAGCAATTCCTCCAATGAAATCTGAGCTAGAAGTTTATCTTGAGGAGGGTCTTTGTATTCCTGATTCTAATTCCAACTCTTTTAGTGCTTTGGAATGGTGGAAAAATAATAGCTTGAAGTATAAGATTCTATCAGAGATGGCTGCTGACATTCTTACTATTCCGATTTCAATAGTTGCATTAGAGTCCACATTTAGTGCTAGAGGAAGAGTAATTGATGAATTTCATTCAAGATTGAATGAAGAATCCATTGCAGCACTCATTTGTGGTGGAGATTGGCTTCGCAACAAGTATAATTTGAAGAAAATACAAAAGGTATCAATTTTATATATTAAAATGTAAATTTATCCTTATATTTGTTAAATTATGTCATGATATAATAATATGAGTAATTTCTTTTATTTTTTTCAAGGTACTTGAGTTTCAAGAAGAAGATGAGATCATTTTGAAGATTTGATGTTAATTTATTGGATATTGCAATAAATTTAATGTTATTAGATTGTTGTTATTGATTGTAAAACTTTGTTACATTGTTAAACTTTATTTGGATTGATGCACTTAATTTTTATTCTTGTTTTATTATAATCTATAGTTACTTTGAATATAAAGGTAAATTATTATATTTGTTTGAACAAGCTAAAGAGCAGTAAAGTCTTCGAAAAAGATTAGAACGCATTTAAAATTAAAGAAATTAATATTTAAAAATAAAATAATAATATTATATTAATTTATTTTTATATTCTTAATTTTATTATTATTAATATTTAATTATTATATTAATATATTATATTATAATTTTTTATTTATAATAAATAAAAATTATATTATATTCGAAACTAAAAATATTTATACACGATTACGCGTGTTTAAAAAATAAATTTATTTAATCATAAATTATTATATTTATTATATTTAAACAAGCTGAAAAAAAAAATAAGATACGGTCAAAACTAAACGAATTAAAATTTAAAAATAAAAATATTAACATTCTTTTAATAAATTTTTTATATTTTTAATTTTATTATTATTAATATTTAATTATTATATTAATATATTATGTTATAATTTTTTAAATTTATAATAAATAGAAATTGCTTAAATATAAATTATACTTTATTCGAAAGTAAAAATTTATAAAAAATGATAAGAAAATAAAATAAAAAATTTATTATGATATATATATATATATATAATCAGACTATGTAGCAAATAATATAAATAATATAATTATAAATAAATTATATAATAATATATTTTTTTGTAACTTGCAGGTGTTTTAATTAAATTATTAGTTAATTTATCAATTTATATGTAATATATAAATATATGTTTTAATTTATTGTATCAGTAATATCTTCTATGTTACATTAATATTATAATGTAGTTAATTTTATGTTTATTATTTAATTTAAAATAACAAATCAATGAAACAGATAAATTTAAATATTTTATAATTATTTTTTAATTTAATAGTTATTATTATTGTCATTATATATATATATATATATATATATATTTCATTAAGTTTAAATTTATTTATTTTTTAAAACATAAGAATTTTTTTTAATTGATTCAACAAATTGTGTGAATATTATTTTTTTATTAATTTATATGTTCATTATAAATTTATTTGTTTAATATAAGATATCTTTAAACAAACAAAATATGTTTCTAAAATAAAACTAAAATTTTTACTATTTATATAATATTTAAAAAATAAATCAAGAAAAATATAAATATGAATTTTATTAATATAAAATATTTTATAATTAATACTTAAATAATATTTTAAAAATTATTTATAAAATTATATAAATATTATTATAATTATTTAATAATTATTAATAACATAGATAAAAATTAGAAAAATATATAAATTATTTTTTTATTAACAGTTTTTGTTAACAGGCTTCAAGTCAGGTCAAACCACTTAAACAGACAGATCAGCCCTAAAATAAAGCCTGTAACAGGTAACAGGTTAGGTTTAGGCCTAATAATTATGTTACAGGCTAGACTTGTTTAAAGTAGAATCTGGCCTGACCAAATCTGTTTCCATCCCTACTTAGAAGTGACGAGCGGTGGAACTTTTGGAAAGTTAAATTGCGTATGTAAATTACATTAATAATCTTTTGACATATATTATTAATTTCTTTGGATATTTTAATCTTTTGACATATATTATTAATTTCCTTGAATTAAAGTATCCATTGTACTCGTATTTTATTTTTAATAAAATATTGATGCTTAAAAAAAAAAAGTTATTCTTATAAATTTTTAATATAATTTTTATTAAATTTTTAACAAATACTTGAAATATAGTTGTTAATAAAATTTAAAAGAATAAGTTAAAACCTACAATGCAATAATATATAATAAAATTAATAGTTTAATATATTTATTAAAAAATGTTAATAATATATTTTTTGTTAAATTTATAAAAAAATTTGAGTTTATTTATTTTTTACTCTTAACTAGATGTTTTTCTTTTGTATGTTAGCATTTTTAATAAATTTAATTAATAATAAAATACATATTAGAGACAGTGTATTACTAGAATTCTTCCTCTATTAAATTATGTCATGAGTTATCTATAATTAAATTACCTTAGTCAAATATTTTTTGCATGATATCACTTCAAATTCTTCAAGCAATTGTATTGTTTATCTTAATTTTTTTTAATTTTATAAGGTTATTTATGGAATTAATTTTATGTATTTTAAAAAAATATTTTTAAAATATTTATTTTTAAAATAATTGATATTAATTTTAATATTTGAATTTATTTGATATTATGTTTATTGGTTTTTTAAATAAATTCTATCCGCCTATGAGTACAGTTGCATATATATACAACTTTCTTTTCTTGAACATTTATCTTTGCATTTCTTTTACATTTTTTATACTCTTTGACAGTGAGGAAACAACTTCGTTTTATAAATAGAACTGTTCTTAGACATATTTTAATATATTTTAATGTTAAATTATATTGATACAATTATTAAATTATGCATATTAAATTAAAAGAAATTAAATGTTTGTATGCATCTAATTTTATTACTAATATATATTTATATTTTAAAAAAATATTATAATTAAATTATATAAAAGTTGTAAAATTGAGTACGATAGTTAAAATTTAATATATAATTAAGTTATAAAAAAGAATTTAAAAGTATGTTTAATTTCTGTTTTAAAAATAATTTTCTATTTTTAAAATTAAATTCTAATACAAAATTGTATTAGAATTATATTAAAATTTATTTAAAAAAGAACTGTTTGCAAAACAGAAATCAAACATATTTTTATTTTTAAATTAAATTCTTTTAATTTGATAAATATAATATATTTTTTAAATAAAAGTAAATATCAACGGACTAAACATCGGGTGGATACCTAATACCCACACCAACACGGTGACAGGACGACATCATGCACGCTTTGCAACACTATAAATAATAAACCCTTACTCAAGTTCAACACTTGAACACCTGTTCCCCTCAGAAAAACAGAAGGCCTTTCTCATCAATGGAGGAAAGAGGAGAATGCTCTGCTTCCAAACCCTCAGATGAAATCTGGGCCAAGCTTGGTAATCATCGTTCTTCTTCAATTTCCTTTTGGGTATCCATAATCATACCAATTTATTACAGATACCAATTCAAGTTTCAAACTTGGGGCAATCCATGTTTTCAATTCTCCCCCTTCCATGCCGCTTGTGGGATTTCATTTTCATTGTTCAAATTTTAAATGGAAGCAGAAGTAGGGTATTTTTTTTTTTTTTTTGTGTGTGGCTGGAATGCCCAAGCCCCCATTTTGTAGAATGTGTAAGGTTCCATTTTTTTAACATTGTCATTGTAAGTTGCTCGAAATTCATTTTATGCTACGTTCCCGCGGTTTTGGGCTTTGGTTGATTAAAAGGTGTTGTTGCCTTCACAATGACAAGAACTTTGTAGGTTTGCATAGAGAAGGAGTTGGGATTGTGTTTCTGTTGAGTTGAAGTGGATGAGAGGGAATAGAGAGGCTAGTGATACAGCTTATTGTTCTATTGGTTTGTACATTTCATGTTGGTTATTGAGGATGTAAATTGAACGCATTTTACAAGCATAGTTCCTTCAACTGATAGGGTCAGTACGGTGTTTCCTAAATAATAAGATTGCAAAATACAGGGATGAGTTTTCTTTGAAAAATTTTAAATAACATAACTGATTTGATCATTTTCATCCCAATTTCAAGGGTTACCAACAATTGGAGAGATAGATTTAGTTTGATGTTTGAAACTTCCTTGAGGTTCTTATTTTGGTCAAGCTATTTCCTTGCAGTTCCATCAGACTCGAGATATTCAGACGTGGAAATAAGGTCAGATGAAAAAGTAATATCTTCGGAGATATCAGCTACTTCTAATGACAAACATAGCTGGTGCAAAATAGTTAGGAATTCTGACTTATGTTCTGCCACAATGGAAAACAAGAGGTAAAGTCATGACTGCGTAATAATATTCAAGTAATTAAGTAAATCATGCTCCCTCTTAGCCAAGACAAATATTTGTGTTTATTAGATATTATTAATTTAAGAAGAACAGGGAACTGTTATTTTTAAAACTAGAAAATGCAATCTATATGGCCTTCTCACCCACCAGTTTTTTATATTATTGGACAAATATCATTCAAAATTGCAGTTGAAGTGGATAAATTTCTTGATTATTGTCAGTAGGAATAATCATATTAGTAAAATCAGTTCTCTGCTTTGCTATGGTTGAAATCACTGTATCTTTCCGGAAGGGTCTTTATCCTTTCATTTGCATACTTTACTCCAATTTTAATTTTTCTTTTTTTGGGTGTTTTATGCATTCATATTGTAGTCCAAATACAGTACTTGTTGATGGGGCTGAGTTATGCAGTGATGACACCATTATCATTAAGGATGGAAGTAAAATTATCCCAGGTCCTGATAGAGAAGGTCAGAGTCTTCTAATATTTTTGGCAGTGCAACAATATCTATTACCAATTACATATGATGAATAGAAAATTGTAAATTTTTGTTTGCATATCTATCATTCAGTTGTTGTGGTTCTATAAAGTAGTTTTGCTGTTGGGCTACTGTCAATCCATTGATTTGTTTCAAGCAAAATTTATTCCAAATTTTCTTTGGGTTGAGTTACATGTTATACTGTTTTCTTTAATAAAATTCAACTTGGTTTTGCAAAGTGGTAATAATAATTGTTCAGTGTGTCAAATAGCCAAGTCATTAGAGGGTTTCAGCATAAAAAATAGGTGATTGATTGTCATCATGTTGCCTTGTACAGTCCATGGGCATAAATTATAGCATAGTAATTTGTGCCTGTTTTAATCCTGACCAAGTTGTGTTCAAGCAAGTGCGAATTACATGTCTCAGTAGTGTTTCTGCTTTCATCTCGTTAAATTGTATTTGGCAGTATTAAATTTCAATTATGGTTGATTAACA